GTTCGATATCAGCCAAAAAAGAAAAAAATGAATACAAGATTATATCCGCCTGCATCTAAAAATCTCCAATATCAGAACTCCAATACATACAGTCCATTCCAGGCTCCACTCCGGCACCTCTAGCTAGCAGCGCCCAGATCCAGTAAGCTGAATCCACAAAATCACAACAAGTGTGTACTAAGGTACAAACAAAGTAGCAAGGAGAAGGAGTGATGTCGGCCTTGTTGCAGTATTTTTTGTTTAAGTTTGAAAAAGACATTGCAGCGAAAGTGAAAAACTTGTCATGCACAATTTTGAGCCAATATCGGTATCGTCAATATTTAAGGCTACAATATCAGTATCGTATCAGAAGTCAAAAAGTTATATCGGGACACCCCTAGCCCTTACTGACCGTATGTTGTGTCTGAGCTTCAGTGCAGCCACCTGCCTCCAGCCAGAGTTGTCGTCTCCATTGATGGCACACATGAAAGATGGCCCCTTGTAGTTCAGTGTGGTTCATCATGTTTCCATTATGAAAATTGAGTTTAAGTTACATAAAGACTGAGTATGGTTAACTTGACTAGAGCCATGTGTTAAAAAAAACTCTTTTCTGGCCAGGTTAAATACACTAAATTTTGCTCCGTTTCGACTCCCTTTCCAAGCTGTTTCTTATTTTCAGACTAGTCGGCAAGCTGGACTTTAAATTTCTGCTCACAACTAGGAAACAGGTCACTTCCTAACATCCCTGCGAGCAACATGAAGTGCTAAAGACAAACGCTTTTCAATTAAGTTTGTGAGTCCTGCCACAAAAAGAGAAACATTAGTGAACACATTTCCTTCGAGAAACTTTATTTGGAGTTTCCTGGTAAAAAGAAGTCTATAAACTTTTAACATCTTTAATTGGACTTGGTTTTTAAAGATTACCAAAAAAACTGTTGTGGATCTGTGAGATGAGAAGCACACACACACACACACACACACACACACACACACACACACACACACACACACACACACACACACACACACACAGAGGGTAACAGCCTTCCTGTCTCCCCTACTGTTCCTCTCACCAGCTCTCATCTCATCTGTCCTTGTTTATGATGGAGGTTTGCTAGACCTCACATGACTTCCTCTGATCACTTCCTCCACCTGCAGAGTTTCACCCTGCTAGTTTAAGCCTCTCTGGCACTCCTCCTGCCTGTGCCCTTGTTCCCCATCAGTGGGGGGGACCTCTCTCTTTTCTCCTCGCCCTCACAATCATCCTTTCCTATCTTCTCTTACCCTCTGTTTTCACCTTCTCTGAGGTTTTCTTTTTTCGGCCTTCTTTCTCCACTGTCATGCTCTCTTGCCCTTTTCCTCTTCTCTTACACTCACTTCCTCCTTGCCTCCTTCACAGCAGCTTCCTTGGACTTCCAGAGCATCACAGGAGAGCCCACAGTTTAGCCTTGCCCCTCCCCGTCTCTGAATGTGGACAGTGTGTGCGCCATTTGGATCCTTCCTCTATAAGGTTAGAGGAGGCATCCAGGAGATGATAAGTCACATCAAAGACTCTCCTCTACACAGGTGTAAAGGTTATCCAACAGCAGCAGAAGCAGTGTCACACACAAAAACGTGCACACGCACGCACACAAAGACAGTATTAATCTGAGAGTGTGGCGGTTGCGGTTGAAGTTTTCCGTCAAATGTGGATTTGCTTTGAAGGTCCTTCAGGCCCCAGAAAATGTTTTTACATCACAAATATAACACCCAGCTGCTCACCCCCTGTGGCCTGTGTTTGCTCTCTGATGTTGCACAAACACACACACACAAACACACACAAAAATGATGGCACACACTAGAACAAGGTGCAGAAAGCCTCAGCCTCTTCCTTAAAGTCATGCAGATTCACTTAATTGCGCTCACACCTTCAATTACGCAAATCAAACACATACAAGAACATCTTTAATGATAAACAACCACTGATGAGCAACAATTCAACTTGTAACTTCAGGATTGTGTGTTAGCAAAAGACGGCACCGAACATTAGGAGAACAGAGGATCACACTTTTGGCCACCACAATTGCACTGATGGCTGTAATTACGCAGTTCCATACAAAATAGCTTAATTGCAGTTTGTTTGCACATGTGGCGAAGTCTCTTTTTCATGTAATTCAGACCATGTGCATGCTTTGTCAGGAGATATAAAACGTACATTAGAGGAGAAAAAAGTTTATGAGTCACTACAGGATTACAAATGAGAGTTTATGATGAAGAGGCTCACGCTTCGTGTTCACAAACCTAGCCTGCAAACATAGCTAATAAACAGGCCTCAGTGTTTACTAGCTCATATCTTGTATGTTTTTTTTTTGAGCATGAACTGAAATTATGCTCAGCAGTGACAATAAAAAAGGCAGCTATTGTCATAAAGGCCTGTGGCGATTTTCCTGAAATCAAATGTGACATTTTAAGGATTGTTTCTGCATGTTTTGTGGGTAAAGTCTTTTGCAGTCAGATGCTTTTGGTCAGTCTATCCTCACACTTATGCCATAAAACAGTAACACAGCCCTCTGTCTATGGTACGGTGGATTATTTGTGCAGACTAAATTAGTTTTTTGGTGGTTAAAAAAAAACAACAGTTTGGACAAAAGACAATAAAGCTTGACTCTCCAGCACTAAACTGAACAGTCTTGTTAACAAAGACATTCAGAGCTAGAAAGTCTGAGAAGGTTTCAACACTGAACAAGCGACAACAATGGAGTTGGTATGAATTTTATAGTTTGTTGACAATGTATAGATGTTGGCGCTCCTGTGAGGAGGGATATTCTGGCGTAAATTTAAGTTATGGTCAAACACACCATAACACCGAGTTAGACACCCTCTCGAGAGACGATTGTTACACTGCTTGCTTCTCTAGTTATACAAAGACACAACTATGAATATCAGTCTACTCCAGAAATGTAAAAAAGAAAAAAACTCCTCATGGGAGCTTTAAATGTGTTTGTGTGTCATTTATCATTTTTGACGATTGATTTATCTCATTAAACTAAACCATAAATTCTGGTCCGGTTTTATCTTACTCCCAATTAAACAAGATTTAAGCCGCACTCATCAAACTTGTGGCCTCTCCTTGACAATGCATGAGTACAGTCTGACCAGAACACCATTTTTTTTTCCAGGTCAACATTTCATTTGAATTCATGACCAAATGACTCTCTTCGAAAAGAAGAAAAAAACAATTCAACAGCTGAATCTGAACATTTAAGCATGTCAGACAGATAATATGATTGAAACTTTACCTGCTACACAATGGCATATCACCACTAAATATCTCTGCACTTTCATGAGCATGATGGCAGAAATAAACATTCACCTGAAGCTGTAAATGTAGGTTAATTTTTTTTTGTAGTTTCCTGTTGTTTCTGTCTGTTTGATTCAGTTTTACTTATGATTTTAGTTATGAAAGTATTCTCTTATGTTTAGTCTTGAAGTATCATGTTCTCTTAGGCACTCATACATGACTCACAGCTCATCACTCCACCCATGCAGCCAAACAGCCCATCCCTTTGGTCCACATGGAACTCATCACAACTCAACAAACACAATGTAAACAGCAACTAAAACTCTAAAAACAGATCAAGCCGAAAAATGTAACCCAAGCACTTCAGAGCAACACACTCGCCAACGGAAACTAGCACAGGTTGGTTCTGATGAGGTTGTTTGTAGTTTTTAGGGAGACGATAAGTCTCAGAAGTTTTCCTCATGTGATGTATTGTGTGTACGGTTGCCAGCATGAGTTTGGATGAACTTAATGACCTCCTCAGCAAGAAAACATTCTGTGTGTCTAGTTCTTACCTGCCCATGTTCAGCAGGTATCACACTCCATAAGTCCACATTCATGGTGGTAGAAGCAAATGCGGTGAAGATGGCTAAAAAAAGAAAAGGAAAATAAAATTAAAGAGAGAATTAAAAGATGAGTGAAGTTACACCTTTGCTTATACAACTGTTCTGAAGTGTTGGGTGAAGCTGAATTCAATCAAATCATTAATTCTGTTGCATCAGATGCTTGCTAAAGACAGCACTGCACTACCACAATTTCATGTCATCTTTCAAAATATTAGCAATTATTTATTTTCTGATTCATTTCAACTGTAAATACTTGTATAATAATAATAATAATAATAATAATTTTATTTGTATAGCACTTTTAAAAATAGAAGTTTACAAAGTGCTTTGACATATAGACATAAAGCACATAGAAAAAGAGAAAAACAAAAAGCTCAGTTAAAACGGAGTTAAAGGCCATTTTCGTGTCATAAGGTACCGAAACAATTCAAGAACCATGCAACATAATATGAAAAATATAAAATATATGTGGTGATCTATAAGTAATAATATTTAAGTTAGGTATGTATGTGGAGTTCTGAAATACTCGTAATCAAATATGTGATTAACTTACAAAATTGTGCGTTTTAATAGAGCAATGGTACATTTATATTATCCTAAATAATAATGCAAAATACTCAGTATGTCCACTTTCTGTAGCCACCCCTTTTGATATGTAACCTTTTAAAGTTTAAATGGGGCATATATTTACTTTGGTGGTTCAATGACTTAGTATGTATAATATTTGTACTCAGTGCAACACATATATAGTGGCCTTTTAATCTTATTTTCCTTCAAAATATAAAAACTTTGTGAAAAGAAACTTCATGTAGAGAATCAGCTTCCTTTGAGATGTGATATCAGGCTCAATCTATGACTTGTGTTAGAAAGTGTATTCTCATGATTATCCACTAGAGGTCATTGTCACACTGTAAGCACAGAGATATACAGGACCTCTGCCTCTCATTTCTGTCCTTTGTCTTTATGTTTTTATGTGCTTTGTCTTTAACTTAATAAAGAGACACTCAATTATAGCAAAGTTGACACACAGTAGATTTGTTCACTTACCGATATTAGAGGGAAACCAGCACATAAAGCGACTTTTTAACTATCGCTGCTAATATCCACTGGATGCTACTCAGCATTTCCGCATTGAAGGTGGAGACTTCAGGCCTGTTTGTGTTACGTTTAGGGAAGTTGCTCAATATCGGAAATTCACATTACACAGGACTGTTTTGACTCAGTTTCGTTATTTTCCTTTTCTTGAGGGGGGACAAACTCAATGGAGGACAAACACCAACCTCGACGTCGCTGCGAGTCTTTCAGTTAGAAAAAGAAAGAAACCTGTGTTAGCAACAATGAACAAGTCTGTGACTTCCTCTACCTACATCCGCAACCTCAACTATAGTTTACTCCGCAATCTAGCGGACTTCTTGGACCCTCAAGACAGATGGAAAGATATCATAGTGTCGATACGGAAGCCGGGAGGGGAGTTAAAATACTCTCAACACCATGTTAGGTGGGAATCTGTCTGTCTGTCTGTCTGTGTTTGTGTGTTTGTCAGTTTTCCTGTATATTTTACCTGTCTGTATTTTCAGGAGATTTGAATGCCTCATCGTTCAGGGTAAAAGTCCCACTGTGGAGCTGCTGACTGACTGGGGGACCACCAACAGTACAGTGGGCGAACTTGTGGACATCTTACTGAGTAACAAGTTACTGGCTGCAGCCGGTCTCCTGATACCTGGTAACATTTCTAGATACTAAAAGTGGTCACCAGTTAAACCAGTTAAAGTCATCAGACATCAAATGCCCACAGACATGCCCCCCACATGTTTTTATTGTTTCAAAGTTTTTCAAAAAAGCTTTTGAATTGTTTTTTTATAGTCTTCAAAGAACATTATTTATATATAGGGGAGAGTGGGGTAAGTTGACCATAGGAAACCACTCTTTTTTGTCATGCTATATTATAAAGTCAGTTATGTTTACACTCATTCTGTTGGTTTGCAGGGATGAAAAACATCCTGAAATATATGCAGATACACTAGTTAGAGACAAAGCTATGATTGCCTTGATGTAGTGATCTGAAATATGAAAAACGGCTCATCTTACCCCACACTCCCCTACTAGGTGTTGTACCCAAAAGTTAATTCACTTTTCCATTTTTTTTTCTTTTCTGTCAAGACGCTGCGGAAGAGTGCACCTGTGCATCACTACCACCAGTTTCTCCAGCACTTCAAGCATACAATGACTGTCCTACAAGAGTGCTGGATGAGGGAGATCCACAGCCACCACCTGCCAGCCCCGTGCAGCAAACACAGAGTCAACTTGAGACCACTGAAATAGGCCAACAAGGTGCTTGCAGTTTTTTTCCTACAGTTTAGTAAAGCCAATTTAGAATCTGATTTTTACACCTGAGTTACATTCAGTCACATGGTAAAAGAGGCTGGAAATTACATCATAGGGATACAGTCTTATGAAGTGATCTGATTCGGTGACTGAGAAGAGAGTGCGATGTATGTAGCAACAACTATCTAAATGACATTTTGACGTCCACAAAGTCAAAATTATAGAAGATATGCTTTTAATAAAAAATGATTACATAAATGCAGGCAGCAGCAGAGTAACGTAAAGTACAAAAATTAACATGTAAATTTTCTGTGATTTCTGCTTTAGATTTCTCCAGTTTCTTATACCATGAACTGATGAGGGTTACAGGCAACTTTGATGACCGGCCTATATCAGATGGCGGCTGCAGGCTCGGAGAGGGAGGCTTTGGCACTGTGTATAAAGGTCTCCTCAATGACAAACCGGTGGCTATTAAAAAACTCTGCCCAGTGAGTTAAAAAAAATTAAATAATTTCATTTGTATACCTTTGTCAATACTAAAAATCTCAACACATAATATGTTGTCTTTCAGGTAGATGACGTCTCAATATATGAGCTGCGGGTTCAGTTCGACCAAGAGATCCAAACTCTGAAAGCGTATGTCTCATCTTTGGTCTTTGTCATTCTGTTCGCTTTTGTGTGACTCAGAGCTACTTCATAACCATCAGACTTTATTAGCTTGGAGAGGCCGACTCTTTTTGAAACACACATCTTGATCCAAATAATGGAACTAGGGAGTAAAAGCAATAATAAGCAGAAGACTGCAGGTTTAATACCAGCAAACACCTTGTATGACGCAGACATACAACCAGTTAGAATTTCTGCTTAAGTCACATTGGAAAATACACATTTTTGTTCATACATGTTGTTAAGCATTATCCTGAGGTTTACGTCAATGTTCAGTGATGTTTGTTGGGAAACAAGCAAGAGAACGAATAGGCATATCTCCAAACATTGGTGTAAATCATGATTTATTGATGTGCAAACACAGATCTGATATGACAAGACTTTTCTTTCACAGGTTAAAACACGAACATTTGGTTGACATGGTCGGATTTTCCTGTGATGGACAGCACCCGTGTTTGGTGTATGTGCTGATGTCCAATGGGTCTTTACTCGACCGGCTAGCTTGCTTGGTAAGAAGCATCTCCCTTGCAGACTTTTGCATCTGAAGATGGCGTTCTTTCTTTGCGAAATAGAATTACTGAATAGAGAGAGAGGAAATGACAAACATCAAACGTTTACAGCCAGGAGTTGAACCAGCAGTTATCAAACCACTGGGCTAAAATAGCCCCAATTTCACAGACATCAATTTCTATAACATCCTAATGAAGATGGTTTTATTGTCCCATAAGGAAGGAAGTCCTCCTCTGCCTTGGCGACAGAGATGCTCAATAGCTGAAGGGACAGCCAGAGGCTTGGAGTACTTGCATAACAATCATCATGTCCACAGAGATGTTAAAAGGTAAATACAGATGTGTCTGTCTCCTTTACAAATATCTGCTCTGAAATGCAAAGTGCAACATTTTGAAATAAATACTTGTTGACTTTCCTGCGTATTTTCAGTAAAGACCGAACCCACTCTGAAAGCCCATTTATACTGAATCACATCATGCATCCTCTGCAAATCAAATCGCCATCTGATCTCACAGAGCAAATGCAGCCAGGGCGCATTTGGAGTGGATTGTAATATCATTTCCCAAACCATCTCTTAGACATAATCATGACATATGAAGGTCAAAAATAGTGGATGCACTGATCTTGGTATAAAAAATGTGAAAGGATATCGAGGATATTTCTGGACTGGATGTTGAAGATTTAATGTTTAAAAGTGAGCCCCAAACGAACGGGTTTGTGGATGTTGTTAGATTTGGCCGGAGCCAGAAGAACTGTCGCTACTCATTCTGCTATACTGAGCTAACTAGCTGCTAGCTGTTGCTTTACATTTTCCCATTAGACACAATTTTGGTGTCAATTTCCAAAACATAGACACACTCTAAATTTATGAATCAGGTTACGTGACTCCTTTATTTTTTTTCCTCAGTGCAAATATCCTGTTAGATGAAAATTTTGTGGCAAAGATCTCCGACTTTGGGCTGACAAGGGCGTCAGCCAAGCGTACATCGACAACCATGATGACAGAGAGGGTCGTGGGTACCCGTGCATACATGGCACCTGAGGCAATGAGAGGAGAGATCACTGCAAAATCTGACGTCTTCAGCTTTGGAGTGGTAGGCTTTCTCTCTCTCTCTCCACACACACACACATAGGGATATTATGTCAGGAAGGAAAAGTGCAGCAGTAATGTGAAATATTCAACATGACTCAGCAGTTTAGTTGAGTGCAAGGTTCTCCTAAAGTACTGACACATAGATAAATGCAGGATGCAAACATTACAGTATACATTTCTCTGCATTTGTGAAACAAGAGCTCTATTTTTTGTATCAGCTGTGGATTCCTAGTGCACAACTGTATCAGAGACTATAGTTTTCAAATGTTTAATCTAATGTCTGACATTGGGTAATGATTTATGGGCTCAGCAGCATTGCATTAAACAGTCTGTCCATCCGTTGACTCAGTATATCCAACTTACACTGTATGTCTTTTAGTACAGCTGTGAAAACACTGCACTATCTGAGATCCTGCTTGGCTCATGGACAGGTAATAAAGGTTTTCTGTCAACCAGGGCCATGTTATTAACCTCATCTCTCTGCCCTCTACAGGTGTTGTTAGAAATATTGTCTGGACTCCCGCCAGCCGCTGAAAACCAGGAGCCACAGTTCTTGGTAGGCAGCACAAAAGAGGCTTTCACTGCAGATCTATCAAGCATCACTTTAAGAGTACAGCATATTAAAGACTTAGTATTTAATAACTAAGGATATCTTATCTTGCGGTAGCCATTAGTGAGTAATTGTAAGGATTTGAGTGAGCGTTATCTGCGGTGACTCTTCTTTAAATGATAAAACACGAGGTCAAATTTGGAGTGTATGGCGAATGAAATCAGACTCTTAAAATCAAATTTATCTGGAGTGTAAAAGCACTTGAAACAAGGCAAAAATAGTGAATTTAATAGTTATTTTCCTCTCCTTCAGATGGAGATGAGGTATGATATAGATGACGAAGATGAGGACCTGACTTTGGAGGACTTCCTGGACAAAAAGATGGGAGATTGGGAGCAGAGCCACGTGGAGAGTATCTACTCTTTAGCCTGTAACTGTCTCCACGAGAGGAAAAACAGACGGCCAGTCATCAAACAGGTACAGTAAAGGAAGACAGATACTAACATTCACAGTGTAAGCCACTGTGTGAAGAGTCTGCACACACTGAAGTGAACCCTCATATTATTAGCTCCAGAGCACAGCTGTTCAGAGTTTTGGCCTGTTTGTATCTGGAAACGAATGAGCCACATTTTTCCATCTGGATTAGATAATCTGTCTTACTTTGTCCAGGCTTTTAAGGAATTCAAGGGTTATAACTGGGACGTCATAGCTGAAAGTTTGCCTACAGGGGGCACTAAAATCCACACAAACTGAAAGATCTTGGCAGCTGCTTTGAATTATTTTATGTCTGGTATGAGAAGCTATTTGGTGAATTCAGAAATCCTTCTTACAACTTTTCAACAACTCAAACTGAAGGTTTATCCAGTAAAAAAGCAAGATTGTGTCACCCTATCTGCTATGCTAATTCACTCTCGTGTGCAACTTGGTTTTCTTTGTCAATAAGTGTGGAAGAAAGTCCCAAACACCTCTTGACAAACCTCATCTAACTGACCCAAACTAGTGGTGTGTCGTTCGCGAACGATTCGTTCAAAAGAACCAAATCTCTTAAGTGAACGTACTGATTAAATCACTTCCTCGAGTGATTCGTTCGTTTCTCACTTCAGTTAAGCTGAAGTGAGAAACAGCATTGCCAGGCCAGCAGCCAGCGAACGAGGAACCACATGCACCGACACCTGAATCACTTGGTGAACGAATCACGCATTGAACTACACTCTCTGGAATCATTTTTGTTGTACAAAAGTACCTTTTCTTTAATTTTCACTGCTAAATTGCCATAACAACAACTTGCCTACAATAGGACACAGCATGTAACAAATAGTGCATTAAACCTGCAGCATCCTATCATTGCAACGGTTTGCGAGGGAACGGATTCTAGTGATTCAGTACATCTAAAACAACTGCCATGCCCCTCACTAACCCAAACTAACAATGTCTGGATCGTTTTGTTTATATGATCCAGCTGCCCGTCTGCCAGTCTGCAGCCATGTCTCAGTCTCATTGATTTGACTGGAGTCTTGGGTATTTAAAAAAAACAAAATTATAATGTTCAACCTCAGTGAACACAGCAGCGCACATTTGGTGCATAGTTAAGAGTTTACAGCTGTGAGAAAAATGCAGGACGAGTTTAGTTAAGTTCAAAATAAACTCAAGCTCCAGTTTGGCTTAAATTGTATGTTTGGGTGGGACAATGAAAGTTTAACAACAGAGGAAATCTATGATGCACAGCTTTGGCTACACAGACAATATCTGTGAGTGGGAGCAATTCATCTGGTTTTTCTCTTCTTTGCAAAAACTTGCTTTTTCCCTTATTTAATAAATTAGAAATGCAAAACCAATGCTGTATTCTGGTTCCTTAATCAATCAAGTAAAAAACACAAAAAATTCACGTTCAGCGTTTGAAAATTCTCTGTAAAGTTTTGGCAGGTTATTGGCCAAACTGCTGACTGTGAACGAGAACAGGCCTAAGCCTCGTATAGAGTTTGGATCAAATTTGAGGTTTCACTCTGTATGAACAAGATACTCTGAAGCATGTATGATAACTTGTAACTCAATAACAATATCTATGTTAACAGGTCCTGTTGGAGATCAAAGGAGTGGTCAAAAACTTGTCTTTGGACTTCAAGGCTTAGCAGTGAAACATCCCAGAGAAGAGACGAGATTTCTGAGCCGTTTTTGTAATGTTTGAACTGACTGAACAGGTTTGAAGGAATGATTGTTTCATAACTATATTTTTTTTATAAATGAGACAATTTTTTGTGTTTTTTAATGTATTTTAGAAAAGAAGTGCCTAGCTTGGTTGACAGCTGTATCTATCCTGCATCATGTTGAGGCTGTTTGTCAGAGGGTTTGATGACAAAACAGCTTTTAAAAGGTCAAAACAATCACCTGCACTGGTACCCCTATGTATTTATAACGATGACTGTTTAAAAAATAAATGTTTGAAACCAAAAATGTCTGATTTAAATATTTTATTTCTTTAAAAGAAAGATTTGTAAGAAAACAAATAAGACCAAACATGATTTTTTCTATTATACTGACACTATGGATATAAAGGGGTTTTCCCTTTAATCATGAGGTGAGCGAAGTAGTTTGCCTAATATTAATCAGTAGAACAGTGGATGTGGCAACATTTCGTCAAAGGTACTTGTAGTATTCCCTTTCCTCTCAGGTTGCTTGGCTTCCCTGTAGTATGAGAAGCAGCAAAGTGTGAGTAGCTTCCCCTCAGTGAAATATGAGATGTATTGACATAATATTTCTGGAAGCCCCGGTTCTTCCCACTGTGATCCTCACTGACACTAAACAATCACCAGAACAGAGCAGACTGTTTCTTAATCATAGAGCATCACACAGCTACAATATGTACATTTACAGCACTTGCATAGAAAAATAAGTTTCTCAGCAGATGATTTTTTTTCTTTCATGTAAACCACAGTTATATCAAAAAAGAAGTCAATTTTTCCAATATAAAATGCACTGTTAAAATGAATCAATAGACACATGAGGGATGGTTATTCTTTTCTGCTTTGGAGCACCTCATTGTGCAAACAGGACACAAGTTTTGGACACATTAGACACAAAACATTAATTGACACAGACTTAAGGAATGCAATTTAAGAACTTGAGGATGTGAACTTAAAAAGGGGGGGTTCATTTTCTATTGGCGCGTGTTCACATTAGCACTGACGTTTGTTAAGTTTCAGAGCTGGCAATAACAGAAACTCAAGAGTGACTTAGTATGAGCCTCTATCAATCACTGTTAATTCATTTGGGTGACTGTTCACGTATACAAGTATGATTCCATTTGGCAAGCTACAAATGGAGATTCTGCAGTGTCATTGCTCAGTTGTCCTTGGCGTGCATAGTTGGATCTCTGGTGAACTTTGTGGGAATTTGAATGTTGTCTTATTCTTTTAAAAAACAAAAGCGTGACAATTATGATCTCCCCCATCACAGGAATGTTCCACTGTGGAACGTGCTCGGAGTGGAGGCGGTGGTCAGGTGTTGAGGTCTGTTTAATCTTCCTCCTCTCCCTCTGCAGGTGGTCGGGTGATGCGGCGGTTTCCCCTCTTTCCCGCGGGGCCTTTCGGCTTGGCGAAGGCCTGTTTGTGTGCATGCTGCTTTGGATGCACCTCCTCGTATAGGAAATCACTGGTCAGGTCATCCCCGTTGTCAATCTCCAACTAGGAAAGAGGCAAAATAATGTCCATTTGTTACAAGTGTATTTTTACTGTTTGAAAGTAAGAACATAGTCTCGGTGGTGTCACCCTTTGGTTCTGAATTTTCACTAAACACAGACAGTCAAAGAGGAACAAAAAGGGGTGGGGTAAGATGAGAAGGTGTGGGTGCAGGTGTGTGTGTAGAAAAAGGAACTAGGCTGAAGTAAGGTGAGCATATTTAAGTACTGTATAAGAAAAAAGCTTGAAAAAAGATGTACATATATGGTAAAATAGTACACAGTCTACTTGAAAAGGGTTGTGTATTACCTTGAATTCAGTAACACTTTATATAAACCCACCACTTATTATGCATTATAAGCACATCTATGAAGCTTTATCAATGCATTAATAAGGCTTGAACACAACCTTTAGAAATAATTAGGGATGCACGATATTTATCGGACCGATAAAATATCGGCCGATTTGGGGGGAAATTACGTCATTTTTTATCGGTCCGATAGGTGCATTTTTCCGATAGAAAGATCCGATATATTAATGAAATTACGAGTAACGTTTGCAGGCGGAGTAGCCGCCCGTCCGAGACGCGCTGGTTAAGTCATCTATCGCGCCTTACTCGCAGGTCCCAAGCCTGACCCCGTCAATACCTGACAGATAATAAAATGTCTTCACCAGCGTGGTCTTTTCTCTCAGTGGCAGAAGATGACAACAGCATTGCTATATGCAAAACCTGTTCAGCGAGGATTCCGAGAGGAGGAAAGAAGACGTCAAGTTTTAACACAATGAATCTGATAGCTCATCTGAAAAGTCGCCATCGCGGCGAAGCGGTATTAAAAGAATATGAGACAGCCGCCGAAGCTGCTAGCAGTACTAAAGCTAAGACAACAACACTACGGAGGATCGATGTCCCCATTCAGCAGGCGTTTAAAAACTGCAAAAGCTTCTCAAGAGACAGCGAAAAGGCTAAAGGCATTAACGACAAAGTGATGGAGTTCATAGCGGTCGACGACCAGCCTTTTTCCGTCGTTGAGAACCCGGGTTTTCGTAAGTTAATAGCACACTTGGAGCCACATTACACTCTCCCAAGCCGCCGCTTCTTCTCGGATGTGTCTCTTCCTGCACTCTATGATATTGTCGCCACATACATCCACAACCTGATCGACAAGAACGGACTACACGTGAGTTTTACCACAGACATATGGACGTCAGATGTTAGTCCGGTCAGCATGCTAAGCCTAACGGCTCATAATAGCTCCTTTACAGTTTACAGTTCTGTTGAACAGTTCAGGGGATCAAATGAAGTTCTGCTTTTTGCTCTGTTATTGTTATTTATAGCAAATGACCACATTTGAAGAGCCAAAAACTTTTGTTTGTTGTTCTAGATAGGCCAGAGCAACAAAAACATCAGTTTTCAATCGCTGCATCCTGCACAAACTGCGGATTATATGAAGATTATAATAAATGTAAAAATATGAATTTATCGGTTATCGGTATCGGTATCGGCCATGAGAAGAAGAAAATTATCGGTTATCGTATCGGTTGAAATTTTTCATATCGTGCATCACTAGAAATAATTAAAGCATTCATAACAACTTATGGCAAATTTTATGATGAGGATCGACCAATAATCAGCTCGGCTGATAATATCGGCCAATAATCATCATTTCTACAATGATCTGCATCAGCCGTTTTTCCCACCATCAGCCAATAAGTTCATTTCAAAATGCAGCCTGAAGTCACGATTCTTGACTGTCCTAACTGATTGGCCACACAGACAGCCAATCAACACTCAAGCTTCTAGTGAGTAACAGAGTTCATCATATAAGATCCCGGCACTTTTTGTTGTTTTTGTTGTTAAGACAATAAAACAATTGTTTGAACCTTTCCAACAAAGATTTTCAGCTTATTATACAACAGTTTAAGGTCTTTTTTTATCACAGATTTACCAAGTGTACAAAACAAACAGTGTACTGTGTTCAGTTTAATCCCTGGTGTGTTATCCAAAATTTTGATACCAAAATAAACATTTTACTGCAAACGAATATCAGTTCTAAATATTGCTTTCCTTGATTACTAATAATCGCCATTGTGTCGGGCCTAAAACATATTGGTGGATCCTTGTTTTATGAGCACTTAAATTCATTGATAAGAGTTAATCAAAATGCTAATAATGCATTTTAAGTGGTGGGTTTGTATAAAATGTTACCAGATTTTCAGTATTTGAAGAAATCACCCAATCATGAAAAACTTCATAAAAATATATAAACTTTGGAAATCGTGTCATACTGCTGACCCTGGCTCTTACCTTCTTTTCTATCTCAATCTGGAGAGTTCTCTCCACCATGTCAATCAAAGGATTTTTGCAGCTCGAGTACAGCATCCTGTCTCGGATGCTACAATTGTACCCAGGCATGGAATAAATGAAGACTGCAAAAGAGAGAGAAAAAAAAGAACAGTTTGATAAAGACACGGGCGTGCAGAATAATGGTGGGTGTGACAGCTGCTTGGAGTAACTTGTGAGAAAATGGTCACCTGTGGACTCCAGATAGTCGCCTTCGTGGGAATGTTTGTAGAGGAAGAAGTGGTAACGAGGGGCATCTTTACAGATTCGACTTGGCAGGTCTTTCACCTCTGTTGGCTCAGTGCTAGACAGGCGAATCAGCTCCTGCTCAGCGTCGACTTCCTGTTGACAGAGGAAATAAAGGAACTCTCAAGTTAGACGGTCTTTTTTTAAAAATAGACTTTCTGTGGTTTTCTGAGGATGCTACTTCTGAACAGCCTTCTTATTTTGATATTTTTTATCTTAGTATTTGGCGTTCATCTTACCTTTCGTTTAGCCTTCTTAATGTCACATTTTAGAATTATCGTGTAACTGATAGTATTAAAGAGTTATCTCATTTTACCTTATTCTGCATCACAGTGAGCTTATGAAAGCATATATTTATGGCTGTGAATGTAGATTTAATGACTGTCTGTGGGGGTAGTGAATCACAAACCATTTCCCCTCCCTCTCAGGTATGTCCAAGTCAAACATTCACTAAACATTTGTGCTGCTCAGCAGTTTAATGGAGCTAAACACGCGGCTTCCTTGAAAAGCTTTCAGGATAACAAACAAAAAGGGAACAAATACAAAGCTGCAACCGTGCCACAGTTATCTCTTTGTACTATGCGCTGATCTGATCTTGTGACACGGACTCTTTGAATTACAATGAGAGGAACAAAGGCTTTTTGGGCAAAAACGGGTGAGTCATTGTGTCTGTGTGCCAGCGAATCCCGGCTGAAAACATCCCTCTCTCTTAGAACAAAGTGTGAAAACAAACAGAGAATTGATTTGCTTATTCAAACCTCTAAACTGACAAAGGTCCCTGCTTTCTAATGATTTCCTCTCATTTACTCACCAGGCGTACATAGTTGAGTTTTTTGTCCCTATAACGTTGGAGTGCTGCAACAGCGTCTTGGTGCAATGGGAAGGCCACTCCCTGCAGGGTCGCATGTTTGGTGTCCACACTGATGTCTGTCTGTACCTGAACACACACAAACACAAGAAAAACAACAACACACTTTACTTATTTGCTGTACCGCCATGGTAACAACAAAGCATGACATTACAGCAACTTTAATTGTATCTGAGTCCAAAATAAAATGACTCTTCGTTGTTGTTTACATCCATACAACAACATGCTTGTGAATTGAATGAGACATCCTGTGAGTTTGTAGTTTCCATCATGTTTTTTTTATTTTGAATGTGTCTTATACAATGGCCGGGAAGTGTCAGGAGGTTTGCATATTCAAAACGCTTTGCGAAAGGAAAAAGCACAATTGCAAACAGCCATGACACGAACGCAAATAACAACACCAGAAGTAATCTCGCAGCAGAATCAGAAATGGGCAAACTACCGCCAGCGTTTCTGACAGACTATTACTCATGACGGACAGATTGATTATTTGCGTTTGTGTTGTTGCTGTTTTCACACTTTGCAGCAGTTGTCTCAATACCATGGACCATATGTAGAGCTGAGCAATTAATCAGATTTCAATTGTAATTAATTATTAATTATGTAATTAATTGTAATTACAGTTTTGCCCCCCCCCAGGGTTATAAAAATATTTGGATCAAGATTGAACAATATTAAGCCGCCTGCTGTGTTGTCTTATGCCTTGAATAAAGCGGATTCTTCCTTTTTTTCCTTTAACAGCAGAGCGTGAATGTGGCCCCTCCCCTCAAACAGCTTGTAAGGATCTCTAGGTCGTGTCCACACTTGAAAGAATGAAAGATCCACACGAATGATCAGTTCGACAAGCTTTACTGGTTGCAGATCTGGGTTACAGCTTCAGCTTGAGTGATGTTAAACTGGAGGTTTGTGGCACCAAGAGTCTAGTTCCAAAATATCTGTGATATTTGAAGTTACAAAGCTCAACCAACCTAAATGCTGACCTGACTGGCTGAAGAAAATCATCCTAACATAGCTCTTACTTTCACTTCACTGAAAGCAGCTCGGGTCGATGTGAAACGAACTTCAAGAGCACAAGGAAGTGGTGTCTCCCACTAAGGTTAACCACTGAATTCTCATGATATATCTCGATATACTGAGCACTTTACCTTAATTACGATTAATGGACGATAACTACTCCACAAGCTGCTCACCCCCTCCCACATTAACTTTGTCTACTTTAGCCACCGCTCCAGCTGCTACAACTTTTGAACCGTCCTCCATCTCCTCGCCTGTCTTTCCCTCTTTGTTACCGACTGGATGTGGTGGAGTCAAGTCTCTGACATAGGACAGTGTCTTAAAGGGACATGAAACCACTTTTATTTATGTTTTTGACGCGGAATGTATTGACATGGGCGAAATGACGTCTGTTATTGTTGTAAATTTTAGTATCGGTAAATTTTCGGTTTAACGCCCAGTCTTAATGTGCCGTCCATGGCATCCGTGTGTGATGGAATAAGCATGATGAGGGAGAGCATGTCACAAGTGTGTCAGTAAGCACTTTAATTAGCCATTGACTTGCAGACTAAAAAGTAAGAGACATTTTAAAAAAAAAGACCAATCCTGATGTTATAGGGGACATTATACAAAAGTAAGAGAAGGCCAGATGATTTGTTAGATATGAAGCATGTGATGAAGTTGCAGTAGAGGAACTCAGATCCTTTTTTTTTTATGACACACTGTGTAAAAATACCTCACATACGAAACCTGGCACTAAATTTAGCAAGTTTAATCACCAAAAAGAAGCCAAAGCCCTTTAAGTGAAATGAAGAAGTGATACGTGGATCTGACGTGAAACTGACACCACTTGATAACATATATTTTCATGCAGTTGTTTATTATAATGCATGAAAATATACAGAAAGTACTTTTAAATTTAACTCTTTTCTTCAAATTCAATCATATACGGTTGAACCACCAGCCATGCTCACAGGTGGCCTCACAGACCTGTGCAACCATTCTGAATTATCTTAACCAAAGAGTTTAAATATGTACAAACAGGAACAACAAGCAGAGAAGAAGCTCTGTGATGATGAATGAGGTGCTTGTATCGGAAGTGACAACGCTCCTCCACTAAATCACATGTAAAAATGGAAACACTAAAGGGGATTACACTGATGGATTGCATCTATTTTTAGAGCTCCTGTTCCCACAAAATGAAACGCCGTGCGAACGTGATCGAGCCTTTAATGTAGTAACCTCACTTACAGAAAAGGACTGCGGCTCTTTTATCCATCTGCTTGGTAAAAAGGCGGGCAGTCTCCAAGGCACAGCAATGATAAATATTTCAAAGCCTCTTTTTTTTTCTATCAAGCCGGTACAGATTAATGGTATATTATCTTCCTTCAACAGCTGGACTAGTGGGACGAGCACAAACCTCATTTCCTATTTGCTCTGCAGCTTCTAATTGACCAAACTCTGAAGAGTGACTGCAGCACTCAAAGCATGTCTATATATGGCCAGAAAGACAGCTTTTGTTTGTGTGACAGTTCTGGGAAAGCAGCAAGTAGTTTTTGTTGATGTTTTCTTTTAAATTTAATAGAAAGAGCAGCTTTCTGGGGTTAATCTGTAGGAATAATCTCAACTGCAGCTTTTTTTAACTGTATCACATCCTGAAGGCTCCTCATAACAGCAGCAGAAACACTGCTGGCGTCAACAGCAGCAGGGAGAGGATATCATATTGCAGTTTTTCATCATCTCACCATTGCAAACAACAAAAACGCAATAACCCCGCTCACCTGTGTCCGAGCAAAATCACTGCAAGGACTCAAATCTGCAGAGCACTCAGGTTTGCATGCCGCTCCGTTTATATCTGCACACCTGCAAAGAGCTCTCCTTAAACACTTTGTTGCTCTAGCTGCTTTCGGTTTATGACTGTAAACACAACTTTTTATGGGGCTCCGGGTGTGAGCTGCGCAGGCCTAATAGATCCGTCTCTGCCAACATCCTGCTGTTCCAACGCATCAGCATCTTTGCGGTGTGTTGATACTGCCGGGCAAGCATATGCACCCTCACACCGCTGCTGACCTTGTGCTGTTTTGAAGGATGCATCGCTGGCCTTCATTGATACTCCACATGCTTCAGCGGGGATTTAAATCTCTCATACAGGAGGTGCGATGAGGAGGGATACTGCTTTAAGCTGATGTAAGCTTTTTTTTCTCCCCCAGCTGCAGACATAACTGTAACAATGACGTATTGTTCACCCTTTCAGAGTTGAAGCCAAATCCACACCCGCTTCAAACTGGAGAGCATTGTTCCCTCTAAAATGACCTCAAACTGAAACCATGACCAAGAAATGAAATCTGAGTGACCTGTGCATTTGTGTGTTTTTTTGTGTGTGTGGGTGTGTGTGTGTGTGTGTGTACCTCATTCAGTTTAATCTGCCTCAGTTCCTCCTCTGCAGCAGTAAGAGGTAGGGGAGCAGCCTGCGAGGTCAGATGTTTCTTGTATCCACTGAGAGACAATTCTTCCTGGGGGCCAAAAAAAGAAGAAGAACAATGCCACATCAAACAGCAAAGAGACTGACTCACTCAGACATCATTACTCATTTCAGTCCGCCATGAGAGGAGAGGAACAAAGCTTGACATGGTTTATGTTGATTTCCAAAGGTTTTGGCCTTGCATACAGAGCAAAAAAGGGGAAATGATGGGGGTCCTAAGGTGCTTTTCAACAACAGGAACTTTCCACAGTTACCTTTTGAGGAACTTAATGCCATTCAATTCAAGAACTAGGGTCTAAACCTAGTTCTAAGCTAACTGATCTACCTCTTGAAAGGCTGTTGCTAAAAAGGTGTGACTTGCCAGAGGTCCAGGAACTTTGGGGGTCAAGTCTACAGAGAGTCTTATTTACATTAAAAAATGCAAGTCTATAATTAACATATGAAATACCAGTACCTCTGCAAACAGTAGAGGTTATGCTGGAATATCTCTTGTTTGTGGTCCTTGTTTAGATTAAAAACAGCTGTTTAATTCTGATATTTACGTTTATTTGTTGTTGGTATGAGTAACTATTTTTAACAAAAGTTCAGCCTGAATTTGGTTTCTATGCCATTTGCCTGATTTGCATCTTCACAGGACTTCAGGCTGTGGTGGAAAAAGACGACAATGGATCGCTGTAATCATATCCTTGTTTGGTTGACAAGCATCTCTATTAACAAAAACTCTTATTTAAAAAAAAGTGAAGCCAAACAGACAAAAAAAAAAAAAAAAACAGCTCATATTAAGTTACTCAAGAGGAGCAACCAGTCCCTGATAAAGGGCTGAAATCACACTCTTTATAGAATAAACATAAATGCAAATAAAGGTTTGATAACAGATAACTGGATGCAAAGAAAGACAATAAAATAATAAAATAAAATCGCAGCAAATCAGACATGTTCAATTCTTCATTGTAGCCTCTAGGGTGGAGAGTTTTAAGATAGGAGAAATACTGTATAAATATCTGCATTCACACGATTTTAAGATTTGATCCACGTCTTCATCACAAGTCTATCAGGAATCATAATGTTTATGCTGCAGAAAACTACATCAGCTAGAGAACGACTGAGTCCTGAAACAGCTGAGTTAGGATCACCTTGGCAACCAGAACTTTTATGTTGTTCTGTCAAATCTGGAGTAGATTTCACAGATATAAATAAGGCAATTTAATACCTAGTTTGTCATCTCAAAAGTAAGCTGCATCCCATACGCCAGTGCAACCAATACATCATGTAGAGAGTTATTTTATTGTGTTGCGATAAATAATGCAGAGGATAGTGCTGAAGCGAGCAACTGCTTAGATATAGAGTGAGGAAGAAGATTCGAGCAGCCTCTCTGTATAACAGCTTTTCTCCTTTATTAGGTCATAATCATGGGTTTAAAGGAAACAGCAGTAGATTGTTGAGTAAATGAACTTACCTTTGCGGTGGCGAAAATCTCATCTTTGATGTGTCCCCCTCCAAACTCTTTCTTCAGTGTGGCTCTTGTAGCAGCATATAACATTTTGTTTCGCACCTGTAGACAACGAGAGGACAACTCAGACTCCTTTAAAAATCAGAAAATCTGGAACTTCATGTTTGGAAATTTTACATTTTAAACTATTTTGCTCAAAAAGCATTTTAACATCTGTATTTTCAGAAAAAAAACATTCGAATAAAGGGAATGGGGACCGGACATGAAAATATTTTCTTCTAGGTACACCAGCGTCAAAATCATCTCTACATCTATCTTCCCTCTTCAGAGACAATTTGCAATTTTCAGGCTATACCAATTTAAAAAATAAAAAAGACTCATCAGAGGAATAAAAACACACTTAAGAGCTTGAGTCATCAGTAGCGTGCACTGGCTCTGAAATTATTCTGCAACTTCCAGACAAGCCTCGACCTGCAGCTCACAGCTTTAGGCTACAGGGCAGGAATGTTAAGCTCATATCTTGCAGAAAGGGAGTCTGGATTCATTTCCACCGTGCATTTAGAGCTCTACAAATACCCTGCATGGGACTTTATATTGGCAATGGCCTCTCCCTGCAACATTCCTCTTCCTACTGCGACAGAAACAACATTAGTCATGTTTATTTAAAATCACTGTGACTCTATCACACAAGTGGTTCATCAAGTTTTGAGTGGAACTAAATGACTTTGGTGACACCAAATGAGTTCAGAACATTTGCATAACAGGGAAACGACACAGGAGGAAAGATTGCATCAACAAAGAGCAGTGAGAGGGTGGATTGTAAACCACAGGGGGGAATGTTTAGACTAAGCACCAGGTTGTGTCAGAGCACCATAATCTACCCCCCATATTTAGGTTTCAAGAGGTCTGGTCCACGTTTAGCTACATATTCAACAAGCATGCTGTTTTGATGTGGTAACCCCACCCAACTGATACTCCGACCAGAGCAGTACAAATACCAGGCAGCATGGAAAGCTAGTCATTAAATCCCGTCAAGGGTTGGTTCCCTTACAGAAGCGTTGTCCGGCGACCAGGCCAGGAAGATCCACTCATAGCCCTGGTTGTTGGTGGAGTCCAGTCGATACAGAACATAGCAGGGCACATCATCCTCGAGGAGGGGCAGCACTAAACCATCGTACTCCTGTTCCCACTTCTTTGATGCTTTCCTGGTAGCACCCAGAGTCAGCTGCTCTGGAAAGCAGATGTGCGCAAGAAAAATGTCAGCAGTGTTTGGATTTGTGAGTTGTGTTGACATTCCTCAGTCGTCTTTAGCAGACGTTCTGTTGGACATAAAATAAGTTTTCTTTCTGAGAGAATCTGTAAACAAACTCCAGGACTGCTTACCCTCCTCGATGATGATTTTCAGGGCTCGAAATTGTTCCCCACACCTGGCATTAGCAAAGACATCCTTCACATCATTGCCCGCTGAGGAGAGACAGAGACAGGATCAGTCTGTGGCTGTTTTGAGCCGATACCTGCTAACATGGCCTTTTTTGGCTCTGGATTACAAGTTTCCATGTCAAGGGGAGGTATTTTTGAAGCACATTTTATATCTGAGGGTAATCCAAAAGGCTCTGCAAAGTAGACAGGCAGCTGCAAAAGAAACACTCAGATATCTCAAAGCTTGGTGAATCTTAATAACCTGTCCACCAAACAGATGTTAGCATTATGAACACAGAACTATGTTTTTAGGGAACTTTGCTGGCACAGAGCTCAGTTTTATTTAACATTTAAAGCAAAATGTTACATGTCTCTTCCTGACTTTGAGGTTATTGTATGGAAGTAAATCTGTGCTATCTGATTTTGAATTTGAATTCCTAAAGCAGATTTTTTTTAGCATCGAAACCAGACTTTGTGAAAAAAATTTGTGTCAGAAATAAAAATGCGTGCTTGAAATTCAATGAGGAAATAAATTCAGTGTAAAAAAAAAAGTCTCTCAAATATTTGTTTGGTAAAAATTTGACTTAAAAAAACTGTAAAAAAAAAAAAAAAAAAAAAGCAACGTAAAAAAAAAAAATCAGTGTTAAATATTTCAGTGTCAAAAAATTCAGTGTAAAAGAGACCAACTCAACATCTGGGTAACCAGGGAGAAGCAATCGATTTGATTCAATCTTCCACTGGAGTCGGTGCCACATGACCAATCTAGCATTATCTGATTGGCTGGGTGATGGATGATTGAGCCAGGAATCAATTGCTTCTTCCAGGTTACCCAGATATTGTACATTGCCTCTTTTCAGTGAATACTATTACATTTACTGATCTTTTTTTCTTGCACGCCTGTCCTTAAACGATGTAATATCTATTATTTCTGACATAACAGAATATTATAATTGACTACATTAAATCATTTATGGTCTGAGGAAAACGACCAAACTAAATTCAAATATACCCTTTTATTTAAACGTACCATATATGCCAGTGAAACAGATATGTACACATAGGTTAATTCTCAAAGCTGTGGGTTAAACTCATTAAATGGCTTCTTTTTTTCTCTTGAAGGTGGCACACATATCGATGACTCACATTCACTTAAGAAACAAAGTAAAGAAAAGGCAAGATCCCTTTTCACATAAAAGCAAAGGTTACGACTGTTAGTGCTTACTGGGGCAGTTAAGAGACAAGAGTAACACCAAAGCAACTGAATTTTCTTTTTTAAAATGCATACTTGAAATCCGACAGTTTTGAAATTCTGAGTCTGATTTTGATGCAAAAAAAATTCAGGTTTAGAAATTAAAATTCAAAATCAAATGGCACAGATTTACTTCCATATTATCGGGTGTCAATCAACATCACATAGAGGGCTATTCACCTTTGATCTGGAGCTCAGCGACAAATAAAACCTGATCTACTGGCATTCACACAATAGGTCTTACAGATTTAAGCTGCAGTGACTCTGCAGTTTCCCTCATGCCCATGCCAAAAGTGAGGAAAATTTCCACTTATAGAAGCAGATCCGTGTATCACTGCAATATGATAGCTGTTATGGATAAATCCTCCACTTTAACTCTCTTGTTAAACAGTCCAGTCATGTTCAGAACAAGATGAAATTATTATACTGAGATTAAATCAACATTTTGTACAGTTTTAAAGGACACAACACCTGGTATTGATCTTGCATTCAAATACCTGATAATAATTATTAAACCAGCCCTGATCAGTCTCAGTGGTGACATTTACACTCTGTCTTTTATTAACTCTCCTAATTTGCACCTTCTTCTTCTGTACTAAAACAGACTGTGAGGACTTGTGTAGTTTCTGCTGCCACATACAGGAGGACATTACGCCTTACTCAAGTGATTTCTTGTAATTACACAGTGCAGGTTAAACCAGGGCTCTCCACATGTTTATAGGAACACCAGCTGCTCTCCTGGTCAGTAGTTTGTTTAAATGAAGGCGTCGCCCATCCATTCAAAAGCTTTAACTTCACATTACAGGGTTTCAGCTCAGAGGCTATTGCAACAAAACGCCCTGTAACACTGCGATAAAGAGAGTACAGTCCAGTCGTGATTTTGGTAACCCGTAAGCTACCTAAAAGCTCAGGGATTATGATTCAGTCCTTAAAAGTGCCCAAACAGGGCACCGACGGTCACACACATCACGGTAGCTGAGAGCTAGCTAGGAGTGGCTAGCTAACTTGTCGCTAGCTTCTCGTTGGAATGAATTGTTGCAGGTTGTTAAAGCTCAGCCGGGGGAAACACTCCCACACAGAAAATCAGCAAAGTAGAAAAAGAGCTAAAGCAGGCGTAAACAAATACCTTGAATGCCCGTTTGATGTGACATTGTGTCTTCGTCGGAGAGAGAGAAGAGCTGATGCAGCTGATCAGGCGAAACCAGGGCAGAGAAGCAGGAAGTGGACTACATCGACGAGACCTGCCCAGCGAGACTGACGTCGCGATCAATATTACATGACGTAGACGAAACATTTTTTATACCAAAATATTAAATGTAAAAAAAAAAAGAAAAAAAGAAATGCAATTGTTTGAATTATTCACCTGGTTAAAATATCACAGAAGTGCTCAGCAAAAAAAAAAAGAATAAAAAAAAGAAAATAAAAACTAAATTTCTGCACACATTTTTCGGGAAAAATTGAGTCAAATACTTAAATAACTCAAACTATCCAAAATAATACCATAAACCAGGTTGCAGTCTGACAAAAATAAAAATTATGTTACGCCTATTGAGCAGGATTTTATTTATTGCATTTGTTCATAAAAAATGCATTTTAAAAATGATTCTTCTTATTAAAACCTGCGACATAATAGATCATAAAACTGCTCAGCAAAAAAAATAAATAAATAATAATAATAATAATAATTATAAAAATCTAAATTTCTGCAGAGATTTTACAGGAAAATTTGGGTCAAATTTACTCAAACTGTTCAAAATAATACCACAAGCCAGGTTGAGGTCTGACAAAAAGAAAAATTAAGAATTATTATCTATTGAGCAGGATTTTATTGTTGTGATCCCTGCTTAGGAAAGGGTCCTTTTAGAAAAGGAAAATTCCCCATAATAACTATACCTTTGGCAGGATTGAAATACACCAAGACAACTGTAAATAATGGTAGTGTAGCAGTAACACTAGAATGGAAACTAGAAGGAAATTTTACTCAGGTTGAATATCGTAAATTTAAAAATACCGTTTTTTGTATTTAAGATTTAAAAGTGTTCACAGGAAGGCTTCAATGAGATAGTGAAAGCATATGAAACATATGAGGTTGGAAACGCTTAAGCATCCCTGAGCGATGATGATTAAAGGAAGTCGTTCTGATTTATGATAACGGGGAGATTTCCGCCTCACATGGTAGCCGATCCCACTTGGCGTGATATCCTGCAACATCTGGAAGCCACCGGGCTTCCTGTCCCTCCTACACCTCATTTGAGAAATAAATAAATAATGAATGAATAAATAGATTCTACAGCAGCAGAATCATCCAGTCATAAACGGGAATCTCTGGGTAGTATAATAACAGACGCAATCACGGCTATACCGGAAACAGTGCAAGCTTGCCTTCAAAATAAAAATTTGTAATGTAACATTTGATAATAATTACAATAATCCTCTTATAGCTAGAATTTGGGCCTTCAGTCTAAAAAATTCTGGTCTTAGTGATATGGAACACACAATTATATATAAGTTATAACATTTGTGTCAGGAATTCTTCTGTCTGCCGGACTTCAATTCATCAGTTTAAAGAAATAGATACTGATTTTCATAATAACCTACATGACTGAAAAATACTTAAAGCGACTAGTGATACATGTATTTTGTAATTAAAACATATTTACACATCTAATTTAAAAGTAACACATTAAATAACCTATGGCAAAACAACTAAACAATAGCTGCACCAATGTTGCCTTTATACTCCAACCACAGATCTGTGTCCATTCAATAACAGTCTGTACAGTGTCAGTCTCAGAAGGTTTTAGAAACTCTAAATCAAATAATTTACAAATTCTGAACAAACCCGCATACCCATATACGCCTTCTTTCACACCACTTACTGAGAAAATCAACATTATTTTTGCACCAAACATTGATTCAGAAATGACTATTGTTTCCAAAAACTCGAAACATTTGCCACAGTCTAAAGCTGGTTATTCACTCCGTAGACCAAAATGAGCTGTTTTCACTAATTTAACATGTTCAGTTTAATGTTTAAATGAAGTATTCTGATTCAGATATTTATTTATTATTATATACTTTTTTATTTTACTTATTTTTAAAGTCCTCCAGTGTGAGGCAAGTCACGTCGCTACAAACACTCTCAACTTTCCAATGGTCCACTATCAAAAATCATTTACTACTGCTATGGACTGTTGCTGGGACAGTCACAATGAGGTTGGCCAAACAGGCATGTAATAAAAAACACTAAAACTTCATTTGAAACTTATATCTTAATGCACCTGTAGTGTGTTTTCAAAACAACCATAGACGTAAATGTATATACTATAGGCAACTTGGTCCCTCCTTGCGTCAGTATACTCTCGGTATAGCTCTCAGTATTTCCGCGATCTTTCTCGACTTCCTGAAACAAACACTGCGCAGTAGCGTTGTACGCACTTTACCACTTGCGCAGTAGCATTGTACGCATTTGGCGGGAGAGTCGCCGAGACTCGCTGTGATGATGAACACCCTAATAACTTTTAAAAACGGAGCTGTACAGAAAAAAGAGGACTTGAGCACAAACTAGTCTTTCAGTAACTACATGTCAACATCGCAAGCAGGAGGGAGAAAAAAATATATTCTGTGTAATCAAGTTTTAAAGTTAAGCTTTGCTGGAGGAGGCGAAATTTACTGTTTTATTTTGAAATTCACCAGCGGAAGTGACTCATTTGCGTCTACTCTACCTTAACACTCATGAATCAACGTGTTTGGCTGGATTGCGTTGTGCCGATGCCGTGCGTGCGTGCGCGGTGGACTCATACATCTCCATCCCGTCTCCAGCTGCAGCAGCATCGGTGCCCCAACCACTTCCCGGAAATCTGCTCTGTCCGCCCGGCGGGAACCCGCTGACGAAGCGTCGCCCGGCTGAGTTAGCCTGCCCGGCGGCGCATGGACGCTCCAGCACAATGGCAGGGGATTTGGGGGTGCCTCTGTTGTATATCAACAACAGGTCGCATGGATAATTCCTGCACAATCCTACCGTATCATCTCTGCTTTGGGATGCTTAGTGCGCCGCTGTCGGCTTGATGTGGCAGGAGAGCCGTGCAGGAGCGGGGCTGCTTGTCCTGGCTGTCGACTGAAAGGGAAAACGGCGTGGAGCAGGTGCGTTCACGGTTTTGTTTCGCCAATCAATACCGAGGTGCAGGTAGGTGGGTCGTGCACGACTCCGGACTGTCCCAGATATCACAGGATGCATCGACATTTTAAGTTGTGTAATCGGATAATTCCAGTCAAGCTTGTGTGTTATCTCAGAGATGCGTGGGGTCGGTGCTGTGACATTTGGCGTCATCATGATGTGACATTACAGGGGGATGTGAGTGGTCACAGACTTATGCTCTTAACATGGTGGTCCATTCAGAAACAGGCAGTAGTAGGGAAAGGCACTGAAAGTACTGTACTTATTGGCCAGTAGTTTAGATATAGAGGCCTGTCCAGGAGTTTGACATGGTGGGACATCTTTTAAGTTCAAATGTAGCCTTCCATGCATTTCACCATTACACAGCACACTTGCATTTACTACACTGAATATTAAAGTCTAATTTTTGTAATTCTCTCCCTTATTTCCTAAATGTCCTCTGGGTGTTTTGGCTCTGGTAGGTCCTAGGACAACAGCTGGCACAAATTGATAGCCAGTCCCCTGGCACATAGAAAGACCTACTGGTTAAAATATGGGAAATAATAGATTTTGCTTAATACATGAAGTGATCCTAACTCTTATTATAATTGGTTTAGTGTCAGTCAAGGTGGAAAATGTAGAGACAAACATGATGCTGGTGAAATCTAATATCCACATGGGTGCTCCACTGTGGCAACTCTATTCTTGATACAGTTACATCATTCCAATTTCCCTCAGCGAGTTATTTTAGGAAACTGTACCACATCAGGGAACTGGTTCGAGAAGTTCAGTCCAGCACAGTTGAAACGGCGACAGTAAGGGAGTTCAAACTGCGTGGAGCTCGTGTGTGAATGAATGTTGTCGGCTTTTTTAAAAAGAGAGAGGGGCGGATTGTGGGAAGTTACTCAAGCGCTGCCTGGCAGGTGTTCCCGAGCCAAGTGTCAACCAAATGCTGCCACATTTCTTAAAGGGGAGCACAGGACAGAGAGGCTGGGAGGAAGAGACTTAGAAAAAGGGAGCGCTTAACCAGGTATGACACTGATATCTCAACTTCTTTCTGCGATTGATGAAGAATCCAGTACTGACATTTAGAGGGTGGATTTACCATAATCTTTTACACCTCAGTTGTGCAGCTTGAATGTAGGTGTATTATTGGCACTGATCTTGATATCTTGATCTTGACACAAACAACCTTATCTTTATTTCTCTTCGTCTGTAAAGTGTGAGTCTTTTGATAAATCACGAGTCCAGTTTAGCCTCAGGTTTGCTCTTGTTTAACCTCTTTTCTGTCGATATTTCATTTGTTTTGTTGGCATCACTATTAGAAGAGAACAAGACCTGTTTTTGCTTGAGATAATCTTAGCATCAAGGAGATTTGATATCTCTGTGTAGGTGTATTTTCGGCACTGCTATTGAATGATCACAGTTGTCTGAATTGAGCATAATCCCACCCTGTACCAAACCTCAGTTATCATCCTATCACTAATCTCGGTGTGAGGGATGTTTTTACTCTAATCTGCTCTGCTGATATGCGAGTAATGTAATCTCACTGAAGGAAGCACTTCATCTCTCTCTTTCTCTCTTTCTCTTTCTCCCTCCCTGACTCCCAGGTGTCGTGTGGCTGGGGGGCTCAGCAGGATGGAAATAGATGCCCGTTTTCGTTACTATTTCCAGCATCCGTGGTCGCGTCTCATCGTGGCCTACCTCGTCACCTTCTTCAACTTCCTCATCTTCGCGGAGGACCCCGTCTCTCACAGCCAGACCGAGGCACACATGATAGTCGTTGGCAACTGCTTCTCCTTCCTGTTCAACAAGTACCCCAGCCTCGGATGGAACATACTGAAAGTAGTGTGCTGGATCCTCGCCATCATCTCTGGCCTCCTAGCCGGGAAGTTTATATTCCACCGCCAGCTATTTGGTAAGTCATGCGCACAGTAATGCAGAGGAATGTGCAGAGTAATGGTTCTGCTGAGAGGAAGGAACCTATCCTCCTGAGTTGTTTTTGTTTTGGCTGTTTCGCTCTCATCCTGGACTTTGTGAATAGCATCTCAATGAAAGAAAATAACTAGTGGAAACAAACAGCTGTCACATTTGTATCCGTGTATCTACATCAACCCCTTCTTGTACAATGATTTTCCTCTTTTCATAACGATAATAATAATAATAAACTTTATTTGTATAGCACCTTTCTAGAGCAGTTGTCACAAAGTGCTTCACAGTCATCAAATTGAGGCCACGAGACATAAAAATCAACAAAAAGTACACTAGTGTTCAAAGTCATCAGCCAGCGGATCCTGTTTTTATTGACTATGGTTTAGGGGAGACAACAGATCTTAATTTCTGATGATTTCTGTATAAATTTGTGAGGTGTCGAGCATGATGGACAGTCAATTTTTTTATTGTTGGGCGAACACTTTAAAACTAAATAGCAGTTTTTCATCTAGCAATATTCATCTAGACTTCACAGAAAGTCAATACAAAGATGTAAATTCACACAGCATCACTTGCAGTTTTTCCCAGGATCAGATCCGAATCAAGATGCTCCTCATGTCCTGACTTTGCAGTGTTGCCTGCATATTGATGGCTCCTATGTGGGCCGCTCTACTATACTTTCACCTGCCCTAGTGTGATCCTGACCAATCATTTTTACACTTTACTCTTTAAAGTCACATTCAATCATAACCCATGATCAGTGATTTAGCTGATGTCTTGTCGCTCTCTGCTTCTCATGTCTGGTGACATGTAAAGCCTGACATGTGCTCTGCTGCAGGTGATCTGGGAAGGACAAGAGAGGTCCAACAGTTCGCCTGTTAATGCACTGTAGGAGTGCCATGTCTCATGTTAAATACAAACCTGATTGTACTGCTGTTTTACAGGTTTAGTGCTGCTAGCTGCTGCCTATGAAATTCTTCTCTCTTAGTGTTGCAGTGTTTTGAACGACTAGGTCATTGACAAGCCTTGTCCATCGTTGTGATTACAAAGCATTTAGTGAAACATGTCAACATGAAAACTGTGGTATTTGTGTGTCTTTATAAGAAAAAGCTGCTAGTAAATCCTGTCAAGAGATTATGCATAAAGAGGAATAAGAAGCACAGGTTAGCCTAGCAGTTCAAGCTCACACCCTATCTATTGAGGCTGTAACACTTGTTGCACTTTCGCCTTTCCCCACAGAGCTTGTCTCTCTTCAGCTTCCGACATCATAGAGGCAAAAATGCCCAAAAATAACTTAAAACTGAAAAAAATAGGAAATAATAGTCAGAGGGAATATAGAGAAGAAAGCTATTCATAGAGCGTGTTTGTGAGAGAAATGAGACGAAGTAAGTTCAGCAAATTGAACACAATATATCAGTCACCTTCCTCTGAGTTTTAGCTTCATCCTGTGGCAAACGCAGCTTGCCAATATCACAGTGGTGCTATGAGCGATACCATCTTCTCTTCTCTGTATTTTCTCAGCTTTCTGCATCATGGTAGGACTCATACATCTAAAGAGATTGCAGCCATTGTTAGCTCTTGTTTTTACCACTAATGTGTTTCTACGTTTATTACCCCAGCAACACAACATCTTTTATTGCCACGGGCTTCAAATTTCAAAGTCATTACTCTCACACTCCCTTACCGTCTCACACCTCCTTGATATTTTTCCTCTTCTTTTTCACCCACTGACTGTTTTTCTCACCTCTTTTTACAACTCCAACCTTTTGTCTCTTGTCGATCTCTCAACAGCCCGACTCTTTCCATTACACTCTCCTCTCATGAGGCCGTGACTCCTATCTCATCAGCCCTTTGTTTGTTTACACTGTGCAGCAGTTCACCGTGCTTTTTATTCAACTCACGCATTTCATTTCCTACACACTTCACAACTCACTTAGCCCCGGATATTATGGGCCATCCTGGCTTATCTCCTTGGGATGAACTGTTAATGACTATAATTGGAGGGCATAGAAAGAGAGGAGGAGACGTGGGGAGGGGAGTTCTTGGAGTGATCATCTCCTCAGAGCATAAATAGAAAGCGAAGAGTGCATGGTGACCTGATACTTTCGACAAATACAGACTCTTCACAGAGATGGGAAATGGAAAACATCCTAGTATACCCTGGTTTTGAGATATCGGCTCTTCTGTTTACACATGCCAGATGTTTGATTCAATGTGCATTTAGGGCAGGTTACAGGATGGTCTTTGAATATAGAGTCCAAGAAAAGAAAAAGAAACTAGGATATTGAATTGATAATGCTTAAAAAAGTTTTATTTCATTACAGTTTATTATCAGTTTTAAAAACACAAGTCAGGGCTGAACAGGGGTGTGTCCAGAGGCTTGGGTAGGGGTGGCATGGGCCCCTTGTATTGTTGATTTTTCACCCACAAACAAAGTAATATTGATCCTCTCATGTGACTTTTGCAGCATATTGAATCTGTCTTTTCTCTAAAAATGAAGGACTTCTGCTTCCACTCAAGAACAGACAGGAGGAATTTTATTTCCCCTTTCTCTATTTACGGAGCCATGAAGACATTCAACAGTGATTTCCTTTTCCAGGAATAAGTCTGTGGCTGGATAATCTGATGAACATGCCGATTCTAAGGACTATTTGTAGAAAGTGGATCAAATGAAAACTTTTTATAGTCCTCGGATTATCCAAAGAAACAGGGACACTGTTTCTGGAAAGATAGATTATTAGGCAGAAAAAACTCCAGGGTAGTACAAGCCAAACAGAACACAATCAATTCAAAACCAATATGGATGCAGTATTCATTATTTGCACAAACTGTTTTTCTCTGCTGCAGTTTCCTCATTTGCATGACTCAGAACAGCTCTGTTTGAGGTCCAGGCCCTGAGTATCTGGATCAAAGTCTATACATTTCAAGGTAAAGAGGACAACAATAGTGCATCTCATTCTGCTGCCAGAAACCACGAATGTGTCCCAACAAGCTTCCGAACAGATGGTTTGTGTCAGACTTTGATTTTAAACACGGAGAAGCTGTTTTCAAGACGAAAGCAAAAAGAGTCTGGAGAGGCGGGATGTGTCCTGCTCATTTCAGTAAAGCGGTTATGTAATCACAACCCAGGTAGAGCATAAGAGCTCTACTATAGCAGCTAACCCACTGTAAAATTTATCATGTCACAGAGGCCCACATAGCCCACCTACTGCACACCATGATGTCTCCACTAAAGCCCCTGCAGATCTGTAGCTGCTCTGTGATATGTAGGCGTGCGGTGGGAACACTTCTGGATACAAACAGTCTGTGCAAAGGTTTGAGCACCTAAAAAAAGGGACTGGCTCAGAGAGGTTTCTGCAATCAGATTTTGGAGAAGGTGTTTTTGATGCTATTTTAAATACATAATATGTTGCGTAACGGGTGTCATTTCAAAAGCTTAGGTTGTTTGCAGCAGAGCTTAACTTCAGATCAGATTGTCACAAACCTGGAACGAACCCAGTTTATGAGGGTGAAGACGTTGGCTGTGTCATTTATCACTCATGAAGCCTTTAAAAATATCGACACCACCCAGTTATAACACCTCCTCCTCCCCTGAGCACTTTCATATTTGCCACGGTATGGGATTTGCCCTCTGAGAAACCCACACTAACATTAATCTAGTTGTTGAATTACAGGTTTCTTTGCAATCCCTCTATCCAGTTAAGTTTTCCAGTCATGTTTCTACTTAGAGTGGACAGAGGTGCACACAGCATTGTTCTCCATCTGCCTCGGCTGGAGAGAGAAAAAAAAACAGTCTAAACCCTGGATGATAAATAGCTTGTGACAGATTATGTGATTTAAGACTACATTTGAGGTTCAAGGAACAACCTATGCTGTTCCATTCAGCCTCTCAGGGCTATGTGTGCTCTCTAATGGAGTGGGCGCTAGCCAATGACTTCTGGTCATTCAGAGGGAGACTAGCTGTCGTTATGCATTTGTATTAAAGCTTAGGTCACGCAGGGTTTGAGTTGTCTATTTCACTTGAAGCAGGATATGCTTGTGGATTAGATTAAGCCACCTTTTTTTAAATGTTATGAAAAACAGATATCCTGAGGCAGGTCGTGGCGAAAGATACCTAACAGGTTGCAGGGATTTTTTTCTTTCGCTGAAAAAGAGTAACTTGCTAAACATTTGAAGCAAAGTGGACTGAATTCTGCCCCGTTATTTTTAGCGTAATATAAACACTGTTCGATTCTGTATCTTTAAGGTTAGAGGACTGTTAATCAGATTCATTTGAGTCTGTTATTCATGAAGAAAAGCACAAGCGCTCTGTTTTTTTTCACACATGCATAACAAGGTCACTCAGATTTTGGGATAACTTCTGAAAAAAGGTCATAAATTTAAGCTGGCAGATGTCAATCTGCTGTGAAGTCGAGAGGAAGTGACAGCAATGGATGCTTTAACCCTACTGACAAACTCCATGAGATCAACAAAATAGGAGCGCAAACAGGTCAAATGTTGTGAGATTATACAGAGATTATATGAAATCCAGCCTACTTCTGGACTGTCAAGCAACTCTGTTTCATCCTGGTCCTGATTAATAATGGGTCATGATTTCAAATAATTGTTCAATAATAAGAAATCAAATCGTTCATGTGACCTTTATCTTATCTTTTTTAATTCTTTTTACTGGTTCCTCATTGTAAAACGGTACTACAACAACCTGTAGCACACCTGAAAACTTTTGTGAGCGATTTTTAAAATTTTGTTTTAATGTTGAAGTCTTCAAGTTTCAAAATCATCACAATTAATAATCTGTTTTTCAAGAGTGTCCTAGCCAAAGTGGGCAGCATATAGAAAGAAGAAGAATCATTAGTAGCTGGTACTCTGTAAAACGGGTGCAGCGCTTTGTGATTCTGAGCTGCAGAAAAATACAGAGTTCTGCAGCTTTTAAAGATTTCTGTACAAAACTGGGATCAAGTGACTGAACTAGAGTGAGTGTTTTATTAAAAGGAGTTTAAAGGAGACAAAAATTGGCTCAATAAAAAATGGCCAAAGGGACTTTTGGAATTTCTGTTATTCAAGGTCAATATTTTCATATTAAAACAAAAAAAAGTCATGTAGAAATCCATTATTTCATGCACAATAAAATCTAATTAGGTCTATGTCTTAGCCAGCAATATGTTTAAGATTAACTTTTAATGGGTTAATGAGAAAAAAAGGAGATTTGATTAGGGCTGGGCGATAAACCAAAATTTTACTGATACTGAAATCTACAACGATAACCAACGTAATTTTGCCCATATCAGTATATTTGGTGTCAAGAAAATAAGTCATAAAAGTTGGTTTTGGATGTGTGTAGGTAGGCTATGGTCTCATGTCCGGTTCAAAAGTTGTAGGTGAGCAGCTTGTGGAGTAGTTATCATCCATTTATCGTTATTGAGGTGAACAGCTCAATATATTGTGAAATTGATTTGAGGCCATATCACCCAGCCCTACCTTTGGTTATTCTGCAGATTACAGAACGTGGCTAATAAACAGGTCAGAAGAATTATTAAACAGCATCATTCCATACATCACAACTGAAATTCCACACTAGCCAGTGAATATTTTAGATTTGATGTCATTGAGTACAGGAAAGATGTGTTTTTATTTAGTAATGGTAATGATGATATTGGTTCTGTAAGGGCCAATGCTGATATAATGCTGTTAATTTGCTTGTTGATTAATCGGTCTATCTCTAATTTTGATCTGAAACTGTCATTGTTAGGTAGGTGTGACAAGATGACTCACAACATACTGCAGAAATGACCTTTTTAAGGCACAGATTGTCACTTAAAGGTACATTTCACAGTTAAAAGAAAGCAGGATGAGATTTTTTGCTTCAAGAGAAAAAAAACAACGTAACTTGTTCATGTATGGGCCAACATAAGTAAAGGGATGCCAACACCTTAGGTCCTCACAGGAGCTTTAAGTGGATTTTTTAATGTCATTTTTGGGGGTAGTTGACCTTCCAGATGTCCAGTATTTTAGTATTCATGCTCTGCAGAGACTTGCAGTCCCTGAGCATAGAAATGATCTGATGAGAGCTGATGATCTTTCAGCGCTAAATCGATTTGTCAGGTGGTCTAAATATAACAGATTTAGTGTGAAGTTACATAATATTTATATAAAAAAAAACAATACCTCCTGACTTGTTCTCTCAGCAGTGATGCAGCACTTCAGCACTGACACTCCACAGTATATCATTGCTCTTTTCTTTTCATCTTAAATGCCAATTTTAAAGTCCATCTCTATTATCGACAGAAATGACTCCTCATTTCTCGCTCGTGGTGCTCCAGACCCACATTAGCATAATATATTCACCTGTCTCTCTCCCCGGCTCCTAAAAGGTAAATTGAAGGGTAACTCTGAGTCATGTGGAGCACCTTCCTAACTGGATTAAATCCTGCTTTGCATGTAATTACCTACACTTACAATCAATCAGACTCTGGTCATCCGTCTCTGCTCGGCTGATTTATTCGATGCTTCAAAAATCGCATGAGGAGCCAAAGTAAAGGTGGCAGAAATGAAATGAAAACCTTTTTTTTTCTTCTTCTTTCGATCACAGAGCTGTTAACGCTTGTATTTTGCTGACTTGTGTGTATGTGCATGTGTCAGGGAGAGGGTGAGACATGTCATTGGCTGCTCTGTTGCTGGAGTGCCTGCCTCTCGTCCCCTTTCCCCGATCTTGTTGATTGTTGCCTGCAGGATGCCATCTGGGTTCTGTCATATGTTATTACTGTGCCACGCAAAGGCTGAGATGGCTTATGTACGGATTTGCGTGGCTGCAGGTCGGCGTGGAGTCACTGTGTGTGTGTGTGTGTGTGTGTGTGTGTGTTGCTTTGGGGTATATTATTGTCTGTATTTGTGTGCGTTTGAGATAATTTTCTTGTTTAGAGTGAATTAATGTTCCATCTTTTCATGCGAGTTTGTAATTAATTAGTCATATAATTTATCATCAGGCAATTATTTAGCAACAGTTATGATAATGGTTTGATTGTTTAAGTCATTTATCTCACAAAAATTACAGCTATTAGCTCATTCCAGCTTCTCAGTTGGTTGAATGCACAACCACACTTCCAAAAGAGCCGGGACAATAACATGTAAAGTGTTCCTAAAACACATTTTGATGGTTTGCAATTCATTTCAACTCAATATTTGATTGAAAATTGCATAAATATCACTTTTTTGTTATGAATATATGTATGTTCATTTCAAAATTTAATACCAACAACAAGTCAAAAAAGTTGTTGTTTCGCATCGCCTAAACTTTTGAACAGCACTCTTCAAATGTTTTCAGAATAGAGGGGACCAGTTTCTGGGTTTTGAAAGGGGAAAAAATGCCCCATGCTATCCTGATAAAGGATTTTAGCTGCTCAGTAGTACAGGGTCTCCTTTGTGGTAATTTTTGTCAGCACTGCAGGCAGGCCTGTTAAACACCTGGACTCTTCTACTACAGGGCCATACTGTTGTATGCGGTATCGTCTAGATCACAGATTGTTGCTCCCCAACCTGCGAAAGAGCTCTTACTTATTAGTTCATTTTATATTATCTTCTCTCTTGCCACGTCTCTTTAACAATATATCGTGTGCACTTGTGTGTGTGCGTGCTTGTGTGTGTATGTGTGGGTGGCTGAGGGTGGGTGTGTATCTTTGTGTGTGTGTGGGTCTATGTGTGTGTGTGGGGGTGAGAGGGTCGGGTTTGATTGTTGTTTTTAGCCTTTGTGAGGCACTTTGAGTTACATTCCTGTATGAAAAATGCCATATAAATAAAGTTGAGTTTAAATTTGAAATATTGTTCAGTATTAATGGTTCCCTCTCAGATGTGTGAACTAACCAATGCCATGGGTAGTTTATATCCCCATACCATCATGGATGCTGGCTTTTGAACTGTGCACTGATAAAAAGCAGGGTGGTCCCTCTCCTCCTTATATCAAGTTTTGATTTGTCAGAAGGTCACCTCACTTTATTTGAAATAGGCTCAGGTGAAGAGAAGTCTCTGGTGTTTAAATATTATTTCCTCTTTTGTATGATAGTTTTTAATCTGTATTTATGATCAGAGATTATGGCTTTTAGATAAAACTTTCAGCCTATTTGGTGATTTCCACTGCAGAGTCATGTCTGTTTTAAAGCAGTGCTGCCACTTTTGGTTTTCAGTCTCGTCCCTTTTGTACAGGCATTACTCTGAATTCTCTTGGTCTTTTAACAGTGTTTTTTACTGGAGATGATGAAATCCAGTACATCGACATAATTTGTTTCTTAAAGTAAGACAGGCTGCAATTATAATTTCAACACTAATTGAATCATTTATCCTCCCGTCCATTAACTTCCAGGTTGCAGGGGGCTGGAGTCAGTCCCAGCTGTCACTGGGCCAGAGCTGAGAGAGCCAAAGGCAGCAAACGTCACATTTATGGATTCAAGGGTAGAATGGTTAAAAATCTGTCTTCATAAAAACCTTGAATAGCTACTGTTAATTCTATCGGTCTAGATTTTTAGTGTGAATATGAACCCACAGACTGCGTTCTGACCTATCTTATCTGCAGTTTTCTGCACAGTATCAGCCTCATTAATATTCAGCTCTCATCAACCTTATGTCACCCTGTGGAGCAACTTTATGTTGTACACTCTCCTCCAGTTCCAGGTCGGTCTGTATTCGTTGGCTTCTGAGGTTTGCCCCTTTTCTCTGTGAATTATGTATGATTGCTCTGGAGTCAGAACAACGCGGCGCCCTGCAGCCTGAATTTTTACTTTTTGCTGCAGGAAGCTGCAGTCTCATGGATGTGGATGCGTTTGAAGCATTTTAGTGAAATGTGCATTTGTTTGTGGATATATTTGTCTGAAAGTTGCACTTGACTCATATGGTTTCCTTGAGAAAAAGACAGCAGACTGCCATCTGAAATGTTTGACTCCTTTGGTCTTAAAACCAAACCATAATCTTAAAATTGAACCGCTCTAACAGGCCTCTCTCTGAAGCAGCTGTAGTAGTACATTGGCCCAGGATCCAGCTCTCTGTGTCTTGTCTCTACTTGCTGCTGTGTCCCTGCGGAGGGAGCTCTGTTGTCATTTCCCAACTCTGATTTATTATCCGGACACTTAGTTACAGAGCAATTCAGCTCTGGGGCTGCTTGTGGCTGTAGTCATGGCTATTCCCAAACCCCTGTGGTGATGCTGCAGCCAAGCAAATGTGTGATAAATGGGAATGCTGGTAAGTAGATGTGGAGACCCAGACGGTGCTGATGCTAAGGCTCACTGCACTCTGAGTTTGTGTTTGAGGGAGAATGTTCATTAGGGTCCCTAAGGAGGTCAGGAGTGTTGTTTTCATGCTTCGAAACAGAGGAGCTGCTTATTAACGCCTAAAATAGATGAAAAATAGATGCAAAAATCAGTGGGGCTGCCCTGCAGTTAGAGCAAAATGTGTGTGTATCAGTGTTCTGAGTAGCAAAAGCAATGATTGAAGCTACACTGCAGAGTCTATATACATCCAATTTTAATTCTTATCTGACCAAACATTAGCCATGTTACATTTCCTAAACCCTGATATTTATGTCTGATAATAACTTTTTCTGTCTCTCAGTGAATATTGTTAATGACCGATGTGTTAGACAAAGATTAATAAACTGTAAAATTTCAGCCAAAGATGGCAAGGAGACAGCTCTGATGCTGGAAATGCGTTTCTGCAAGGCCAAAGCCAAATAACTTTCAATTTATCTTAATTCAGAAAGCTTCTTGAATCTCTCTTGGCAGGAACTTTATGCTCAGTGGAAGAAAAAAAAATCATTTTATGCCCCATTACTCCACCGCCATGAAAGTGCTCATATTTTTAAGGGCTGTTGTCAGTTATAGGCCATTAAAATTATCTTAACTTTCCCTCTCAACATGGCGCCCCTGTATCTAGGTTACAAACGGAGTTACATGAAGACAACAACGCATTAAATATCAGAGCTAAAGCATGAAAGATCCAGGGTAATAACTGATATTGATTAGAGTGTTGCATAAAAAAATGAGTGTAAAAATTTAATAGATCAGTCTCACCGTGAGGAGAGAAGAAATGCAAGTTAAATCTGTGAATGAATCTAATTGCAGAGGGGTTAAACAGCTCTGAATATTTGTGGTCAAGCAGGTGAAACATTAACTTACTGACTGCTGCTTTTTACTTCAGCTACATTTCCTACTCTTGATTTATTTGTACCCATGCATTCGTAACATGCAGTAACTACATGTCAACACCGCAAGCAGAGGGAGAAAATTTTACATTTTGTGTAATCAATTTCTAAATTTTGTTCACAACTCCATACAGATGGCTGGAGGAGGTGGGATTTATGACCTATACTGCAGCTTGTCACCAGAGGTTGCTATTCTCGGGGTGGCTTCACCCAGCGAGGAGGCAGACGTTGTCCATTCAGTCTATGTGATAGACTTAATGGATGGCCTGCATGTTAGCTCTACAACAATATAACATAATTAAATAATCCTCGTGCCAGATAGGAAGGGTGATGACATGTTCTCGACTCTCTCGAATCAAACTTCCTTATGAAAATTTGAGGGGTGATTTTTCTCAAACTCCTGAAGAGCTTCAGAAGACATTATACATTTGTGTTCACAGACGGTTGAACTCGTTTGACTACCTAATTAACCTCAGCATGGAGAAAAAAAGTGGTGTGCCTCCTGAGTCAAGCAAGAATGTCAGTGTTTCTAATATAAGGAAGAATGTAATTATGGTTTGACTGTCAAGTTTTCAGGTATGGGGAATTATACAAAAATTAGTCATGAATACTCTCAGGAAATTAACTTTGGCGTCCTGTTCTCTCTTAAAAATTAAGGCTAACATTCTTTTGATTCCGCAGATATAACTAAAAGATGGTTCTGCTTATGTATAATGCAAGTCATGCTGTATGCCAAAATGTGCATACTCTGTACTTTATTATATATTTTTTTCATTATAGAGTTATAGTTCAACTCAAGTCCATTAATTGACTCTTCCAGTAAGTCCCTGCTCTCAGACAGTACTTTAAAGTAAGATGTGTTCACTGACTCTCCCTCCCAGGGCCACTTTGTATTTACAGCAGCTGTCTCCATCCTCTCTGAGCGTCACCGGCGTGTCAGGGAAGTAAAAGCGTGACAGTCTGCACTGAACAATGAAGCATGAGGACTGTTGATTTATTGCTGCCAACGTGTCGCCCTCTGTTTGCACTAAATCAGAGATAGCACATTCATTTTGTTCAGGTGAGCGTAACCCAACAATTTACCCTGAGTACATTTTTATATGCATCACGTCTTCTTGTCAGTACAAACAGCAAGGAAGGGAAGAAAGAGTTTTAATATCTTATTTTGTGACGATTAAGTTTCATGTATTAAATTGAGTAGATTTGATGTGATAACACTTTATTGATCCTCAGAGAGGGAATTCAGTTGCAGCAACACCAGACATGTTAAGCAAGTAAGTTTTCAGGAAGAATAAGAGTACAGAATGAAACAGAATGAACTAAAACAAAAGAAGACAAGTGGTACTAACTTCGATACAAAGCTATAGATGCTATAAATACGGAATTATGCAGGAAGACATGTTATGCTTTAGGTTACAGGTTAAAGTGGATTTCTTGGATAAAGTGATATGGTATGATATGAAAAATACCAATTAGTTAATATAATTGTAGATCTTAAGTTCAAGATATACTACAGAGACAATATTGTGATTTTTCAGATAACTGCTGAGTCAGGAAGTATGAGAAGTAAAAGAAAAAGTCTATTGAGTCATGCTATCCCACTGATCAATAGACGGCCATTAGACGTCTAGTTTTTTTTTTTTTTTGACCTAATTTCAACCGTCTAGATTCTGTATATTTGTAGACGTTGCACTGTAACCCATTAATTGATAACTATTTATTTTAAAAAGCAGCTGTGAGTTGCATAACTGATCTCGAAGTACTTAACCAAAATAATTATAATAGCCTTTGAGCAATATACGATGTAGTATAGATATAGCTCTGTTTGTTGGCTAGTCGAAACTTTGTCTAAATTTAGATGTATGAAAAACTTGTCTAAAAAAGCCTGATTTTAGACCAGTTGTCTAGGCTAAATTTAGACGACTATTAGACCTCTTTTAGACCAAAAAATGTGCAGTGGGATTATACACTTTTTATAGTGTTGACCAAGTGGGTACAAGTGACTTTTGAGAAAGAGTTATTTGTGGAATTTGATTCCACAGTTTGATCCATGTTCCATCCAATTACATGGAGGAAGCAAACTGTATGACTTTTAATGCACCGCTGTCTTTATCAGCTGTGAACCCCCTTATCAATCAGGGGCTTCAAACCGCACTGACCATGTGACCAATGAGCTTAGTGTGTTTGCATCATTAACAAATATTTAAAACGCACTGATCTCTTAGTATATGATGATATAGTTGTGTATCTACAGTATGTAGAACAGGTGCATTTGTTTAACTCGCTGCTTCTCTGTTTGTTTATACTGACATGTTCTCATCTCTCGCTCCATACTTCTGTGCGTCCTCAAAGTGGATTACTGTTATAAATCTGCAGACTTGATAACCTCGGCACTTTCTGGAATTAATGCATGTAATGTCATTAGGGATGCAGTTGTCAGGACTACCTTAATCTCCTGAGACTGTTAACTGATTGGGAATTTGTTAAATGTTATTCTGAACTTCACGACCACAAGTACTTTGTTGCTAGTTTATCAGGCACACATAGTCAAGTGGAGCAATGTATAGGTTTGTGGGTCCTGTTATTGGCTACTGCCATAATGGAGCAAAACCTGAGAGCTAGTTCAGGCAGGCAACTCAAGTTTAACAAATTTTACACTCTCACAAAAACATGACAAACTTATCCAGTCTCTGTCTCCTCTTTGTTATTATGTCTAAGTGCTGTGCTCGGATTTCCAGTCCCATATGCACCCCAGCATCCACCTGTAAGCTCCGACTAAGGAGTTGAAGATATAGGAGTGATAAGGTTGTTGCTTAGACACCAACGACAATGTCCTGTCACCACCATGAACAGTTCAAGGCATGAAAGGGAGCTGTCTGACTAAAAATACTATAATGTTCTATTACAGCAAACCATTTCATGCAGAATTTGTGATCCTATGTTGAGATGTGATCATGTAAACTGTGTCGTTGAATGTTTTCTGAAATGCAGTTTTTAACTTTAGATGAGTTTTTTGTTCGTTTGTTTATTTGTTTGTTTTGCCAAGTGGCCTATCCTAACCTGTTGAGTGCAGACTAATACCTGGACGCTCATCTTCTGTCACACTGTTTCATATGTATCTGGTTAAACATTACACAATATGACAGGAACTGTTTTAAAGGTGTTCTACAAATGATTTCTACAAAATAGTACTGTACTTTGCCGAGTCGGCCATAAAATTAACTTTAAAAGACCTCATTGTTAGGGACATGATTGGGGAAATCCTCAAAATCAGACTTCCTTTTCTGCAATTGCAAATCCCATTATTCTGACACAAATAAATCAAGAGGATATAATTCCAGGTACCTTAATAACATCATTATGTGGCTTGTATACAAAGAGAGTGAGTATAACAGGATTTAAAGCCACTTAAAAAATATTGAAGAAGTGTTTTAGGACATCTAATCAGAGATGAGTGCTGTAAAAGAAAAGAAAAGTTTCCTATTAGTATGCCAGTCAACTCCCAGTTGTGCTTTATCTTCTCACCACTAGATGGAGACACAGGTACATGTTTGATTTTAGAAACAGCTTGACAAAGGTAGATATGATCTCATCCAAAACTGAATACTATAAATAGCATCACTAGGATGTTTCTGTAAATATTGCAAATTAGTATTCAAAATTAATAGCATGATATGAAGATGGTGTGTTCCATGTTTGGTTGTGTAGTTGATGTGTGGGTGAGTCCAAGTAAGAAAGAGATATTCTATTCCCCTCCCCTCTGTGTTTCTGTTGTATTTTCAGTCTGTTTCTCATCCATGTGTGTTCCTGTTGTTGTTGCTGTTCCCCGGCGGCCCGGGCCTTGCAGCAGACAGCGCTCGTGAATCACTGCTTATCGGGGTCCGTTACTGTCGGGAGGTGCGGTGACTCAAACGGCTTGGCTGAACGGTCCTGAATCACCCCTCTAGTTAAAATCCTGCTCATACAGGCTGCGAGAGGACGGCGGTGCTCACTGGCGCGGCTTACTGCTTTAAAAGTCAGATTCTGCCGATACACACTGTGCTTCTACATCTAAAGCCAGGGCTCATTGGCACTGTAGGCAATTAAGTTCACCCATGCAAGTCAATTCAATTATGCATCTGTGATGAGCCTTGAAATACCACAGAGCAAGACGTATGGTTTTGGCCACACTGTGGACCACTCTGCATTTGCAGCTCCCCTGACCAGAAACAAAAGTTGTAGGTGGATTCTTGATTTAAAGTTAAACCTCTTGAGTAAAATTCATACTACCATAGCCAAGTTTGGGCTAACACTGCAGATCTGTTGTTTACTTGGATGAAACAACAAAAGGTTCATTTATTATAACTGTGCTTTGACTCGACAAAGACCCGCATCTCCATAGGACTCTCAGCGTCTTTGTTTTTTTATTCTCGCTGCAGAGAAAAACTAAAAGTGAGGAAGCTGAGATTGAACAGCATGTAAAACCATCGCAGAATAAAACAGCCAGGCTTTAATGGAAAAATAAATGGAGCATTCTGCGTTGCTGTCTTTCTGGCTGTGAGTGTTGTGTATGTGTGGTTGTGTGCATGCAGAGACAAACACAATGAGCTCTCTGAGGAGCTGTAACTCAAAGGGATGCTGACTGAGCTGGAGGAGAGAGAAAACAAAGAGTTGTTCCTGGGAAGATGGCCGCTTCTGGCACTGGATCACAGCTCACAGAGCAGCAGCAGAGAAAGAGAAAGAGAGAGAGTGAGAGAGAGCAGCGAAGTGTGTGTGTATGTGTGTGTGAGAGCAATATGTAAAATAGTAGAAATGGAGGTGTACAGCCAAGCTTGCTCATAGAGGACTTTTTTATTAACAGTCAATTGAGTAACCTTGAAGCATGTGTAGCAGAGCTGCACAAAAAAATGCAATTTCATCCTTACTGCAGGACGAGAATTTGCAACAACAAGCACACTGCAAAAAGAGCTGTATTCTTTACGATAAACAAGAAAACTTATATAAAAAAATGTGCAATGCTTTCTCTCTTAGCATGCATGCACTTTACCCGAATTGGATGGAGGCCTGAGTTTAATGGACACGCTTTTTCATCATTCTGATGCAGTCAAATGAAGCCTGAACTAGCTCTCAGCTACATGAGATGAACTGGTGCCAATGAGGTGTTGAAAATACTGCTTTGAGGATTTATTTTTGATTGAAATTCAAACAAGTTGCAAAATCTTGTGTAAAACATGGAGGTGAGCAGATGGACCTGGAGACAGAGTGAAAGCCAATATGTGCTTTTTAATATACTGTTTGCATTTTACATAATTGGCACAATATTGTGCTTATTGTCACCACTGCATGTTTTTTCATATTCTGCAGGTCTAAGGTGAAGGTTTGCATTCACCATGTAGTAGATTTTTCATAGAACCATGTATTTTTTGTTTTGTTTTGTTTGTTTTTTTCATTGGACTATTTCAGTATTGTATGTACAGAAGAGGATGAGGGCCACTGGAAAAAAAAAATCCAAAAGTCCCAATTTTTTTTGTATTATTCTGAGAAAAAAAAGACAGAATTCTGAGATTACAGACAGAATTCTGACTTTAATCTCAGAATATTAATTTTAAAAAAATTATATTGGACCTTTTTTTTTTTCCAGTGGCCCTAATTGTCTTCCTTATGTAAATGTCTGGTTAGTACAAATGTAGAAAATTATAGATTTTATAACACCATGATCTTTTTTTGTCCGGACAGTCAAACAGAGCAGCTAGTGGTCTGTAGCTCAGCAAAAGAGGAAGAATTTGAGGGAAATGAAATGAAAACTTTGGGATATTTGAAGAAGAGGATAAGGTTTTTCAGCATGCTTTTATTCATGGATTTAGTAGACTTATTGACCGAATTTTAATGAAGGAATAAATGTATAATTTTTGAGAAGTTGAGCTTGTTTTGTATCATCGTGAAGGCAAACTGTGTTTTTATTCTGTTACATTTTGTTTTAACTGGATGTTACGAAAAGTTAAAAAAAAACAAAAAAAAAAAATGTTATTTCAGCTCAAGGCAAGATTATGATCCAGAATGATTTGAACAACCTTGTCGTGTCTTTCTCTCTTCTGTAAAGCGGTTTTAAAACTTCCACAGTGTACAAGCTAAACAGAAGTCCCACAAAACCATCCTACCAATGTCCGCCTTCTCTCTTATGTCACCCTGGCTCTCTAGGTCAAAAGCCTCATAGGGTCTCATAAATATTGATCTGTTTCATCTTGGAGGATGAAGGACCTTGTTTTAATCTTCTCTTGGCTGGTGTGAGGGACTTAAAATCAGGAAATCTCTGCCTCTTAAAGAAGAATTTCAACCTTCTCTTCTTATAAGGCCTTTAATTAATAAAAGAGCGATACAGAATCTCCGGAGTAGCCCTTTAATTAACAGTTTTCATTTTATCTTTAAATCCTCATTGACCCACATCTGTATAATGTTGGTATTAACAAACTTCCCTCGATTACACAGGCAGTGCAGGAGCAAGATCAGGGGCTCTGAGAGCAGTTGTGCAATTACATTATGCACACCTAATTTCATCACACATGTTATTTCCACATCGCTTAGTAATTGATACAGAAGAGATGTAGTGATTTTTTTTTTTTCGTTCTGCTCTTACCAGGAGGAATGACACCTTTTAAATTAAAAATCAAAATATATTCCTGTTTGTCATCTGAAGAGGCCAAATTAAGAAGAACAGACCTTTCAAATTAAAGCTACAGTCTTAAGAGCGCTGAATGAATTCATGTTTCCTCCTCAGTCGTGTCCAAGTGCTGCCAGCAGAGGACAAGCCTGTGTGATTGTGTGTTCTGTGTAAAGGGCTTTGACTCCGAATCCAATCTCATGCTCCGCCAGAGAGATATTTTTCCATAATTTGATTCTAAACCAAAACTGTATTAAAAAAAAAAAAACACCACAGGTCACAAACGTTTGAATAATTTCTATAATCTTGCAGGAAACACAAGCGAGCATCAGTGTCCTGACAGCGTGTCCCGCACATGCATGAAACGGCTGTATGTGTGGAGTTAATGATGAAGTAGCGATGGTTCGAAATCGGTCATGAAAAGACAATCACTCCCAGACTGGGGAAGTGACACCTTAAAGTGGTCTTTCATCTTAATCCCCATGTCCAAAGGCCACATGCCTGACAGGGCAGCACATTATTGATCCACGTGATTAATTTATTTACTTCCATCTCCATTTTCTGCTGCTCATACATGTTTAGCATGTTTGACATGCTGTTTGAAAGTCACACACTGACAGCACTGTCCTCTGTCATGCTTGCCCTTTTTTTTTAGGTCGATACCTGCGCCTGAAAATGTTCCGCGAGGATCACGGCTCCTGGATGACCATGTTCTTCAGCACCATCCTCTTCCTCTTTATCTTCTCTCACATCTACAACCTTATCCTGCTGATCGCCGGGAGCATGGAGTAAGCCATTCAGTCCTTCTCCATCTCTTTCTCTCTGTTCCTCTGCTCCTTTTTTTTCCTCCTTCATTCTCTGCTTCCCATTTGTTAGTGACTGTACGCTCCCCTTTGGCTGCTGTGATTGATCTGAACGTCTCGCCTGAGCACAGACTCGATAGCCGCCTGATTAATCAGCCTGGACGTTAAATCACAGGTAGAAGCAGGGAAAGGGAGGGCGGTTAATCCTGAAAGATCACATTTGGCAATCTCACTTACCCCCCAAACCTTTCTGGACAAAAACATTTTTTTTTTGCAGTTACTCTCTCAGTTTAGACCTTAGCCTCCCTCCTTTTACCTACTGAGAAACCACTGTGCACAGCAAAGCCTGACACACACACACACACACACACACACACATCAAGCTGGTGACAGGAATCCGTTTATGCATTTGCAATGTGTCCGTCTCCGGGTAAGAAAACATGCCCTTGAAGCCATCCAGCCAGACACGAGGTCCCTTCAAGGTGATTTAACGTTTTAGTCTGTTTTGGCTGTTGAAATAAAACACACAAAAAAACAGGCACAGCAGGTGTCTGTGCAGGTACAAGCTGTCAGGAGGGAGGCCAGGGCTGTCACGGGATCTGTCCACACAACGCTGCTCTCCTTACAAACAAGCATCAACCATCTATAAGGTGCAGGCAGATGAAGGCTATTAGCTCGCAGGCAAGGTGTTGTGTTTTTCTTCGGCCGGAGGGATGAGTCAGTATAATCGGCCCATCTGTCACTCCAGCCAGTGCGCTGACACTGGCATCCATCTTGTCTGCGCTCTCTGGTTGGCCAAGGAGTTAAAAAAAAAAAAAAAAAAGGACAGGCAGCGATAGGCTGAGCGGGGAGAGGAGCAGGTCCGCCGAGACGATGAATGTTGCTTACTCAGGGAAAAGTTACATTCACAGTCGCTCTGAGTGCAGCTGTCACAGAGCGGATCCTTCCTCTTTTACCGCCTTCAAATGTCAAGAAAAGGGCGCCTTTTAGTCTGTCAGTGGGTTTTTTTATCCTGTCAGAAGGGTTTCACTAGATGACATGGGGATAATACTGCAGAAAACATAATGAGTTATTTTGACATCTTGAGGGACGTGGTATATAATTTACATTCATCTTACACATACTCTCGGCTCGTATTAGCCACATCAGAAGTCCAACCAAAGCAGCCTATTTAACACTTACATTGACACAACACTCGGACACATCCGTCATTATTTGTCTTGAATGTGTCATGCTGTGAAATTAATTATTAAATATTGTAAGGCTCTCCTCCCACAGACAGAGGGCGCTGTTGTAAAACAAGTGATTCCACTGCTACCAAGGCACCTGCTTTGTTTTTTTTGAAACACCCGTCCGTCCTGACCCCCCCACACACACACACCTCCCCTCTCCTGTCCCTCATTCCTGCTTGTTTTCTTTCTGCTCCACCGAGGACCCGGGCCCTGCCAAAAACCATTTGCGTTCACATCTCTGTTCAAGGCCGACATGTAAGAACAATGTTCACACTCTGCCAGGACGCCCCTGAGAAGACGGGGACTCTGGTGTTGAGGCAGTTAAGAAGAGAAAAAAAAAGGTGATGGAGTTGGCTGGGTGGTTTTGGTAGTAGTGCTACGGCCCTGAAAGATGCTGTGAAACTTTAGTCTTCAGATCCACACCCAAACAATTTGCATCCACTTCTCTGACCGTTTCCCTCAGCGCACACTGAGCTCCGGCTCTTGTAGTTTTCCCTTCTCGCCTCACCACAGAGCAGAAGTACAATATCCCTTTGTGGCTGCAGCTGCCCCCTCTGTGGAAATGAATGGTGTTTTTCCTTTTCATTTGTCCTGAAAGAACAAGCTGCTGTGAGGTGTTATTACTGCCGAGAGGTTTTAAAGGGTATGAATTTTGGCACGGGTTAGCCGGCTTTGACATCCGGCCACGACGGCGCGCTGCAGGGGATGGCTACACACAAACACGCACTAACAAACCACATATTGTTCACGTCTTGCTCTTCGGTCATATGTGTGTGTGTGTGGAGAAAAAGTGTGTGTGTGTGTATGAGTTGATGTCAAAGGGATGGTGGGTTGGCGTTTGTCTCCCCGCTGTCTCCCTGACCTGCTGCTGTATGCTGCCCTCGCCCTCCGCTCATTAATATGCTTTTAATTTCCTATGACCTTTCAGCCGGTCTTGATCTTGGTTTAATTAAAAAGCTGCGATACATCTACGAGAAAAGAAGATAAACCGCACAAACAAGGCGGTAAACAATCACGAGATATGAGATTGTATGTTTCTTTATGGATGACAAGCGTTTATCCATGATTAGTCATGTAAAAATGGATTCATCAAAGCCGTTATCGCTCAGTTGGAGGAGATTTCCAGACTGTGTAATCTTACAAATGTCCAACAGTGTGTCGACTAATATTTAAACAGCCTCCCTCAGGTCAACAGCTACCAACCTGTTACCTGGCTCATATCGGGTTGGGGGGTGTAACCCCGTCCATCACTGCACCCCGGGGGCTGTAATCCACACTTGTTACCCACCACTCACATCTGGGCTATTTGCATTTTAATGTAACTGTCAGATTAGACGAGAGGAGGGGAGAGAGGGGGAGCAGCGGGAGCTGTTTGTGTGAAACCAGGGGAGTGTGACCGCCCAGGGAGTTTGACGGACTTCGTGAATGTTCTGTCACGCCGCACAATCCCATTCCACCATCTTACGGTGGCCATTACCGGGCAAAATCACACCCTAATGAGGTGGTGTTATTTAATTAAGACGGCCTGATGCGTGGCGTACACATTAATCACAGCTAATTTAGAGGAAGGGGTGGTATAGCAGGCAAAGGTGGGAGGAAAGAAGGAAGAGGGAGTGTGTGAGGATGTAATAGACAGAAAAAGCTAATAAAATGAGCTCTTTACTTGTTTTTTAATTTTTTTTTACCACTGGAAGAAAACATGGATGAACGTTAGGATTTAGGAAAGAAAAGGGGTAAGCCAAGCACTGGGAGGGTGGGATGAAGGGGGGCTAGAGTCGTTGGATGTGTCTGATGAGCAGCAGGGAGGGATGCATGTGGCATTTGACTAAAGCGATACACTGAGCAGGATTAGACCCCATCATTGTCTCTGTTTACCATGATCCTTTGTGCTGCGTGCATGCTAGTCCCCCTCGTCTGTCTGTTTGCCTGTCTGGCACTAAGCTGGGGTAATACCACGGACAAGTGGATTTCAAATGCTGAACAAATACCATGTTGCGGTATGTAGATGCCTCCTGTTGCATGCAATCCCACATGGGACCTGCTGCTGCCTACATTTCAGTGGCACATTAAAACTATGAATCCTGTAATCTTGGCACAACTGAAAGCTGAAATCTGACAGTGACAATCTGAATCTGTTGGATTTGGAAAGAGATTAACAAACACATGGTTTAGGAGTTTTAGGAAGAACAGGTTATTACCTTTTTTTTTTCAAAGATGAAGTTCAAATCTGATTCCTCTGTTATGTGGTTTGATTTTTGTTGTTATAGTTGATTTGGAATCATCAGGTGGCTCATAATAGGATACAGTCCCATAGATTAAAGTATAATTTAATTCAGAACGACAGAATACAGCATGGTACAATACAGTAAAATACAATACAGTACAATAAGTAGGGCAAGCATAACATGGATTGATTGTAAAGTTAGCGAACTTATTTTCATTTCCGCCCAACTGTCTTCTGTTGTATTTCAGTCAATTCACCTTTATTTACATAACCCTCATTCATTTCATAAGCACCTCCGCAAGGAGTCATGATGTTGTAACAAGGTTGAGTCAGACTGTCCGGGAAATCTGTTTGGAGCACCACATTCGTTATTGAATCAAACAAGTCAGCACAACAAGATTGCCACAGCTATATTCTAGGGATGGGCGATAAACTATTGTTCATGATATATCGTCACTCCATGATAAATATTTGTCATCTCATGATAAATATGATATATGCAAGATGATGACATAAACTCGAGCGACGGACTCGCAGCCATAGCCCACACGGAGCAGAATAACAAACAAACATGGCCGAAGGTTATGAAGAAGACGTTTCTGAGCAGCTCGTAACTGAACGAGGCTCCACATGAGAATGTTGAAAATGTTTTCACGTTTGAGACATGTTTGATTTCATTAGTTTTCTCCATAACCTACCACTCAAACGTGTGGTGAAGTATCTTATTTGACTATTCCAACTGGTGTTCTCAAGACAAAACAAGTCAAAAATATAGATTGGAATTATTATATTTTTTTTATCGGGACTTTAATCAGCATCGCCAAAACAGCAAATCTTATCGTGATGAATTTTTTAGACCATATCACCCATCCCTACTTTATTCCCTCCATCAAGATTTAATGGACACCGGCAATTATACTGATTTATTTGTAACAATACTACTACAATTTGGTGCAGAGACTAAAAACATAATATTGAGACTACATTTACACCTGTCCGGCTATTTTCATATATGGAGATTTCACCCTCTCCATTTACAAAAAAACCTGCGTACACACCTGTACGTTTTCAGAAAAGTTTTTGTTTACTCTAACCCGTGTATATATGCCGTCAAGAGCATATCAAACATGTGGGTGGCAGTGTAGCGAGAAGCTCAAGCCCACATTAGCCAATCAGAGTCCTGCATAGCAGCAACAACAACAACGTCCCTTCCTTCTTTCCTCTGCACAATCTGCCGTCGGCAACCCAAATCACAGTTTTTCTCTGTTTACATGCAAACGTGCCAATGGAGTTTTCCAAAATCTCCACTCTGGTCGGAGTTTTTAAAAAGCATCGTTTTCAGGGGCGAATTCTCTGTTTGCGTCGAAGTCAAGGGTGCAAACGATGGTTAATGTCTCAGTTTTTAAAAATAACCGGGTACGAATAAATGGGGCCTAAGTGATGTGAAAGATTCCAGATTTTGATTGTAGCTTTTTCAGGCCACAAAACTGGAGAAAACGAAGTTGGGTCTTTTTCATGAATAAATTTAATGTGGCTACGTCTACAGGAGAACAGGTTTAACGTTGGTGTTGCTGCTTACGTGTCTCCCTGCAGTCGAAGCTGAGAGAGCTGCTGATGCTGTGTATAAATTGAATCTGAACACAAATTAGAAGTGCTAACAACCATAGATAGCTGGCTGGCACAGTTCAATCAATCTCTTATTAAAACAACCCTTGCTGGATTTTTCAGTGTTTCTGATGCACAACATCAGTTTTAACGTAATACCAAAGCACCGTCTTACACCTTTTTTTAGAAACAGTTTTTCTGTTGAGAAAAGAGTTAGACACCTGTTGCTGTTTGTTAACTGAAATAAATGTGCTGCAGTTTCAATTAATTGACCTTCCTTTGCCTCAGTCTCTGTCTCTTTCATTCTTGCACACACCCACAGCGACTTTCTGAGCTTATCTCCTGCTGTCTTTCACACTCCTACACATGCACATTACGCTGCCATCTGATAAATGACTCATTACGTATCTAAGGAGTGTATAAGTCGGGTAAAGCTTTCCCTCCAAAGTAATTTTCTCTTCTCTGTGAAACAGACTGTGTGCTATATGTAGCAGTGAACTCGGTCATTTCCTCTCTGATTATATTATCCCCCAGCTTTCTGGGACAGAGGGGAGGAGCGTCAGCGGAGGCTGCAGCTGAGACATACGTCACTGTCACATAAAGAGAAACAGCCACAGTTGTAAACAACGAGGTATCATAACCTTGACAGTAGCAGCAGTCCACCAGGAATACACAATGTATGAATTGTATTATATTATACATGAATGTGAGCGTGTGCGTATGAAAGGTGGAGAAGGTTATAAAGCAAGACTGATTGATTGTACGAGCATGTTAGTATGTAGTACAGCATAACCACACTCCATCAAGATATATCCTCGCTGTTTTTTCACTTTCACAATGAATATCTAAAAATTTACCTTATTTTGCTTCCATTGTTTTAAGGTGTGACATTTTCATTAGAAATGCACCAAAAGCAACTCTGAGTCCTGATTTTTTTATCAAGATCTGCCCCTGCCAATTCAGGTCCAATCGGCTAGTAATTTTCTGTCTTTTATTAACCAAAATAGACAACAGAATCAAACTTTGTTGTAACTTTTCTTCAATGGAAATTCAAATCTAACAAAACATTGACGGTAAATTAACTATTGATTAAACAGTCCAGGTCAGGAAGCTGATTGGCCTTGTAGTTAAAGTGCACCCCATGTATAAAGGCTGTATACCTAATCACTGCAACACTGGTTCTATGACCCTCTGATGCATGTTTTATTATCCTTACTCCTTCAGCTCTCGTCCCCCTTTGCGGTCCAATCTAATAGTCTCTTCCAACATAATCACTCCCAACAAATCTCCATCCATTCATCCATTCATCAATCTATTCCCTCCTGCTTTTCTGAGATTTGGTACCAGGAGGAGTAGTCCAAGCAAGTCGACTAAGACCCCCCTCTCTTCCTATAAAACATTTCTTGCTTCTTCCATGGAATCCCAAGGCGCTCCCTGGCCAGATAGGATATGTAACCCTTCCAGCGAACTCTAGGCCCTGTGGCGATCCCCCTAGTAGCCACTCAGAACACCTCCAACAGGAAGTGTCCAGGAGGCATCCTTATCATATGCTCCACAAATCTCCCCCTGGAAAAATCTCATCTTTCTAGGTGAAACTGACTCTCTATTGAGCCGGTTTTCTTAATCCATGTACTCAAATCTGCCAAAATTTTCACAAGTTTAATTGGTCACATCTAGACACTGAACAATGGGGGTAACGTTCCTTCTAAGGTCTATATTCTGGCACAGCCACCATGCCCAGAATGCCTTTAAAAGTGGACTCTGTAAGGTGCCCTTAATTTGTCTCAGATTTATTCACACCTTTCCTTAATCTGTCCTCTTGTAATTGGATCGCCTAACCCCTCATGTCAAACCAGCATTGTTGGTGGTGTTGTCTGACAGTATTAACTTTCCTGAGCCAAGCGAATGATAAAGACTACAGGACTCAGACGCCACCTGCTTTAATACAATACCAGAGGTGATTCTTTGCTGTAGTGACAAATAGAGATTGAAGTTTTAAGTTGCCTTGGGAGATTGTGTAGTGATGGTGAAGAGAGTGTATTGACAGCTTTATGCTCCCTGTTAACTACTGCTGCTCAGCGTTGTCTGCTGTAAATTCGACACTGGGAACCGTAGTGCACAGGAGGGAGAACTGCAATGCATTCCAATGTGGAGCCAGCCAAGGTCCCAATTTAATGTTGTGAATGAGTCTACACCTTTACAGAGCAGGGGAGGTCACACTGTTACCATGGTCACTAAATCACAGTCAATCTGAGAGAAAAACAAGTTTATAAAACCAGTATGAAGACGTAAGTGGATAAGAAAACAGGTGTGTGGATGGAAATCAGGGTAGATGGTGCTTTCTCTTGGCAGACTACTTCATAACTCTAATTATTATCTAAATTAATACAATGTGAGAGTGTTTGGCACTGTGCTGCCAGTTGATTTATTGGGGAAATGGAAAAATAAAAAATCTCATAAGCTCGGATAGAGCTGGGCGATATGGGAAAAAGTTTATCATGATACATTTTTTTCATATCAGCCAATATCGATATATATCATTGTATAAAAAATGAAATTTAACAGTGTTTATTGGTAGCATGTCTTTTGCAGTACAACAAGCCACTGCATCTGTGAGGTCTTTGTGTCTCTTCAACGTTTTATCGTAAGGCGTTACACTAAAGAAAGCGGACTGAATGGTCGGCTGTTTCTGCTGAACAGGCACCATGGGCTCCTTGCTCTGCTCAGGGTTTGTAAGCTTTTGCATAGTGCGTGTTCTGCTGCATGGCACTGCTTCAGGTGGTGAAAAAGATTTGAGGAATTCCCTGACTTTACGAGAACATGTATTTGACATAATTTGCAGTGCACATTACTCTGCTTCATGTCCGACCTTAAAAAAGAAAAAATACCTCCACAACACAGACGTTTTTGTGCCAGTGTTGTCAGCGATGTCATCATCTGTTTAGCCTTCATCTGCATTTCTGCTGGGGGTAGCACTAATTTTCTTTTTTTCTCACCGACAGTGCTGTCGACTTCACGTGTTAAAGTGCTATGGTTGCATGTACTTGGTTCTAATTTAGCACATGATTGGTTCAGCGCAAAGTGGACCTAGAGCAACTCCCCTTTTCATTGGCTATTTGTATAGTCTACCAAAACATGGCAGAATGCCGACTATTGAAAAGCATATTGACCATGTTTTATATTGATATTGAGGGAAATTAATTTTCGATATATCAGTATCATTTTATCGCCTAGCCCTTAGCTTGGATGTATTTGAGGCCCTGTATCAACCGGAGTCCTGGTTCATCTTCCTGCTGTGAGCAAAAGCTTTAAAGCAGAATTTATACACTGTATTTTCAAGGTCTTAAGTAATAGCTTCTGTCAATATCAGTTTATTCAACTCAAATTCAAAGACATGAACATGAGTGCTGATAGTCAAGCAGAGAAGTAGATAAGGGTCAGCTGAGTTAAACTTCTGAAACATTTTATCTGCTAATCTTTTCTGGTTTTACTTACATTACTTGTTTTCTTGAAATAATTTTAGTGTATAATGTAAAAATAAATTGTGTTTCAGTGCCTTTTAATTTTGTGACTTCTTAAATCTCTTTATTTTGGCTTTTGTTCATGATTTAATGGCCTGAGTGTTTTAATCTGAGGCCATTTGAAGCGCTTTGTTTCTAGGATTTTATGGTGACATGGTGAAGAAGTAACACCAGAAACTTAAAAAGTTTGTGAAATGAAATACAGCGGGATTAATATTAAAATTTCTTCCTGAAGTTTTATAAGGAGAGCTCTCCAAACCATCATAGTGACTTTGTAGCACCCTACAATAAAAAAGCAATGACCTTTCAAATGACTGCTTTAATGCAACAGTTAAACTTTAACTTTTTCTCCTTTTAATGTCAAACCGAGGTTACGTCCAAACTCATAACTTTTATAACTCTATACCCTCTGCTGTGCAAAATCATAATTTCTTGCTTGTAATGGAACAAGACTTTGAAAGGCATCGAAATGTCCTTCAACATTATGTCTGAACAAGTGTGTGAAACCTGATAACACTCCACAGAGGGTCAGAGCTTGCTGAGCCGGCCGCGCTGGCACCGTCACTGCCACTGGCTCTGCGATTAAGCCACGGGAGCCATTTTGGGGCTGATTATTCATGGTGCTACTGTACTGATGTTCCACTACACTGAATTCTCTCATTAGGTCATCCAGCTCTAAAGGCCATTAAATTTTCAGTCAGTATGAATAAGTCAGGGAGCTCTGCCTCTGATCATGCAGTGAGAAGAGTCCCTAAACTCATCATAGGTGCTCTGCATTAAAAAAAAAAAAACTGAACTTTCAGCACAGGAGTAACATTTCCCCAATTAAATATGGGAGAAGGCCAGCGGATGGCGGCAGGGTAGTTTCTTCCTTAGATTTAAAGCCTAGCATGTGGTGCCAGACAGCATTTCTTGAAGTATCGATCAGAGTTTTAGCCGTGGGTAAATGACTCCCAATGGGATCTCCATGGTAACCAGAGCAGTGCCAAGCAGCCGAGTGTCTAAGTGACTTAATGCAGATATAAATCCCCATTCCAATCAAGGCCATTTTATTTGCGGGCTCGAGCGAGGCAATGCGTCACCTGCAGTACTGCACATTTCTGTCGATAAAGTCCTGTCAAATCGGCTGAATGCATGCTGCTGTGATGACACATGATTTATAATGTTTACTTCTAGGGAACACAATGGGGAATCAATGGGAAGTTAAAACAGTCGACATTTTGGATCACTATCTCTCTGTGGTTAATTATTTTTGCTTTCTAATACATAGATAAGTTATGATTTACATGTGGATAACAGACAGGGTGAGTTCACTGTGATTCAGGCGTGTTCAGAAAAAACTACATAATCTATTTAATATAAAACCAAATTCCGTTCAGTTTTATTTCTACAGCACATTTCATACATATGCACACTTAACATGTTTTACAAGGAATATAGACAAACATACAAATCAAATACAAAACAACAAAAAAACACATTTATTAAATAACATTTAACCAACCCATACAGCCGGTACAACTGTCCGATTAAATGTTAACAGTCATACTAATAACAGAATTAAAATGGGCTTTCAATATTTTTTTCTAAAACATACTAGTTGTTGCGATGCTGATTTTAGTAAAGTCGTTTGAACTGAATTGAATTGAATATGTTTAAGTGATATTTTGAGTTTAGTTTCATTTAGTTATTTGATGCTCTGTGAAGAGATGTGGCGCTATGAATCACAGCTTTCCTCAAAAGTTTGGCTCCTGCAGCTCGTGGATTTGCTGTGTAAATGGTGAACAACAAGCTGAGACATAGTGAACACTAACACAAGAGTTACTGAACCTTTCCTAATATGGGTGTCCACTTTAGACCATCACAAACTGTTTTGCTGTGGGAAGTACAGGTCTGAGGATCCTCTTTGTTTTATTGGTAAATTGCATGTCAGTGGGTTAGGGTTAGAGTTAGTTCTACAGCTTTAAGAGATAATCTAATCTCCTGGCTCCAAATGACAGCCACTGCATCATTCTTGGAGTATTTTGGTTTCACTTTTGTGCAATAATCGGAGGTTCATTTGGTTCATGACTCTCAATATACAGTCATTGGTTAATAGTCAAAACCAGGAGACTATTTGTTCATAGTTTCAGGTCATTTTATATCAGATACTTCATTTTAAGCAGTGTGAAGACTCAGTTTACTAATTGATTTGAGCGCATAATACTTTTTTGTCTAACCAAGGTCATATGTGGAGTGGACCTCTTTGCACATCTTCTCTTTATATATATCGAGTAGGATCATAACACTGACACTCCTCACAGCTTCTTTCCAAAGAGTAACAAACACACATCAGCCTGCATACTCTACTTTAACCTCTCCTTTTGTATTCTTTAACTAATTAAAAAATACATTTAATTGACTAAACTGTAATTTTGACCCTGGCCAGTCGGCATCAGACTTACTAGTCGTTTAACCATTTATTTTTAGTTATTGCATTTCACACATCAACAATTACTCAAGTTGAAAATGGAGACTTCAGGTTCCATAACAGTCGAATATTTCACATGTAGTGAAAGAGTGATGAGGTAAGTTGAAAACTCTCATTATTTTTGGTCGCTAGCTTTCCCACAATTAATTGAGGTTGTTTTATATTGCATATGAGCATTTATTATGCCTTCTTACCTTGCCTCATACATATTGTGAATAAACTGGCATGGGCAATTTACATGAATTAAAAATGAACACTCCTTACAGCTTCTACCTAATGGCGTAAAAGAATTATAATCCAATGCTTTCTAACAAATATAGACTCGTCTAAGAATGACTTATTTACCGACTGAACAGCACGACAACCATAGCACCTAATGCAATCAGCTTAAATGAATGAAAATGAATCAGAGTGGAACGTCAAGGGGAAGTAGGAGGGTAGGAATTGGACTCTACACCCCAATGTTTGTTGGTGAGTGAAGCCAACTTTGCAATAGAAAGCATTTCATTGGTCTTCGCTGGCGGCCAGAAAATGACCCGAGAAAACAAAGACGAATGGAGCCATTGACTTCAAATACGACCCCTTGAAAACACAGCCAGAGCCTTATCCATCGCCATCTATTATATTCATGAGTGTGACCCGCAGGGGGCTGGAGGGGGTTGGAGAGGGAGGTGATAGGCGCCCACCTGCTCCACTCAGCATCTAAGACACTAGCTGCCAGTAGATCAAACAGGCCTCCTCGCTCCCCTCTGTTCTCCCCCCTCTCTCCGGCACAAGTCCCATATAGGAGGCGACTGACCCACTTTCCCTCCCTCCCTGCGCTATTACCTGGAGAAAATAGACTGATGTTGTGTGTGAGTGTGTTGGGTGAACAAAAGCTTCTCATCTTCACTTACTGTACAGAGATGAAGGCAGAACTAGGACTCCAAAGGAAGCATGTCATATCTTATCAGATGCTCTTGCATGTAAGATTGTCTCTTTAATGGCGTGTCATGGCCCAGTCTGTGTTTCACTTGTGCGCTGCAGCAGTTGATGTTAACCGAGCTCACACACACGCAGGGCATTAACAAGGGGGATCTCATCAGGTGGGCAGCGTTGATTCGAAATCAACTCGACACGAGACAAATTTGCCAACAAATGGATAATTTGCCAAACACTGCAGGTCTAAATGAAAGCAGAGATGCTGCGTGAATTCCACCATGCTGCTGTAAATTGTTTACAATCCTCAGGGCTTTATAGGAGGTAGAGCCATCGCTCATTGTTTTCTCAGGATTAGATTGATATTGATTGACTCTGACAGCTAGCATCATGATACTTAGCAGGAGTGACCATTTCTCTTTCACCCGGCTCTGACTCTCCCTCTCTTGGCTCTTTTTTTTTGTCAGACTTCTTACCACTTTCCATTTTCTTCCTGCTTTTTAAAACCCCTTATAACATGGGCTTCATTTATGTCCTCTTAACTCGAGATCTCCTTTTCTTCCAGGCCTCACATGGTGACAGAGTACATGGGCATCAGGAATGAGAGCTTCATGAAGATCGCTGCAGTGGGAACCTGGATGGGCGACTTTGTTACTGCTTGGATGGTAAGATATAGTTCAGTCTGATGCAGCCCAACCATCATATAGCCTAATTTGCATTTGTGAGATAAAAAGAGATTAAATTATGCACCACTTAAGGCAAAAACTTGCATTTTTAGTCTGCATTAATAAAACATGTTACGTTCCACTTTTTCGCCATAATATGATTTGTAATTATATATATTATTATCACTCCCAGAAGGTAAAATCACATTACTTTGGTGATCTGTTGGCTTGTTTTACCTTCCTGGTCAGTTCCAAGATGATAGGCTGCACTTTATACTTTATACATTACTACATGTTAATCATAATTAAAGGGACTCCAGGCTACGCCCCAAACCATTACCCTCTGTGTGCTCTGATTTGTCCTCAATGGAGCCCTATTTAACCCAATGATTACATAAGTGACCTGGATATTGAGTTCTTAGATCGTTGCGGTTATTTCATGTGACAGTTTTTGTACCAGTGAAGTCCTGCTGCTTATTTAAAACAGCAGTTCAAGCAGAAAGCCTGCTTTTTTTCTTTTCTTTTCAAGCACCTTTGCTATATCCACCTCTTTGATACATACTGTGGAGCCTGAAAGTGACAGGTTTCAGGTTTATTAATATTTTATAAAGAGTAAGCCTCTATACACCAGTGTCCCTTATCTAATAATGTTCAGTACAAGATCACTTTTTATTACACCGTTTTGGTGTCATAAAGTACAAATAGCACTTTAAAGACCTGCTCCTATGAAAACCGTGTTTTTCACAGTGTCTACATGTTCAGTTTTTCTGCTGCCAGAGGACATTTTATGAGAAAACTAAGAGCAAAAATGCATTTCTGAGTATCTCTGCATTCAAATCAATGTGAACCTCTCACAGACCCAAACGGCAGGTTTAGACACAGAGTGATTTCCTACATCATAACTCCAAGCTCCGCCCCTGGAGCCCTGCTCTGCAGGTCAGACCCAAAAAAGTACAGAAGACAATCGCGGAAACAAGCATGTGTGTTAGCGAATAGCAATGCTCGTAAGAAAGCTAATTATGATATTAACTTTCATGATGCCCCCAAAGACATTAGTGTCCAAGAGCTGAATAGCTCCTATGTTACCTGCCACTTCTACTACACCGGCAATGTTAGGCTGCAAGCTAGCATGAAGAGGAGTGTGCAGAGCTGTCTCCACCCACAACTAAGAGGCAAATTGATAATGAGCTACTGAAACTCTGCAGAAGAAAAGCCCTCATAATTAAAGATCACTGATAACACTTTAAAGGGTAAAGGAAATACGATCGGAGTGGGACTGTAAAAAACTTGGGGTTGAATCTTATGCAGTGTTAAGTTTGGTGGAATACTTTTTTGACTTCCAGTTAAGAGATGGTGTTTTTCCTTTTTTCATATATTGAAAACAAATACAAAGTTAAAATGTTGGATTTCAGGACTATACAAAGCAAAGATTGCAAGTTTAATGTTTGTTGAGTAATCCCCAGATGGGACAACAAGCTACTCTGAATGGCTTGTCAAAAAAGTCCCATGAGAATTCAGTGAGATCAATATGAGGTTTACTCAAACTGGGACATTTTCAGACAGTAAATCTCATTAAAAGGACAAACTTGTCATTTTCTGTCCAACTTCTCACAGCGAGGGACATGTGTGCAAACTCAACTCGCAAAATTTTCAGGACAGAACTCATGAAATTTTTCTGGAGCACATGTTTGTTAACATTTAGTAACATTTAGCTGTGATTTTGTGATGTTTTTGAAATGTTAATGTAACCACTGATACATGTTAATAGTATGGGCACGTTAAAGCTCCTGTTAGGAACTATTGGTTTGTGTGAGTTTTGGCGCCCCCTCTGGACAAAGCAGTTTCTGCTAATGGTGTCCTTCATTTTTAAGTTGCGTCTTTTGACAAAAAACTCATCCTGCTGACTTTTCACGCTCTAATTTTAGACATTTTGTGATTACTGCAAATAGTAGAAAAAAAAAACTGTGTCTCCAGATGAAAACTACCCCTCTCACACTACTTTCAGAAGTTACAAAATTAAAAACTAAAAGTTGTCTATCTCATCGCTGTTGGTCTTGTTTGCTGTGCAACCCGCAACCGAACCCTCAGAGGAACATGGAGTTTGATGTATGGAGGGTCAGAGGAAACAATGGATGCACAGGGAGGAAGTGAGAGTGCTGGAGGAGAAATCTCCCTCTATTCATTTGTCAACACAAAACATGGAGGAGAGCTTCAGCGGGGGTGGACTACCTGTGGTGGGAGGAGTGAGGCTCTGACACTAGCATGCTCACGGCTGAGACATCTTGACAAGCTCCCTCACTGGTCACATTAGTATTCTACGGTACACGCTGCAGAGAAAGAGAGCAGCAAAAGGAGAAACAGGAGAGAAGGGAGGGGGAGGTGTGGAGGTAAAGAGGAGGAAACGGAGGTGAAGGGGAAATGTAGAAGTCTGGTCAGAAGGAAGGCGGGGAGGATGCAGGGAGTGAGAAGGTGAATCAGGGAGAAGGTGTGAGTTTTACAGAGGGGAGACTCGGCCGAGGCAAAGTGCTGATATCAGATATTACTCACAAGGTTTTTTACATTCCATTAATTCAACGAGCCTCTTTGAAGATGACCTCTGTGTCTCCTCTGCAGAGCAGATTTACAGTTTGTCTTTACTACCTAAATGAATAGGAAGTGTCTGTTTTTGCAATGCTGCATCCCCAGAAACGTTTCATAGATTGGCTGATTCAAATCCTTTTCCAACACAAGCTACAGTATCTGCAGTGAGGCGCTTTATTGACAAACTGACCTTGACTCTGCAGCAGCTCTACACAAAGAAGACGAGGGATTTTTATGCACAGGAATAATGAAAAAACAACCTTTTGATCCAACTTTGCACCAGTTAAGAAAATCAAATGTTTAAGAGACTTTATAACATCAGGGCTGACAGTGTGGGCAGTAGAAATAAAACAAAAGATTAACATTAAAAACGGGACAAGCTCATTTTTATTCATGATAACAGGAACTTAATAGTATTCACACATTTAATTCAGTCGAGAGAATAGTTTTGAATTAAAACTGTGATTTTTCATAGGTCACGCTGCTGTTTATCTCTGTCGTTTAACATTGTTGTTTTTATGAACTATCCATTATGTAGAATAAAAGTATGAGTACAGTCAAAACAGCCAAATGTATGTGGACACTTGAATATTAAACTCATATATGGTTCTTAGATTTTTGCATTCAGTTGCTTTCATAAAGACTTTTCTTGTCATGATAACAGCATCCAGTTTATTTTGAAGGTTTTGGATAGGGTTGAGGTTAGAGCTAAGAGCAAACTGTGAAAAATAAATATATATTTTAAATGGACTTCAATGTGCAAGGGGCCATTAAGACCCAAACACAGAGAGTGACCCTGACTCAAATGTAAGCCACAGAGTTTGGGGTCCACTTAACCCACACTCTAGCGGGAAAAAAGTCAAATCCAAAATCTGTCTGCTTCTGAACAGCAAAGATGGGCAGTCTGAGTTTATCCAGTAGAAGTGGGATGTTGAGGGTCTGCAGCACGGTCTGTCTCTTATGTTTTTTGCTTTATGCGTGCAAATATCATTGTTGTTGAGCGAATGTGGGCCAAGCTGAACCGAACACAAGTGCCCACTCAATGAGCCTGATGTACTGGCTCTTGCTGCCAATCCGTCTATAACATCATGTCTGGGTTTTAAGGGACATTAGGGGCATTGTGGTGAAATACATTACTTATCGGTGGTACGTTAACTCTGAGATGAGGCTGTAACAGGATTGTTTTCACCTTGTGTTCACTCCAAATCATACACTACTGTGATTATTTTTAACTTTTTTCCCCTCCTATAAAGTTAGGGGATCGTAACACTGGTATGTTGGCCAAGTACTCAAATCATTTGAATCTCCTTTGTTGAATTTTTACCAAGAAACTGAACTGTGAAGGTTGAAACGTCCTTGAAAGATTAAATGTCTTTGAATTAACCCTCAATCATTTTTCATAGGATCCTTATAAGATATTTGACATGTCCTCTTCTTTGCAGGTGACAGACATGATGCTTCAGGATCAGCACTACCCAGACTGGGGCAAAGCAGCAAGAAGGTTCTGGAAACAAGGCAACAACAGGATTGTTCTCTTCTGGTATTTTAACACCTTACATGTCCATCTTTAATTGTATGTGCGAGACTTTGTACCTGTTTCTTTACCAACTAACTTTGGAAATGAATCTCTTGTTCCTCCAAGACTCTGGAGATGCGTGTGCATGTTTGTGTCCGCGTGTGTGTGTCGTGCATGCATATGTAGTCTCTCCATCCCCGTCACAGAGCAACATGCAGTCAATAGCCGTGTTAATCTTCCCTCAGTCAGTGTCAGCACCTTTAATTAGAGGAACAGGGGAAAAAATCAATGGACACAGCAAGGTCGCGGGGTAAACCACGGCCCTGCTTTTTACTTCTCGTACCGCAAGCTGTGACCCTTAAATAAGTGCTAAACAAATGCTGCACACCATGTCTGATATGCCCATTACGAGAGGGCTGAGTAGGAGCGTTTGCCTGTTTAGATGGGCTACACCGCCAGCGTACGGTCCCAGCGGCGTTCATTCATCAGAGTGCCTCAGCGCTGTCAGTCAGATACGACATGCAAACGCCTCCCAAGTGATTCAGTTTGGGTTACACTGGGAGGTGAAGGACGTGTGAAGAGGAGGATACGGCTGATGCAGTTTGACTTCTGTTTGATATGTAAGCAGAGGCATCTGTAACTTCAAAGACATTAAAAAAAATCCCTTTTTCAGGATTGATTCACCTGCAAGCCGCCAAATTTTCCTGCAACCTGTCCCGCAGCCCTTCGTTTTATCGACGGATGCTTCGACTCGCACTGTCACAATCAATGCCAGATTTGCGTTTAAAATTCGAAGCTTGAAATATTTTTGTTAAAGCGTTGCTGGATATGTTTCATCGATATTGGCTGCAGGGTCACGGCAAATTGTAAAATCCAGCTCCAAAAAGTCGGCTATGCTGAGGATAAGAATCCCAGGGTGGAATAATAATAAGAGCCCCCAAAAAATGTATTCCTCTAACTGCTGGAAAGAGGATCCAAGCTGGCAGTCAGTATCTGCAATGCAGCCTGCTGATGTTTGGAGTGAGAAAGCACACAACAGCACAGTAACCACTGGGTGACATTGAGACGAAATAGACAGAAGAGAATAATACTGGCCTTTGTCGATGTGCCTCGCTTCAGATGGCAGAGGATTTTTGCTTCCAGTATACACTGAATGCAGAATTACAGCAGTACGGTATAGAACGCAATTCAGGGGACAAAATGCAAAAAAAAAAAACAGCAATCACTGCATCCAGGTAAAACGAAATATGATATGTTATATATGTAAATATATGGAAATCTGTTCACAGTATGGTTTGAATTTTATTATATCTGCATTTACAAACTTTATCTCAGTGAGCATTTATCTTCCTGTGAAAGCTTTACCTGCTGGCATTTTTCAAACCCAAGTGAAATTGTTGTTCGATACATTATTCAGTCCATGGGAAGGAGGAACTAAACACCACTTGATTTATTCTTTCTCTCATTTCACATGGTTGAGGACGCAGAGCTGTTTGTCTTCCAGGACACACAATATAAAGTGTGCAGCTGGTCCAGTCTGACAAGATACAGGAGACATCTGATTTATTCGTACTTTGAAATGGACAATATTTGCTTTTTCTCCTTTTCTATCCTTCAACTATTCGTCCCTCTTCTTTTTTTTCTGGGATTTCTCTCCTCTCCTGTCCTCTTTTGCCTTTTCTTCCCCCTTTTCTCCTAGCTTTACTGTCTACTTCCCTTACATCCTCACCTCCCCTCCCCCAACTTTCCCTGTTTTCCTCTTCCTTTACGTAGCTGAACCTTCCTAATGTCTTTCCTTATTCTTCTCCTTTCATTTCTTTTCTTTTACTTTCTTGCTTCTTTCTATCTTCTCTCTATCCTCTCGTCATGTTTTCCCTTCATCTCTCCTTCAATTTCATTCTTTACTCACTCTTTCACTTTGCCCCCCTTGCCTTTTCTATCAGTTTATTCCTGCTTCCTTTCTGCTATTTTCTAGTCTTCCTTTTCCTCACACAGTCTCTTCTTTCTTCCTTGTTTTCACCCCCTTCTACTTTTGTCTTAAGTCCTCTCTTCTCCCCTTCTCTACTCTGAATAATTTTTTTCTTCCCTTCACACGTGTCCCATCATTTATTTTACTCATCCTTTTGACCTCTTTATTTTCTTTTTTTCTTTGCTATTTTTCTTTTTTATTCACTATCCTCATCTCTTCGTTTTCTCTCCTCACTTCTGTGTCTTTCCTTATGTCCTGTCTGTGTCTTATTTATCTAACTGGACTAATCATGTTTTGTGTTCTTACTCTATCTCTTATACTTAAATACCTCAATTCATAAATGTATGAATATATATATATATATATATATATGTATTTGTATGTGTATTTGTGCAAATAATATTTAAATGAATTATGTATGATATGTAAATGCATTCTGAATTCATATTTACTTTGTCTATTATTGTGCATTCATACCTGCTTCCATATTGGTCTAATTTTATGTGCATCTATAATATGGATGTTCCAAAACAACTCTTGTACGGATGTAAATTCAAACTCACAATCTAGTCTAAAGAAAAGAAGCTCTCAAAAAAACAGTTAAAAGTAAGCATCATTTAGTTAGCAGTGGTATCACAATGTGTTGCTAAAACTAGCAGAGCTAGCACCACTAGCCTGTGTTCAGCTAAATGTACTGTTACACATTGCTCTGGCTGGGTGGTTATAAGCCAGTAAATGTAGCTAACATAAAACTTAATCTCAGTTTCGAGATCAAAATGTTTCCTAACTATGGCGTGCTATAAGATATAAACTGTCATTTTTGCTTGTTTACATCCAGGTTAGAGCATTGTGACATTATAGCATTAGCATATTAGCAGTAGCCAGCAACCAGGGCTGGAACCATGGCTAGTGGTAGGTTGATGTGTGACAGCTTAGTCACAACACATGTAGAAGATTTCTTACTACGATAATATATGTATTTTTGGTAGCACTTTATTTGATGCCTATCTTTATAACGCATTATAAATATATTTATAATGCATTATAATCACATTATAGCACTGTATAACTACAGTTTTAAACACTCACAATGATCAGGCTTTATAGCAATAATCATAACACATTATAAAGCATTTTATCATGACTTAGACGGTCAGGTATTATTATGTGTTATAACTGTTAACAACAGTTGCATTGCATTATCTATGTGGGCGTTGTTAGTGAGTTGTTAACAGTTATAACACATTATAATACCTGACGTTGTAAGGTATGACGAAATGCTTTATAATGTGTTATTATTATTGCTATAAAACATTATGATCATTTATGAGTGTTTATAACTATAGTTATACAGTGCTATAACGTGATTGTAACGTATTATACATATATTTATAATGCGCTATAGAGATAGGCCTCAAATAAAATGTTACCGTATTTTTATTTTGGGGCTTTTGTTAAGAAAGTAGCAACAGAGTGGAATCAAACCTGGTCTACCTACATATGTGGGGAACACCTGATTGATCAGCATCTAAACTAACAAATAGCATAAATGTTCATTTTGGTGCAGACTCATTAGGGTGATGATGTTTCATTGACGAATCACCAACGTCGACAGTCTGTAAACTGTGTGTTCATGCTACACTCCTAATCATACAATGGCTACATTGTTATGATTGTGTTATTACATTTCCCTTTAGCGTTAGTATACGTGACTGCTCATATAACTATTACTGTCACCCTGGCATCCCGAGGACAATGTCTGGTGTTTTTTTACTATGTTCAAAGTCAAGTAACTGCAATGATGCTTTCAGAGTTCTACTGTATGCATATATTAGTATAGTCATTTTATGTCGTTTCTGCTAAAGTAATCTATAATGTCCCCACAGGGATTAATCAAGTATTCAGTATTGGTCTCCATCTATTTTTTAATCCTATCTATCCCCTTCACTATTTTTGCCTCTCCTTTCCACTCTTCTCTTCCTCTCTCTTCTCATCTCCCTGCAGGACAGTACTCATCTCTCTGACATCGGTGGTGGTTCTGGTCATCAGTACAGACTGGATCAGCTGGGACAACCTGAACCGCGGCTTCCTGCCCAGCGATGAGGTCTCCCGAGCCTTCCTGGCCTCCTTCATTTTGGTCTTCGACCTTCTCATTGTCATGCAGGTAGGCCGCTCCCATGTGGCCAATTAAAACCAGGGAGCTGGGACGCCTCTTGGCTTCTTCTTCTACCCATCATGCCAGCTCTCCTTCCTCCCTCCTCCCTCTTTATTCATCAATGGGGCACTGCGGCACAGAGCGGCAAGATTGGGGAGTTTGATCGCTGTCAGCTGGCATGGACACAAACACACGGACACGCACATACACCCCCAAATATAGACTTAGAACAAACTGTTGTTTCTTTATATCTTTTTTTAGTCCCCTATCCCTCTTTTTTTCCAAACCACAGCCACACACCCCCCTCATCCTCCCTCCCTCCATCCTCCCTCACTCCCCTGTGAGCTCAGTTTATTTTCTTTAATGATGACTCACTAGATATTTTTCAAGAGTTTTTCCTCACTTTTTCTCCCCCCCACCTCGACTGTTTTTTTCCCACTCAGTGTCCCCCCACCCTCCCACAGGAGAGTGTGCATCAATAAAGCCTGTGTCAGTGCCTCATGAATATGCAAATGTTTTTGTCTGGGCAAAAACACACAAGTGAGAGGAAAGAGTAGGAGAAGGCCTTTTTTTTTATTATTTCTAACACCCTTAGCCAGGAGGCAGTACTGCAGGCCAAACATGTATGTGGTTTGACGGCGAGCCTAATTCAACATGGCTCCTCCAATTGCTTAATGAGCATATTCTGTTGGTATGTATTAGAGGACGCACTGCAAACCTAACATTTGGTTGAACCCTGAATATATGTTTCTTCTATGTTGATTATGCTAATTACAACAAGCTTCAAATTGCATCCTCTAGTGTTACAAATTCACTTGTCCACAGGAACCTGGCAAAGACAACACTATATTTACCATGGTAAAATGTATTAGTACAACAGCAGCATTAAAAGTGGTTCCTAGACTTACTTATTGAAACAATTCATTATTTTAAGCAGGGCCTCCAGCTGCTCGGGCCGGTAATTACTTCACTCTGTGCTGTTTTTCTCATTCATTTACCCAATTATTGCGATTATGCAGATATATAGAAACTGCTCGGCAGTCAGTGTGCGAGCGCTCCCTCTCAAACATGCCGGTGTCTTCCTGAAACCAATTTTTTTCTTCCTGCATAAGCCACAGACCTGATGTGACATGAAGGGCATGCTCCCTATTTTGACATCTCCGTTTAACTTTCCCGAGCCGGTCTGGCCCCGCGGCTTCCTCTCCCATTTCACTCAGCGGTATATCATCTCTCCACCAGCATGGATCTGTTTACGACTGACCCTTCTCATTTTCTGCACACTGTACAGCAAGCATGTTTATTACGTGTTATTTATGACTGCGTCGTAACATGGCTGAGGCTCTGGTGTCCGTTGCTCCGTTCCACCAGTCAATAAAAATTCATCCACCATGGCCTGCCAACAGCTTCATCCTCCTCCGTGTTTGGAGCTCAGGATGTCATAGTTAATCCCTCGCTTTCATGAGAAAAGATGGGTTATGTTGTTCACAAACTAATTAATGCTTTAATTAATGACCTGTCTGGATTTGCCTGCAAGCTGGGTTTTACTTTTTTTTCATAGTTTTGTGTGTAATTGGTCTTCATTCTTCCCGCTGAATGTCAGATTGGTGTCCTTTGTGTATATGCTTACACACATTTACATACAGGGATGATATACCCTTCCTGTTTACCGTTCTCATGTTACAAAGACTCATTATTTTGTCTATGGGAGGTGCATGGCTCAGAATGTCATGCCTGTTAGTGCTTTAGCAACACATACTGCCTCTATGGAAGACTTAATTAATATCCAGGGGGCCATCACCAAGCTGTTGCGCTGTTCACAGATATTGGCATGGGAGACTCAAGATCACATGAGGATAAAGTGAATGCAGACGTACGGTAATGTGATGCAGAGGCTGCGAGTAACGGGGAACTGAGGGGAAATGTAGCTAATCTATAAATGAAATTGTTAAAATTATGCATGCATTTTCTCTCCTGAAATAGAGATGATAAAAGCTAATTGCAAGATGATTAAGTCAGCTCTGCAGAAAGAAAGAAAGATTCTTGTAACATATTAATTTCCCCCCTTCACCTGTCTCTGTGTGTGTGTGCGCGCCGTCTTAATAACAAGCTTTGATTATACTAAGTGACTAATTACAGGTGTGGGAGGACTCTTACTAACTACATGAAAAATAAACTTAACTGCAGTCTGAGTGGAGCCAAAGACATGTTTACTGTTTGGAATTGACTTTAAAATAAAGCTCCTGTAAGAAAATTTCAGACTGTGTCAACTTTGGCCCTCCTGTGGATAAAGCACTTTTTTAGGATCTTGTCCTCTACATTCTTACCTATTGTCGTCTGACAAAAATTCTCATCCAGCTGACTTTTGGTGATTTAGTATATGATTTATTATGAACTTTGTATGTGAAAAATGTAAAAACAACCAGTTTTCCAGCTGTATGGCTGAAACCTAGGCATTGAAAACTACATATTACAAGTCATTATTCTTGTCTCTGATGCTTTTGTTTTCTTTTAAATATCATAATGAGGCACTAATATGAATTTCAGTCTATTGCATGAAGGCGCAAATGATCCTCACAGATCCTCTATGAATATTGAGTCTAAAAGTTTTGATGCAGCAGTTTAAGGCTGTACTGATTTTTTTACTGTCTTTTCTGCTGTTATTTAAACAATAAATTAATTATTACTCTGTTGGGTTACTTTACCTCTTAAGCTTTATGAGTTCCTCTTAATGATCTCTGATGTCGCTGCCAAAGTCAAAAATCTGTTCACAGTGCCGTTCCCTTTCCTTGTGCAAGTTAACATTTTGAAGATCTTGGACTTGCGAAGGAAGAGGAAATATGTAAATGAACTTTTCTTGCCAAGCGTAAAAATGTTTTTCCAGATTTAATTTTGTACATTTATGCAGGTCCGCCTCATTTAGAGTTGTCACAGCAATTATCTGAAAGTTACTACCCACAAAGTACATACATGTTAGAGTAAAAAAAAGTGACAGCGCAGGGTACGGTCAGCTTCTTAATGTTCCTTTTTGGATATGATATGACACTTTTAGTGCATATTAGTAGACTCCACAGGCCTGTAAACACACCATGTCTGAGCTGCTGTCAGTGCATGCAGAGACCCCACAGAGAATTAATATCAGCTAATATGAGGGAGTTCAGTCAACTCTTCCACATACAGTACAGCAGGATACATGCTTGACATTTCTCACGCTGATGTGGTTACTGAAATTTGTCCAATTTTTTCACAGCCAAGGCTACATTATTACATCGGAGGGTAAATCTAACTGTGTGTGTGCTCGTGTGTTTCAGGACTGGGAGTTCCCTCACTTCATGGGTGATCTGGATATGAATCTACCAGGGATGTCAACCACGCATGTAAAGGTCAAGCTTCCAGTCTGCAAGCGAATCTTTAAAGAGGAGTACCACATCCATATCACAGGTACGGACTGACCCTGAAACAGCTTCTGCATACAAAGAACAGACGTCTCATGGTGTCATAAGGAGGCTTTACAGCTCTCTGGAATAATACAAGCGACTGAGAGAAGTTGCTTCGGGTCCTCGACATCATCACAGTCAACTTGGTATTTAAAAGTTGTTATTAGATTCAAAGAGTTGGAGATTTTACAAATGATCACTTCATAGACTAGAATGATAAAGGAATAGAATATGGGTTACTGGTTTCTTTACAGACAGTGTAGTTCATAAAATAACTATTGTGCAGTGCCTTTCAAACCCCACACAGTTATATCTACAGGAGTAGGAGTTTGTTAATTTAGGAAATCAATATCTCAACAAAATATTTCTCTTCCAATTCTTTGTGTTTTGTGGCTGTCTACAGAGTAGACCAGTTGAGAGAATTTGAGATTGAGGATGCAGTGGCGTGGACTGGTTATGTGTGGTCAAGGGCATTATCAAAGTAGTACGGTTAATAATAGGAAATTCAGTTAAAAATGGCTGACTATCTGAATATCTGCCAGACCAAAATGACAAATGTTTACTTGGGTCTATTGCATTTGCAAAGTTTGGTGAGTCCTGGGCACGTTAAAGCACCTAAATATGTGGTATTTATGGATATAGGGAAGAACAAAGAAAGAAAGAAAAACATTTTAAAAAGACACAAACAACATAAAGAAAGATGGATAGAAAAGAAACAAAGGAAAAAAGGAACAAAAAAAGAGAAATAATAAAAGTAAAAATGCAAAGAAAAAAGATGCACAAAATAGGTAGAAACAAAAAAACAGAAATTAAAGATAAAAGGAAAGTAAAACAAAAACAGGGACATGAAGAGAAAAAAAGAAAGAAAAAGAATGAAGGAAAGTAAGATGAAATAAAGAAAAACAAATAAAAGAAAAATAAAGAAACAGACAGTAAAAAGAAGGGGAAACAGAAAATTAAAAAGGAAACAAAGACAAATAAATACACAGAAAGAAAGAAAAAAGAAATGAAAAAGAAAGAAAAACATGATCAGTTAAAAGAAGAAAACATTAAGAAAAAAAATAATGAAGAAAAAAAGGAGGGGGAGAGGAAAAGAAAGTAATAAAGACAAAAAAGAAAGGACAGAGTAGCACATGGAAAGAAAACAAAACATAGAAATCAGGGAATGACACAAAAGAGAAAGCACAGCAAGAAACAAAAAAGAAAGAAAGAAAGAAAGCTGCTGACATGCCTTGCAATGTTTGGCCTTTTTAAAAATGTCCATGAGGGAGACAGATCTTTGGCCCATTTTTGACTTGTGTTTCAAACATGCCTCCTCTGCTCTACTTTTCCATCCTCCTCAGTGTGGGAAACACTTTGATGGTTAAACCACAGCAAACATTCATAATACATGTGTAGCTGAGGAGGTACAGATACAGGTAGCTCTGCCGCTCCTATTCCTTGTGTTCCTCCCTGTCGTGCCAGACACACAGCTCATCATCTTTTACATCTCAGCCCTAATGTACTCCATGAGCAAGTATATTTCCCAGTTCAAACCATCCTCCATGTTTCCCCCATTTCGTTCCGCCTGCCTGAACAAGGCTACTCGCAACCATAAAGAGAAGGCAAAACCAATGTTCCTGTGCTAAATGTCGAGCAGTTCAAACGCTCAGTGGTTCGTAAAAGGTTGTTAACCCTAATGCATTGCATACCCATTAAGCATTATGGAAATAGCTCCGGCACGACGTGATTGGTTTAACTAAAAGCTTATTAACAGTATATCTCTGCAAGAGGAAGGGAGCAGTGTCACGTATACCTGCGGAGACATCTGCCTTGAGATCAGTCAACCCGGGGAGATAGTTGCCTCATGGTAATGTAGTGATCTTGTTAGACGATACTATAAAGGAAGTAGCACCTGCAAATGGAGCTATCCATCTCAATGCATGAGCTGCATGCAAAGGAACAGGGATTGCTGTCACATATGAATGTGACTGCACGTACATTTATCTGGATCCGTCCTCTAAATGTTGTGTGGAGTAGACTTTCTCTGTACATCAGTCTGTCTGTCTGTTAAATTATCTGTACAGCTGGGAAAGGTTGTTATCGACCTAAGTGAAGTACCGCCTCTGATCGAAGTGTGATAAAAATAATATATGTCATATTGATAAGAAAGCGAGTTGTTGACATTTTGTCAGCACTATCTGACCAAGACTCAGTCTGAGGTCTTTTGTTCCTTGTTTTTGTCATGACTTGATAATTCTCCTGAAATCTGTGATGATGTTTGTTTGGTTTATACCATAAACTGTACTGAGAGTTTTAACACCATGACAGCCCCTTCAAAGTGAATTTAAAACATTTGAAAGTGGGATATTGTTTCATTGAGATTCTCACAACATGTGAGCCTCGTACTGGGTGGCTTGTAATCAATGATGGAGCAAAACTAAGGAGAGCACAGATAACATCAGCACCAAGTGGCAGCGCAAAATCAATCATCACAACAGCAGTTTTGGAGAGTTCATATAAAACATGAACGTTTTTGTTCTACAATCAGTGAGTTTAAAGAAAGTCTTGCAGCAGACATTTTTCTCTACAGAGGAGTGTAGATTCAGTGCAGATCACACGCTAGTTAACTGGTCTCAAGTGGGGATTTTTATGGGGAAAAAAACTCTAGATAGTTTTCAAATATTCTTTGGCAACCCAAATGATATATCTTGGAGAGCGGCCTAAGTTTCATCTGTCTGGAAAAACACTGATTTAATTGGAACTAAATGTATGTATTTCAAAACACTTCACAGTATTTACTCTTCTCAAGTATGGCCTACATATTCTGTGATATTCTTTACAATGGTTCACAATATCTGATCAGGTTTTAGGATAAAATCTGTTGTTTTCACCCTCCGTACCTCCATATCACTGATGTTGACTTCAGAATACAGGATCATTTTGTCTGTCATGATGGTCATTGTGTTAGACGAGGCAATCACAGAGCCATGAAATCCTGCCATGTTGCAACTAGACTTTTAGACATGACAGGTTGATCTGAAGGTACTTGATCAAACTTTGCAATCAATGGACAACACAAGATAAAATGAGCGATTGTCGGGGCTGGAGAAGTCTGCTCGGTCGGGATACAATTGTGCTGATGTTGTGTCGTCTGATTGAGCTTTGTCTCTTTCTTCGAATCAACCAATCACAGCTTTCTAGGGAGGCTTCTGGCCTTCCTTGCATAGAGATCATTCCTAAATCATCCATATGCAAGGTCTCCTTAAAAGTCTTCACTCACTAGCTCTAAATTCTCCACAAGCTGATCACTACTGTGCAGACTCTTGGTCCAAAATGAGATCGAGGGTGCATTATGTCAACAACAGTCTGTGTAGAGTATTTTAGCTTCTCTTGTCCACCAGGAGATAAGGTGACATTGCATAGTCCGTCCTTATTCAGAGTCAGTGGTTCATAACCCATAGTGAAAAGTCTTATCCTTATATGTTGCTCTCTGTGATCTCATTGGTGGAATGGACAAATTTAATGTTGATCCTCTTTCTGTCTAGGAGTCATAAATATAATTTCATCCTAAATCTGTTACAGAAAAAAATCAGGTGGCTAACTGATGATAGCATCGGGTTGTGTCACATTCTTGGCAGTATCAGGGGCCAGTGCTGCACTATAGTATAGGTGTAACCCTTGGACGCTAAGGTTGATTTTGGCAGCTTTTTAGATGTAGGACTAAAATGTCTGTTAGTTTTTACCACATTTTAGTAATTTTTGCCCTTTTTTTGTTTCAGTCAGTGAAAATGAAAACATTTTACGGTAGTTTTAATCAACAAATGTTCTCAGTGATCGCTAAAAGAGGCAAAAGTTTGATATAAAACCAAGGTCACCCCGGTAGCTGGTTGCGTCTTTGTTATCAACACACACCAGGAAAGTTTATGAATGAAAATGAGAAAGAAATGTAATGGTAGAAAGATTTGTACCAGAGGTGTGCTTGTTCATCTCTTGACAGTTACTTTGTCGTCTAACAGATGTCTAATGTCTTCTTGCAGGCAAGTGGTTCAACTACGGTATCATCTTCCTCGTGTTGATTTTGGACCTAAACATGTGGAAAAACCAGATCTTCTACAAGCCCTACGAGTATGGTCAGTATGTCGGTCCTGGAGAGAAGATCTTTACAGTAGAAGAGCCAGAAACGCTCAGCGAGTTCAACCACAGCACGCTCACCTACGAGTGGCGTTCAACCAACATCAACCCCAGCACCAACCTGACCTACGTGGAGCGGGACATGTTCCTTCATAGTCGCTATGTTGGATCCAGTCTGGACGTCAAGTGCCTCGCCTTCATCCCTAGCCTGGCTGCGTTTGTCCTCTTTGGGTTCTTCATCTGGTTGTTTGGGCGGTTTCAAGATAGCGAGACATTCCCGGAAAACCAGGACAAGACGTACGAAAGGATCAAGAGGAAGTCACCGTCGGAGTACAGCAAAGAGATGGGGGTGACGCCGGAGGAGCTACACATAACAATGACCGACAGTCTGAAACGAACGGGGACTCCCATGCTGCTCTCCGTGGACGGGCCACACTTTGGAGCAACCCCTTCTACCAACTCGACAATTTCTATGGAAACCCAAGAGACACATCCGAGCATTGTTATTGACAGCGCACCGCCGGAGGAGCCAGCAGTTTCTTTTGATGTCCACAAGCTCTCTCCTTGATCCCGTGAACTTTAGAAGCTTCAAATCAACAGAATGCAGATGGGTTAGAAGTCTCAAGACCTTCAAGTGTTGCATTTCAAGGAAGGGGTCAAAAATAACTAGTCCTGAAAGCTTTTACAGATGACTCTATATGAATCTATTTTTGTACAACAATCTTTCCAAAAAGCCGCTTCAAAGGCACCGACCCTGTTAACACCGATTTTGAAACAGAATGCAACCTTTGAATTGACATGGTGCTTGCTTGAATTTTTCATTTTCATATCTCAATTTTTTCATGGTAAACACTAAACTTTGGTGCCTCTTTATAGGACTTTTTCTACAGTTGTCACACTGCAGTCAGATGGATTTTATTGTATCAAACTGGAGTTACAGCTACACTAGTGCCTTTTATATTTTTAAGTTCTACACAGACCTGTCTATACGTAATAGGCAACAATACGGAAGATGTCCTCATCATTGTTCCCTATTTATATATATGACTTATCTATGCTCACATATCATGCAGCAAGTTATTACCTCATTTGACCCTCAGACTTGATGAATATTTATTTATTTTCCTCTAGTGTCTCTTCAGCTTGATTTTTGATTCATTATTCTTCTGTGAATTGCCATAATTTAGACATCAATATAAGATGATGACCCAGTCGTATTCTCACGCGCTTATTATTAGTTGCAGAGACAATAAATGAAATCAGCAGAGATCAAAATCGCAAACCAACAAGCCACCTCGTGATTGCTTCTGTCGCCGCTGCACCTGGACTGAATAGCAACTGAGTCAGACGGCTGGTTTTGCCCTTGGCATAAACATACCATTGAAGTGCAGGGGAGGCTCCTGCTCCAAAGCTCAGGGCTTCTTTATGTCTAGATAAACCTTAAAAGTTTTAGAAGCAGTTTTGAAGTCATGGGAAATGCATGAAAATATTTATTTAAAAATGTTATCCTGCTGTTAAAAGAAACATGATTCCCGAATGCAACTAAAACCTGCAGCATTTATCTTTCCAGTGGCTTTGAAAGTTTCCCTCGCTTTTTTCACATATTTTCACAAGCCTGGCAGTCTCTTTAGAACATATGTTTGGAGTTTTGGGCCAAAAAAACTAGGATGTTCGTTTGTTTTTTTGTATAGTGAAGAAACTAACTGCAATATTACTGCATTACTAACAGAATTATTTAACATCAGTATGTACTTTTCATAAAAGTTTGACCAAGATAATTCAGTATTTTGAACAAATATTGCAAAATTATATGCAACTTTTCAAAGAGATATACTTATGACTGAAAGAGTGTAATAATCTTATATTGTCTTGCATCACTCTGTATTATAATGGGCTGTAATGTATAATATTCCTCAAAATACATTTACCCTTTATGCCTCAGTCCTGGCAGATTTTTGTTGCTTGAGATGTGCCAGTTTAAAGTTATAATCAACAGATAAATTGGTTTACTATTAAAGGCTTTTTCAAATTATTAAATTCCACTTAAAGCTACTGTATATCTAAAAGTCTGAGTAAACAGGTAAAAGATCATTAACTATGTCAACTAATGATCAAAGTCTTTGATCATGAGGAAAATGTCAATGTTAATCTTGCAGTAAAAACATGTTATTTAAAAGGTGTTGACCTTCGTGTCTCTGCCATAGAGAATCCAACAAGTATCCTCATTTTCACATTAACTATATTTTTTATTCAATTTTGGCTTTAATGTAAATATGTGTCACTCAGATTTATGTATATTTAAACTAATATCTCAAATATCCCTTTTTTTCATCAACCGGCAGTGATCAGGCCAGTCAGAGGTCTCGATCTGGCCTTTTGTGGGTCGGGTTCAATTTGATTTTTGCTCACGTGTATTAAAATCAAACAGATATCTTTCAGTTTAAGTAAACGCTGATTGAAAAATATGAATATTAGAAAGTCTGGCTAAGCTATAAGAATTTATATTTGGCAAATTCAGTGATTTCCTTTTTGTTAACAGAGTTCAAATATAACTTAAATCAGTCATTATGTATTTTTTTTAAATTGCTGAATTTGTGATCACAATACACCCAAAAATACTTACTATCAAGTATGATTAACTTAATGAGACACAGGTTGTGTGTGCGGGTATGTATGTGTGTTGTATACATGTACATGAAGGCAAGGCTGTTCATTTACATCCATGAAGGATGTGTTATACCTGATAGTGCATGTTTTCTGTGTATGTGTGTATGTGTGTGTATGCATGTGCACTGGAGGCTTGTCTGTTTCGTGGGTGTTTGCTTCAATGTTTATTTCGATGGAGGCCATTCTGTGAAGAGGTCGGTTTATTTCACATAATTGGTTTGCAGTGTTGAGTTCTGTAATTATCCTTTTATACATTACAGCTCTTAGGACAGCAAATATTAGTGTCTCACCAAAGGGCAGAACCTCTTTGGACTTGAAAGGAGGTCTTATATGTTTGTGATTTATTGTGTTTGTGTCAAATTTATTGGGTTTCCTCTTTGTTGTTTAGACTTTTTTTTTTTTTTTGAGACTGTTTATTCAGTTGCTGTGACTTTCTGCTTGGTTAAAGGAGAGTAAACCCGTCAGTGTTTGTCTGTTTAACCTTTTGTTTCCAATAAATTAATACATTTCTCATACACTGAACTTCTCTTGACTATTTTGTTGTATGAATATAACTTTTTCTTAGATAAGGTTGCAGTCGTTATGTAATTCCCTGAGAGAAAATATTCCCGTTAATGATTTTTTTCCTCCATAAGCTTGTAAAACTGTTGCCAGGCAACAGCACAGGTCAAGTTTCTTGCAGCTGCTGACCCAATTAATCCAGGCGATATGTGAGATAATGATACTATCTTCACAAGGACCCTTAAATATTTCGTCTGCATGCACATGCCACCTGCCTCCTATTAGTATGATATGGCTCTGAGCCTGTCTGCTGGTTGATTCGTACCGCTTTGGGAGAATTGATTCGTGTGTGTTTGTGTTTTTCCTGAGTAGTTTACAGATCATATAAATGTTCAAATGGGAAAAGATTGGATTGAAATTGAACTGTAAAATAAAAGGGAAACCTGTTTCTAAACTGCTACTTAAATCACCAAAGGGCATAATTAGAAATGTATTATCCCAACAACAACCTCAATATGATCTCTTGGATCCTCAGGCTGGTAACAATGAACATGCAAAACAAGTGAGAGCTCAGTGTGTGGACTGTATTTCACAATCAGCTCGCTTTAGCATCTTCAGCTTTCTTTGATAGGGTCTATTTCATCCACGTTTAGTTGTGTTGTTTTTAAAGGGATATTCCGGCGTAAAATTAATTTAGGGTCAAACGCACCGTAACACCAAGTTAGACACCCCTTTGAGAGATGAATGTTGCCGACCGCTTGCTTCTCTAGTTATACCAACTTTAGTAATGACCGCAGGATAGCAATACACAGCGGTCTGAGGAGCCATAAACAAACCTCAACCAAAATGCCACTCTATAGCCACAAATAATGCTCAGAACAGCACCTAACTTCTTAAACAGGACATATAGGGTCCCAGCCACAGCACTAGCCACCAAACATCTTTTTAGCTTTGCCTGATTTCTTTAGCAAAGAGACTAAACACAACTCACCTACTCTCTTCCAGCAGCCGCTTGTTTGTAGCGAGACCTCAGGCCAGTCCAATACGGACTACAGTGGGGTGACACAGCTCAAGGAAGAACATTTATGATCATTACTTCATGGAAAGGCAATCAAACTGAGACGCTAAGGCAGAAGAACTACCGTGTCTGCAGTGCAAAATGATTAATATGGGGATTATTACTTCGAGGAAATGATAAAGAAATGATCACAAATGTTCTTCCTTGAGCTGCGTCACCCCATCTTCATCTCTCAAGGGCTTGTCTAACTCCCCTAAATCAATTTTATGTTAACTTTAATGTTTGTGCAAGTTGGAAAATTCTTTGCATGCGAATAGAGTGAGATGGTGAACATGTTTGACCTAAAGCTTGCCTTTAAGTTACTGTTAGCATGTTAGCATCTAAATCCTGATGGTGTTTCCACTTTTAATACAAGGGGAAATGTCCTGCTATCGTATCAGCCTCATCTTTGAACATGCTGTTGATTCCTAGCTGCGTGTAACCGTCTCGTAATTTAACCAGTTGAATTCAAGCAGTTTAAATAGCTATTAGATTCACTACAAGCTAGCATGAGCCCTCTTACAGCCTTTCTAAACAGCTAGCATGACTGCAGGTGCTAAGACTGGCAGTGTCCAGCATTTGGGGACTCTCAGAGTAAGTCGTTTGACATTATATGAGACAATAAAATCTCTTCCTCGTGATAAAAGATAAACACAGCAGGTTTCTTTCAATTTTGATTACCTACAGTTCATTTGAGTGTTTTATATGTGGGAAAAACTGTTAGTGCAACAGTTCTTAGACTCGTCTGTGATCTTGATACTGTAGGTTTAATCCCTGCTGCAGCCAGTCATCATCTGCAGTGTAGAGGTGAGATTACATCCACAAAACTAAACCTAACACTGAACATTGAAGTAACAGTACAAACACCAGAGGTTGTACTGGTTCTTGTTGTTTATCCGGGAGAAAATATATCTCATTGCCGAAGAGTATTAGCTGTTTGACTGAGGCCTCCTCCAAGTCTGCCATCGGGCTGAGAAATGAGATATTGATTTTTGGAGGACCATGCAGTAATTGAGAGAGCACATCAAAAACAGGGTTTCAAATGTTTGTGGGGTGCTGGAACCTGATAGCCCTGTCGTGTTACCAGTGTATTGACTACTTCCTCTATGTGGTGGTTGAATTTGAGTCTGTAGATTTTGCGATCTTTTCTGTCTGCTTTCCAAAAAGTTTTGAAGACCCTTTTTCCTTCTTTTTCTTTGGCACTGTCTTGATGAATTTTTAAGCATTTCCAAATATTTACTGCTCCCACATTCACATGTATTCAAGTAAGATATCACAAGAACTAAAGAACTGTCTTTGAAAAAGTGTGATATGCTGTTGTGTTGTATCTACAGCTAAATATAACCTAGAAAATCCCCCAGGGGAGGTGAGCCGCAGCTACAGATCAACTGGAATCTCCTTTACTGTCTTTGAGCTATCCTCCAATTAGATCAGTGTATCATGTCCTGGCATGGCCCATCACTCTGTGCTGACAGCTCCGTGACTCTTGGAGACCCTGTGAAATTTATCAGCGCAGTCAGTCCCAGCCAGCAAGCAAGCAGGTTTTCCCCCTCAGTCCTTCACTGTTCCAGAGATGGTGTCTGTCCCTGGTGACCACAAGGGAAACAGGATTCATCACTGTTCCTTTCTGCAGGTTTCTGATACCTCGGATAAATAAATCTCTCAGCACATCCAACAGCTTACTTCCAGGACCAATTCCCCAGATGTGGGATCGTAATAATGATGTCTGCTCTGCTACACCCCCTGCTGGGTCAGGTGAATCCATTTTTTAAATTCTGATTGTTCTTCATTCAGGTCAACTGGTAACTCTCAAGGTGAGTATTTTCAGTTCATTTGTTTTATTTACAGGTACTATTGAGGATGTAATTAAGTATATTCAGCACTAAAGTCCAAGACAGGATCATATCCTATCATATCACATCATTATATCGTGTTTTATCTTGTTGTACCCAGTCATAATGCATTGTATAGTATTGTGTTATATTGAATTGCATTGTCTCGTATTATATTATATTTTATAATATTGTATCATACTAAATCGTATCATATCAAATTGTATCGTGCTTGTTCGTACCACACTTAAAACCATGTGTCTTTCTGTTGTGAAGCTGTGGAACAGCTCACCCAGTGATCTTAAACAAAGCAAAACTATAGCACAGTTTAAAAGTAAATTAAAGCAGAGTATGATTAAAAAATACATACAAAAGTGATTTTCGTTTTGCCACACTTATTTGGCAAAACGAAAATTATATTGTTTATGGTATATATGGTATATTATATATTGTATAATATATAATATTATATCTGGGATAATACTGTATAATATGTATTATATTGTATATGGAAATGGTACAAATAAGAGATTTGAAGTATTCTAGGTATATATATAACATGTATATTTGTGTGTATATATGTGTATAGGTATGGATGTATATTTGTATATATAAGGTCTTTGTTTTAGTATATATATATATATATATTCATGCTAGGTTTTGGAGCTTTGGTTATTTTTGGCAACATCAGAAATTCCACAGACATGTAAAGGGTAAACGAATAGGAAGGAATGAGGGTACGTACATACTATAAGAGGATTCTGTTGTCATGGAAACATTACTTGCTTTGAAATCAGAGGGACTATATTTTGGTTACTTCATTAGATAATAATAAAATTACTGAAATCGTAATTTTATCATCATATCATCAATTTTGATATTGTGTTGATTTGTTAATGTCCTATGTTTGTAGCTGAATGATAAGCAGGATAGTGTATAGTGAGTGAGTGGTTATGCTGTTGAGAATCCCTGAATGGTGAGCAACACCCTCGTACTTTGTGTCACTGCCTGCTCTCTACTGAATGACTTTAGGGTAACAAAAACTTCAACAAAGTTTATTCATTGAATGCCCTGTTTTCCAAAAAGTTCATCAATGAATATCTGAATTCAAAAATGTTGCTTTAGATAATCATAGCATTAAAATCCACATAACAGAAGAATGGAGGGTTATAAGGGGAAAGAGCTCATCCCCAGTTTTTGCTGAGCTGACCAGTGGAGGTCAGACCAACCAGTGCACAGGTTTCAAAAAGGTGCAGAAATGGTCCGCTCACACTCTGACAGTGGAAAGCAAATTAGGCTAGCTATAAATCCACCTGTGCCCCCTCACAGTGAGTGCAGTCTCCTAACCAGAATTTTTAGGACCTGTGCGAGGTTTGTATATTCCTTCCCAGCCACCAGTCCTAACTCATGCTTGTTAGGTTAGTCTGTGACCCCAAACTGTCTGTAGGTGTGCATGTGACTGCTGTTAATGTCTACACAGCAGCACTGCAGATAACTCACCACCTTTTGCTCTATGACATCTGGAATTGGCCTCAACTCCCCTCTGCAACCCCCAAATGAAATAATCTTTATACTGTAGTTAATGAATGGAAACAACTGTCCAACAGACAGCTGTAATGAGGCATACTGCCCATGCTAGCTGCTCAGTGAGGCAGCGGTTATAATATTAACCCTAAAATTGTCGATCATTGTTGTATAGCTGAATAATTTTGCAGGTATTTTTTGCTGTGTAATTCCTGCTTACACACAGAAGGAAGGGGGTTTTGACCACCAAAATTTGCCAAGCAGTAAGGATTGATCATTTGGGGACCAGAATAGTCTGACTGTGGTGGAGCAGCAATTCATCAACTATTTGTTTTCTGAAGATTGAGGTCTGGACCTCCGTTTTGTAGATTCAGAAGGGTAGGACCAATCCTGTTCATCAGTACAAACACAAACACAAGCGTATATATTAAAGCTCCTGAGTTGGGGTGTATTGAATTTTTATTAGGAAAGCTGAAGAATAAATTGTAAAAATGTACAGAGCAGATAAAATCAGCATGTGGATGCACAGTTTATTTCAGCTACCGCATTAAAATCTGGGCAACAAATCCACAGGCATAGAGAGACTGCAGCGCACGTGTACTTCTCTACATGGCAGCGCAGCATCCTTTGTTTTTATTTTCGCTGTAGCTTTGTATATTTGTGCATTCAGTCAGTGCTGCACATCTCTGGAAATACAGTGATAAAGGGAACATATGTACACTTATCTATGTGGTTATCACCTTTGACTTATTTATTGTATGGGGAGGTCATGCAATCAAGTAAACACTTTTTATTATTAAGTGCATGCTCCTGCTCACTCTTTCTCCACAGAGATCTCCAACAGCACGGTGAATTTCACAGACCAATTAGAGCCGTTTAAAGCGCTCACAGTCCCTGAAAATATAATGAAAATGGGTCTTACTGCCGCAGAATACTGCAAGCTACTGTCTTTTATCAATTTAAAATTTCTGCTAATGTAAAACCGAGTTCTCCCTGTTGCCTTGCTTCACCAGCCACAATTACAATGATAGGTGTGGTCATTAACAGTGAATATAGGACAGGCAGTGAAGTGGACTCCCCGTGGGTCCAGGCATCTGTTGCAGAGGGTTCAGCACTGCCATGGAAAATTGAACATTTAGGAGCCAGCTGGAGGACCAGTCGGCCCTGCTGTGCCACCACCACTCAGGTGCCCACTGGCTCCACGCCACCTCCAGCCAGAAGCCACTGGACCAAAGAAGGCCAGATGGTGCCCTTGCCAACCTACGAGCAGCCCACTGTCCACTGCCCATGTCCCCCTACTGCCCTCACATTCAACTTAGGAATGAGTTTTGGAGTCATGATAACCTGAGGTAAAAAAGTTTCCCAGGGAATAGAGGGACAGAAAAAGCTCAAGTGAGCAAAGAGAGTGTGTTGGAATACAAATGGGCCGCATTACTTTGTGTGTTTGTTAATGTAAGCAGCTGCGAGGTAGAGTCGGAGAATCAGAGACCGCTCCGTGGGGAAATAAAGCCATCTCCAGGCTGAACTCATTTGTCCATGCCTGTGAACTGATATATAATTATATTAGGAGCTTTAAGTGCTCTTCTGCGATACAAGTATTACCAGCATCTCCAGAGGGGCAGAACAAAGTAGGGAGGAGAGGAATCTGTGTGCTACAACTGAGGTAGTTATTGCTCTGCATCCAAATATGTGGATGTTCAAGTGTAGTCTACACAAGGAGTCTGATTTGGAATCTAAATCACTGCACACGATTAGTATGGATCCATTTTACAGAAACAATCAGGCAACAAATCACATTCTGAGAGTTGCAGGCTTGAAGTCAAGATGCACTTAAATCCAAAACCAGAATAAAGATTTATCCATTGAATCAAGTCTTTGTTTGCCGCCTAACAGTGTCTAGTTTCATATGCATTGTGTCCGTATACAATGCTAAATACCATATGGTCTGCATTTCTACTCACAGCTGTGTATGATCAAGAGTAGACTGCAAATGTTGATATCAACACACTTGAAAACTTCTGTTTTTCTATTGCAAGCTGTGTTGTACTTGAATAAATAAAAAAAAACAGAATGTTACATGGTTATTCAAGTTTAACAGTTAAGTGAGTGCAAAGTTTATAAAAAAGGGACAAAATATTCTTACTTCTAGAGCCCCTTAAGTATGAACAGTTACACGGTCACCGAGGATGAAAAAGGATTATTTTGCAAAGCAATAATCTCAAGGACAACTAAATTTTAAAATTTGTCATTCTTTTGTCTTTTAACAGATTATTTTCGACGTTTAGAGTCTCGAGTTTCTGTTTACACTTAATGTGTTTATGTGCAGACTGAAAATGAGAGATACAAGTAGAATATTAATATTAACCTAGCTGTTAATTTGCTAACTAATCCTGGCACTCCTATCTGATAAGGTTTTTTCTATTTATTTTCTATTGTTGCAATAGTAATCCAGTATAATCTTGTCGGTGATATATGTGTTCTTATGGAAGGCACTATTTAATTATCCACTAAGCTTTTAATAGCCAATATTTACAGCTAACCTCTCTGACATCTGCCTTAAATTCTGACGCAACAAACCTGATTGAGAACGGCATCAAGAATCAGCCGGAGGCATGTATCTGACAGCCATATATGCCTCTGGGGGAGTTAGACAACTTAACTGACAAAGACTTGCTTTTTTGTGGGCGACATTGTTTAGCACAGTTAGCAGCCTGAGAAATGATTATGTATTTCTACCAAAAGTGAAGTGAAAAACACTCCTCCAGAATAAAAAAAAAACCCTTATTTCTTCATTCATCACAATCATCTCTGTCTGGTGAATCTTAATATCACTGTAAATAACCTTTGACAAAGAGTTTTCAAATTGCACATTCTTGTCTGAAAGAAAACTGCTCCAAAATGTTTATTTTATTTTTTTAAAGGGGTTATGGTCAATCAGCGCTGATACACTCAATCTTGAACAGATTGTTAGCTGCTCTTGCATGCAGATATCTCTTTATAGGGATAAATAAATTGTTCTCAGGCTACAGCAGATGGGAGCAGGGGTTTCATAGCTGCTCGACTCCATATGGACATCTTTTTCTGCATACACTGAAGCCTGCTGATACAGGATTGATCAGAACTGTTCAGATTACAGACAGAAACAACAACACTTCACATACTAAAATTTAGACCCTGCCTACACATCCTACATTATGTAGATTAAACCCCACTTTGTGATTAAACTCATGATGTTTTGATCATTTTGAGAAATGATGGGTTTGGACTGAATAACATTAAACCTAAAGGTGTCTCCCTTTCTGATATACTTACTGCAAAACAAGTTTAATTGCTGGGCTGTTGTATTGCATTACAAATAGTCGTACTGTACAATATTGAATTAAAGATACTTGGGTCATAATAATACTAATTAATAATAAAACAGTGGTATACTTTTATGTAAGTCAACTTTACACGGTGCTGGTTAGTTTGTAAAGACTCCTTAGTTCAAGATACAAAGTGACCAGTGGAGGGAGGTGAACTACATAGCTGCATAGAGACTGCATGACGTGGTCTTTGTTCGGTGCATTAGGAATCATCATGCAGAAGGACCTTTAAGACCCACTCCAAAGAATATCATGTTTTTCTTGTTGTCTACATGTTCATATGGCATTTGTCATGAGAAAGCTAAGTGCGAAGTGTCTGAGTATTTCTGCATTCAGATGGCTGTGAACCTCTCACAGACCCAAACGGCAGGTTCAGACACAGTGGGATTTTCTACGTCACAATTTCAAGCTCCGACCCTGTGCTCCACTCTGCAGGCCAGACTCTGAGAAGTAGAGAGGACAAACGCAGAACAAGCGTGTGTGTTAGCGGCTTGTAATGCCCCTTAGAAAGCTAATCATGATATTAGCTTTCCTCATGTCCACAAAGACATTAGTGTCCGAGAGCTGAATAGCTCCTATGTTAACTATCACTTCTACGATACCAGCAATGTTAGGCTGCAAGCTAACGTGAAGAGGAGTGTGCAGAGCAGTGCTGTCTCCGCCCAGAGACTCAGAGACATATTGCTAATGAGCTACTAGAGCTCTGCAGAAGAAAAGCCCTAGAAAGTGACAGGTAATGTGAAGCAGAAGTGGTTTTTTTTGCGTCCTTCTCCATCACGGCTCCTATCGCTAAGCTGCTACGCTACTTTTAGCCACTCTGAGCTCCGAGGAGGGCCATGAGAGTGGGAGGAGATGAGTCAGAACTACGGGAAAGGGGTGTGTCGAATACGGCAAGGTGATTGGATGGAGAGGCGGAGCAGAAGATCTACCAGGAGCTGTCCCAGACAGATGGCTCCCATTGGTCAATGTTTTTGCAGCCCTGTACCTGCTAGGACGAACGGATTTTTTCTATTCTTTTTTTCTCTTCCTTTTGTTGAGATCACACTATAGGACCATGATCGCCATATAAACGAGGTTCGTAATAATTACCAATCTCTCCAAACGTTGACCATGCCTTTAAGTAGTAAAAAAAAAGATCGCAAAACTGACACAACTTTAAAGTTCCTCACTGTAGCTTTAATACAACGACACAAATCAGACTCAGACGCTGCATTTAAATGTAAATGGAAATACTTTATTTCACTATTACACAATAACAAGCTCGGAAAGGAAAAATACAAAAAAGAGAAATGGAACAAAATTCTACAAAGCACCACATAATATAGACGACTCATAAATGTGGCAACTGAACCTTATGCTAACTGCCTTTACTCTATCTAAAGTATCATCGTCATCATCATCATCATCATCATCATCATCATCATCATCATCATCATTATTATCATCATCATCACTGAAAAGTTAGAAATCAGCAAAAATGTTTGGACATCAAGCACAGTCATGCCAGTAATAGTAATATCTTACAGATTCATGTAGCAATGTTTCGGAGTGGGGGAGCAGTGATCCTCAGAGGGTCACTTGAAGAGGTGAGACAGAGTAAAGAGAGAGTGGGTTCGAGGAAGCTGCAGTTCCCTCGTCTGTTTGGTATGACACAGGTTTGGCATTTGGTATAAAGAGGAGTTGAGGAGTTGAGGCAGGCGCAGGTCACGGAGCGTTCGCAGAAAACACTTGTAATGCTTAATGAGGTACCAGATGGGGAGAAACTTTACTTACAACATATAATAATAATAATAAGAGCTAAAAATCAGCAGAAAGTACCTGAAGTTTACAGTTATACAGTTTTCTGAATTTTATTAAATTAATTTTCCTGATTTGCGACCCCCATCTATTTGGATCAGCGGGCTAAACCTTAACAATGCAAACACTTTATGACCCGCACCTGTGAGGAGGACAGTGAGGAGACAAAGGGGTGGTGTTACTTTTTTTTTTTTTACATGGAGAACACTGTACAGGTGCCTTCAGGTCTGCCAGGACTAAAGGCACATGGGGTCCACTGAGCAACAGATGTGTCCATTCTGGAAAAAGAGAAGGCAGAGAGTGGATTATCATCACATTAAGACCTCGAGGAATCTCTTTTTGAAGCTCAGCTGATAATGATTTTTTTTATGTGGCTGCCGTGCTGCTTAGTTTGGCATTTAAAACTCCTCTGGGTGTCATTTCAGCACCAACTGATCCACGGTGGTGGCGGTCTACTGGGAATACAAATGTGGGTGCTCTCTGAGTCATTTGGATTTGAACTAAAGGGACTGATAAATTCTGAAGGTTTGCATTGTCTGAGCTAAATCACCTCAGAAACGTTTCTTAACACAGCAAACTGTTTAAGAAAAGATAAACCCCAAAATGTGTTTGGACGCTTTCAATCTCTGGAAGTTAGCAAGAGGAATATTTATAAGTTTGTTCTCAGAGAATAGCTCCCATAATTTCCTGTCAGGACGGCTGAAAGAAAATGTTCCATTTCAGAAACTCAGGGAAGAGAGTCAGTCTTGGTAGATTAGCACAAAAGCTGGAGCAACAATTTATACTCACAATTGGTAATGAAGTGGATATTTGCCCGAATAGTTTAGTTTCTCAGTGAATTTTCTGTGGTATGAGTATTAAAACAAAAACTTGTGGAGAGCAGCTTTATTCTACCTGATTAACCGGAACCAATTACACAACTGCAGCTTATTTTTTTTTCAGGATAGAGTATCTGTGGTTTTATTCGACTCTAATACTGTGTGTGAAAACATGTCTGCTTGTTAAAACAGTGCAGAGCAGACCCTCATTCTTAGCTTTCGCTGAGCTGCAGCTCTGGAGATGAGGGAATGAGGGGTGTTTTCTTGCGTGGGTTTCTCTCATTTTTATGCCTGATTTAAACCTCTGTGTCAAACCTATGGTGTAGTTTATGCTATAGGTTTGCAACGCCCAGTACCGGGGCTTACCACAGACACATAGAGGAATCAGCCTGTGAAAAGAAGGTAGCTAGGTAAGGGCTTTGAGACCATCTTATTCATATCTTAAACAATTTTGCTCATTTCTATTGAACGCTGGAATTTGTTTTCTGCTGAAAAGTACTTTGCTGAAATTAAGTGACTGGACTGGCAGTCAGTGCTTGAAACAGGAAACCCCTGCTTGTATCCACACAGAAGCCCAAGTATATCGCCTTTTGTGCACCTCCTAAAAAAGATTAATTAATGTACTTGTAACAAATAATGCAGAGAGAAAGCCCTGTGTTTGGTTTTCTGGGTACCATCTTCAACTAGTATTGAGATGGAAGTATTGCAGAGCAGTGTGGACACTCCACTGCACAAGTGTGTAGTGCTCACAATAGCGTAAGACAACACGGAGAAGCTACGGCACAGAGTCAGCAAAGAAGTATGAACCAGGCTTAGTAGAATAGTCGGAGGAGTTTGGTGAGAAGAAGTAGGGCTGGGCGATATGGCCTCAAATCAATATCACGATATATTGAGCAGTTCACCTCAATAACAACAAATAAAGATGATAACTACTCCACAAATTGCTCACCCCCTTTCACAATAACTTCGTCTACTTCAGCCGCTACAACTTTTGAACCGTCCTCAATCTCCTCACTGGTCTTTCTCTCGTTGTTACAGACTGGATGGGGTGGAGTCACGTCTCTGACATAGGACAACTTCTTAAAGGAACATGAGACCATAGCCTACCTACACACATCCAAAACCAACTTTTATTTATTTTTTTGACACTGAATATAAAGATATGGGCAAAATGACCTTGGTTATTGTCGTAAATTTCTGTATCTGTAAATTTCCGGTTTATCCCTAAGAAGTGGTCAAATCTTCATACATTATAGCTTGCTGTATAGCTATTTTTCCCTTAGCTTTAAGACTGGAAACAGGGATAGTTTTACTGTAAGGTTACAAAGAGAAACTCCAGATTATTGTTCTAATTAAGGAGCTCATCAATGTTAAAATCCAGTTTTCATGGCAGCTAATGAAGTAGATAACACGTTAGCCAGAGTCAGGTTGGCTGTTTTGTCAGTATTTTCAGTCATGAAGCTAAGACACTGTCTTAATATTTTTACCTATAATTGATGTGATTGAAATGTGTGCATTATTTCACTTATTTTACATGATTTCTGGCAGAAAATATTATTACATAAATGCATCCCAGTCTTGCACTTTAAGCAGAGTATGACTGACCCATCTCTAGTTAAAATCAGAGATATTTCTGTTTAATTTATGTCTACAATCAACTATGTTTTTCATTACAAAATAAAAATAGAGATTCACTTATTCTAATTTCACCCTCTTCCTTTTGCCACTTTTGACAACTTAGGAGGTTTTTATATTTTCCATTTAAAAAATGTGTTTGTTGACAAAAACAGCTCACATTAATACCTGCAGACACACTATCACATGTGAGAAATGCATCCACGAGGTGTTAAAGATGCACAAAAAGCAAAAAGCCTCCACTGTACGATGTCTGGACTAAAGTCTGCATGTTTTTCTCTTGCAGAGCACAAAGGCTTTGCAATTTCCAAACCATTTTTCTTTGGTGTCTTGTCAGCCTCTGCACTCAACAAACAGTAATTTGCTGTTTGGAGGCTGCCGGTGGGTTCTGGCGCCCTTACCTTGCACTGGCACAGGGTGCACTCGGTGCCATGTTTAATCCAGGAGGAGCCGCTGAAGCGTGAGATGTTGTGCTCGTCCGTGCACGTCTTGGTGATGTCGTTTCGGATGGTGTCGGCTTGGCAGGGATCGGTGACACAGCGGGGACAGCACTCGCCCTCGGGCACCACGGTAAACTCGCAGTCCACGGGGGGACACGGCAGGGGCCAGCAGTCCACCTGCCCTTGCTAAGGATGCAGAAAGAAACAATTTAAGAGGAGAAAAAAATAGAATAAAAAAAGAAGAAATCCATTCTGCAAACGCATTTTCACATTTCTTAGACTAAATAAGTTATCCAAGCAAATATTCACCTGACGCCGTGTATTTGCATGCTACAGGGAGCGTCTTAACTTGATGACAAAAAAAGCCGTTAAGGAACCTGGAAAATACAGATGAGCAGAGCAATCTTCTCGTGTAGTCAGCGATTTTTATTCTCAACCGTGGAGGTAAACGGTGCTCCAGCTTTTTAATTGACTTGTTCTAGTCTCTCTTTTTCTCCATTGTTGTTCTCGTATTAATCTCAAACTTTCAGCACACAAAGCCTTATTGGATTCCTCCTGCTGCCATTTTCTGCTGGCCTAAGAAAACAGCTCACACATATATTCTCTTCACATCCTACCTTCTGTTTGCTGTATCTATCTGACACTGACCCACTTGTGCTCACAATGTCTGCTTCACATCTACTTGAAAATTAAATCAGAGCTCAGACTGTATGTTCAAACACACACACATATACTGTATATAGAACTACCAGCGACTCAGTGTAAGAGTCCCAGAGGGCATATTTAATATCACTGAGAATGGTCTTACTCAGCATTTCCAGGATGCGTTGTAGTAAATTAGTCTGGCTATAAAGCACAGGCTCACGCCGGCTAATGCCCACTCCATGCCTCCATGCAGAGTGTAAACATTTGGAGTGGTAAATCCCCCCGAGTGGGCCTCAGTGCCTGCAGCCAGAGAGAGGGATTGAACATAGCCTCAGGTATCCGTCCCACGCTGCGATAAGGGACGCTGTCATCTTTGTCTGCTTATGCAGATGTGGCCTATGATCACAAAGGAGGAAGAGATTTGCTGCACAATCAGCTTTTATTTGCCGTCAGCGGCCTGGTGTGGGACTAGCTCAACCTCAAAAAGGAAATCGGTCTTTCGTTTCTCTTTTGCGATACTTCACAAGATTATTATTTTAATCTGGCTTTGTATTCAGATTTCATGCTATCTCACCACAATTTAATCTCCTAGCAGATGGATGTAAGGACTCACCACAAACTAGACTGCATGTCATATAATACCTCCAGGAGATTAAAACTAGTGACATTTATCTTAGCCCAGGAATTAGCCCGCAGCAATCACGCTCTCTCTTTTATGCGCCATGACCTGCAGCACAACCTATGGCTGAGAAAAATCCATGCTTCTTTGATCCTCTGCAGTCCGATGAGATGGCGAATCACAAGTGGCCCGTATGTGTGTGCACATTCCACAAAGGCCACACTCTTGATTTCAAATGATTGCACAAGTGCAGGGTACAGGGGGAGAGGAGGATTCACATCTCAGGTCTTGGGAGAATGTTGCGCCCATCTGGCTGCTGTCACTGTCTATTTGAAGGCCCCCGCTGAGCCTGGACAGCCATGGCTCTGCTAAGTGTAGCAGCATTCAAGGTTCATTTCACGTCCCTGTCACGCTACTGGAGCCTCTGTACAGTATCGCTCAGCAGCTGTACCCCACCTTTCTTTTCGCTCCTTCAAGTACTACTCTTTGTACCATGAGGCTGGTGGTCCCTTCCTCCGTGTCTCTTTAATCTGCAGTGTTTTATATCTTTTTCTGTGTGTTTACGTCGAACGAAAGCATGAGTGTGTCTCGCTGCTGTGACAGGTGTGCCCGCTTCCTCAAACACCAGAACGAGTGTGTTTACATGCGTATATATGTACATACAAGTGTTTACCCCCCCTCCTCTATATTTGTGTGTGCGTTTGTGTGCTTTGAAATCTCAAATGTGTTTGTGTCTGTTTGTGTCAACATCTATAAGTGCCGACAGCCTCGGAGAGAGTGAAGCCGAGAAAACCCATTTTCAGCCAACTGTGCCTCCCCGCTGCCTCTCGGCTGAGAACTGATTTTCAGGCTCCTCTGTAACGACTCGCTGTAAGAAATCCAAAAAGCAGCCCTCAAGTCCGGACAGCATTACAATGGAAGGAGGGAAGGGGAGGGAGGAGGAAATGGCATTGCTGTTCCCACTCAGGCCATAAATCTGTCAAGCTGGAACCAACTTACATCGACTACAAGTATGGCTTATCTTTAAAAGCAACAACAAAAAAAAGAGAGACAAAAAAAAATGAGTTGCAAAGTGCTCATCTGGGATACACAGTGACGATGATTTGTGAGTCACTGAACAGACGGAGTGACACTGGTGTGGGTGTGTAGCACAGCTGAGTGTGGGTGAGACAAGACAAGACAGTGGGGTGGAATGTAAAGCCTGACATTTACATTTAATATGCATGCGGTTATGCGGGGGGAGAGTGGCATCGCGGGTAGAATTTATTGTTTTCGCAAGTTTATGGAGAAAACACTCGTGAGAAGGCTCCCCTGTTGTTAAACGAAGAGGAGAGAGTGTAAACCTCACCGAAAAGGTCGGCACGGCACGGTAGAACACAAATAAAACAGTGCAAATGTCTCAGTGTGAAAGATTCATGCAGGGGGGGGAACACAATGCTGCATTGTATTGTGGGAGAAACAGGATTGCATGCAGAGGACACTTGACAAACATGCTGCAAAAACTCATCAATCAACAGAAGAGTACACTCCGCTCGACTTCAACAGCACACAAAGACCATAACCAAGCGTACACCCTCCAACATTCAAGCCACACATATTTCCTCCTGCTCCAACCTTGAAAGTATCCTTCAATAAAATGTATAATTCCATCACAGCAGACAACAGTGCAGAGGGTCCCTTGAATCCTTTAAAATCTCACTAATTGCTCCCTCCCTTCTTTCTGCTGGGGCATGAAAAGCAATCTTCATTTTCTCCTCTCTACAACCTTCCTATTCAGCTCTTAATCACTCCTCCTCTCTAGTCACAAAACTTCTCTCCTTGACTTTCTCTGCAGAGCACATCTCTCATTCATGAGCATTTCCATGGAGACTGGAGTATTTGTTAAATTTCTTGTGTGGGCGCTGTAGCGCAGTGATGAATGCACGTTGTTTTACCTCTTTTTACCGTAAGCAGCTCCGGATAAAAACATTCACTAAACCGCACAGTGTGTGTGAGACAGCGCGCTGTTCTCGAAGGTTAAATGTCAGCCTTCTATACTCACCAGGCACTGACACTGCTGGCAATTCTCCACCCACGTGTCCCCGCTGCCGTAGGTGAGCAGGCCGTTCTGATGCAGACACTGGCTGCTCAGACGAGGGTCGCACTCGGGGCAGCAGAAGAGGTCGGCGTTGGGGTTGTCGCAGTCGCAAACCATCCTGCGGCACATCACCTGTCCGGCCTGAGTGGCGGGGCAGAAACACATGGCTCACATTAGCACAATAAAACATTCAACACGGTCACAAGTGCATCTATACATGCATGCACGGACAAGGCCATTTGCCGGATAGGATCATTAAAGATGTATGCTCATAATAAATATGTTATAGACTGCACAGAACAACCTCGGCAACTGTTTAGATTCTGCAGCTCGAGGTTTGTCCATGTTAGCTCCGACTCCAGACTCATTCATATTTCATAAATCATGATGCACAGCAGTTTTTCAGGAGTTCCTATTCAACAGACTGATGTCTGAATAATGGCTACTGCCTTTCTCTTTGTGGCAGTAATTTTTGGTTCCTTATTCATACAAGAAGTGCTGTGAGTTTGAAAAATGTTCTTAATTTCTGGCAAAAACTTTTCTCTCACTCTCACCTAGTGCTGCCACTATAATTCATTATCACCTCAGACAAAGAGGGGGGCTAATTTTGTCGTTTTTAATCCAGATACAACACCCGAGAGTGAAATAAAAGGAATTAATCACTTTATCAATAACCAACAAGAGATGAGCTGTTTGAGCACTGATTTAGAGTTTTAATTAAATCTGCTTGAACAAAACTGTAAAAAGTCTCTGTAAGAAATGGATCTTTGCAGTTTTTGCAGTGATTCTAAAACAAAAATCCTCTGCAGAGACAAAAAAGTTCTCAGGCTATGATAATCTGGGGTCTTAAAAAGTATATAGTACCAGAAGGTATTACAAATTTAACAAGGAGAACTTTTTCAGGGTGTCACCTACTTAAACAGATTATGTGTTGCATAATATTATCAGAACCATCCACTTTTTGACTTTTTTAAACATTTTTTAGTCAACGTATTCTCTGTTAAGGAAGAAGAGAGCCCCTAAATAAGATTGGGGATAGATTTATTTATTTATTTTTTACTTTTCCCTAGAAAGCCCCTGAGTTTCTGGTAAGATTTCTGAATTCTTTCTCAAAATTCTGTATTAAAATACCAGAATTCTGTCTTTATTCTCAGAATACCACATTTAATCTTGGAATTTGGACTATTTTCCTAAGAAATGTCAGTTTATGAGGTTGAATTCTGAGAATACTGACTATTTAATAATCCATGAATTGTAAGGAAAAAGTCCAGATTCTGAGATGAAACTTCTCAAAGTCTATAATTCTGAGAAAACATAGAATTTCTGCTTTAATGTAAAAAGTGAGAATTTTCACTTGAAACAAACTTCGAAGAATAAAGTCAGAAGTCCCGCTTAAATCTCACAATTCTGAGAAACAAATCAGAACTCTGAACTTTTTTTCTAGTGGCGCGCATTAATCCTCTTCTTTACTGTCTTCTAATGAAACGGTATAATTTTAGCTTTGTCATATGCTGTTTTGTTTAACTGTATAGATATACACAATGTGGGCACTTAAGTTTTTGCTGAAGTTACTTATGATGATTCTGGGTTTGGTATAATGCCTGTTCTTTGTTGGTAAAATCAGTAATGTTATTGTAATTTTCAAAATTGTTATTTTATCCTTTTTATATATAAACTAACTTTGTGGAAGGATTTTTCAAATGATGAAATACTGTAAGTGTATTAAAGATTAGTTTCCTATTTAAGTACAAAAAGAGGTAAGTCACCTCTGTAAGGTTTTCCTGGTTCAATGTAGGTTCACAATGAAAACATATTATGTTGTTATTAGAGCAAGCTACATAAATATAATACATATACGTAAAATGAGTATGAATGAAAAAAAGATGCTCGAATTAAAAGTTCAAACTCCTCCTGCAGATTCTTCAGTGTTTAATATTAACTAAGTTATGTATATTTTCTTAATGGCTGCCACATTAAGGATCCTGCTGCACCATTCTAATGCCTGGAAACTGCTGCCACACTTTAGAGTTTCTATAATTTGATTTTTTCTCCTGCCAATTCAATCAAAGCACTTTAATTTCTTTAATGTTTTAGAGACGAGTGACCCCGCTGACAGATGCACCGATGCAGTAAACCCCACCCATCTGCCGCTCCCTGCAGACTATGACAATAAACGATTTGCATATCGTGTGACCTCAGTCTGGACACATCCCAGTCCCTGCCTCCCCTGTGCTGTTTGACCTTGGTTCCCTCCATCAGTCAGTCTCAGCTCTCCATCTCACATCCAGCTGTGCCCACCCACCTCCAAAACAATAACATGTTTACTCCTCTGCTTTCACCGGAGCACGATATGACTAATTTTGACAGGCAGCTCCTCAATCTCTCAAATCAATTAATACGAGTCATTTCATTAGGGAGCCATTTCTGCCCTGGTCCTTTGTAATCAAATGAATAATTTGCTGCTTGATCATTCTCTACCGACACTAATCCACTATAATCACCTTCCACTATTGCCAGACACTTGGCATTAGGTTGAGTGAAACACCGAATTGCTAAGTATGACTGGTCTGTGACCTCGTGATCATGAGGAGGGAAAGCGATTGGGATGGTGGAGTGAGTTTTCCGGATCAAGTATTCCCGGATGCCTCATCACTTTGGTGTCAGAAATCTATCAAAACAACAGCATCAAAAGCTTGAGTCACTTTGGTGGACCTTTAAAAATCACTAAATAACACCCACACACTTTAATTAAATTGCTCATCACAGAGGCATAACTGTCACTTTTAACAGCGCTGTCACATCAGGGTTTGTCATGTCAGTATTTTCATCTGTGCTCACTTTTTGTCTCTAGACGCTTTCCTACAGACTTCAGCCCTTTCGGTTTATAGGAAAGAGGTGATGGATCAGGGCAGCGTTTCATTCTGAGCAGAATTTGATTAGTCTTGTGGAAATGAAGCACACCACTGCGCTCTAATATTTCTGAAAATTACTTGGCCCTAAGGAGTCACTGAGTCTTGTCACATCAAGAGAAGCAGAGTCAAATTTCTTACTGTTTCACCGCAATCGCAGACGGCACCAGAAGCCAGGGAAACAGCGGCAAAGCTCGCTCATTAACCAAAAAGAAAAGGTCGAGACTTGGAGAATGGTGCATGAATGACTCACAGCGCGCACCTTTGTTTACAGAGAGAAAATATTGTTTACAGGCTTGGAGCAGCAACTTAACAACTCATAACTACCGCCTCTTTCACCTGGTTGGTCATGCTTGTTCTCTGACAGGGGACAAGTATCAGCTTGAAGCTTTGCGAGATGGATCTGCCTGATAACAGACATTAAATCTGTCCAGTCTATCTGCTTTGCGAGAATAGCCCCTGACACTGAGCTGAAATACGGCACTTTAATTTATTTTGTATACAACTTTGGCTTCATAGCTCAATCTGAAGTCAAGTAATCGACTGATTGTGGTGATTTTCTTCAAATATCTGCATTCTGGAGACGCTTGTGCTACCGTAGAAATTGGCAGTAATGGCGTCACTACTTAATATCCTTGGGGATGGGCACATTTCCTTTGTTTTTTTCCGCCTCTTTGTCTTTTTTGATCATATTGATCTTTCTGCACGTCCGCCTCTATCTTCGTCATCGTATCCGTCTACCTCAGCTCTGCATTTCTCTGATTATCTCTCCTCTCTTTGTCTCCGTGCCCTCTATGTCCATCTGCCTCTGTTTCTCACCTGACAGGAGCACACCGAGCACCTATCACTGTCCAGCACCCAGATCTGCCCGCTGTGCTTGACCTTGTTGTCATGGATACAGTCGCCCGTGCAGTTGTGCCCATGGGGGCACCGGCAGTCGTAGCCTCCGTCCAGGTTGAAGCATACTGTGTCGTTGGCACAGGTGTTCCTCCCCGTCTTGCATTCATTAATATCTGCGGGGAGTACAGAAAAGATGACATCACGCATATGCTCGGAGCAGGTAACACAGCTTCTGCATGGCTCTGTGAAATCTGGATTTTACTGCAGTACAAGCCCAAAATGTTTGCTTTCTGGGACATGGTGACAGGAAAGGAGCATGTCTCATAAGAGAGAAGTTCAAAGTTCAACAGATTAAAATTATGAATCCACATTTTTTTTTGTCCTATTGAGGAAGAAAACACACGCAGTAAACAACTGTAATGTAACCTGGAAACCTACTTTTGGTCAAATCATAACTTTGCTTCGTGAGGCCCAGACAGGTTCAACTCTCTGAAAGTGCCTCTAATGTGTTTTTTTTTTCTACCTCTCAGCTCTAACTGTCAGCGAGGATGGGTTCAACGAGAGGAGCGATGCTCGCATTATTGTTACCGATGACGCTTCCATGTTCCTGCAGATTGAGGGATTCTATTTTGACAGCTGACATTTCTCCTCATTTGATATATTGACTGATTGATTGGTGTATATCATGTGTTTTCACTGTTTTTAACCTCACACGGTGTGCTGCTGTGGTGCTTTCAGAGGCCATTTTGTGCAGGCCAAGTTACTTTGTTCATAACCGTGTAACTTTACCGTTCGCACCTCAGTTCTTTACTTGATGAATGATTTGTCGTCATGAAGTGAAAGCTCGTGAGTTTTTCTTATGCTGTGTTTCAGTTGTACTCGGAAGTCGGAATTTCGGACGATCCTCACCAACCCCGACTTGACGACGACATCATATTCCAAGATGGCAGTGCAATCCATCAACAGTAAAGAGTAACAGTGAAAGCGCTCGTGATGTATTATTTATTAGCACTTTTGTTTTGGTGAAATTAAATAAATGGTATATGTTGCACTGCCCAACGTCTAACTGTGAACACGGTGCTATGGTGTTTGTAAGAGTAAAATACTGTGTTATACGTTGTTTACAACTGACAACAACTGACAATGGCTAACGACAGCTAACAATTGTAAACAACAGCTAACAATGGCAAACAGTAGGCGTCCATCTTGGTTTTCCGACTTGTTTACTGGAACACAGCATTAGTATGCCCCTTTTACACTCATAAAAGACTTCCTCTGAAAAAAGTAATAAAGTAAAATAATATTTCTTATAAATCAAGTTTTATATTTAGAGCTGAATTTTAAACCACAAATCAAAAATGGATTGTCCCTTTTTTTTAATCGACACCTATTGTTGTGTTACACATTTTACAGAAACTGTGATCCCCCAGACTCATCCAAGTTCACACCCTAGAATAAAAAAGCGCTTGTCCCACTTGTTTTTTTACATTTGTGTACATACAGCAAAGGTGGCCCTCTCACCTACACACGACTCCCCGTTGGCAGAAAACAAGCCGTTGTCATGGTAGCCGTCACGGCACTCACAGTGGTACCAGCCGGGCAAGTTGACACAAGTGGATTTACTATCACACTCGACAAAGCCATCCGCACACTCATCGATATCTGCAGAGAAAAGAAGGATGAAAACAGAAAAGAAGAAGAGAGGAGTGATTAAACATCTATGTCGGATCACTATCATGTTGGTTTCCAAATAAACTCTTTGTAGTGAACGGTCTGTGGAGCGTCATCCTCGCCCAGTAGGCATTTTCAGAATTGACTGGTTTATAATAGATACAACATCATGTCTAGTCTAAGAATGGATCTGGTCCGAAGGCTTTATTGATCAGACATTGTTGCATATCCAGAAAAGGACATCGGTATCAATAAGAAATAGAAGGAAATGAATGGATGCAAAAAAAAAAAGAAAAAAAAAGCTGTTTCTTAAAAGCTAGAGGTTTATCAAGCTTTTCCCCTCAAATACCAGTAAATATCTGACACAGTCTAATCCTACAACATATAATCAAATTGATGAATAGTGAACCTTGCCCGGACATGTGAAATTTCTACAAGGGAGCTCTGCAAAAGGCCTTGATGCATTTCCTATAGCAGACTGTGGGGATTTGTCAATAGATGGTGCTGATGTGTGTTCTCACAGAGCTCCACTTAGAAATATCCTTGACTCGGTCTCCTCCTTCAGCTCTTTTTCTCTGACAAAGGACTCCGATTACACGCTTTGACTTTCTTCCGCCCTGTTTTTTTTGTTTTTCTCGCTGCCATTCTCCATTATGGTTTTTTTTTTTCCATCAAATTTTTCTCCAGCTTCTCTTTTTCTGTTCACAACAGGGCCAACATTCGACCTTATTATTCTAATAAAGAAACTTTTTTTTCAAACAAATATGAGCCTTGAACAAATCCAATATAATTTCCAATAATAATAAACACACAAAGAGAGGCAGACCTCTCTGATATTTCTGCTAGCATTTAATTAAACTAAGGGCCAGGCCCACACGAGAGAGGAAATAAAGCCTGTTATTACACAGTAGGGCTAAATACGTTAGGGCCAGACATACACCGTGATTAAATGTGCCTGCATGGCCACTGATGGCTTTTTTATGATTGTGCATGATGCATGATGCTCTGCACTCATTATGAAAATGGCAATGTGTGCTGTGTGTGACCTTCTCCCCACCACTGCCTGAAACAGTATCTGCCATAGAGCGACAGACAGCCGGGCTCATGGTCCCCCACCGCCCAGCCGGTAATGGGATTAAGATCTATTGGCTAATGAGCCCTCAGCCTTTTAATAGAATTTCTGCAGCAGATTAACCGTTGATCAAATGTCCTGTAGATTAGGGATTTATCTATTTAAAAATTCCTAACATTTGTTCAGGAGGCATGTCAGCTGAAAGGACAAACCCCCCCAGCATGCTCTTCTTCTCTGTTTCTCTATAACAGCTAGGTAATAAAGGTGTCTATCATTTTGGAGCATGGCAGACTTGAAAGCAGGAATTCATATTTGATTGATTTCATCATTTTTCTGGGAGCAGAGCACCTCATTTAACCCCCGAGGACAGCGATGCTAGGTTAAAAAGACATGGTTTAGAAATCATGAGTCTATAGAAAACGGTACAACTAGTCTCCCTTTGAAAATTAATAAGAATTCTCCCCACTCCTGAGAAAAAGAAATATCCAATGCTCTTTGTTGCCTGTGGATCTCAGCATGATAAAAGAACGGCGAGCTTTTAAAAGAAAGAGCGAGACGAGGTGTATCGCCATTTTTTTTTTTTTAATCGGATGAATTTGTTCAAATCATCCTCCACTTCCCTGCATGAAATTGTTCAAAGTACAACCGAGCAGTCAGACACTATTTATAACAGACACTGACGGTGAGCTCAGTCTAAAAATATGCAAATGGGTTATTTTCAGACAGTTTCATTCAGCCGTTTCTCTTTAAAAAGCTTGACTGTCTGGCTACAACAACAGAGGGTTACACCCTGAACAAAAAAATTTCGCTTTCATGTGAGCCAAACCTGTCAGGTACAATTACAGCAAGACGCCTCTCCGCCTGCCGTCAGATCAACTTTTTAAAATGTAGCCGTGTTTTAGGACAGTGGGGCTCACAGCTGTCACACCTTTGGGCTCAACAGGATTGAACGCGTGAGGTTCTGCGAGGATATGATGTGCGATCAAAAAGTCTTGCCTTCTCTTTTGTCATCTTGTGAGAATGATAATAGAGGATCTTAGTAATTAAATCATCAACAATGACACTCAGACAAGGGCGCTGCCTGGGAGCCTCCGTCTCGGCTGAATCACGAAGCTTTTGTTGAATCACAGAAGTGGATGATGCACTGTTTTCACCCGTTTAATCTGGTTATGACTGCGCCGACAAAGTAAAAGCCCCTGCAGAGGCCAAAGGTCGTAGAAGAAGAGTTATTTTGAAGTCACACTGCTGACTGGTAGGTGACAGAGAGAAACTGATGCAATAAAAGGAAGATGAGGAGGAGCTAGATGAGAAGGAAGAACAGGGATAAGAAAGAGACAAAGAGGGCGGAGGGATGTGGAAGGACTGCAGTTATCCTACTTGTTATCTTGAGTGGCAGACTGGAAAGAAGCGCTCTATTAAGGCGGCTCTTGGAGGGCAAAGTGAGGAAGAAACCGTCGGACTTTCCTCCGCACCCTTCTGGGCTTGTTATGCCGGTCTGCTATTACATTCCCTCCTCTGTCTTTCATCCTCTGCCTCCACCTCCCTATGCCATTTTTTTACCCCCCTTTTTCTCCAGTGTTCTGTATCTCCATCTCAAAGCTGAGGTGTCACCTCTCCTCATCCCTGCAGTTTGTCTTCTCTTTGAGTGGAAAAAGGCAGAGTTTAAAGTTTATCCCAGCCTGCCCTCGTCTCTTTGATTGTCCTGGCTCCTGCCAACCTCTTCACATTGTCCTCGCTTCCCAGAGTCTGATCCTGGACAGGTGCAGCTCTTTGCTTTCTTCTACCCCTGTCACTCCCTCCTAAAGTCTTTCCCCTCTTTCCTGACTGACAGAAAGCCCCGGGGGTCGGGATTCAGCTCTTCTCCGTTGCATCACTCAGCACAGAAACCCAGTTACTGCTGCCACGTGTACGTCTCCTGCACAGTAACCTAATTCAATCTGATTTCCATTTCCATAGAGGTCTACCTGATGGATCCAAACTGCACCTTTCTTCCTGTATAGTCTGTTGCTATTTAAAGGCTGAGTGGATTTTACATTTGTCATGTCAGATCACATTTACAGTGACGGCTCAGAAAAGGCTGCTCAACCTTTGAGTCACTAATAATGTGTACAAAGCTTTCATTGACATGTAGTGATAAGGTTCCATGTTGCTGCTCCTTTATGTACAGCGAAGTGTAATTGGATGGTTGTCACTGGTCCTCAGTCTCCATTAAGTCCAAGAGCCAGTTCAAATAATCAATCAGCATGAAAGCTCAAATTGAGACATACGCTGGGTTCCCTGAAGACAAACCAACACCTAAACACAAATCCATATCTACAAGTACGTGAGAAGGAAAGTGAAACTAACAACCGTGATGTTAATTTTATTGTATATGCAACAGAGCGGATTTTCTTCTACACATCCGTCTTCTTCAACTTCTTTAGTCTGTCTGCACTGCTATTGCTTCTTCCTCTGCAAAGTGCTTCCCAGCCCCTCTTTTGTATGCTGTGTCTGTACTGTTACCCAGGGGTCTTTGCTGCTGCTCTCCCCGCCAAAGGCTTTGATGCTCCACATACACACGTGGAAAGGCAAAACAAAGCCATATCACCAAATGCTACTATTGCATGCAAACAGTTACTAAATGTTGATGTAAGTGGTTTATTTTTGAGATGAACAAGACTTTTTCATCACTATATGAGAGGGAGGACCAACAGTTAAACAAACTATAGTTACGCTTTTAATGCCTTCACCTCAGATACAAGGACAAGCTTACGGACACTAGTTTTTGGAGCTTTTGAAGTGAAATGTTATCCCCATTTATCAAATGTCTTCAACAGACAAATCAGTGCTGCAGTCAGGCCAGTTTAGCACCCAGACATTTCTTCTACAGAAAATATAGTTTGGCATCTTCTTGCCCGTGCCATGGACGGTTGTGCTTCCTCATACAACCATGGATGTGGCTCTGAAGGTGTGAGCTAAGAGAAAGCCAGTGAGTCCATCTTCTTTTCTGAATTGAGGGTGCAGCACCCATGATATACAAAAAGAGTGTCAGATTTTGATTTGTCACACCATAGGACAGTTTTCGACTTTGTCTTAGTCCATCTCAAATAGGCTTGGGACTAGAGAAGTCGGCAGCATTTCTGGATTATGTTGAAATATAGAATCCTCTTTGTCTTTGCATGGTATAATTGTAAGCTTCACAATAAACAGTGTTCACAGACAATGGTTTTAGTAGAGATGACCAATCTGGTGTAACTCCACCTAGTTCTAAGGTGCATGTAGAAGGAAAGGAGGTCCAAAGAGTCAAAACTCCAGCAGCTCTTGGAGGTGAAAGAACAGCTTTACTGACAGACTGAAGTGTTTCAGCTTGTAGCCCTCATCTGGGTCAGACAATGGTTGTAAGATGTGATTCTGAGCCCATGCAGTGATTTCTATGGCGGGTTGTGTCTGTTTTTAATGCAACCCCGCCTGAGGGCCCCTGAGATCACGGCTATCTTTTTTTTTGGCTTCGTCTCCTTCATACAGAGATTTCTCCAGAATATCTGGATTTTTAAAAAATGATATCACATACCGTGGATAATGAAATCCCCTGTATTTTGTAAATGTTATGCCCAGTTCAAGATACTTAAGTATTTCCTAACTCAGTCTCACACTGATTGGTGAACCTCTTCCATTTTTACTCCTGAAAGACTCTGTCTCTATATAATGCTTTTTTCATGTCTAGTTGGTATATTTTCATCACTAAACCTAAAAGTAAGCAAAACCACGTGGATATTATATGAACAAATGCATTTATCTCTGTAGTAACTAACCATTGTGGTTATCTATAGCAAGTTTGTTGAGTCTAGGGCTGGGCGATAAACTAAAAATTTACCGATACCGAAAGTTACGACAATAACCAACTTCATTTTGCTCATATTGGTATATTCGGCGTCAAAATAATAAATAAAGAAAAGTTGGTTTTGGATGTGTGTAGGTAGGCTATGGTCTCATGTCCCTTTAAGACGCCGTCCTACGTCAGAGACGTGACTCCACCACATCCAGTCCGTAAAAAAGAGGGAAAAACAGGTGAGGAGATGGAGGACGGTTCAAAAGTTGTAGCGACTGGAGTAGACAAAGGTAACATGGGAGGGGGTGAGCGGTTTATGGAGTAGATCTTGTCCATTTATCGTTATGAAGGTGAACTGCTCAATATATTGTGATACTGATTTGGGGCCTTATCGCCCAGCCCTAGTTGAGTCCAGACCAGAGTTGTTTAAAGTTTAACTTTCTCAACAAAACTTTACTAACAAAATGGCTTTTGATAGTTTACTAAAATAAACATTTAAAAAGGGGACACAGCTTTTCTCTTTTAGTTATTTAATGTTTTTTTTCTAAAGGTAATGTACAACACCCTGATAGCGTATCCCAATTCTGACCTGACACCATAAAGGTGTTACGTAATAAACCTTGTGCTCACAAAGTAAATTAAATTTCAGCACAAGATGACGTGTTCACGACTGTAATAGCTGGAAAACTGATGTGGGTACAACTCCAAGTCTCAGTGGACCTCTTTGGGTTGCATATCAAGTTGCTGAGTAGTTGTGTCACTGCCAGTCAATAATACAACTGGGACTGGGCCAGTTTGTAAAAATAGTGTTTTGTAGTCTCAAAGTCCAGAGAATTTACCCACAAACAGCCGAAACAATGGTTCTCTGACTGGTACAAGCACTGACATGTGGTTCCCTCTTGCAAACCAAAACAATATAAAACATGCATTTCCTCTTTTGGATGCTCATTATTTTCTCAAAAGAGAGCAGAGGACTCGATTCAGACAGCATATCTGTATGCTGCAGCAGAGGAGAAAACACGCCATTTCATTTCCATTGGCCTTTCCAGCCGTGCAGCCGTGCAGCCGCAGCAGCGAGCTATCCCTGGGAGATGTGTCATTTAGGTAGAAGCAGCAGGTTGCGCTCAGCTAAACGTCGGCTCTGGCCATTAGCAGGGCCTAATTAAGACACACTAATTACGGGTGATGGAGTGAGTGCTTTGTAAGGCCGTCTCTAAATAAATAATGAATACATAATCACTGTGCTTAAACAAGCCGCTTGAGCTTAAACAGTCACAGGCCCCGGAGCTTTGTGGGCAGATCATGCAGCAAAGGAGGGAGAGAGAGAGGGAGAGCTGCAGCAAGGCATCATGGGAGCTGTCAAAAGGGGCTGGAAAAATTAATATGGTTTTAAATATTCACTACCTGTGCCTGAGTGTCGGGTGGGAGGCGCCCTGGGGAGGCTTCAGCTGTGATGGGATTGTGATGTTTTTTCTTGCCAAGCATTGTTATGGATGTAACGCACACTGTGGGCTGTGCTGATGAAAATTACAAGACAGCAGAGATCAACAACAGCGAGCTCGTCTTTGCGCTTTTTCATCAGGACGGTCCTGTTTTTTATGCACATGTAGCACATTTAGTACCTTTTCATTTTATTGAACCATTTCTCTTTATTTTCCTGCTCGGCTGTGTGTTCCTTATGTTCCTCTCTCTTATTTATCTGCCTGTTTAGTCTTCGCCGTCTTTGTGTGTAGAACTCTGAAAAGCTTACGATCAATGTAAATGATGTCTGAGGGAACAAATTGTTTGTCTGGCCCTCTTCGACTCAGTTCTCGTCGATACACCAGGCTGACCTCAGGGCTCCTCCTCTGACTGATGTCTTAGCTTCTTCATGAACTCAGCGGCCATCCTCCCTCACCTCTTCCTCTTCAATGATATTTTTATTCTTCCATTTTCACATCTCATAATAAATCACCTCCTTTAAGCTCCTCTACCTTTATCCTCCTTTTCCGTCACATCTCATTTGCTTTCACTGAAAAGTAAAATATTCTCCATTTTCTTCACCTCTAAGCTGTCTATCCCGAAAACGTCTTTTTTTCTCTCTTCCTTGCCTTTCTCGTTTTACTCCTCTCTTGTAAAAGGTTATAAAGAAACACACTGAATATTTCATTCCTGAATCACAGTATATGTACAGTGATGAAAAGGTTCAGTCTGACACATAAACAGAAGACTCCCCTTTCCTTATACGAGTGTCAATTTAGAAAAAGTAATGCGCTGGTTAAATGATCATCATTTGAGAAAATTAGAGTTTTTCCTTCGAATAAATCTGTAATTTACAGTGTAGGTGTAATACACCAGGGCTCTTGAACATAACCCTCCAGGAGTGTGTAGGAGTCACGAATCTAAATAGCATCATTAACACCAAACGCAAAAAAATCTTTTATCTCTTCCCTTGTCCTCATAGATGTGAGGATGCTGATGCTAAAATAGCCACAGTGTGATTCAGCACCACGGATTAAAAGTGCTCTCAAGGACACTGGGCAGCAGATGAAATTTAAGATGAAAGAAAGAGGTGTCCGTCCACAGCATCTGATCAAATGCTCTTCCCCCACAGCGTCCTTTGAGGAGAGAGCAAGAGGCTGGCCAAGGACAGCAGAGACAGCTCTTAGTTACTGAAGTGACAGCTTAGTGGCAGAAATTTTTAACTGGTGGCCCGGCACCCTAACAAGCTTAGAGGGGCTTGAAAGGAGGAGATAATGAGCTGAAAATAAAGGAAAATACAAAGACTTCCTCCCTATTCATCTCATAAGAGCAGTCCAGCTATTCAGTCAATAAACATGTGTCTGAGGCTAAACAGGAGGGGACGTTCGCAGATGGTGTAACCAATTATTTCATAAAGTGGCGATACTCTTCTAAAAAATCTTTAAAGATCAGGGCTCGGTTTCCTCAGAGCACTTTAAACTTGAAATCATCCTAAAGTTATACATTTCCTTCTGAGTGAGGGTCTGCTTTTCAAAAGTATTTAAACTACAGAAACTTATCTTTGATGTAACTGCAGCATGACTTCAAGTCTCAGTGGTTTTACTCCTTTTATTTCAATGTGTTTCCCTCTACCAGCCATCTTCCAATATAAAGATAAAGCTCAGGAAGCCCCATCAACACTTATAATAAAGCTCCTGTGAGGAACTGTCTATGTGTGCTGATTTTGGCGCCCCCTTTGTACAAAATGGTAACCCCTACATTGTTGCCAATTCAGTAATTGGTAGTTATTGACAGAAGAATCTCCCTCTGTTGGCATGTTGCAGTAAAGGAAACTGATGGGGAACTTACACCAAATGCAAGTAAAATCATCTACTTGCTTAATTTGCACAAATCTAGACGCGTGAATGAATAGTATTTATTCGCTTCATTCGCAAGTCAACGGCAATTTCAACGGTAATCCCTGCCAATTCAACCAGAGAAATCAAATGATAGACAAAGGATTTTTACAATTTACCAGGTTTCGGTAATTGAAGTAAGAGGTATCATACAATCTGGGGCACCAGCACACCGACACGATCAGTTTGTCCTCCATTTTTGATGCCAGTGAACAACTGTTCGTTTTCATACATCACCCGGCAACCTTACTGCTGATTGGTTACCACGACGCAAATATCTGAGACATTTTCAGCTTCCGCCCAATTCGCGGCATTTGCACCGCCAGAGTCGAAGGAGTGTCTAATCATGTCTTTGCGTTGACTTAACATGTAATTCAGTCATGCGAATTATTTTACTCATGCTTGGGGTGTGGAGACAGTAAGGCTGTTTTGTCAGCACACCTCCCCCCTCACAACATTAAAAATGACGAACTAAAGAAAGTTTATTTAGTTGTCAATACTCTCATTAACTTTCGTGCATCATAGAGATGCAACACTGTTCATTTCAGCCTGTTTCACAACACATCAAGAACTCCTCATAGGATCTTGAAGATGCTCATTTTCCCAGTTAGCAAACGTAGCTCCATGACTCAGTCAGTAACATCATAATGTGTTATATTTATAAGAAAATGAATTCCATGGGCCACACCATTTCTAAAAACTCCATCTCATCTCTTCTTCTCTCCATCTCAATTTTTTATTTGGCATAGCTGATCAGTGCATTTTAACTGTTGACTAGGTGGAACAGCGGTATAAATGACGTAGCCTCAGCTCCACTTTATTAACCGTTTTTCAACAAGCAGATAGCGTCAGTCTGCATTTCTAATTTGGTAACCACCATCTTTAAGCCCCATCGAGATTCTCAGAAACCAGTGCATGATATCACTGAGACCGCATCTATGTTTTATACAGTCCATGGTAGAAAGTAATATCACATGCAATGAGGAAGGATCTCTGAATTCAAAATGTGAATAAATGAATAAAGCCCATGGGCAACGACTGCAGAAATGGAAATGACCAAGGGTAGGAAGAGTTTCTGTAATCCACTTTTCAAGGAAATGTTCTAAAATCAATGATTTGCCATTAACCATGAATTGTGCATGATCTGTCAGTTTTCAGTGCAGTTACTCCTCTTCTGGCTCGGCAAAGACTCTCCCAGCAATGACATCTAGAACAACCTTCACACTGCCAACCACACTTTGATGGAAGGAGACGCAGGCAACCACTTTTTGTGTCTTGTCCTTCGTTTGCAGTGCACCCTTTAAGCAATGGGGATTTTGCATATGCCTCAGCCTAAGCTTTCAATATTAGAGTAATCTCATCTCGCTAAAGTTCCACTTTTTCTTAATCTTTTGTTTTCTCTTTCAATAACTCCTCTCTTTTTGTTCAAGTGCTTTTAGCCACCTGCATGTTGTTTTTTATTTATCGCTATAATTTGAAGCTCAATCGGGGCTTAAGTGCAACGTCTGGCTGCTTATTTGTTTGCACGCCAGGTTTACCTTCACAGTAATATTTATCATAAAATAATACAGCAGGCTGGAAGCTTTTATATTGACTATAAGTAAGGCAACATTTTCAAAAAGCACTCAATATTACAAACTCTTATTGCATTTATGTTTCATTAAGTCGTGCTCTGATGTATCTTTCATATCAATAATGGTTTGTGTAAAGTTTTATTAAATTGTCTCATACACCACGGACAAGAAGTTCTTACGCTGTGCATCTGTATTTGCTCTTAAGTGCTCTTCTCAGAAATGCATGTAAAATTTTAACAGATGCCCGCAGAAATGCTCTTAGAAAAACAGCCTCTAAAAAAATCTATATCGGGAAACAAGGCCTGGGGCGCTACAGCGGGGGCAACCTTTCTCCTCCACTGTCAGCTCAAACCAAAATGCACTCTGGATCAAATTGGACAGCGGCTGCAATTTCAACAAGACACAATGTGTGTTGATTTACCCGCATCAGAGAAATTTAGGGATCAATCACACAAAGCAATGACCTCAATCGGACTGTGAGGCATACAAGGATTGTTGGGTAAAAAAATACACGACTTTCACGGACGTAACAGGTCAAAATGTGACACAACTTAATAGCTTTGGTAACATGTTTTTATTCTACATTTCTCCCAGACAGAGAGGAAAATGGGCGCCCATTCTGCTGAAAAATAATCCTAATATTCCAACATTTGGCCATCTCTCTCTCAACCCATTTAAGGGAGAGTGCTAGCCTGGGGCTCCCAAGTTGACTGTGCCGCATGTTCGGGGCACACATTACATGGCCGGCCCTGCGTACATTTATATCCATGACTGAAGAGAATGTGCCCTAGTGCAGCTGTATCCTGCATAATTCATGATGTGTCAGAGTTCTCCACTGGCTGGTGTCTGTCTGTCAGCGTCGCACGTCCCGTGTCCCTTACCATCCGTTCCCCCCCGAATGGTAATGACAGGCCACTGAGAGCAGCCGCCAAAAGAACACAACACAAGCAGAAAAGTCATCAATACACAACTGGTGCGGTAACGCAAAAACATACAAGAAATATCACCCTCATGTGTGCCCAAGAGCAACAAAAAACAGAGTTAGGTAGGTAGGCAATCAGCAGGCTGTTGGTGTTTTTTCATTTGTGACTGTGTATGCATGCTCCGTAGGTGTGTGTGTGTAAGTGTGTGTATCCCGGCTCCCTTGAAAAGCTCTTTTCGGTGTCTCATGACAGGCCGTCAGTCTGCCGCAGCAGCAGCAGAAGAGGAGGAGTCCCCGGGGAGGCCTCTAAAAGCTCACAGGGTTCTGGAGGTGGAAGGGAGGGAAAAGGGAGGGGGACCCAGACTTAGTGAAAGCTTTTCCATGTTCATCCACCCAGCTCCGTCTCTCCTCCTCCTCCTCCTCTTCCACCTCCGGCAGCCCGATCCCGCATCCAAATGCGGAGAGAAACTTGCTAACCCCGACCCTCTAACCACCCATCCTCGCCGTACGTTTCCCATCCCGTCACTGCATCTGTCAGTTATTCCCAACATCTCTGTATCTGCCTTTCCACTTCACCTCCTCCCACCTCCTCCTCCTAGTCGTTACCTCTTCTTCCTCTCCCTCTGAGAATTTTGCATCTGTCACTCTCCCCTGTACATCTCCATCTCTTTCTCCCTAAACTATTGCTCCCACAAACCCACCCCTCCTCCTTTTTCTCTCCCTCCTGCCCATCAGTAGAGCTGCATATCCAACAGTACATTAACCTCCATACATCTCTGTGAGCTCCTCCAGTAGACACTTCCCTCACTGGGAGCTCCTGTCATGCTATGAGGAGACTCTTCCTTTCCTCACTGAAAGACAGCTGAAGTCTCTAAACAGTGCCAGAGGCTTGAGCCTTGTAGCAGGGGGGCCCTGACGTGGTTGTGGACTATAAAAACACAAATACGCGAGGACTGAGCTGACTTTGACAAGGTTGTGAAGGAGTCAGATTGTAGAAGGGAGGAGAGAGAGAGAGATAGACGTGCACACAGATGCAGCAGCTGTGGTGACAACATCTTGTCGCCAGAGGAACAAAGAGAGCGCGAGGGATTGTTGGTGCATGTGAGCGCCTGTTTGTTTTTGAGTCACTAAAGTGAAATTCTAATCAGCGTGAATGATGAGCAGAGAGGAGCCTTAAAAACAGACTGAGTCGTGAGCCACCAATCATTTAATCCCCACAACCCTGTCAGGATTTGATTAAGAAATAGATAACTGTAGTTGCAGAGAAAAATTGTTCAGCGGATCATCTTTAAATTCTGGTATTCACAGATTACAGCGAAAACATATTTTTGGATTTACTTCTGGTGGTATCTCCTGTTAGAGAAAGATCTTTTTGCACAGACTGAAGGATTTCTGCCTCCAAACTATCAAGGAAACATCTCCCTAGGCTGGATTACAAAGAAACATGAACACAGACACTCAACTGAACCAAATCAATTTGGCAATTTTATGTCATTATAGCACTTTATTGACCAGTAATTTTCATTATTTCTTCGACTGTGACTGATCCAGCGTGAATAAGGAAAAAAACACAGTGTATAGATTCATGTGGGCGATGCAAGGTTAAATGGAGCTCATATCGTCTGCAATTCAATTTCGAAATAAATTTCAATCTGCCTGTCTGAAATTGGCGGAAATTGGGGTGAAGACAGGAATCTGAAACCTGGACAAATCAAACAAACTACATTTGCACAGCCTGATACCACATCTATTTTCAGTCTTTAAAGGTTTTGTGAATTTAAATGGAGATATCAAATAGATAAAAGTAATGATGAAGCATGTCTGCGATTAGATCGGGGTGTCATACAGAGCAGGAGGTCCTAAAGTACAGGGAGGCAATCAACAACCACAAAAAAAGGGGGAAAAAGTGTCAAAGCACAATGTTTCATTAAGGTCAAGGGAATCTAAACCTACATGTGATTAAATGTGTGATCTACTCTGTATTGAATGCTACTGTAGAGAGAAAATTTTCACAAGTACGAGTGAAGTCTTATCCACGTGAGAAGACCAGCGTGTGGTTGGTATCTGATCGTCTTTTTTTCTATCATGAAACCACAGAAAACGATTTTTTTTTTGCATGTTTGAACTTTAACGAGTCAGTGTGCTTTGATTTTTGAGTCCCTTTCAGTCCCTTTTTCACCTGTGGAGATTTCTACTATCTAAAAACTAAAACTAACTCCATTCCTAACCTTGATTTGATTGAGACACTGAGCGCATAAAACCTACTTTACACAGCAGAAATGTTTCTGCAAAACTTTTATTGCGAGATGTCTTTATGGGTAATGTGGTGATGAATGGAATCACCTTGAACAAAGCTGCCGCACTCTCTCTAATATTTCTCTTTTGATCGACTGCTCTGCAGATGTTTTCTGAGGAGCAGGACACACAAAAGAGAGTAATGTGGGAGAGCGAGGGGCAGAAAGAGAAAGGCAGGGATCTAAAACACTATAGAAGGTAATGAAATGTGTGATTGCCGCGACCGTGCCATTAGTAAAGGACGAGGTCCTCAGAACCTCCTCTGCTGCAAAATGGGGAGGAGGATAAGTCATTATGGGTAGGTGTGTTAACACATTCCCTATGGCTTTAACACACACACATAGGCGGATGCACACACTCTCTATCCTCAGCATCTTGGAGCCACACCATGGGGAAATTCATTTACTTTAAGACGGGCAGTAAAAGGACGCCTCGTAAAAAAGGCCCTTTATGTGCAATCAATATCTGAACCAATGAGCAAGCAGAGAGGCTCAGTTTGCTTCATTCAAACAGGAGCGCACACACTGAGAGAGGCGTCATGACTTGACTTTCTATTAGCTTGGCCGCTTGTCTTGTGAAGGACACTCCAGGAAAAGGTTGAAACGGGTTATGAAAGAGGTGTTGCTGCTTTAGATTAGACACACAGAGAATCCCACACAGCTACAAGGATTACAGTCTCTCTTGGTTACCTTAAAGCACCGACACTGCAGGGGGGGAAACACGCTGAATACAATCCAAAGTCTGGCGCCTGATCGGCACAGTGTGTCAAGACGAATTTCCATGCATGAGAGCGAGCAGCGATATGGTCTCTGCTATAAACAGAGCTGACTTAACATTCGCCTAAGCTATCACGCCCTATCTGATAGCATGCATGGGGAGTTTTTGCAGGTGTAATTTCAATGTTGCACAGAGCCGATGTGGAGGGAATGCCACACTGATTAATATGAGCTGTGATATGAGGTAATTCCCATACTGCTGCTTCTGCAGTTCAAATTCTCCATCCAGCCATTGGAAGAGGTACAAGCTCATTAGTCACCGTGCAGCGCGGACCCACACAGTCGGACGCAGTGGCGGACACACACACACACACACGGCCACAAACACACGTGCAGATAGGAGAGTACAAGTGCTTTAAACATTTCTGCATTTACAGATTGGATTTTTTTGTCAGGGTCAGAGTGAAGGCAACTCCACAAAAGAAGAATTATCAGTGTTCTCAGAAAAAAGGAAAGATATGACAAGACAACTCAAGCAAAATACCTTTATGTGAAGTACTTTTCTACACCAATCTCCCTCCTCTTTCTGTTGTCCCTCTTCTGATAGATTCATAGAAAGTAAAACACCCCCTCACTTTACCTCTACGTCTCTGTTTCTTCCCCGATTTGCTGTCAAACCTCCTCTTTCAGCCACTCCGGTGGAGAAAAACAAAAGCGTGGAATGGAAATGAACTCTTACCTGTCTCGCAGCTCTTTCCGGTAAACCCTTGCTGGCAAACGCAGTTGTTAGGTGAAACGCAGGTTCCTCCATTCTGGCACAATCCGTCACACATAGCTAGAGGTAGATGACAAGAGAAGAGCTATTACTCACTGAGATTAACGAGCATTAACTATGTAATTAGACCAGCAGCAGCAGCATATGTATTTGCATACAGAATAAGAGCTAATTTGGTGATGTGATTCATTATGGCGCTCTCACGAAATTATTTCAAGTGATTAATGCGTCTCACCAAGGTTAATTCAGAAATGTTCATTATCCAGGAGTAGGCTGTTCGTTAATGTGTCCCCGAGACCCAGAGAACTCATTCAAGGTGACAGAATGCCGCAAAAGTAAATGAAAGTACCTACACCTGCTTTCTACAGAGGAAGAAGTCAGGACGACATAAGAAACCCACTCAAACTAAACAACAACAACAAGAATACGGAGCAGATTTCATTTCAGATGATTTATTATTTTATATGAGGCGCTCATAAAATATTAAATCTCAAATTAAACCGAAAAAAGAATGACTTTCCCCACTGGTTTGGGTCAGGCTCCAGTAATGTCTGATGCTACCTCAGCAGAAAACCCAATCCCAGTATTTTTTTTAATGAAATCCCTCCCCGTCTTAGATTTACCCTGATAACATCATTGGGTTAGTTGTCAGTCCCAACCCTCCTTGATTTATACAGATTATATATATTTAAAAATCATTTAAATTAAGCACTAAACTAAACAAACAATTGAAAGGACTAGATTTGTATAAGACGTTACACCAAAGCAATGAATACAATACCCCTCCAAATAAACTCTTTTTGAGACACAGAGAACATAACTCAACAACTCTTCCGTAAATAGTACATGACTTTTTGACACATGTCAACTGAGACTACAGACAATTTAATTTCCCTTCAGGGATAAAATAAAGTTATTCTTATTCTTAGAACTTGAGTTTTTAAACCGCAAGCATAGTTCTCAACATGGCTAGTCAACCAATTCATATGTGTGAAGTAAGTACAGTTCTCTCTTTCAATAGATTTTTTAATCAACACATTGATTACCCAACTAATGTCGAATCAATTTTGCAGGAAGAACACACAACACAGGTAGACCAGCTCAATAAACCTGGTTTGCAGAAAGCTTTCAAGCTGATGTCTTTACGATTTTGACAATAATATACATTTACTTTTGAGGCACGGGGCTGTTTGTCAGCAATGCAGGGTGAGGTGATTTACCTTTGGAGGAACTTGGAGGTAAAGTCTTTATTTATCATACATTTGGTCTTTTATTCATAATTCATTGCCGCCTATCAGGATATTACATTTTCCATTCAGGTTTCTTTATCTCCTGTAGGCTTTTGTTTTAAGTACGTGTTGCCCCTGATACACCATTCTTCAAAGAACTGACTTAAAAGAGCTAAAAAGCTTAAAAGAGGTGGTTGGAAAGTATAAATGTTTAGTCTATCAACATCCCCTGAAGAGGTACAAGCTCATTTTTGATCACTGGATAATAATAGGAGAATTTTACTTTTTGGCATACTTTCTAAGTCCTTTTTATCTGGTTATTTGAAGTAACTTCAAATAACTTCAAGTGTCTTGACAAAGAACACCTGAGCATGTGGACAGCAGGACCTGGGAAAAAAACCCTGACTTTACAGTTGAAACCATAGACTGTATAAACTATGGACAACTTGGCTCCGCCTTCTGTCATTATACGAATTTGAAGCCAAATTGCTCTCAGTATTTTCAGGAATATTTCCACTTCTGTGAACCATCACTTGTGCACTAGCGTTGAACACATTTGGTGTGAGAGTTTCTGTGATGACGCTCTGCTCAAACAGCGTATCCCCCCGGATAATCTACGCAGTCTTCGTACGCCCATAGACTGTATCAAGTGTCAATCATATAATACATGAACCCCCTAATAACTTTTAAAAATGGAGCTGCACGGAAAAATGAGAACTTGAACTTCTCATGGAGGCTTCACCCAGCAAGGAGGCAGATGACGTCCATCCTTTGTACAGTCTTTGGTTGAAAGCCACAGCATTGAACCACTGATCCACAGCAGCCCCTCATTTATTACATTTCCTTGTTTGTATGAAGGAAGATAAAGAATTTCTTCCGATAGCTAAATTTCAGCTACTCGACTATCTCTGCTTGCAAGTCTACTGTGGCCTGATGGACTGCTGACCTGTATGTGCAGACACAATAAATCACAGAAAGGTCTTACCTTTGCAGACAGTCCCGTTACCGGTGTAGCCTGGCTTACAGGAGCAGCTGTGGCCTCCAACCATGTTAAAGCACAAGGCGTTCTCATCACAGTTGTGGAGTCCACTGAGACACTCATCATGTTCTGAAGACAAGAAGACAGAGTAGACATTAATCTTTCTGCTTTATCATTTCTTTAAACTGAGGAATAACAGCAGCAGCAAGAGTAGAGATAATGCCCTCACATCTGCAAATCACTACTACGCTAAAGAAAATAACAAATGTTCATTTTTTTTTGTAAATATGAGGACTAATGCCATCCAGCTGGTGATTTGTTAGGCTTTGTTCGGGGAAAAAAAGGGATTTGAGGCATCAGTGTTGGATTAAATTCTTTGATAGTTAGACAGCTGTGAGCCTGGTAACAAGACATCAGTGACAAACAGCCGGCTGCAGGACGACTCATTTCTCCATTTCACAACATTTCATCTGTCAGGAGAACTTGTTTCTGAGGTTTTCTGCTTTAATCTGATATTGTCCCTTTTCTTTCTTTCTTTCTTTCTTGGGGAAAATCTTGATACTGAATTGGGCTTCTAGAAATTTGTGTTTCACTTTGCATTTTTAAGCCGCTTGCTTTCCGTTTTGATGTTGTAAAACTGGCACAATTGTCCATTAACTACCAAGAGAAATGTTTTCTGTGAGTTTTAAAAGGGTATTAACAGAGCGTCCCCTCAGAACCCGGACTCCCAAGCTGTAATCGCTGCTGCTGTGGAGTAAGTGATACGGTTCGTTCTGAATATCCCACAGACAAGCTTGACTAATGGCTACAGCCCGTGACGACATGCTGGATCCAACCGACAAACAAATCTCCTCCCCTCTATTTGGAGAAGAGAATGGGGTTGCGGAATAAAAATGTAATAAAGGCGTGCAGAATTATCTAGCATAAACAGGACAAACAACTCAAGGACAAATATTTTAAGTACACCACATTAAAAAAACAAAAAAACAATAAAGTCCGTGTTGAGTAAAGCAACTTTAAGCAGTTGTTTAATTGTAAGAATGATGGGAAAATATGATCAAACAGTAAAATCACCATTAGTTGACAAAGAAACATGACCAAAATCCAATCAAAGTATAATTTTGTGGGGATGTTCATGTACACAGATAATTCAAAAGTTGTTAATGGAACCATAAAATCCGATATTATCTGCTGTTATTCCCTGCAGGCACATTTAAAGACTTAAACACTGAGTGTGGAACAATGAAGCAGTAATAAAGTTGTGTTTTAACCAAACAGTAAATGATAACGATTCTCCACAGAGTCATTTGTGTCCCTAACACACAGACTCAAGTGTAATGTATTAATGTCTTTATTATGCTCCTGTAATAGACTCTTTGTGGTTAGATAATGCTGGGAAATAATAGAGAGCAAACCATTAGGGCTGCAGCTTACTCATGATGGATAGAACATTATTAAAGAGTTCCTTTTGTCATAATAAAACCAATATCCATGTTGCCTTTTGAGAAATTACTCGAGAACCGGAGAAAAGTTTCTAAATACTCTCATGAAAAATTGAAGATAGTAAATCAGTGAATTTAAATATGAAGGAGTGAAGCATCTCATAAAATGAAACTGTCACCTCAGTTCTCTGTAGATATAATGGTGCAAATGTTACTTTATGGAAAAACAAAGGACGTCTGAAATTAGAGAATTGATCTATAGTTAAAAAGATGAATATTATTAGTGTTTTACAGCTGATTTTTAACAGCAGATTCATATGGATCATTTCTAGTCTTTTGAGCGACTCTAAAGCTCCTGTGAGCAACTTTTGGATTCTATCAATTTTGGCGCCCCCTGTGGACAAATGAGTCCTTGTCATGATTAGGTTGCATCTAGCTGACTTTTGACAATTAAATGTATCTTTGGTTGTAGGTGATGGTCTGGTCGGCGTAAAAATAATTTTGGGTCAAACACACTGTCACACCGAGTAAGACACCCCCTCCAGAGATGAATGTTGACGACCGCTTGCTTCTCTAGTTATACCAACTTGAGTAACGACTTTGTGGAAATGCAATCAGACCGAGACACTAAGGCAGAAGAACTACCGCGTCTGCAGTGCAAAATGATTAATATGGTGATTATTACTTCAAGGTAATGATAAAGTAATGATCATAAATGTTACTCTTGAGCTGCGTCACCCCGCAGCAGTCCGTAATGGACTGGCCTGAGGTCTCGCTACAAACAAGTGGCTGCTGGAAGAGAGTGGGTGAATTGTGTTTAGTCTCTTTGCTTTAGAAATTAGGCAAAGTTAAAAAGATGTTTGGTGGCTAGTGCTGTGGCTAGGACCCTATATGTACTGTTGATGAAGTTAGGTGCTGTTCTGAGCATTATTTGTGGCTATAGAGTGGCGTTTTGGTTGAGGTTTGTTTATGGCTCCTCAGACTGCTGTGTATTGCTATCCTGCAGTCGTTACTAAAGTTGGTATAACTCGAGTAGCAAGCGGTTGGCAACGTTCATCTCTCAAAGGGGTGTCTAACTCGGTGTTCCGGTGTGTTTCACCCTAACTTAATTTTATGCCAGAATATCCCTTTAAGTGGTGCTTTAAAGCAACTTTATTTGTAAAGCACATTTAAAAACAATGGAGATTGACCAAGGTGCTTTAACAAGTAATTACCGATAAGGAAAATCAAATTTCTTAAAGTTTTCAATGCTAAGATTATGTCAGAAAGCCCAAACAAATATTGTTATTACTGTAATATTATTAACACATTTGTTTGCCTTGTTATAGTCCAATTTAAAGTTGTAAACAGGTTTATGTTGCAGATCAAAACAATAATCTAGTCCGTTCCTATCCCAAGTTAAAAACAAATTTCTCATTTACTTGGATCTTATTTTTGTAGATCTTAGGAGCCTTTTGAGCCACCGAGATACTTTGTTTTATTTTAAGTGCCTCCCCACAGGTATTTTTCCTCAAACTTAAACGCAGTGACTTGTGAAATATGCAAAGTTTGAGACCTGAACGTCGGCACCTGAGGAGAGAGAGAGAGAGCGTCAGAAATGTGAATGCTTGTTGCAGAAGACCTGAGCCGCATCATCCATTTCTCTGCCATCATCCAATCCATTACATCTCCTGAACAGACCGTGGGCTCATCCAAATTGAAAGTGACATTGTGATGAGCTCCTCCATCGAGGGTTTGATGTATGTGTGCATGAGTGTGTGAGAGTGCATGTGTATGGGTTAGATGGATTGAAGGGCACTCAGGAGGGCTCTGCTTTGCTCTTGTTGCTTTTTTATCACTCACACACACGTGCATAAACACACACCTGCTGTTGGGCAGAATTAAAGCCGGCTCATCGGCATATAAAACAGTAATAGCCGTCATGAAAGAGAATGTTTTTTTTCTTTTTTAACAAGGTCACATCTGTCAGAGCAGCCAGTTGTCAGTCTGAGCAGACAGGACAGCGCAGCCGCCAGGTGCCCCCTGTGTATGCGAGTGTGTCATCTCAATGACCCCTGAGTTCACTTGTAATTTGGGTTATTTAGGAATTACCGCTTGTCAATCTGCACTCAGAGCAAGCAAGCCTAAATTCAATCACCAGCTACATCCCTAAACTGTGTGTTTGTGCGCGTGTGTGTGTTTGTGTAAGGCTGGTATTTCCTTGCTGACTGCTACTGCTCAGGCTGCAGACAGATAAATAATCAATTATGTAGAGCCTGTCACCGGGGATCTTTCTCTCTCGAGTTGGCCGTTTCTCCTCCTGCTCGGTTCTCTCCAACTGCTGCCAAAACAACACCGGCCTCAGCCAGGTCTGACCTCAGACTGTTTTCCCCAAAAACATTTTAGATCTTATGATACATACGCAGGGAGAAAACTTCCCTCTGCATCCACCGTGACTCTGCATTTGTCAAAGAAGGCGGGGGTACAAACAGAAGACGAATCCTGACCTGTTGTAAATCTGAAGTTAAAAATATTTGGAGAAGTGATTTCTTGTGTTTGATAGAAGCTGAAATAGAAGAATCAATCTTTAGATAAGCTAAATGGATAGATGCATTTTTGTGTTCTTTTTCAGAAATAGACAAAAGTAGAGGCAATAATAGATCAGTGGTTTTAATCTATTATTGCCGACAGGGGAGACTTCCCGATGTGAGGGAGTATATGTGAGTAGGAAAGTCAGCCTGAGAGTCCTGAAATTCTCCTGAAATTTCCCTCGGTGCATGTCTGTAAATAAAGTTCTTCTTATCTTGTCTGGAGAGGGCTAAAGGTGGTTTTTGCTCTTTTATTAACTTGTTGGAAAAAAAAATTCTGTCTCCTCTGGTGCTGGATTTCTTCACGATGCTCATCAGTTGCTCCTTACTGGATTGGTCTATTTGGTCTCTGTGATGTGCGGTGGATTTGTCTAATTTGCGCAGGAAAATAATCAGTGTGCTTCATCCAAAAAGTGGCTAATCTCCTGGTTAATACTTTTGTATTTTGATCAAAATACTGCACAGCATTATAAGGTGCCATCTGTCATCTGTACTTGTTTACATCCTGGTGGAGGATTATTGCAAAAAGTAGGGCTGGGCGATAAACCTAAAAAATTACCGATACCGAAATTTACGACAATAGCCAACGTCATTTTGCCTGTGTCAATATATTCTTTACTAATTTAGAAATTCTGTCAAAATCGCTCCAAAGGAAGAGCAGACAAGTGTTTTTGTAACATTCTTGAGGAAAAATAAGAAGTACAAAATGATGGACTGAGTGAATAGAGGAACAGAAAGTGATTAAATGTGTGGCAGGCAGTAATTTGCTGTGTCCTTGAAAGTCTTCTGTTGCTAACCTTTTAATGTCATCGGGGACCCTGCACATCACTCGAATAACTTGTTTGAGCCACATCTAGACAAACTCAATTATTGTGTCAAATAGTTTTAAAAGTTGCTGGAAAATAGCCAGTTGGTTCTGAGTACACAGTATATTTTGGTACAATATTGGTATGAGTGGATACAGGCTTAAAAAGTACAATATTAGTCCAACATAACCCAACAGTGAGCTTCAATATGCATTAGGGCTGGGCGATAAACTAGAAATTTACAGATACAGAACTTTACGACAATAACCTACGTCATTTTGCCATGTCAATAAATTCTGTGTCAAATAAATAAAGGTTGGTTTTGGATGTGTGTCGGTAGGCTATGGTCTCATGTCCCTTTAAGACGCTGTCCTGCGCCAGAGTCGTGACTCCACCCCATCCAGTTGGTAACAAAGAGGGAAAGACAGGTGAGGAGATGGAGGACGGTTCAAAAGTTGTAGCGGCTGAAGTAGACAAATTTTATGTGGGAGGGGTTGAGCAGCTTGTGGAGTAGTTATCGTCCATTTATCGTTATCGAGGTGAACTGCTCAATATATCGTGATACTGATTTATTCGCCATTTCGCCCAGCCCCAGCTAGGGGCAGGTAGTTGTGATATCTTAGACAAAACATGAGCTGCATTTTGGGTCTACAACTATGAAAATTGTTGTTGTTGCAGGTCAGGACAAAATAAAGATTTAAAATGAGATTTTTAAAGACACTGTTTGAGTTTAGAGAGTATTTCTATGAAAAGCCTGTGAGTCTAAAACTTTCCATGACACTCTGTTATTCAGTCACAACACTTGGAAGTCACAAAAAGAGCAAGAAACTCTGTTTATCCCCGACCCCCAGCTGCCAGACCCTTTGAGTCTTCAGACTAAAAGGCATCTTTTCTGATCTCTGTTGTTGTCAAACCCCCTGCTCCACCTCTTGCCCCTGTCCATCCTTTCATACCCTTCCCCGCCTGGCCCTCCTTCCGCTTTCTCTGCCTCAGGGGCCCAGGTCTGGTTATCGCAGGATTAGAACAAGGACACACACCCTGCATACACACACCTCAGGCACAAGCATGCACATCTACACCTGAAGCACACACACACACACACACCTCAGGACAGCCTTCTTTAATAACATTCAAAGGGAGAGCACAACCAATCCGCTACCTTTCATGGATTAGCTGCTAATCTCACAGAGCGAGAAGCACCTCGGGCACTTTGGGGAAAAGATGAAGAGCAGGGGGGAAGAAAGAGGAGGAAACTTGACCTTCAAGATCAAGGATAAAGTTCAAGTCAAATAAAAAGCGCTAAAGAAAGTTAGGGATGTTTCTTTAGGTAAAGGCTCTACTAGATTTAGAGCCTCGGCAGTGAGTGGACATTTGGTTGTCCGTATTTCACTTAAACAAGTACACAAAAGGCAGCATGTTCCAGTCTACCACCAGCTGAGATCTGATCCTGTGACCTTCCTCGCTGCAGATGGTCCCAGTGTACAATACAGACTTTTGTCTGAGCTCACCGGCCTCCCGACAAGCTGAGAAGAAATACAACCAAGGCTCCATGCTGGTTTCTTCAAGGCTTAAATCTGCGGATCAGTCCTTTAATCCACTATTCTGCACATAAACACTGAGCCATGAAATGAACTACAGTCAACTTAATCCTCTTCACCAGGCAGGCTGTCTCTCATTCGTCGCTGTAAAGCATGTGGAAATATGGCTATCAATAGCGGGGCATTGTTTCTGCTGAGCTAGCTGTTACGTTAATTGGGGAAAGCCATTGAGGATGATAAAGATGCTAATATATCATGCAAATGTACAATGTCAATAGGTAGTGAAGGGTGTGGAGGTGTGTGTGTGTGTATGGGGGGGGGTTAATGTATCCTTTCACAGCTGTAATATTTCTTCGTAGAGGAATCAGCGCTCCCTCTGGACTCTTCTCAAACAGGAGCAGATGTTCGACTGCTATTAATAAGCTGTAGATTCCTGCAGCTACTAGCCTAGCATCCTGCTACTTTCATTATCAATTACTACCACTAGGACATAAGAGGTGACACTAAACTCAGCGTATTAACACGTGTTAGTAAACGCACCCTGGTGAGTTTTTCCTGCATGCATTCATTTTCTTCATTTTAAAGACCCTGACGGGGAAGTGCAGACACTTAATTCAGCTGTAATCCATCTTTCTTATAAAAAGGAAAGATTTTTCAACAGAAGTGATTCTACTTTGTGTAATTGTGATGGTGGATGTGTGGGAGCTGATAGTCCATAACTCAGTGGGGAGGTTAGGAGAGTTGATGCTGGGGAAAAAGTCATTACATCGGGCCTCTGCATAAGCCTGGGTTTAATCACACAAATTGACTTTTATAAGGCGATGCATTGCCGTGTATTCCACTCCTGTGACTTGAAGGCATTTTAATAGGAAACTACATAAATTATAGTGACACAGTTTAATCCACTGGGTTTGGGGGGTATTAATCATCATTGTGAATCTGGGAGAAGGAGCGCACAGTGGAAGAAAGACAAATGAGCAAAACAATAAAAGTTGCCTGCAGCTGAGATGATCGGGGGAAATGGAGAAAACAGAGTGGAGTCATATAAGGTGCGCTGGCTGTCTATAGATAATATGGAAACAGACTGGGTAAGCGTGCAAGTCTTTAAATAAATCACAAATGCACAGAAAGAAAGATAAATGCACATTTGTTACTCCCTTAAGAAACTCTTACTCGATCTCTCTTGTGACTTGTTTAAGCCTCGCAGAAGTGTATTCATAAAAAGACACAGAGTCACAAATCTTTAGCTTTGCTCTATTATTTGCTGATTTCTATTGACTGGGAAAGAGAGGAACTCAACAGGGGGGCGTGATGGAGCAGGAAATGTGAGTTTTCACGCCGTGTTTGCAGTGTTGCTGATTCTTACGGCTCCAATTCAAACGCCAATTGCATGGCAGGAAGGCTGCGAGGCTAAATCCTCCAGCGTGAAGCGCAGGCGGCAGTCGGGCCCTTCACTCCGCTGCCGCTGAGTCAGTTTGCATTGATGCAAATTGCTTTTTTTTTTTAATTACCCACTCTGAGGAACTGCAGCATGTTGCTTTCTCTGTGGAGATGACGCACACAGGGAGCTACTTAGCATCGTGTTTAACAAGCTGCAACAACTGCTGAGGAATGATGAGGCGGATCTGCCACTCACCACAGAGGATGACATTGTGTTATTCTAGATGAAGGACAGGGAAACATTACATTATGGTGGGGATTACTGAATCAGATTTACTCACTGTACAGGCCTACGTTTGTCATTGTAACTCAAAATAACTTTCAAATGTGTCTTTACTTCTTTACAAAGTCAGTCAGTGTTTCCGTCCAATTTGTTACTCACCACATAAAAATAGATATCTAAATGACTCAGATCACTTCTTCAATCGAGTCTAACCTAACATTTGATTTTACATAAACTCTGTGGTCAGATGCTCATTCTTTTTAGCTCCGATATCATGAACACATTGCACTTCATAATCTGTCAAATCCAAAGATAGCATTATAAGGTATGTGCACATTTACTGGACAAAGTAATCAAAAGAGAGTTACTTTTTAGATGAGGATAGGATTAATATTCTCTTTACTCGTAGTGTCTTTCACTCTACAGACTGCCTCGTTAGCACAGGCATGTAGTAATTAAGGAGGTGATAGCTCTGCTAAAGTTAGCCGCACCAAGCAGACCATTTGACACCTCTTGCCTGCAGACTGTGATCCTGTGTTTAACAACTGTGCTAAAAGTTGTGATAATTGTCTCATTATGTGTAAAAATGTGTAACTGTGACAAAGAAAATCCGTACAAGAGCAGAAATGTCCCCATACAGATATCACTGCGGGGTCCTGCACACATTGTGTCATGTTACCTTCAAGAAAATATAAATTTTCAGTTTAATGTGAACTAGGGTTTAATTAATGTTTAACTCGACCATGAAGTGAAATGTTTCAATTAAAGGGATATTCCGGCGTAAAATTAAGTTAGGGTCAAACACACCGTAACACCGAGTTAGACACCCCGTCGAGAGATGAATGTTGTTGACGGTTTGTTTCTCTAGTTAAACCAACTTTAGTGACGACCGCACAATAGCAATACACAGCTGTCAACGTCTCCACGTGCAACCCTCAACCAAAACGCCACTCTAAAGCCACAAATCATGCTCAGAACAGCACCTACCCACCAAACATCGGACGTCGAAGAGACGTGCAGATCAGGTCAGTATTGGGTCGGTCCGTCAAAGACCACATCTAGACGTCAGTGTGACGTGCAAAATAGGTTAGAAATTTCAACGTCCAAATTGGACCTTTTTTTAGACGTCACTCTGATGTTTAGAATTTGGACGTCATCTGAGGACCAAATCTAGACGTCGGCAAAATGTGCAAAATGGATCCAAGATTTAGATGTCATTATTGGACCTCTTTTAGACGTTGAAATGATGTCCAGATTTGTACCTCATTGTCGAAAATATACATTAATTAAATAGATGTCAGTTCGACGTCGCATTGCGCAGTGGGTAACTTCATCAACAGAACATAAAGGGTCCCAGCTATAGCACTAGCTATCAAACATCATTTTAGCTTTGCCTAATCTGTTTAGCAAAGAGACTAAACACAACTCACCTACTCTCTTCCAGCAGCTGCTTGTTTGTGGGGAAAGCCCTGACAAGCCGTTCATCAAGTGCAGCGGATCATTTCCTTGAAGTAATGATCATCATAATAACCATTTTGCACTCGGTCTGATTGGATTTCCACAAAGTAATGATCATAAATGTCAAAACTCGGCTGCACTCTTTGATCAACTCGTTGGAATTTTACACCAGAATATCTTTGAGTTTATTTTGGAGAAAAGCTGATTAGGATCAGATAATATCCACAGCAGCTCTTAACTATCCCCCTGCTTCTCCTGACTAAAACAAGACTGTGTATTTGTTTCAGTAGCTCAAACAATCAACCTCTTGTTGCTTTTAAGTGTCTGAACACAAACACAGCTAATTCTGAAATGCATCTGTGAGTAGTTACGCCTAAATTTGATTCTACATTTGACTCTGATCTTTTCCCAGATGTGTGTTTATCTAGGATAATGTAACACTGATCTTTTCTTACAAGCATACATTTGGTCCAGTCAACTGTAACCTACAAAAAAAAGCTATTATGAAGCAGAGAGGCCACGACCACAATCACACACAACACAGACAGAGAACAAAGACCAAGAGCCATCCTGGCAATCTTTTACAGATTGATTTGGTTTGCTTTTGAAATTGACTCAGGTTTCAACTTTGATCAGAAACAAATGGGTCTGCCGCCTGCACTCACAGTCTCACAGTCTCTCTATTTCTCAGGTTCTCAGGCATGTTCTCTCTCCTCCTCACATACACACATACACAGAGTACATCACACATCAGATGAAGGCTGAAAACACACGCACTTAAAAACAAAGCCGAAAAGTCCACAGACACTTTGACATCTCCAAAGAGGCCTGAAGTTAATCTATTTTGTTTTTCAAAGTGAAGTTCACAACATGATACCAACTATCGCAATCTCTTTTTAGGTTGCTAACATAAACAGCAGGCTCAGCCTACATAATAGACGAGCTCAGGGATTTAAAGTAACACTCCGGCATTAAATAAATCTGTGTTGTTTCTAACTTTGAAATATCTAAACTTTTAACAAATGCATTCTGTAATCTACACAAAGCAAATGCAATCCAAAAATTGATTCAACACTTTTCTTGAGTCTTCAATCTTTTCTCTAGTGCTCGCTTTTGCTGAATCATAAAGCAGTAAAAGGCTGCTATCGATTTCTGTATGTGTGTGTTTTATTTTAATGTAATGCTGGCAATCAGAGCAAAACCGATGGAAGCAAATCAAACCCAGGCATTAATTCTGATGCATATTAAATAAGCAGACCTGGCATAATTGCAGGCGACAGATTCACAGACATTTATAACTTACCAGGCGCTGTCTGGAATTAACAGAGACAGGGATGGAGGTGTAACTTCAATCTACAGAGTGTTTTCCAGGTTTTGGGTAATAGAAGTTCACCGCACATGCATGATTTTCTGATATAACGCTTCCTTATTCTGCTCTTTGACATAAATAATTCTCTGTGTTTGTATCTGGCTGTTTCTGTCTTTTCCTGTCACTCGAATTCTGAGCACATCTTGCTTTTATTTAGTTCTTTTGTTTCACACAGAAATACAAAATAAGTAAGGAAGGGAAGAAGAAGTCTGTCAGTAAATTAGTTAAAAACCAGTCCCGAAAGACTTGTTCAAGGTAATAGAGACATACTACATCCGCAAAATGACCTAAATAGGAATAAAAGCTAACTCTAAGGAGAAGAGATGCAGGAGTTTAATCACACTGACTGCTCTTGGCTGCAGAATTTATTATAATAAAGCGAAATGTGCCTAAGATACAAATTAAATACTTTCCAACCCACTAGAGGTGTATAATAAATGCTTCCCCTTGAAAACTCTTAGTATAGAAATCTACAGCGGAAACAATTCTACTCAATCTCTTCATACCTCCATGTCCTCTCCTTGTTGTTTCTCCACACCCAGAAAACGGAAATATATCTTGCCTTTTTGCTCGACTTCAAGCCTGCTAAAGCTCAGGTAGCTGAAGCTCATATAACTGGAATGGAAAAACAGCCTCTTCTCCTCCTGCCTGTCAAGAGGGCCAACAGAGGAACTCACCTGTGCAGGAGTAGTCATCGATCCTGATGTAGCCCGTATGGCAGATGCACATGAAAGAACCGGGGGTGTTTACGCACATGGTGTTCTCCCTGCAGTAGTGCTTCCCTTCAGCGCACTCATCAATATCTAAGGAGACAGGGGATACGAAGAGACAGGAGGTGGGTTAGAAAGCTACGTTAAATATGGATTATACCCACATTTCAATTAGTACATACATTCATGCAAATTCTCGTCACCTTGGTTTCTTTACATTCAAAGGTCACTATAGGGGGAAATGTCAATGATACTATTAGACCTTGCTTTAAAGATCTACAATATTTATTAGTGGAAGAATCTATATTTCTGAACCTATTTAGAGGAGATAGGAGAGTGGATAGGGCAGGGAACTAGGATAGAAAAAGAGATGGTTTGCAGGTTGGGATTGAACCAGCTTCTCCACATGGGGAACACAACTTAACCTCGAGGCCAAACAAGCGCCTCTAGGGACAATACTTAACAGTGCTCTGTATTGATATTTCATCAAGTAGAAGCCTCCTGATTGTACACAGATCGATCAATAAAATTAAATCGTTCAAGATAAGTAACATTTGGCGGCTTTATCTGATGTAGAAACAAACAGTGGACAGTCTCTTTATCACAAAGTCACTAACTTTATGTGCCTGAACTGTGTGTGAGGAAGTTTGTTGTCAAGTTTCTTCTCTGTTGTAATGCTGTGATAATTTCTGGTGCTGCTACTGTAAAACATTTGGGATGTCCGACAGAGGTTGCTTGGCTCACTCAAACCCTTACTCCATTTTAACCAGCGGCATAATGCAGTAAAGTAAAAGGACTTCCTAACATTACTAAAGTTTTTGTGTATTTTTTGCACTTTCTTTAAAGCTCCTGTGAGGAACTTTTAGTGACAATTTCAGCGCCCCCTTCTGGCCAAAGCAGTCCTTGCTTATCTTGTTTTTTACATGTGTCAACATTGTTTCTTGACAAAAAAATGCCTTTTGGCGGTCACTTGTATCATTTATTGTGAATATCTTCTGTGGAAGTTGTACAAACATGTCACCCTCCCCCTTGAACTGGTTTCCTAAACATTAATTAACTATCTGTTTACTACTTATAAATGGTCTATTTACCATTTATAAGTTATGGTTATTGTAATGTGTTACCGAGATCTGTATTCATATCAGTCTCCTCTATAACCAGCAGTACAATTCCTCATAGAAGGTTTAAGTACATTGTATATAAGTAATATTTTTCAATACTTAAGTACAGAAAATTTAAAGTATTTAAAAACCTGTATATGATTAATATAAGAACAGGTGACTTAAATTCTTGCATGGACATTCTCTGATATGATATCTGTACTTTTACACAAAATTTATACTTGGACTTGACTCAGACTGCAATTTCTCAGTGCATCCTCAGTGAACAGTGTTTTTTACACTATCTAGCAAATTTATTGAAAAGTCGATCTCCGCTTGATTTATTACATAACACTTCTTTATCCATGGGAAGTGGAGTAGGAGGCAAGAATTATTGTTATGGAAGAAAAGTTTCCTCTTGACTGTAAGCGTCGTGTAGGCCTGAATGCACGTGGGAGACGACAACTGTTTGTGTTGAATAACTGCAAAAAAATCCGCTTCTAGCTGTAAAAATGCAGCAGATCAAAATATCTGACGAGTCCAACAGTAGAGAAAGATGAGAGGAGAGTAGAAGCTGAGGTAGATTATTTAACAGCTTTAATTTGTTGACAATATTATGATGCTGCATACATATTCTGATCTCCGTGAGGCGGCAGATGGAGATGTCGTTTGCCGATGATGATTTCTTCAAAATGACTTTTTCCATTTGAAAACAATTTGTGCAAATGGAACAAAAATGATTTTTTCCATACTGCTTAGAGTGATGTGTACGTGATTCTTCTCATATAACACAATCTTTAATGGAACCACAAACCGTAATTGGTATTTAAATCTGTTTTGATTAAAGTGGGATATGATTTCGACTAAAAATAACTTGATAAGGAAGCGCAGATAAGGAAAAGTTTATGATTTAGTTAGAAAAATATACTTTGTTGATGCTAGGGGAGTTTTACTGGCATGGTTTCAACAATGAACTCATTGATGTTTGGTTGTATTTCAGGAGGGTAGTCTCAGAGGTAGGAGGTTTATTCACGGCCCTGTTAAGCCGAACAACCCACAGGATCCGTGTTGGGCACTGGGCTCAGTATCCAGAAAACAACATATTCACAACAGGTTTTTGCCTCTTTTCCTGCTTATTTGGATACTATTATCTGACTGTTGAGCTCCTACTGTATGTGAACAACCAACGTGATTTTAAAGTTTTGATTTTTGCAGGTTTACTCTTGTTAAACTACGTTTCACTTTGCTGTTACCTTCAGACAGAGATAGCAGCTGTAAGTCCTGTTGTGGCTCACATGGATCAAGTATAGGCCACTTGGCTGTTATGTGTTAATGATAAATCCATAACCTGGAAGTGTTTCTTATCTACACGAACTGGTAAACAGTCGAGAGTTGACTAAATCTACTGGATTCCCTATATCCTGCCCGTGCTTGACATCCCTTCCTGTCTGATGCTATCAGCTCTGTTGAAATTGATGCATGTTGAAAGCGTAGAGCATCAAAGATAGACTATAGCAGAGCAGAACGTTAAGAAACTTCTGATGCATCCTGTGTGCAGTGCTGCATTGATTAGAATGGGAACGTATTTGCTGAAAATACGCAATGCTGATGGAACACGCTCAACGTGAATCCAGTGGGTTTTGGGCTTTACAGTCTCCCCCCATGGCACCAGCAGCAAAGAGTTCCTCTGCAGCTGTTGGTAAAGGGTCATTTGTCTTCATCAGAGGTAGACAGAGGTCGAAATGCAGAGGGTCTTCAAGAAGTGGGCGCTTCAGCACTTAAGGTTGCACCACTCGATTCTCGGTCTATTCAAAGTGAAGTACTCCAAGAAGAAGACTGGCTGCTTTTCTTCACACTACTTCTACGACTGGTCATTCAGTTCAGCTGTGTGCTGAGTGTACTTTAGGTTTTGTAATGTACACTTCAACTATGGAGTTATAATTTGCTGCTTAGAAGAGCTCATTCAAGAAAGTTTTCATCAAAACAACCCTGGTATTGTCAATTAATTAGGTTGATTCTGCTCTTGAGTGGAGGTTTACTCTGAGTTACATGTGGTCACCAAGCTTATTGTGCAAATTATAATGTGTGTGTATGTGCTAACAGGGAGAACAGGCAAGAGAAGGAGATTTTAGTCTGATAACATCTGATAAATATCTCTCAACAGGCATCACAAGTTAAAATGCAAGTGTGAAAATATCATGTCGACTGTAAAAACTCACTGTTTATCAAGACTGACAGTGTCTGTATGCTGAATGTGTTATCTTAAATCCCTTAATAATCCAACACACTGTATACTAATCCTGTTTTTTACCAGTTATAGCCTGTCTCAAGCATGTGCTTAGCTTGCAGGACAAAATGCATTTTATGTCTTTTAATGTTGAAAGACTGAACCCTGCATGTACCCTCTCACTGCTGCGAACTGTTTGGAAAAGGTCTCATTCGCCTCAGTAGGTTTTAGACAAACAACAGACACTGATTTCTAAAACACTTAGCCCTTAAATGCCTGAAACCACAAATTATGGCTAGAAAATTCAATTTCTTTTGGAGCTGAAATGTTTATTTCACTTACTACTGAAAACCAAAAAATTAAAATGTCCTTAAAATTTAACAAATATATTTATTTATCTCGTTTGATATGTTAGATGTTTTTGGAAACTGACAAACTACAAGAGGACATTTTTATCATTTATTGGACTGTATTTTGGTGTTTTTTTTTAGTATTTTGTTGATCACACTGACTCGAAAAAAGAACATAAAAGTGTGTATCAAATATGATACAAAAGGCATTAAAGGGTTGGAGTGAAAACCCAACTCTGCAACTCTGTCTTCATCCACTCTAGCTAACTGTTGTATTCATTAAGCCAATGCAAAGCAGGGAGTAGACAAGTACGTTGAAATTGATAACCAAATTGTCAGTAATCGTAATTCAAAAATCTAGACCATGCTAATGCTAATGCTAGCTAATAGTTCTCTGTTTTCCACCATGCTAGCATTAAAACTTAATATCCCAAACTTTATATCTGGGCTGTGTTTCTATGAGATGGTTTTGGAGGCTTTCTTTTGTGTCATTAAAACTTGCTCACTGTAGCTTTAAGAATCTGATCTATTAGATTGTCTTTTGTATTTCCTTCTCACTCTCATGATTCCATATTTAGATCTATATTAGCAGTTGCCCTGGCAACAGCTATTCCTGGTTTCCCAAACTGCATGCCAAACTGTCAGACAGAAGATGCACAACACTGCCAGGGTAAACAAAATAATCTTGATAATGTGATGAAACCGGGTGCAATACGATGCAAATACGAGCTGAGGCGAACGAACTTCGTAATGTGCTGAGCGGCCTTGCTCCTGTTGATAGTAAGGGTCAAACGTAGGCACTTTTTTGAAAGATGAGCTTCACAGTCCTTGACATAACCAATTTATTATTCATTCACTGTTTTCATTGTCTTTAAGAGTGCAGGAGGACATTCACCCTTGGATATATTCTATGCCAGGTGCTTTTGAGAAGAGTGCTTGAAATTGAATTTCAATGGTTGGCATTCACTCTGCTCGTGTGTCCTTGGGTGGAGCAACGCCCACCCAGCCGCTAACTAAGAGCTCAGCATCTGCCTGCAACAGTGGCATTCACATTTCCTTGGTCCTCTTTCCTTTCACAGTTCCATCAATTCTCGCTGCCTACAGCTATTCAAAAGCTTCACGGAAAAATGAGGCACGCAGACAATTGCTGCTCCGCAATGAAAGTACACGTGTCCTTCACTAAATGAATGTAGGCTTATTAAACCCTGTGACCATCTTTAAAAAAGAAACAGAGATGTGCAGAGAAAACGGGACATAGAAGGAACAGGCGACAACGGAGCAGGTAAGTGGAAAAACTGGGTAATAGTCAAAGACAGAGTCACGACAAGCTGTAGAGACAGAGAGAAAAGGAGGGATGAGGCAGCCAAGAAGAGGGTAAATGAGATAGTGAATTGAAAAAGATAGAGAAGGAGGAAAGAAGGAGGTGGAGAGAAAAGAGGGAAGGCCAAGTAGCGGATTATACAGAGAAAGATGTGGCAAGTGAAAGCACCGGTGTTCAGAAAAAGTGCGAGTGAACAATTGAGATAGAAGGAGAAAGAGATTTAGATGGTAGAAGAGCAGAAGTTGAAAGAAGGCAGCTAGAGGTATAAACATCCACTGAGGAGACAGAAGTTAGGAAAACAAATTCACTACAATCACAATAGTAACCTTGAGCGGAGGTCTTAGGTGACAGATTTCCTGCTTTGTGATTGGCCGTCTGTGCTGCAGCTTTGATTTAGAGCCCATTAACTGTAAGTCACCATCCATCTCGCACCCGGTGACAGCAGTTACGTTTGCTAAAACAATATGTTAGAAGGTGAGATGATGAGGGGCACGGCACCAACGCGTGCTTGAGAGCCAGCATCTCCATCTCCATTAACACACTCCATTTTCTTGATTGGCCTGTCACACGGACACACGTGATGCGCCAAGCAAAGCAGCCAGGCCAAGATTCACTGGCAGCTTTTTATCCCTGAAAGGTGAGCTCGGGGTCAATCTTTTTTTACCACCGCAGTAGATGACTAAGAAACGTCCGCCTTATATCTGTTCACCTTTGATCATTCTAGCATTACGACTGAATCAATCATAGTCATGTCTAAAGGAGGAGGGTAGCTTTGCTTTATTAAGAAAGGGGGATAAAAGCCCTTGGCTTGCATTAAGAGGGAGGGCTTTTGTTTCCTGCTGTTGGGAAAATTAAAACAAGTTCTGATGGATGTTTAGGGATGTGTGAAATCAGAAGTTGCAAGTCTTAATCCAACAGTTTCTAGGAGCACCTTTAATGCAGGGAAGCAATGTGTCACAGCAACAGTCACAAGCTTATGAAAGTGCAAAACTAAGCAAGACACTGAAGATTAATAAAAAGGCTTTGGGGTTCATGGCAAAGTGAGAAAAGATATTATGTAAGCTTTCTTTTTTTATGCATACTTGGTGGCAAGTTTTTCTGAGGAGTTTTCGCTTCATTAGTATCTGTATCATATTTCATTCTGTTGTCTAGACAATCATTTGAAATTCTAACTTTAGTTTCAGCTTTTGATACCCTAAAGCGGAATTTATGTTTTCTTCTTATTTGGCAAAACAACATCCAAAATCAAACCTTTTGAGAACAGAAAAGATATGCATTACAGAGAAATATACTTGAATATCATGAATTGTTAAAAGTATTTTGAAGCATGCAGTCAAATTATAATGCATGAGTAGTTCTGAAGAAAAAACGAAGGGACCTAGATGGCTTCCTTGGGGAACACCTTATTATCTATGACATGAAAGTCACCGCAGGTCCAAAAAATATCTTTATAAAAATGGAAGTGCAAGAACCCAGGCACTTTTTTCTCAAGTTCACTGATTATATTACTTTGAGTCATTTTTATCAATATCAGTACTTGCAGTTTAATAAGGGGGAAAACTTTTTAAAAGGTTTTCTGCAGGACTGTATTCATTTCTGAACTTTTTTCAACCGTACACGTGACGACAGAAACCCTATAATATCCCAAAAATCAAGTTGATACCAGAGCTGATTTTACAGGTGTTTGAATTTCAGATTGAACACTTCCTCATCAGCGGAAAAACAGATCAGCAAATAAAGAAAAATGCTACTGTCTTAGAAGTGTTTGCCTCATATTAGCCGGTGTGAGACAGTTAATGATGCCGGAGGTACTAGTTTACTACCTTTGTTCTATTAATGATGCCTTATTGCTGTTTAGCCACCGATTAACAACAAAGAAGCTGACTTTGGACTTCTATGAAGCAATGCTACTGATGTTGAAAAACGTCTTATATCTACTCTTAGATAAACAGTAATGTTGTGCATGCAGTCATCCAAGAATGAAAACCTTTCGGGGCCCCAAACTCTTCTGACATTTTGAATATTCCCTCCAACGCTCATCAGAGTCATTTTGAACTATGTAAACAGGGAATAGTGGCTTATCCCTCTCTGCTTGCAAAGCATGTCGTTTTGTAATAGAGAGAGTCCTCACTATCTGTGTTTCATACTGCAGAACACCAGGGTCTGGGAGTAAGCAGATAACACTGGTATTGCCTTTGGATGTCCCGCATAGACATCAGAATCTGTGCCTTTCCACCAGCAGCCTCTCAGTCTGTCTCTCTCTCTCTTATCTCTCGGCTTTTCTTTCTTTCTCATCCATCCATCCATCCCTCCCTCCCTCCATCTTTTCCCTAACCAGCTCACTTACTCAGGCAGACGGTTTTCAATTCATAGCATAGATACAAGAATCACCAAAACATTGTCTGATATTCCTCAGAAGGCAGGTCCCTCAGGAACTGTTTTGCAGCAGCAAGAGGAGAGCAGAGAGACAAAAAGCTGTCCCTGTGGCCGAACTATGTCCATCTAAGCCAATAGTGAAGAGGGACTAGGGAAGAGATCAGCATCAAAGCATGTTTCTTTGGGTTTATGTGAGAGTAACTAATTTAAATATTCAGATCCAGAGGGTGTTTGTTGGGTAAAATGACATAATCTGGGTGCAATTGTGTGACACTAGCAAACCCATTCTTCATCATTTTAAATACCACTTTTCTGTCAGTGTTTTTAATTCCATATGGATTATATACAGTACATTAAAAAAGTTTAATGACTTGGTTTTGAGCAGACACTCGCTGCCTTAAAAGTTTAGTGATGACTGTTTTCCTCACTATTACTTCATCAATCTGAACATAATGACCTTAACTTCTTTTACAGCAACTTCTAAATCTAAGAAAAGTAAACTCTTAGACATAAATCCTCATACAAGGAACTTCATATTATGTCAGGAAACGTGACCCTTTTTGGGTTTTTTCATGTAGTTTAAAAGTTTCACTAACTGTATGTCTAGGGCTAGGCGATAAACCAAAAATTTACAGATACTGAAATTGACGACAATAACCAACGTCATCTTGCCCATATCGGTATATTCGGTGTAAAAAAATAAAATAAAGGTTGCTTTAGCTTTAGCTGCACCAACTTGATATATAACAAGAAACAATTGCAGTTGTAAATAAGCTAAATTTACATTAGTGCTATCAGTGTGAATGCATTACATCCTAATATTACCAAGATCCGAACTTCAAGCATGCATACCACAATTTCACCACTAGGAGGTAAAAAATAAGGAAACCACTGCCCTTATGACCGGCACATTTCCGTGTAAAATACTCTGAGCTGACAAGCCAAGAGCAAAATGCACTTTGTGTCAAACAGACATAAAACATCACTGGGTTCAACCTACTAGTCTGAGCTACCACCTACGTGCCAAGCATACATGTCAAAAGCAGGCAGTGCACTGTTTGTGGGTGGGTTAGTCGCCTCTGACCCACGGATGAAACTGAAACATGAACAATGAGAAAGCAGCCAAACTGGAACTCCTGAAAGTGCAAATGCGGTCACATTAACTGGAGATTATTGGATGTCTATGGGTATAAAAATAAACTCAGAGTAAATACACACCATACTGACATTGATTGGAAATGTATGCATGGACTCCTTCACTTCATTAAGTGCAACAGTTTTATCCTTTCATAACAAAACACAGATTAAACTCTCTGAAGTTGTCTCTTTCCTCTCAGGAGGTGGGCAATTGATTTTTACGTGGGGCCACATGAGAAACCTGAACTGTGTTGGAGGGCCAAACCAACAATAACTTCAACTTCAAATCAGGGGGTTAACACATACAGAAAAGCAAGCCCAGATAAGCAACTACTAGTTAAAAACAAGCCCAAATGAGCGTACCCACAACTCACAAGTTTTACAAGTGACCTCTGAGAGAAACAAGTCTAGAGTGTTTATAATAAACAGACTTGGCAACTATAAGGCGCCTACGCATATTTTGCCGATGTTCAAACTTGTCTCCTTTAACTAATGCAGATGTAGGATGTACGCACGTGCGTCCAAACGGAAATGAAACAACAGCTAGTTTTTCACATTAAAAGCAACACACTTGTATAGCATGTTGATAATTTGTTTGATGGACTTTACAAAGGGCCGGGCAGGGACATCCAAAGGGCCCGATCTGCCCTGGTCTGCTCTAAGTTGTGGTTTTAGATCACACTAGCAGTGTAGCGTTGCATACAATGATAAATTTCAATGTCAAAATCAAAATAAACTGTTTATTTCACTGCATTCATTTGATTCCCAGTGAAGACACTGGAATATTAATCGAAAATCAACATATCAAGTTATTAATTCAGGCAGGGACTTTCAAACTCTTCTCTTTGCCGAGGAGCTGAGTATTGAGGGCATTAGTACACTTGTCATGCTTTTTACCAACCCTGCAGGGCGTGGTTGGATACAAAGGCAAAAGCAGCCCCCAAACCTCTCTATATTCTCTCACTTCGTAGAAAATGTGTTTCTTACGCAGATTATTTCCTAAACAGTTCGTTCTTTATCGTGGAAAATAAGATGAGCCTCTTTGAAATGTAACGAAGCTGCACATCATTTGTTTTCTGAGCTATCACCTAAACATTAACTAGAGATTTACTGAAAAACACTTGGACTTATAAAATTTGACAACAACTCCAGCACAAACTGACACATAAAGACCCCAAACAAAAAAAAGGCAAAACGTCACTGTCAATTTTGGCAGAAGCAGGAGCCAATTAAGATGACTGAGTGGAAAGAATCCCATTAGGAGTCAGCAAGAGTGAAAATCTGCACTCTGAGAGCACAGGCATTGTCTAAATACCAGACAGTCACACTGTGATCAATCACTGTGAACACTTAGAAGCCGGCTAGCTGACGTAGAACAATGAACATCAAATAAGACAAAAGGTGTAGGCGGAGTTTGTGTGTGTGTGGAATTGCAAGTAGGTGTGTAAAGGTGTTGCTGTTTTTTGTTTTCCTTTTGTTTTCTGCGCCCAAGAGCATTCACATAAAGTTTCATAAAAGCTAAAAACATTTATTGATTTTCCTGCAAACATCAACCAGGCCTTGAATGACTACATCAAGTGTGTGTGGGTGACTACAAGTCCCTCTAAACATGCACTCAACACTTTCATTTGGCATGACTTAAATGAAGCTCCTCATCTCGTAGACAAAGCGGCCTTGTTTACATGCGGCGGCGTAAATGGGGTTTTGCTCTCCATCATGGCTCTCATTAATCTGGGAGAGATTTTTTCACCGCGCGTAAATCGATACAGCATCATCATCAATCACTCGTCATTCTGTCACTGAGCGCAGCCTGCAGGCCAGAGGTCTAAACTGTGAGAAACATGGAGTGTAAACAGCTTTTAGAGCCCTCTGGCAGGCTGATCATTATTAATACCTTTGATCATATTTGTAACAAAGCATTCATGTAAACACAGGCGCACTTTTAAGTAATCTTTATATTGATTTTCCTAATCAATACTTGTGAGGGTGCAGGAAAAAAGCTCACAGAGGTCACTGATCCATCTGCTTAACCTGTTGTAAACCATAAATTCAATTATAACATTTGACTGCAGTGAGTTGTGAAATACTTTCTAGTTTGGGTTTGACATTAAAGATTCACTGTAACCTAGCAACAAGCTAAATCTTTATTTAGCTGTTCTGGGAAATTTCTGATTATGTTGCTCTTGAACGACCTTTTCTTGGTGATATGTTAGCTCTAAGTACAATACTGAAGAGGTATTATCGAGCGAGAAGCAGTGTAATGGTTTTAAAGTATAGTAAAATTTGTAATCAGTAGTGTAAAAGAAATGCAAATTAGTGGTACCTTTAGAAACAAACTGATTTACTGGATAGTTAGGTCTAATACTTTGTGTCATCAGTTGTACTGCAGCTTTATCTGAGTAGCTCTCGGAGTCCAAGGCAAATTTCCCTAAGGGGACAATAAAGTGGATCGTATCGTATCGTATCGTATCGTATCGTATCGTATCGTAGTTACTGCAGCGGAGCATTTAAGGGAGGAAATAGTAGGAGTCCAATAAAACCACCATAACATAACAAAGCGTGGACATGTGCTCTTTAGGCAGCCAGCGATACAACTCATGGTAGCTGAGTTGTTGGGTTGTACATGATTTATTCTAAAATGGGTCACTGAATTAAGTACCATCCTGTCTGGAAAAGGAAGGGAAGATTTCTCCCATGTGGCATTTGAAGGCTATCGGTTTAGCTGTTATTTACACTGGAGGTGTCTGTCTGGAAGCTGCTGGGATTGTCTGTTTTTGGTGACATTTTGCAGGGTCACAGAGGTGAGGCGCGTATAAACACACAGACCTAGTAAGATTGTGTGTTTGTTTGCCTGTGTGGGTATGTGTGTGAGATTCATCTTTGTGTGTGAGTGAGTCTGTGTGTGTGTGTGTGTGTGTGTGTGTGTGTGTTGGGGGGGGGGGGGGGTCAGGGCCCCAGCAGGTGGGGAGCCCAGAGGCACGAGTTTCATCCACAGGAAGTGATTGGGTTTTGGAGCAGGCCGTGCTCTTCAGTCAGTGCCAATTAGCCTGCTGACATCTTGTGACATTCAAAAGACAGCAGTGGCAATCGGATCGGTTTGTGTTCACACATGCTTACACAAACACACAAACACACAACCACACAGCCAAGAGCTTGAAGTCATGAAACCTGCATTTGTGATCACCCTGGCATGCTTTTTAAAATAAGTACTTGATACTGTTATGATCTAAAAGAGCATAACTCATCACTCCTCCTTTCTCTCTCTTACACACACACACACACGCACACAGTATACACACAAAGCAGTAAATGGAAATGAGAGTTGAGTTAATCGAGCACTCACTTAACGTTGCACTCTAAAAAAGTGGCCACAAATAGCAATGAAGTACAGCAAATTTTTAAAGTGACCAGTTTCCTTGTTGTGAAGTCGTGTCCTCTGACAAGACCCTCATCCTGCTGACTTTTCTCAGTCAAAAGTCTCATTAGTTGTAAATGTTTAATGTGGGAAATATAGAAAAAGGTCTGTTTTTTCAACAACTCCAATATCACCTACCTTCTTATACTGCTTTCAGGCAAAATAACAATACAAAAATTGTTTGCTTTTGTACATAATAAAATGGCATTGATATGAATTTTTTTTGTCAATTTCATTAACACCAATAGCTTTAACAATAGCTTTAATTAAGACTTAACAACGAGCAAAAAGGTATGAAAACACCAACACAAAACAATCTATTTGAGTGCAAATTTATTTAACGATATAAAAAAGTATTTTGATCTAGTTATATTTATCTGTCACAGTAAATTAATTATACTCAATTTTTTTGATTTCTGAGTGTTTTCTTGCCTTTAGTTGTTTTTTCTGTTGAACTTCTGTTAAAACAACTAGGAACTCAGTCGCTAGTTTATACATTGTACTCGTGAACCGAATAGGGATGCAAGGTATTGTTTGTTTTTGTCAATATCCCATCTGCAGGTGTTTCAGACTCATTTAGGGTGACACTAATATCTATACCAATACATGAATACTGTGTATTTCAGTTTACCTGCTAGCTTTATTGTGACCGTCTATATGTATTAGCGTCAGACAGAAAGCCAAACAACATCTGATTCTACCATAAATTATCATTTTATTGCGCTGTTTGGGATGACTGCTCTGAAGATACACAAATAAATTGGGAGTAGTGTTTTTTTGCTCCTCTTCTCATCAACTGTGCCTCACAAGTATTAAAAATGACTGTAATGCCATCTCTCCCCAATACTTCCAAATACTTCAATATAGCATGCATATTAGGGCTGGGCGATATGGCCTCAAATCAATATCACATTTCATTGAGCAGTTCACCTCAATAATGATAAATGAATAATAACTACTCCACAAGCTGCTCACCCCCTCCCACATTAACTTCGTCTACTTCAGCTGCTACAACTTTTGAACCGTCCTCCATCTCCTCACCTGTCACTCCCTCTTTGTTACGGACTGGATGGGGTCACCAACGAAGAAAAGCATCTTAAAGGGACATGAGACCATAGCCTACCTACACACATCCAAAACCAACTCTTAATTGCTTTTTTAGTATCTGACACCGAGTATATTGACAGGGGCAAAATGATGTAGGTTATTGACGTAAATTTCGGTATCAGTAAATTTTCAGTTTATTACCCAGCCCTAATGCATATTGAAGCTCACTGTTGGGTTACGTTGGACTGATATTGAACTTTTTAAGCCTGTATCCACTCATACCAATATCACACCAAAATATTCTGTTTCCCTCAAACCAACTAACTATTTTCCAGCAACTTTTAAAACTATTTGACACAATAATTGAGTTTGTCTAGATGTGGCTCAAACAAGTTATTCAAGTAATGTGCAGGGTCCCCGATAAAATTAAAGTTAGCAACATAAGACTTTCAAGGACACAGCAAATTACGGTCCTGCCACACATTTAATCACTTTCTGTTCCTCTATTCACTCAGACCATCATTTTGTACTTCTTATTTTTCCTCAAGAATGTTACAAAAACACTCGTCTGCTCTTCTTTTGGTGCGATTCTGACAGAATTTCCAAAGTAGGGCATTTCAAAACCAGACAACAATGGGCATGTCTCTCCGCCTGAAGTCCTCCAAAATGCTGCAATGAATAATAGTATTATCTCAACACACTGAACTACAGTATACTGATTGTTCAATTTAGGGACAATCACACAGTCTGTCACCTCTCCCCTGCTCTCCCCTCTAATTCTGTCCTAAACACACATATGCATGTAACAAAACAGGGTCTCAGCCTGACTGCAGCATGAGAAGAAAATGGAGAAAAAACTAAGCTCAGACACACACTCATGCTCTTGCACACAAGAACACACAGTGAGTTGCACAAAGGCAGGGCTAGTATCCCCCTGAGTCTCCCTGACTGCTGCTTCTATGAAAAATTTACACAGAAGTGATCTCATCGGCTATTTTGAGCCCATCTCTGACCTAGGAGTGTTTTAAAGAGCTAGTATCTGTCTCTGCTTTTTGTGATGTTTGTCTTCATAAGAACCCAAAAAATCTTCTTCCTATGAGAGGTTGTGTGCGCAAAAAAAAAAGCTATGTTTGTGTGCGTATCCATATCTTTCTGTTTTGTGATCCCCCTGTTGTGTTCAGCGCGCAAAATTGCCTCAAAGTTGGACTTCCCATCTCAGTGTATTGAAACTCATCTGAAATTGAAAGGAGGCAATTTGCTTCATCTTTCCATCTTCTTGCAGCCACAAAAATAGTGGACCTATTACATGAACAAAAACACTCTCTCTGCCATCCTAAATGTATCAGCAAGATGGTCCTCCTATTTTCCACACAGCAACGCACTGAGTCATATGGCAAGCGAATCACAAAGACACACAAAATCAATTGCTCTTCAGAAAACTCTATCAGCAAATTGAGTCAATTTCATGTTTTTCTGCGCGGTCTCCGATGCAAACACTCGCAGCCTAAAAACACCGACATCCAATTTCACCGTGAGTGTCGGGCTGCTCCTAAGATGAACAGTGAGGGTCTGAAGTGTTGATGTTGTACAAGTAGACACGAGTCTGTCTACTTGTTCTGGATTTAAAAGGGTGGTGGGATGGATTGTTTTGGGTTTATTTCTACAAATTTTAAGTGCTAAAATGTTCGGAGAGCCTGAGTATAACACAACAATTACTATAATCACATGAGGGTAAAAGGGGAAACCAAGATGCAGAAAGTGACAAAACTATTTCATGGTTGCTTTTAGGGTATTTTGAAAGGTAAACAATTATCCAGTGCTATCCTGTTTAATAACAGTTTTATTCTTGTCTTAAGTGGATGTTTGAAACCATGTTCAAAGTTTTCAAACTGGTCAAACATGCACCTCAAAATTATTTCTATGCCACTTGCAGCTAGGGCTGAGCGATAAAACAATGACGATATATATCAAAAATTAATTTCCCTCGATACCGATGTAAAACATGGTCAACATGCTTTTCGAAAGCCAGCATTCTGCCATGTTTTGGTAGACTATATGAATAGTCAATAAAAAGGGGAGTTGCTCCAGGTCCGCTTCGCACTGAACCAATCATGCGCTAAATAAGAAGAAAGTGGCAAATAACTGTGTAGTAGCAGGCTGCAGCTACACGCAACCATAGCACTTTAACACGTGGAGCTAATAGCACTGTTGAAGAAAAAAAGAAATGACAGAAATGCAAATGAAGGCTAAACAGATGAGCACTGTTAAATTTCATTTTAAGAGTAACAGGGAACATTTGAGATTGACAAGTGATTTTTTTATATTGTTATATATATCGCCCAGCCCTACTTGCAGCAATGCAAAAGTACAACTCTGACATATAAACACTTCACAAAGTTGAAGCATTACACAAATGACCTCGTATAAAAAGTTGTATGGACCATTGGACACAGCTTCTACTAACAACTGTTTGGAGTTTATGATTACATTTCCATCAGACAACTCATAATGTGATGGTGTGAGAAGTTTATTGCTGCATCCGAACACTGATTATGTTTGAGGTCTTGGCTATGACCCCATCACTCCTCACAGAAAGAAACTGAGGGGTGATGAGATCATATCTGAAACAGCCTGGTTGGAGTCTGCAGGTGGATACTGGGGAGGTAGTAGGGCTGGATGTCTGAGCGCAGCACTCATGAAGGGTGGTGAAAGAAGAGCTAAAAGAGTGAGCTGGTGAGAATGACTTATGTCATGTGTGGGATCAATGCTAGAGTTCCTGAGCCGACTCACAAGTATATAATAATCATAAGGTAACTTTTTTTTTTAAATCAGTTTGTTAAGCTAAAGCAAGTTCAATAGACTCCTTTTCACCAAGACTGATCCTTTTATCTTGTTTCTGAAGACTTTTCTTTTATTGTTTTCTTTGTGTTTGATCTGATTTAATATCTTTTTTTTCTTTTGCTTTTATATGCTCTGAATTTACTGTTTATTAACTTTATTCAATCTTTTTTATATTTCATGTGTTGTGCAGCTCTTTGATAACCTTGTTGTTTTTAAAAATGTGCGATACAAATTAAAGTGGATTGGATTGGAGTTAATTTTTTCCATCTATCTGCTTAATATCAGTTTTCCATTTGATATTTATTTTCCTCATTTATAACCAGTGTTTCAAGTTAATTACTTGGGCTAGAACAATATGCTTTTCTCCTGATTTGATTCTTCTACGATTTTTTGGATGCCGATTCAAATTAAATTGCGATTCTACGATATTGTCGATTTTCTCAATTTGTAGTCGGCATTTTTAACATCAGTGAAACAGTTGAATGATTATGATTGTCTGCTGACCATTCCAGGAACTATATTTCCCCATATAAAGTACATATTACATATAAATAAGTTTTTAAGATTTATTCTTTAATCTGAAAAAAAAAAAAGATTTTTGAACAAAAAAAATCGATTAAAAAAACTGTAAGACAAAAAATTGAGATACTTATGTAAATCGATTTTTTCTCCCACTACTATTAATTACTAGGTATATGTTTTATTGGTAAAAGCTTCTTAAGCCCATTTGTCCCTTAAACTGAATTGAATCAAACTGGGCCAGATTTAACTTCTTCAATACTGCTGAGTGGTTTTACATTCTCCTTTATATATTTTCTTCTACATCTTCAATGTCAAAATATTTCTCATCAAACTAGAGTATATCAGCATGTACAGTAAAGAGGAAACCGGCAGTGCTGTGGAGGTTAAAGTGCCCCCTGGCTGCACTTTAGCATCCACTTAAGCTAGTGTTAATTAGTTTCCACCACTGTGTGAATCATGTTGTAAAGAGGCTCTGTTATGGTGAATGAGGCCAGCACTGGCCATACAATCAAAACCTACAACCAACAGCCTCAGTGTTCATTAATGTAAGACTGATAGTATCTTCAATTATGTAGATTCTCTCAGACTGCCTAATTACCTGGACACATGCTCACGTCTGTAAATTAACGTCAGATCTGTAGAGGCTGTGAATTGCTACTCCTCTTATTTAGCACTTTTGTGAGTGTCCATCGACACTTAGGCCTCATCATTATGAAGGTGACAGAAAATAAATTGCAGGGAATGTGAAGTCTGTACATAAAAAAAAAAGACCAAGGCTTGTATTCACCAACAGATGCTATGACAACCTGCAGGCATAACCACAATGGAAAAAGAAAGATCAAGAAGGCGGTATATTAACAGGACAGCTGTCAGGGTCATACGTAGACGAATCTGACTAACTTTGATGTTATGTTACTCATTAATCGCAGAGAAGCGCTGGAGTTCAGTTACGACATGATGTTTACTTCATATTTTACTGAAGGATCGCGTTTGAGATGATCAAGTCATCATTTTTTAACGATGCATCGCATGAAATTCAGACAAGACGTGAGATGAGGAATTCATCTGAAGCGCTTTCAATTTGGTACGTGAACGTTTGAACTCCAAGCAGGTTCTCATAAAGCTACACCATCAGCATGAAACAACCTACTCAGTGAGGTATGGAGCCCCTTTTTTCAATCTTGTGATGGACATTCACAAAGCAATCAAGTGAAACATTGTCTGTTTTTAAAAGAGAGCAGTGCTGCTGACATAATCAATGGCATTGTGTTTAAAGTGCAACATGGCTGCAGGGCATCGGAGCTACAGTGTGCAATCAGTGAAGAATGACCTCGCTTATGATTGATGGTGTGACGCTAATCGCTCCCCCAACGGAGTGACGCTAAATGCATGCAAACATAAAGACCATCAGCGCTTTCTTATATCGCAAATTAATCAACTGACTCAGAAGGCAAACATTAGTCTCTGGAAATGCTTTCTGTGGAGCAGTTATTGCGTGTTTCGGACACGAATAATGAGGGGATTACAGCGTCCTATCACTGAAGGATTATGCGATAAAAGCATGAATTTAACAAAGTGTTTTCATGGGTATTTAGCAAAAATGTCTACATTAGTTTGCAATTCACTGCATAAGCACTTCCATTTCATTTTCTTTTGTTTTAAAAAGCCCAAATAGCATGGCGCTGAAGTGACAATAAAGCTCATGAGCTGACATTTCTGCTGAGATTTGTTCAGGTCAGCTGAGGCAAGGCAATGAGTTCATTAAAATAAAAGTCCAGGAACAAAGAAATATAACTGAGATTGTGAAACACAGATCTAATGGCTTGTATTTAGTCTGCTAAATTATGTACCTCACGCCTGAGGCAAGTCTGGGAGCCGCTTTTATATTGTTCCGGGGTGAATAGCAGAAAACTTTTGAAGGGTGAAAACAAGCCGTTCCCTGAGTAATGGCCCATGCTGGGCTAAAAGTAACAAAGAAGTATTGAAAACAAAAGGTAAAACTCATGTTTTGCTTTGGGTTTTTGGTGAGCTACCACACAAGGTCACATGGGAATTTCTATAGAGCAAAAAAAAGTCCTCATTAATGCAAAACCACAAAGAAACTACTGACTGTGCTTATGTAAATCTCCAAGACATTACACCAAAGTTCTTGATCAATATATGTAAACTCTCCTGACCTCAAAAATTCACTTCCCACCTTGTCATTTTCATGTCAGGCATGTTTTTCTAGTTATCAAGAACCTTTTATGATGCAGACGGGTGTCTACGGAAGATATGCGCGTTATCTTAAAGGCTAAAAACTGAATCAGACAGGCTGAGATCAGGCAGTAAGAGCACTCTGACAACTGTAAATCTACAGCATATAAATAACACTGACTTCAAAACACCATGTCATCCCAAATAGCGAAAAAAAGCTTCCTCTCCTTCCCTCTATTTGGATGCAGCCTTGGCACATTCGCAAAAACAAGCACACAATCTCCCTTGGAGGTCAAATAAACTTCAGCTTAAAGTCAGGGTTTGTTATTCAGAGCCACGCCGTACCTTCACAGTATGCATTATCGTCTCGCAGCGGGCGGAAGCCATCCTTACAAACACAGCAGTCTCCTGCCTCTAGGTTCACACAGTCGGAGTGCTCCACGCAGCTGTGGCCCTCTGAGCAGAAGTCATGACCTGCGGGAGGGAGGCAGAGGGAAAGGTTGGGACCCCAAGGAGAGATGAGAAGAGGAGTGATGGAGGCTCACAGGGGCGTTGGAAAGGTTAGGTCACAGAATCACAACCTTTTCTCTGGGTGTCCATACTGTGGCTTCCTCTGAAGCATACAGGGGCAAAATTGCATTAATTGGATTTGTTAGGTAGGAATTTATCATCTGAAAAGAAACAAAAGTAAAGTGCCAATAATGAAAAGGTACTTGTTTTGATCTAATCATCCAAATAATGCAAATATGATTTAATTATGGTGTCACATGCAAACAGTATGCCCTTCAAAGACAGACTGACAAAGATACCATAATCAAAACAATAGGAGCAAAGAATGAAACTAGACTCACAATTTTTAAAAAAAATGTTAAGGAAATACATTATTCTCATGTTTCTTTCAGGCTGTAGACACAAAAATGGCCGATTCATAAGCATTTATCTCCAGTGCTCCAATGTTTCAGGTTTTCTGACAGACTGCCGACTTCAAAAGCCAGAGGAGGAAGTCCTGCTAAAGATCTCTGACTGCATCAGTTTGCTTAAACACATTAGTAAAAACATGCCGTATTGAAAAAAATACTTTAAATATTGAGAAAAAAAAACGAAAAAAAATATTGAAAAAAAAAGAGAAAAAAAGAAAAAAATATATTGAAAAAAAATGAGAAAAAAATATTGGAAAAAAGAGAAAAAAAGAAAAAATATTTTAAAAAAGAAGAATAAAAAAAGAAAAAAATATTTAAAAAAAAATGAAAACAAATATATATATAAAATAATTCTACCCTGTTTTAAAAACCATATGTCATAAAGATGAGTAGTAATGTAGTTTTACACGCTGTTTCCTTCATACCTCTGCAGACCTTGCAGCACCTGTCACTCAGGGCAATCTGCTCCGACTCAGCACAGTTGAGCTCAGGACAGGGCTCACTGGGGACCACTCGATGCATGGTCCTGTCCTGTGATGGGCAGAGACAAAAATCCCCATGAGTGACTTCTTAACTCTGCCTCCCTTCTCTCCTCATCTGCTTATAGCCAGCCTGTAATTATGAAGGTAATTATTCATCTATTGTGTTTCCTCTCCCACTCTCCATCCTCCCTGTGCGCTCATTACAAACCAATTACTCACTGGTCAATAGAAGTTTTCTTTTTCTGAACGACTTCTGAGAGGAGAGAAAAAAACAGTCTTCTTCTTCTTCTTCTTCTCCTCCTGTTATCCTCAATGATTTACATAGTGATTCATGATGCATCTTTATCAAACAAACAGTGAATCAATCTTCTGGATTATCCCTGCATGTGTGTTTAGTCAGAGTGTAAAACCTGATTAGAGGATTCCGTTTCCCAGCATGCCTTTGGCAGGTCTTTCTAAATTACCACCATCCATGTCTGCCTGAATGCCTATTAACACCAGACACATTTGGACATGGCCAACAGACATTCAAATCTCTATCTTACACTATATTTAAAGATAACCTAAAGATAAGTTTTCCATTCTATTAGTTCTCTGAATTCATCTGTCAACTCATCACTTTTAAATTTAAAGATTTATATCGACTGCTTACATTCTCTGAACGGGCCTGTCACTTATGCTTGAATGCATCTCATGAAGAAATGCATGAGGGCAAGTCAGTATTTTTCTCACAGTATTTGTCTGCAGCCCTCCAAACATTACAACTGATTTGCACCTCGACAGGGGGACCATTTCCTGGATGAAATGTTCTTTCTTGGTGTTCACTTCAACGCTTTTCATGCATGTCAGTCAGAACATAAATAATGCTAAAGATGTGGAAGTAGGGAACCAGAAAGGCATAAATGGAAGAAAAATAGTCAACACTGTCCACATATAAAGAGCACTGCAACAATCTCCAACTTCATGATGGACACGGGGAGAAGTAAGCTGTCTTTTTCCAGTAACAGTTGCTCTAAGTGTCAGAATAACAGCATTTCTCCTCCTGCCCGGCATCATGTGTAGACGAGCCTCTGTTGTTAGTTGTGCCTCTTGTACTTTCACAATGCTGTAACAGGATGTTGCAATGCGCGCTGGCCTGAGACACTAAATTTACACAACTGTGGGGTAGTGTTCATTTCGTTAACAGAAATTATGATGATAAATGTTCATCAACAATTCTCCTTCCATGATAAAGATAAGAGAACGACAAACCAAAACACATCAATTATGACAATGATGGGTTTTGTTTTCATGGACTGTAGGGCATTTAAAATCCATCATATTTTCTCCAATGCTGATCTTATCCATCACCCAAAATACGAGTGATGGATTCCTGTGACAGGATGAGTTAGCAGAGGGGCGTGGTATTAACTCAGTCACTACAATAAGTGTACATCTGGTACAAAACCTCTCTCCCTCTGTACCTCTTTCTCATTTAATTCATAAACTTTCCCTGATGCATCTTGCTGACAAAAACACATTTAGCTAACGGTGCGACGTCATTTCAATACTTGACTTTTTTCGCTGCTCTTTAGCATTAATTGTTTTGTGTCCAAACCTTGTTTTTTTTTTCTTTCAGGGACATATTAGAGTGGGTAAAGAGATAAACTTGGAACAATTGAGGATGTGAATTGTCTGTCCATCCAGCGTGCCATTTAGAGAGGCATTGGCCCCAATGCCCCACTTTATCCCATCAAAAGAAGAAGGAGACAAAGAGAGGAAAAAAAGCCTCAATGGCAACAGAAAGAAGATCTGACTTGGAATAAGGACAAGTTCTCGATATTATTTTAGTTGATCAATTGGAAAAGCACAGCAGCATTGCATTGTGGGAGAGTCTAAACTAAATCATCCAACTAAGGTAAGGAATCCAGATATCAGACAAGTTAAACTCTGAGGAGAGTGAAACATAGATTGACACACTTCTGCAACCTTGATACCAATTTCTGATCAATCAAATTAGTTTTAAGACAAAACAAAGTAAAGACAAAAATGTGACTGACCATAGTGAAAATGTTTGAATTATTCATCATCTAAGACTAGACTTAAACTACAAAGGACAAACATGAGTAAAACAGCAGAGCCTCGATTAAGCAGCTAAAACTGAATCTTAAAGTAAAAAAGCCATTAAATCAGTGTTTCTACTTTTCCATCTCTTTAAACCACTTTGTCCACAGGACATCTCCACGGGATGTCAGGACCTCTGGCTATTTATAAACCAACTACGCTGAGGATAAAAACTTCTCCTTCATGTCCTCCAACAACTTTCCAAACAAACTCTTCTGTCTTTTCCTTCCACCCACCACCAAAAACTTGCTCTGCTGCCCCTCCCACAACCAGCAGGCAGACAGAAGATCAGAGGTGTGACAAGCAGCTGTCAGGGGAAGCCTGCAGGAGTCTGCGGCAGTGGGCTGACTGACAGCACTCCCCGTCCCCATTTCTTTGATCTGCCTGGGACTGCCAGTCAGTTCAGCGGGACTACAGATGGGCCAGGTGTGGCCAAGCAAGCCAGACAGCTGTCTGAAGCTGCACATTCTAATGGAGCGGTGCAGGATTCACAGAGGAGCGGCTTGATGCGGTAGAGATGAGTGATTAAAAACTTCAAATCGCTTTTCTGTGATTGATTGGGCCTTCCTGGCATAATGTCATCAAGTGAATTAGTCCCAAAAGTGGGCAACCCACCCATCTGGTGCACCCGGCAGAAAACAGCAAACACTCAGAATAACTGGGGAATTAATACGATTTGGGACCAGGGTGGTATCTGATGATGGGGGACGAAAGAATGGCTTTGGCATCCTGTGACTGACAGGTAAAACGATCTAGCTCCCAAATGTAAACATAATTAGATAGATTTGGCTAATTTCACCAGATCACAAAAAGAACCATGACAAGCCAGATGACTGAAATTCAGTCAGAGTGGACAGTCCTCTACACTGGCCCACTAAGCGAGTATCTGGAGAGCTACAGCACACAAATACATGAAGAGTTATCTACTTGAACTGTTTGTTTGGACGAGGTATTTGGAGTTTCTTCCTAAAAAAAGCTTGATAAAAAATTTTAAATAAATATGAGTAAGTGTGATTTTTCTCCCTCAGGGTGTTGTGCATGTGTGTGTGTGTATGTGTGTTGACATAACTTACCCTACATTCAAACAGCAGGCACCTGCCGGAGGAGTCTCGCACAGCCTTCTGATCTCCATCCACCAGCTCTCTCCCACCAAACATGCAGACAGCTGGCCACAGAGGACACAGAAACATCATCAGCATACGCACAAATAAACACGCAAACACACAAAAGCAGGTAAACACATGAACAAACACTGTTCCCATGAAAATACTTCTCATTATCATATTCAACGTGGCAACTGACATCTTGTGTTTCCATATAGATGTTGTATTTTTGAGTGTGACAGTAAAAAAAAAAAAACACCAGCACAATATCTGACAGATTTACTCTGAAAATTTACAAAATACAAAGAAGCCACTTTTTGGAAGTCTAAATTTCTCGTATCATTTTTGCAATAGTAGAAGCTAATTTTTTGTTGTGCACATAATTCCCCATCACTTTTAATCTAGTAAAGATTGAGGATCATTGATTCCTTCATTGATTCTTGAGGGAAAATTAGGTATTCTGTTATATTAAATATGCCCTAAAAAGAACAAGCTGATTACCTTCTTGAAAAGGTTGTTTCACTGAGAATTTTAAGGACAAAAATAGTACCTTGGCTGAGTTACAAACCTGATTCTGGTTGGTCTCAACCACCTAACAAGAGGTATTGATGATCTATATCAAAAATAAGACCAGGGTCAACCTGATTACATATCATATCCCTTCCCTTTTGTCCTGCTCACTCTGTCAGGGTTCGCATGACCACCTCTTCACTATGCATTTAGCCTTACTTATGTCATATTTCACCATCAAATGACAACCAAGATGCTCAATGTTAGAGTGGTTAAGAATTACAGACTAGATATTGATCACAATTGCAAATGTCCACATTTTTCTCAGGTAAATAGACACAAATAATGTGCAAAAATATTATGTCCAATTCTATTTTTGGTCACTGTGTGAGACCGTTTTTAGTTTAGTTTTTGCTGCTAACATTTTTTTCCATGAGTGCACTTATTCTTTTTGTTTGCTGTGCTGAGCCTTTGCTGCTGTAACACTGCAAATTTCCCCACCGTGTGATGAATAAAGGTTTATCTTATCTTAGGTTCATTTTAATTAGTGGTCGACCAATGTGTGTTTTTCAGCAGCAGATAGCAATGCCAAAAAAAGGACGTATGACGTTGTTGTAACAAGATAGCTGATCTTAAATGAACGTTTTTAAAGAAATGAAGAAAGAAAAATATTAAATTGAGTAAAATGTTGTCACAAGGGATGTCAGAAATTTGTCAAATTATCTGTAATCAGCTAATCAGAACATGTAAATAAAATTAAAAAATATATCTATAATTAAAAGTTGTTACATGCAGTGGAGGATTGTTCTTGTTAAAAAGAAGGTGTCTTAATACCAAATATAACAGTGTTATGATGAACAATAGCAGAATAACAGGAGTCTTATGTAACACAAATGTTTAACATCTGTGATAAAATCTGTCTGTTGCTGTTTACAGCTTTTGTAGGACCCCGGGTACAATGAAGTCAAACCAAATCAAGCATATCAAACCCAATTAAGCAATGCCACCGATGGAATAATTAACATACAGAGCGGGACATCATCCTTTACTTGAACCCTCAAGGAGAATCTGGTAAATATGATTACAGGGCAGGAATAATCACATGTCCAGAAATGAAATCGGTGTTTTGTGAAGCACTCAGAATGGGACAGATTTAGACTGATAGGAGGAAGCGAAATGATTGACACTGCAGGTTAGGCTCTATCGCAAAGCAGCATGTCATGAAAGTGGAGGACTTCAGAAGCAGCTATTTGACGATTTACTTGACAGACCATCTTTTAAAAAACAGACTCAGAACTCCTCCCTGCAAGGCCTCTGCGCTGCCAGATAAGGCTTTAATTTGGAGCGCGAATCATGTCTTTGTTGCGGGGAAACTTGCCGCTCTCTTCTCTCCAAAGCCGGAGCATGCGTAATTAGCTGTATGTTTGTCTACCTCGTTGAGATAAGTATGCACGGGGGTGTCGAGTTTAAGGGGATTACCTGTTGCGTGTTTATATTTGTGTATCTCCAGAGCAAGATTGGGAGTAATGCTCTAAGCTTCCATGTTGCAGGCCCGACCCCACAGGACGAAGGTAGCAATGCCTGCGCAAGCTGATTACAATCCAAGGCTAATGGTTTGAGTTGATAAAGAGTTAAGTCAGCAGCCGTGTGTGGGTGAGAGGTGAGAAACTTCTCAAGTGTAGCCAGCTCACAGAACAAGGAGTATTTTCTCTTATTCATGTGGTCTGCAACTTTTTATGAGACACAGGTGAGAACAAAAACATTCTTGTCTAATGAATTTCTCGACTTTACGCTGGGTTTCGTTCCCAAAAATTGATTGGCAGCTCATTCCGCATTTTTTAACTAAATACACCACATCTCCTTGAGTTTCATTTAGGTTAATATGAGGAGAAAGCTGGGGTGAAAAAAAGCTAATATCCTCAGAAATCCATTTTTATTGAGAGGGGAATTGAAAGAATATTAGATGCAGAGTGCTGCGTTGAGGAGGCTAATAAGAGTTCATTGCTGAACTGAGAGACTTGTTGGGAGGAAAAAAAAGCAGACCTTGAATGTAGATACGTGATGAAACAGAATTATTTATCCAACAAGAACATATCAGCGCACACCAGTTAAAAAATGGACATTTAAGGAGACACTTTAGCCTGTGAGAGAGTGCATAATTTCAGCCGTTTAAGATTTCTCTCTTCTTCACTTTCATCGTAGTCCAAACATGTCTGCCACATATAGGAGCTACTTTAAATCACATGCCGAGCTGCCACTTTTACTGGCTCACGTCAGTGTGACTGGTGGCCATCTGTGTTTTGAAGCCAGCTAGTGAATAATTGATCAGTCCATGTATATGCAAAAGGTTGGACGCATCTCAAGAGGCATGTTAGGAGGTAACTTAGCAACACAGCAGAGCCCTGGTCAATTGTCAGGCAGTCCTTGTGGAGGCGTGATATGCGCTCTATATCTTGTGCTGGTGGTGTTGGTTGTTGTTTCTGCAACCGTGTGCAATTGTGTCCGTGTTTGTATAAGTGTGGGTGGGTGACAGGGTTAAGGGTGCTCCACTCACGCTGGCACTCCTTGCAGCAGGCTCCCTTCACGTAGGCAGGCGCTGTGCCCGTCGGGCACTGAGGAGGAGGGCAGGAGATGGCCTCGCACTGCACTGTGCCGTTCTGGGGAAGGGGGAGAGGAAAACAAAAACACATTGTTTGAAGAGGTCACTGATAGAGGACCACTGATATGAAACATGCTGATAAACATACATCAAAATTAGGAGGGGGTGGAACTGAGGAGTGATTCACAAGACGAGATAATACAAAGCCATACAGTACGATACAGTATGATATGATACATGATGTGATTTGATGTGGATCAAGAAATTAAACAGGATACACTAAGTTAGATTCAATTCAGATTAGATTCAATTCAATATGATGTAGGATGATGTGAAGTGATCGAGCTGTACGATTTGGAACTTTATGGTATGATGTGATCAGACATAATACAATACATTGTAATATATGTTACAACAAATACAATACATAACAATATAATGAAATACAGGGTTTAAGACCTTATATACAAACATTATTATGATTAATCAATATACAACAACGAGACAATTATATGATTATCTACCTCCATCTCTGACTAACTGAAGAATAAATAATGACAAATTAAGGTTAAGTGGAACTTTAATTGCTTTTAGTGCTATTAGAGTAATCATGAAGTCGTTACAAATTACAAAGCACAGTTTCCACACAAGTATTTTGGGCCAGCGATCCATTGGTTGTTTTGCAAAAATCAGGCTGTTAATACATTTCCTAATTTAAATGCTGTCCCATCTCTATATCAGTGAAAACAATTCCATTTAATAATAGTTATGCTCGCTCCACAAATATACAAACATTTAAGAGGACCCATTAAATTTGTTATATTACAAAATTGTGATATTATCAAACCAAGGCATTACGCAATTTTAATAATTAGATGATGCAAAGTGTCTGCAAAGAGAAATATATTGTTGAGAATAACAAGTTTGCTGAGAAAAAGAACAACATTTAAAATATAGTTTTAGCACTTATCTTTGAGTGCTTTTTCGTTGAACTTTTCAAGTGTCTAAAAACTGTTTCTACAAACATAGTCAAAAGCAGTACATAGCTGATAAGTACCCCATACACTTCGAAAAATATCAAAAGTATTTTATTTTGTCGTTGAACGATACGGCTGTCCTTGAACCTTACTCTCCATGCTGCCCACAGAGCTACAAGAACACTCTTAAAAATGTTCACAAGTCTTCCTGAAATAGGTAACAACATAAATTTGGCAACATAGTTTATTATTCAGACACCTCACCAAGTGGAAAATAAGTAAAAGGTCATGTATTGCCACTTTTATCGACGCCTGTTTAACAAATAACCGCAGAGCATTTCACATCTCTTTCATACAGCTGATATTTTCACTCCGGCTTCTCTCTCACTGTTTTGATTTTTTAAAAACATGCTAAAACGCAGGATGCTAGCAAAAATCAAGGGCATTTCCAGGTGTTGAAAATGAGCTCATAACTTCATTTACATTTTCACAATAACCCAAAGGTTCACATTATACCGAACAGTTAAATGCAGTTTCTTCTTCTGCAGCTTTTCTGTTCATGCGCCTGTAATTAACATTGCTTCCATGGATGAAAGCTCTGTGACAGCGACATCTATGAACCTAATCCACATAATTGATAACATCTTAATGCATGACCTTTGAATTTTAAAGGTCCCAGTTAATTGCCACACATAAGGTAAGAAACATATCCCGTCTAATTCCTTAATTGCAGCCCAGGAATGGCAAACACACAGTTCCTGACGCATGGAGCGATTTGATTGGATGAGTGGGCAGAACAAATCCCTGATGATAATTATCATCTGTCAAGAGCAATTAGGTTCGGTGCACTGAGAGATATGTGATTTCCCTTCTTTTTTCCATGCTGGGGTAGTGATGCACGAAAGCTTCTTATTGGCTGGTTGGAGGGGTTGAGTCGCAGCGAATGAGTTTCTTGTTTAAAAGTTGAGGAGACTGACAGGGGGTGAAATCTGTTTGCTGATGTGCAACAAGCCCCAGATCTCCAATCACTTCTAATTTTGTTTTTAGCAATTATTCACACTTTATGCAGCGGTAAATTAAACCCTTGAGAGAGTAGAGTATCACTAAGCGCTGTTGTTCGTGTGTCTAATCTGGGGGGTTTCAATACAGTAGCTTTTCTCGGGTAACTGGGGCAACCTTTCTCTAGCACAGGGAAATAATGAGAATACAAGCTATTGACAATGGGGCCTCTGCACCCTGCACCTCTACCGCGCCCAAACACACCCCAGCCTTCACACACTTGATGAACAGTGGAAGAAAACAAAAGCAGAGACCTACAATGGCAGCAATGAGGGAATAAACGAACACCCAGACACACAAAAACAGAACAACACACCATGTCACAGACCTAATGAAAAATGCATGCTCTCCCTTTCTTCTGCAGACACACACAAACACACGCACACACAATGATACTCTTACATCTGGCCTCACAATATATCTATTCGTTTTATGACACACTTAAATGTGTGCAGACATGTATGTATGCATGGCACAATCTCATACAGAAACACATTATCCAGAGTCAGTGAGGTCAAACACACAAAATACCACACCCTTGATTAAAATGAATGCCCTCTCTTGCTCTTTTATTACTCTGGCATACACTCCCATGTCCACATGCACATCCACACACACACACACTGTTGAGCATCCATGTACGCAGCCCCACCGAGCATGTGCAGTTCCTGCAGCCATCTGTCCAGCCCTCGTCCTCTCTGTAGACGACCCCCTTGACGCTGCAGGTTCTCTCACAATAGCAGCCATCCAGCCCATTCATCTTCTCCTCGGCCCTGGACAGCTGCTCACGCCGTCCCCACCGAAACACAAAAGGCAAGAAGAAGAGAGGATGAGAGTCAGCGCGGTTATGCGTCTTTATCCACACAGAGAAAAAACAGATTCAAAGGACAGTAACAGCGTCACAAAAGTCAGTAATTGGACATGATGACATCCACTTCCACACACCGTCTCAGCATCAATGCAGAAAAGACTTCCATAACAGCAAACGCTTAGTGTTAATCTGTCACTGACTGCCTGTTGCAGTGAGTATGAATGGCAGCAATAGGGTGACACGCTGACATTTAATGAGACTGAACAATATAAAATCAAAAAGAGTTCTTGTTAAGGCTGTTCCTATTTTTCAAATGAGAAAATTTGTGAGTTAAATGTCATATTAAGGTTATAGAACTATACCTTGCTCGATGTTTTGGCAAGGATATCCTGCAGTTCCATGATTTTCTGCACTAATCCATGGAAATCGTTGCAGGTGGGGCATGCTGGGACACAAGGGGGTAATACAGAGAAGGTTAGTGCATAATCAAATACCTTTAATAGTAATAATCATAATTATTTATATATTTTATTTATATAGCACCTTTAAAAACAGATGTTTACAAAGTGTTTTAACGGAAGAAACGGACAAAGGCAGAAACAGACAAAAGAAAATTGACAGTTAAAAAATGGACAGTTAAAGATTGGGGGTTGGTGGTTGACGGCATCACATCAGGAAGGTGAAAAGGAAGAGGGTGGATAGAGGACAAATAAATGAGGAAGAGAAAAATATACAAAGATGATAAAATAAGATAAGGTAAAATAAGAGTAATAATGAAAAGGGAGTGTATTAAAACATGAGAAAATGTTAAAAACAGGACTAAAAATAATAATAATATAAATAACTGACAAGGTTAAACAAGAGGCAATAAAATAAATAAATAAATAAATCATGCATCATGTAAAAGCAAGTCTAAAAAAGTGAGTTTTAGTGAATATTTATGACAATAAAAATCCATACAAAATTTGTTTATAAACCACAATTTAGCAGTTGTCTTCAATGTATAGTATGTTGAGTCACACTACTTACACATAGACAGAATACAATCTACAATGAAACAAGAAGTAACGCTAAGGGCTGGGCAATAAACCGAAAATTTACGACAATAACCAACGTCATTTTGCCCATCTCGGTATATTCGGTGTCACAAAAATAAATGAATAAAAGTTGGTTTTGGATGTGTGTAGGTAGGCTATGGTCTCATGTCAGGGACGTGACTCAACCCCACCAGGGAAAAACAGGTGAGGAGATGGAGGACGGTTCAAAGGTTGTAGCGGCTGAAGTAGACAAAGTTAATGTGGGAGAGGATTAGCAGCTTGTGGAGAAGTTATCATCTATTTATCATTATCGAGGTGAACTGCTCAATATATCGTGATATTGATTTGAGACCATATCACCCAGCCCTACTCCGCTTAGTTTACAGGGGGTGCCACAATATACAAAAAATTAAAAGTTGAACCATTGCAGCTCCAAGGTATTCGCTGTCCTTTAAAGGATGCTTATCCATTAGTTTCTTTTTTTTTTTAAAAAGGACCTTATGCAGCTTAAACAGCAGTAAACAGTGTCCTCTGGCAATGTTGAGGTGCGTGAGGACATAAAATCTGTGAAGATCCTTTTAACTGTTGGCTGTTTGTGAGTGTCTCCCCCTGATAGCATTAAAAACAGTTTGTAGGTCGCTAACCTCATAATATTAAAGGTGACTTTGAATATTTGAGTGAAAATGCCTCACAAAATTTGTTTAGCCCCTAAACTTGTGCTTCATGAAAAGCAGCAGCGTGAAGTTGCAATTTGTTTCAATTATGTGAGGAAAGACTGTGGGAATTCTCTTCTTTACTGATTAACCCAAACCACTTCATCAACCAAAGCTCTATACAGACGGATTGTTTCTCATTTGTGAAGCTGTTTTAAAGCCGCTTTACTCCAGTGAATTCAGAGTCTTTCTAGAGTTTAGATAAAACAGCAAAACCAGAGCAAGCCAATGCCAGAGGTAATCTTAACAAAACACTCCATGACATGCTTCTTAAATGTGTGACGCCAGAGGTTGTACTCACTTCTGTTGAGATCTGGACATTGTGAGATGTAACCCTGTGGCATGACCAGGACCTCCACATCCTGCATCACTCCCTGCATGAACAGAAACACACCAAACTTGTAAATCAAGGAGTAAAAGCCCCACGTTATTGGCACGGACAGGGGGTGAAATGACTGGAAGCATATAAATGTGTAGATCCTCAGGAGCAATGGTGTGTAAGTGTGCTTATGGTACATTTTCCACATGATCTAACATGGAATCAGGCACAAGCAGAACATGCAAACCCAAAACAAACAACCCTGCCTGAGAGCTGTTAAGGGACCGCTGAAATCATAAAACCGAAGGCCGGGATACGACAGTAAAACTGAAAAATTATTGAAAATGTTGTTTTTAATGAGGAGTGAGAGATGGGGGAAGTTAAATGTAAGGTAACATGTCCCCTAAATTGTCACTCAGATGAATCATTACATGACTGAGAAGCGTCGGGAAGTTCACTGGACCAATGATGATGAATGAAGTGAAAAAGGTGGAATATTTATTTTTGCCTCTGTTGAGCGTGAACTGGAGATACAGCCTCATTTCAACTCATTTCAACTCTGACTGATAGCTACTTTAATCTTGTGGCCAAGCCCAAAACACACACGCACACACACACACATATGTTTACACACATACGCACACAGATACTTGGTTGCCGTGGTAACCTGTCCCATTTCATTCCTTGAGTGCATTTATTTCCTTTACAGAAGTAGGAGGGGTGCAGCTTAGAAGAAATTGTTTTCTAAATTGTCTTACCACTTCAATTTGTTGTCCATAAATTTAAAATCCTGCTGGGGCGATCTGCCGTTTTTTGTTTTTTTTCTTCATGACATCTTGTTGAAATGAAAACAGATTGTGTCAAACTTGTAAACAGTTTTTTTTTTTTTTTGTTCAATTTTTTTTTTTTTCAGGTAATGGAACCTTAGAACTACGATCCATTTCGAGCCATGGTTCATATCTCCTATCATAAACCCTTTTCTAAACCTTTGGTCCTGTAATGTATCACTGCCTATAATCAAATTTAACTTTTCTGAGAATATGCAGTCGTGAATTTGAAACTCTGACTAAAACTAAAATTGAAAATAAAGAGATAGAAAACTAAAAAGAAAACTATCAAATATAAGCACCATTACTTAACACCACTAAACTCTTGACCAGACACTCTGTGGGTCTCAAAGTGGATTAACAAACATGGCTAACATTAGCAGAGCTAGCACCACCAGCCTTTGGTCACTCCCACATGCCCGCGCTTCATTTGAGAGGCTATATACCAGTTGAACCAGACACAGCCGAAGTACAACTTCACCTGTATTATGAAAATTAAATTACTGCCAATCCACACCATGCTACAAGATGCTATCTACCGTTTGTGCTTGTTTACATCCTGATACTGATATTTTATTTAACAGACAAGTAACTCTGGTTCTGACTGGAGAGAGTGACAACAATCATCATTAAGTCAACTAACACTCACATCCCTCGCAAGCAGTAAAAGATCCAAGAGAAGAAGCATCTTTTTCTTCTTCAGTTTCATGCATTTAAATGTTGAAATAAAAACAGCTCTTTCTGTACGCTTACTTTGTCATGATATATGCAAATTTGGACCATAAAGTTTACAGCGATTTCGCTTATTTCAATGTGTAATAATACCTCCATCCAACCTCTGAATGTGGCGAAGGAGCTGGTGGTGGCTGGGAGAGGGGGTTGGGGTGTTAGATCCCTTGGGATCAATTATACATGTATCACTCTGTCTGTCAGTCTTTCTCCATTTGAAATATCCATGTAATGTTGGCATTACTCTGCATGTTACATATGCAAAAAACAAGTATTTAAAAATAGATTTCAGTACAATATAAAATCAACATTAATGCTAAATTTTATTCAAAAACACAAACCCTTATAATCTCATGTGGTCTGCCGGTAAATGTCAACCTTCAGTTTGGATAGAGCGCAAAATTCACTCATTATCATACATCCCATTTTAGGATGTATGGTAAAAATATTCTTGATGATTACTCAAAATTTAATGGATTATCAATACACACAAATTTGAACAGGTAAAGGGAAAAAGGCGCTGAAACAGTCAACATGTTTTTACATATAATGGGGCACAAAAGGGTTTTTCACCAAACAGGATAACCAGCGAGTGTTTGAAAAAAGTGTGTTTATTCTTTAGAAGAAATCTGTGTTGTACTGCAGCAGAACTATCGGTTTCTGGACTTTGTTCTGCAGCTGAAAAACTTTCCAAACTAGATTCCCCTGCTTCGGTGACACTCTGTTCACTGCAGCAGGCCCGCAGTAACACGTGGGACGTCGGCGGCGGTTAGCTCCATCTGTACCGGAAATGTGAATTTGTGAAAAACAACAAATGGCAGTGCGAGGGTTGAATCACTTCTGATGCAGTGGAATTACTTAAAGTAATTTTCTACCAAACACAAACAATCAAGAGATGATTTATCTTGCCAGATTAAAAAATAACTTTGGAATGAAATCTGACACGAGAAACAGAATCCTGTTCGCTGTTTCTTGTCGCGTTTGGGATTGCCTGAATTAAAAGTAAATTGTTTTCAGTCTTTTAGATTAGGATGTAGAACCATTTGCTCCATCAGGATACAAAGCAAGTGCAAAATTTGACACTGGGTAGGTAGGATAAAATAGATTTATCAACCTTAGATGTGTGTGGACTGCAAAGGAGGTAACCATTGAGTTGTGCTGCAAAGGTGCAGATAGAAACGCTCATTCTTATTCAAGTCTTTACTCCAACTGTTAGGGTGATGATTTCTTGTCTTCTGCTGCCACTCACATACACACAGACTTCTTGTTCATGTGTGAGGTTGCATGTGTACTAATGAAGCAGTGTGTTTTAAAAGACCTCCAGCCCTTCCTAGCAACTAATCAAGGCTTCAGAGAGAAAGAGGCGTGGGGAGGATGCCACGACGTGACGAGATTAGTCGGTGACCTCCAAGGCTTCTTTCATCTACCAATTAACACAGAGGAAATCTAACAGCCTGGACACAATGTGAAAAGCATTAACACACTCACACACAGGTGCACACACACATACACAAACAGAGAGGAACACACCAGCCACTGGCAGACTGCTTAAAATAATTTCAGTTGCTGGCGAGCTGACATTTAGCCCAAACATGTCTCCCCAGGTGGGAAATTTTCAAGCACAGTCCAGTCTGAGAGAGGCAATATATGACTCCCTGTCTGGTAAACCATACTATAGACAAAGCTTAATGAGCATAGTCCAGAGGCTATTTAATGATTTCTCCCAAATCAGCGCTGTGGGGGTTGCTGAGATAATTGCACTGAGCTGAGCTGCAGACTAAGGGAAAAGGGAACAAACAATGACAACAAAGAAAAAAGATAGTCAATTCCTTGGGTAGCCAGCGCAAACCCTCAAATTAAAATGGTAAGCCTTGAGAAATGCATGCAATTAAATCCAACAGCTGTAATAAATAAAACCAAACAAGCCGCACAAAGACGGAGAAGATACGGTACAAATCAAGATTGACTACGGCGGCTAAAAAGCTGCTGCAACAGCTTAGACAGAGACACATTACCGGTTCTCGCCATTCTGAATCATTTATCACACATCGGGGAAGACAGCGACATTCATGCACCGAGAGGGAAAGTTTGAGCGGCAGCAGAGCTAACCTTGAAGAAGCCATGAGCAGCGTTTCTCTGTCCTAGCCAGAAGGAAGCACCCTCAGGTATGTCCATGTAAGGAGCCTCCACCACCCGCTCATAGATCCTGTAAGACAAACGCAAAATGATAAATCACAAATTCGGTTGATGAATTCATTTCAGTGTACTTCTAAATGAAATTCTGCTCAACACTATTTATTTTCGTCAACAGGAGGACCACGGGAAAGTGTCTTACAGAGCAAGATACAAAGAAAAGCTGTTACATAAAAAATGTAATATAACCTTGGTTAGAAAAAGGGAGAACTTGCTCAGAGGAACAGAAAAGAAACAACTGTACGGACATTCAAGGTACCAGAAAAATAAAGAAATCTGACCACCACTCTCTGTCAGGAAAGCTAAATTCTGTATTTTTTCTCATGAATTTTCATCTGGTTGAAGGGTCAGGTTTCCCACATGGTTTTGAAATATCAATTGTTCCCTCAACTCTCTCAAGCTGAGTTCAACCTCCGTTTTTGACAGGATATTAATTAACAATTCACCACAGTGGTGAAAATGGCCTTAATGTTTGACGAACACTGTGTTAAATTTACAGGGTTATCGGAGCAAATATGAAGTCTAAATAACAACCTGATGATATTTTTATGAAAGTATGAACGCTGATGTTGGATTTATTTCTCCTGAGCTAATTTTGCAGTCCAACTGTGAGTATTTAAGAAAAAAGAATCTACTTACAGAGAGATTTCTTAATATTTCTGTGAGGTGTATTTCACTGAAAATTAAACTGAAATTAACAATTGGGTCTCCTTAGAATATGCAAAAACAAACAGATTCATTTTTGTTTATTAGTGACAAGTTCACACTTCTCCTACTGAAATTTTATCTCCTGCAAAGTGGTAGGTGTTAAAGAAGATGACTTTAAGAAAACAGCGGTAACCCTTTCTTCTACGGTACACTTATTACCAGGTAATTAACAAGTTATTACCTAGTAACAACATGAAATTATCTGGTAATTACATGATAACTACTAAGTCAATACTGTCTAGCTACCAGGTAGGTAACCTTCCATCATCATACAAATTTGAAGCCGAATTGCTTTGGTATTTCCAGGATTTTCTCCGCTTCCTGGAACCACCACTTGCGCAGTAGCATTGTACGCATTCGGTGTGTGAGTCGCTGTGATAACGCTCGGCTCAAACAGCGTATCGCTGCGCAATCTTCACACGCCCATAGGCTGTATCAAGTGTCAATCATAGAAAATAAGAACCCCAAATAGCTTTTGAAAATGGAGCTGCACAGAAAAAAGACAAAAAGAAAAACTAGACAGTATTGACTTAGTATTTATCATGTAATTACCAGACAATTTCATGTTGTTACTAGGTAATTACCTGTTAATTACCTGGTAATAAGTGTACCGTAAAAGAGAGGGTGACCAAAACGGCCTGTTTCTATAACTATACTCATAATAATGTAATGATTAGATTTTTTTTTTAAATGGTGGGACCATAAAGACACGGTTTTCAGTGAATTGATTGATTGGTAATTGACATACATCAGAACATGTGTTGTAATTTATAGTATCTATGGTTGTGTGTTTCTGCTTTTTCTAATGTTTTTTAAACAGTAAATGTGTTTGAAACATCTTTTCCTGTCAAATTATGGCATATTAGCAAGGGAGTTAAGATTTTTCACATAATAATCTCTTTTTAAATTTTTTTATTTTGTCCATTTACTCACGTGAGCTAACTTCAAACTCACCTCCAAACTGACACAAATTAATCAGACTGTTAGGGCTTTGATTCCACCTTTAAAACAGCTCACAGGGAGAAGATAAGGCATTTCAAAAAAAGGAAATTTAATGATTTTTTATTGTACATCCTAATGCAACATTGGAGCTTTTGCCTCTTTGGGTTAGTAATAAACTGATAATTAATGTTTTTCAACTGTTCGTTTAACTGTTCCTAATAAGTTCTATAACTTACCAGCTTCCAGAAATACGCTTCAAAATGAAAACTTTTTTTTTTTTTTAACTGTAGAAAATAAATAAACTTTTTTCTTCAACTTTAACCTCGGTGTTGTTTTTTTCCATAAATACCACAGTAATGTTATTTTTATTTCATGGCAACAATAACCATGAGGTTAATTCTGATATCATGACCTTCTACCAACAGCCCTAAACAAATTGCTCCCAATGGGTTTAATATAGTTGTTTATGTTGAATTTAATTGTTAATGCATAGCAAACAAGAATACATACATGCTTTTTCATGCACTGCATTCAAAACACAATGTACGTTGCAGCCGTCACTCCACTCTGCAGGTCTTGCCCTGTTAAATCCTTCTTTTAACCCTTTTCCTGGTGAGGCCTGACATGGTCACATGCTGTCTGTGGTACACATGGTATCTCCGTCTGCTCCTTTTTTTGGTGCCAGGGAGGATCTTCACACTCACACAGTAGCACCCCTTTCACACAGCAGATGCACATACAGCATGATGAGGGGCAACTCTGGGTGTGATCCATCAACCTGCGTTAGAGCTTGTCAAATGAGACAGCTGACAGAGGTTACCCGCTCGAGATGTCACTGTGTGAACAGCACCAAGTCTCTGCTGTTTCATTTCATTCATCTAATATGCTTAAAACTTGAGTAAGATACTTCATTATACTGACCAATTCCCTGTTAAAGGGATATTTCGACATAAAATTAATTTAGGGTCAACACACCGTAATACCAAGTTAGACACCCCATCGAGAGATGAATGTTGCCGACCGCTTCCTTCTCCAGTTATACCAACTTAAGTAACGACTGCAGATAGCAATACAGAGCCACGCGCTCAACCAAAACGCCACCCTATAGCCACAAATAATGCTCAGAACAGCACCTACCTTCATCAGCAGTACATACAGGGTCCCAGCCATAGAACAAGCCACCAAACATCTTTTTAACTTTGCCTAATTTCTTTAGCAAAGAGACTAAACACAACTCACCTACTCTCTTCCAGCAGTCGCTTGTTTGTACGGAGACCTCGGTCAAGTCCTTTGACTACAGCGGGGTGACGCAGCTCAAGGAAGAACATTTATGATCATTTCTTCATGGAAATGCAATCAGACCAAGATGCTAAGGCAGAAGAACTACCGCGTCTGCAGTGCAAAATGATTAATATGATGATTATTACTTCAAGTAAATGATAAAGAAATGATCATAAATGTTCTTCCTTGAGCTGCGTCACCCCGCTGCAGTCGATGGACTCGCCGGGAGGTCTCCGTACAAACAAGTGGCTGCTGGAAGAGAGTAGGTGAGTTGTGTTTAGTCTCTTTGCTAAAGAAATCAGGCAAAGTGAAAAAGATGTTTGGTGGCTAGTGTCGTGGCTGGGACCCTGTATGTACTGTTGATGAAGTTAGGTGCTGTTCTGAGCATTATTTGTGGCTATAGAGTGGCTTTTTGGTTGAGCACGTGGCTCTCTGTATTGCTATCTACAGTCGTTACTAAAGTTGGTAGAACTAGAGAAGCAAGCGGTCGGCAACATTCATCTCTCGACGGGGTGTCTAATTTGGTGTTACGGTGTGTATGTAGCAGTCTATGTATATGCCTCTTACCAATTCAAATATGATAAATGGTTTTTCCAACGTGTAATTAATCGTGGCGCACTGCTACAGCTAAATAAACGCACCACACCTTAAACATGAGGGCTTTTTTTTGTGGCGCTACCTTAGACTTAGTATGTAACAGTGTATGAGGTGCACATGGGCGCTGCACAGCAGGGCACGTGCTGAGTATTAGCATTAGCGAGTTGACGTCTGCAATCACACAGCTGATTAATTAGCGGCCCCCTGCTCCCCAAATCTCACACCACCGCTGATAGATCCCTGTCCTGAGGGAAACACTACAAACCTTTTTTTTTTCATCAATGCAAGCGAAACCAGTTCATGAAAGCTGATCGGGATATTGCCCTCTTAGAGGTGAAGGAGAGGAAAAGAAGAAGGGCAGCCTGATGTGAGTTCACCCTTTAAGGCAGGACATGGATTAAATTTTGATACATGTCCCCGTGTCAGTTCATATTTTGGCTTCATAAGAATGTGCTCCCTCAGCTAACCCTCAGCACACATCCGCAAATAGTGAGCAGTGATGCCAGTGCACTGCTGTGACCACTACTCTTGTATTGCATTCCCATGGATTCAGGCGAAGATAAACAACACACATATGACCCCATCAAAAAATGAGGGCGTTATAAAAGATGTATGATGAACAGTAGAAGTTCTGTCCTGAGTTTAGATGTCAAAAAAGAAAGTGATAGTGTAGTTTTCCATTGAGACTGTGATTTTTCAGTTTTCTTCCCCTTGTTTGAGAGGACTTTATAAAGTCTGGTTGTAAATTGTGTTGTGGAGGACAGCAAAAAGTATAAATACCATCATTTTGGACGAGAATGCCATCTGTTGTTATTGCCACAAGTATTCTCTGCAGGCCTCCTCTGACTTTACAGCCCTGCTAACATCCCCAGAAATGATATCCATTTCCCATCTACCATCTGCCCTGAGCTCATGCAAACTCAGCATTATGCTTTATGGTATAGCACTTACCGCTGATTTCATGTCAGTTTCTTACTTTTCCCTAAAACATTTTTATTTCAAATGAACTCCTCAGAACAGTTTTGTTGCATGAGGCAGTTGTATCAGGGTTCCTATAGTATAATGTTTCCAGCTAAGGCTTTTCCATGTACTCCTTTAGCGAATTCAGTATTTTATGAAAAAAAAAAAGGATAATTGAAGAAAAAGACAATCTTTGTGGCAGCCTAAGTTGGTCATTAAAAGCGGGAATTCACTGATGATATTTTATTTCCTGATGCAATTCCAATACCCCAAACCCCAAAACAAATCAATGCTTTCTACTGCCATGATTGTAAAAAGCTAAATCATGCCCAATCTTCTTAATAAGATCAGTATCTGGGCTGAGACAAATCTGTTACATTGGATTGGATTTGTAGTTAGTTCTGTAAACAAAGGAGGGAATCCTATTTGTACTTTTTGTTCAGTTTAAATGAGAAAAAACTTGAGTTTTCTCCCAAATCACAGCACACATGGCGCTTTTACCATAAAGCCTCATTCAGAAATATCTTATAGATTTTTCTAGACACTGTTAAAAAAGTTCCTGATAAATGTCAAGTGCAGAATCTGTTCTTTAGCTGCAGTGTTGCTCACACCTGTTCTCTTAACTGACGGTTGAGGAAAAGTTGTCCAAAGAAGTTTTACCAGTAAAATTGAAATAAAAACTTTCTCTTTAAAGCTCCTCTAAGGAACTTTCCATTTGTGTGTATTTTGGCACCCACTTTGCTTGTCTTGCCCTATACCTCAGATGTGTCTTCTAACTAGAAACCTCATCATTCAGGGGGAATTGATTTAATTATTGTGAATATTTCATGTGAAAAATGCCAAAACAGGGCTGTTTCTCTTGCTGCACAGCTGACACCTACCCTCTCACACAAGTTTCAGGCATTAAAAGTCATTGCATAAAAACCATACATCTTAATTGAGATGTTCTTTTATGCTTTTGTATATCATAAAAAGACATCATTATGAATTTTGGTCTTTTTCAGTCGTGCCAAAAACTCATCACAGGAGCTTTAAGTCAAAGAGGAAAAAATCCAGAAAAAGGAGAGAGACACTGACACTATATTTTGTAGGGCTGAAACGATTACTCGAGTAACTCGAGTAACTCGATTAATAAAATTCCTCGAGGCAAATTATATGCCTCGAGGAATCGTTTAAATCCGGAACCATGTGCAGCGCACGGTGTTTGACACGGACGAGCGTTTACACACATACATACTAAATACCCCAGAATGCATTTCGTGCCGGCCGGACGCAGCGCCGGGAAAATTTAAATAGTCCTACCACAAGCTACATAGAACGACTGCATACCGGACAAATTATATAAATTCATTCAATAATAATACCGAAGCGTCCACTTGGTCGGTGTTTGCGTCTATTTACCGTAAACACCGGGCAGCAGCAGCTCCCCCTTCACGTTTCCAAATTATTGCGAAGTGTTTTCATAATCAACACATACACGACACAAACCGGGCGGCAGTGGATGAAAAAAATCACACAAACATCCGTGTATCCATGGTGATAATGCTATACACCACCTGCTAGGCGTGTGATGAGCAGCAGAGGACATTTGCTTGTCAAATTATGTTAGTATCCAAGAATTATATTATTTCAGCCTATTAATTAAACAAGTAAAATTAGATCCAAAGCCTGGAAATAGTTGTGACTGGTTTAGTGAAAACTGCAAAGATCATTACCATAGCAATTAAAAGACCATCTGCAGACCTTGCCTTCAGTAGTTTCATGTGAACTACATGGTAAAATGTAAAACTTTTGGTTCCTGATTTATGCAGTAAAAATATTCATTTGAAAGACCTGGCCTATTTCAGTTTTGTGTGTTACTGATGGTTTTTAATGAGGCAAACGTGATTCAATGCAAAGTATTACAGTGAGAGCAAAACATTTCTTATCCGATTACTCGATTAATCGACAGATTAATCGATAGAGTACTCGATTACTAAAATAATCGATAGCTGCAGCCCTAATATTTTGTAATCAGTCTGGATTCATATTGTTTTGAGCTGCATCATTTCTTAAAGCTGCTGCTGTAAAATACTGGAAAATGTGACAGAAATATACCCATCAAAATGAAAAACTTTTATATTTTGCAGTCTAGACCAAGTGTTGCATTTTTTAAAGCGACTGAGAAGAGTTTTTTGATTGCGATAAGACAGATTGAAATTTACACTGATGAATTTTTATGACCCAGTGAAACAAAAAGAGACCTTTGGGGACAAGATTCAGTCTGTCTAGATCATTATTTTAACATCTGCTGCCAACGGGTAGAGGGCAGATGACGCAAGTAACAGCAGCCTCAAGAAACATGTTTTGTTTAAAATTCATGGTGAGTTATTTGTTAGTCAACAAGGGGAACAATCTCGAAAAGATATGAGGAAGCATTTCATCCACAAGAGGGCACCAAAATTGCATAGTGTAAAAGTTTAAATCAAGTATATGTAGCTTTAATTAAATGATATAAAAATGCAAAATTAGGGAGCAAACATTAACCAATGATTTGGAGTTTAAACACTCAAATGTGTAGAGGTTTGCTCAGGTAGTGTGAGTAGATCTTACCTGTTGCAGTCGACATGAAGTATGACATGCGACGCACTGACAGCCACAGAGACCTTGTGCCACTGGTCATCAGCCAGGCTGTAAGGGAACACCTCAGTATGAGCCTGCTGGCCTTTGGTACGATAGTGAAGTCGCACCTCGCTGCGCTGCCCACTGCTCTCCAGCTCCAGGAACCTGAAGAGTAAAAATAAAAGAAACTTGTTTCTAGTAACAGCCAGACAGACAGTGACAATTCCTTTTAGCATTTGCATCCATTGCTCTGTACAGTCTGTCCTGTTGCATTAAAGTGTCACTAAAATGGAGACCTTATTTCTGTAGGCATTAAAACCTGAATGCATCACAGAGGAGACTTAACTCTGTTTCTTAAGCACAGTGCTAAGAGATAATAAGTTTCTCTTTTTATAAGCAGTGCTCCCACATCTGCTCAGATTTGCAACACCATTTAGAGTTTATTCACATCACCAGTCAAGCGTGATGACTCTATATGCCTCTATATATGTTAAGTGCAACATCAGCAACACTTATATGTGGAGGTTCAAGCTTTTACATTGGCATATTAGTATTCTAACGGGACCCTCCTCTCCACTCTGCTGAGAATCACCAAGCATAGTGACACTAATGAAAAGAGCTGCCGATACACACTCAGCACCTCAGCTTTTAAAGACAGGCTTATTTAAACTGAGCTCATTTTCCGGAAACATTATTCCTGAGAAAAATAGGCACTCAAGTAAAGTGTAGCAATGGAAGTGTTTATCTGCAAACAAGATCTGATAGATTGACTGTCATGCTTTACATTCATCCTGCCTCCATAAACACACCAGCTACAACTTCTGACGCTGAATTAGTCCTCGCAACGTTTCCAAATGAAACCATGCAGCGCTGCTTTGTCGCATATGAATTGCGGGGAAAGCTAATCAGCGGCGGGGAAAGTCATTAACATCCCTGTGAGCTCTCGTCTCAGGACTGACTTTAATGTACAAACTGTTCAATCAAGGCATTATGCAGGATTCAGATTGCTGTTCTGATCATCCAACGGCTCAGCTCCCAGCAACTAATGGAAAACATTAGCATGCTAACTGCAGATAGCGTCTCATCAGTTTTCGATCCACGATTACAGACTCAGTGTTTGGATCGTTGATGGACTGTGAAGAATAATAGGCTGGCATTCAGGGTGGTTTGCTTTTGTTTACTAGACTGTTGTGTAAAACATCTAAATGCTCATCAGATACAAATATCCAGGTTTCGTTTGACACACTACAGACAGCTGATAAGACAAAACGGAGAGTGGGGCTAAATTTAGAATACAACTAATTATGTCTAATCAGAGAGGATTAAAATACAGCTTGACTGTAATTTATGTGACTCTAGCCACTCTGGTTTTGCCTCACACTACCAAAATATGCGTCTCAAATTATTTTCGCAACAGATGCGTTTTTCTAAAAATCGTCTCGGCATGGATTAGTTACAAAAAAAACAATCTGATCATTTGACCTTGTGGTTCATTTTCATGCCCATGCTCTAACTTTAGCACACGCAAAGTTTCAGAATTGCAATTGCTCAAAAGTCAACTGGGCTGACTTCAAAACCTAAGGAAGTCCTGTTTGTCCACAATTTTCAGGAGAATTTAACATGTTTAAAGCCTTGCTCAAAATCAATGAGTTTTTTTTTTTTTTTTACTTTTTTTTTTTTTTTTTTTACTTTTAAAAAATAATATAAAAAATAATTAGAAAAAAAAATTAAAAAAAAAAATTAGTTAATTAAAATTGTAAACAGGTAGATTTTTTGTTTCATTCATTTAAAAGCTATTAAGAATAAGAATAAGAATAAGAATAACTTTATTAATACCCCAAGGGAAAATCAATTGTCTTTTGTCTCACATAATATGTCTCCAAAAGTTATCTACTATTTACTATTATTTAGGGTGGACACTCATGCATAATTTAGTACAATTAAAGGAGTGTGATATTTAATCAGGCATGGTAAATTGTGTTCATATTTAACTTCTTAAACCAGGTCATGTCCTGTGTATATTAATAATAAAACAGTGAAAATGAACACAATTGTGGAAAATACTTCGAAAGTAGAAAAAGAAATCAGTACCTACAAACAAAGACGTGGGATTGTAACTCAGTGAACCCTTAATTTATTGTATTTGTAGCAAATTTATAGTAAATCTAAAACACCACATCAGGTTATGTTTGTTTTTATGTCTTAATTAACTTACACAACTGAGGTACTGACTGCTGATTCAAATAGTTAAAAATTAAAGTATCCCTTGAATGGAGGTCTTTCTGCAAAATCTGGTTATAGCTGCTGAATATCCAGATATCTATCTTAAATGATAACATAACATAGGCTTCTCTTTCTATCTATTGTTGTAAACACAAAGGTCAGTCATGTAAAATGTGTAGTGGTCTTACCTGTGCTCAGAGTGATGAATAGACAAGATGACCCCAGAGTTAAGATGATCTTGTTTGAGGGTCACCAGCACAGTAAACTCATTCTTGCCTCTCAGCTTTTGCACCATTTGCTCCGAGACCTCAACAGGAGCCACCACCTCCCTGGAGGACCCTGTAGAAGAAAAAAAAGACAGAGAGAGAAATCAGATTTTATTCAAATGACTGCAATAGTAAACGGCTGCATTTTAAAGCACTTTTATCCAAAGCACTTTACAATTTGCCTCTCATTCACAAGCTCTAACACAGATGGAAATGGGCTACATTGCAAGCTGCCCCAATCATTAGTAACAACTTGGAGTTCAGATTACTATTTGAACTTAATGTGCATTTAAACTGAATGCTTTCTTAATCCTACAAAGACTTCTGTGCTGAGCAAAAAATCATGAAACAAGTGAGCTGTGGATAACTTACTAATAAGGATACGCAAAACCCCAAATTACAACACAGCTGATTGAGAATCTCTTAATAATTTGATATTTACAGATATAACGCCACAAATTCGATCTGCCAATCGAAAAATTGAAGCCATAATATTCCCAATGAACACCAAGTATTCATCAGGTGATAAAATACATCAAAAAAATGTACTTCAGTGAAACAGTGTCGTCATATTTTAAGGAGATGAGTTATTAAACAGAGAACATGCTGTACAAAACTAAAGAACTCTTGTATGGGATTTCTCCGACCATATGTTGTAAATATTTGATGTATTTACATAAACTCTTGATGAATCTGGATTCATGAATGCAAAGTAAGCACTAACAACATTTGTGTGAGGTAAAAGAGGATGAAAATCTGCAATAAATGTTTAAATTTCCAGTTACAAGTTATATTATGTACATATTTTACAGAGTTGAAATCTGTGGCTTCCTTTCATTTCTACCTGTTTTGTCAAACACCTGCGACCAAAGCTGCTAAAACTGTTTCACTTAATTAGCAAGTACATCGGCCACCCTGACCCTGAACCAGTAAAGGTTGAATTAAAACTCTTAAATGAGAACAAGGACGTGTCTTAAATTGGGACCAGATGATCAAACGCTGTCTCCTTAGCCTGCTGCAGGAGCAGAGACATGAAGCTAAGGGTTCACTGAGAAGTGGAGAAAGGCTAACGATGCTGGTGTGCATAGGAGGGCATTTTCTGTGTTGTTAGCTCGTAAGCTCCTGGTCCCACCAGAGCTCAGCCTCCTTCCTCTCCGTCTCTACACAGACGTCTATGCTACTTTAATGGAAGCATCAATAAATGATGACGTTTCTCAGAAGCAATCACATCAAAGAGTTCACTTCCAGCTATGGGATGCATGCAAGATGCCCTGGCACACTTAAGCGCTCCAGGAAGCTAGCGTGGTGGCTTCTCCTCAGTGTATTACCATTACTTCCAGCTGGTGGGAGGTTCCAATTAACACAATGTAATGCCAGACAGGAAGAAACCCCATCATACACACTGGCAGACAGTGTAGTCATCGGTTCTATAGGATACAGCTAAAAGCAAGCTTCAAAAATCGCCTATTTTCCTTCTTTTCATCCTTTGCTTAAGCACTATCTGTGCTAGCGTTAGCCTTCCAGGTTTTTAGGCTCATCTGGGAGATATTTTGACTCATTTCTGTCTAAATAAAAATACTCACTGGATTTGTTGCTCACTAAAGAAGATGCACAGAGCACAGTTTCATGCATTTTGCATGGGCAGAGAAATATCATTCCAGAGTCATTGGCTGAGGTGGGACAGATGGTCCAATGACTGCAACAGGAGCTCTGCCGAGCAATAATCTGCTGCCATCGACAGATCCCACTTATTAAGCGAATCCAAATGACCACTATTAAAATAATCTCATAAAATGATAGAAAATGTATTTGGTTTTGCCTCGGGTAGAGGAGTGCGGTCCAGTTTTTTTTTAAGTGTCCTCAGATAACTTGCCACAATTTGGCTGTGTATACAAAAAAAAGGGTTGATTACACTTCGGTGTAAATAATTTTTAAGTTTGATTGTAGCTACAGTCGTGAGTTTCTTGTCCAAGTATTTTTCATTAATTATAGATAAAATCCACCCCAAGCAGCATAAAAATGTTTATATACTCCCATACATATATGCAACATGCATCCATATCCAAACGCATTTTTTCATTTATACTCATAGTTGAAGGCTAACTGAGTCAATGGTGAATTGCAAAAATGTAAGTAAACATATAGCAAGATGTAGAATAACATTAGTACATAAGTGTTAATATCGAAGTATATAACAGCAAATTTGAACTCAAGCATGACAAGATTTATGTGTCCATAACAATATGCAGTAGCGTGCCTATTGCCATGCCATGTGTTGAACAGTGACAATGCTGACATCTTAATCATGAGCAAAATGAGCGCAGTGGGAGCAGGTGCCAGGGCGGGGTCCACACCGAGAGAGGGCTGATGAGGAAGAGGGGGATGGTGAGGTCGGAGGAACCTCGAGCACCGCGCTGCACCAAAGCTCTGCAGCCATGAGCCTTTTGATCTATGAGTGGATGACTACCATCACTGGTCTATGTACTTTGAGGGGAATGAAGCTGCCTCCAATGGGACTCAGGGGGATTAGAGGGTGGAGGCATCTCTTCATTCAGATGGAGTGATGAGGATTGGTCTGTGTGGTAGTGCCTGTATGAAAAAGGCACGGTGATCTCAAACCCCTCTTCACATGCGCTCAAATGAATATCAAGTCAGCCAAAGCAGCAACGTCTCTGCACTCCTAAAAACACACATGAAAGAGCAGCAGATGAGTGCTGTGAGGAGAAGGCCAGCTTTTCTCTACTGCCAAATCAATGTGGTCCTGCTGAGGGGGCCCTTTGGTCGATTATCTATTGGCAGGTGTCTGGATGGGGCAGCCACCTGCTCCTAAGGACCACTCTGATGTGAGATTCTGACACATAATACACCGAAAATGATGATGTAGCGCATAAAATTCCAATCAGCACATTTTCAGCACAATAACACAGCTCTTGTCACGAATCCTCGATGTTTACAGGATACGAGGACCTGCTGATTGTGAGAAAACTGTTTTATTTTAGAGGCTGTTTTATCAGCTGACTAGAGATCTTAAAAAGCCCCGGGCTCAATAGCATCTCTAGAAAGTGCAGCTTTGGGCTGCAACCTAATCTTATCTCCTGGGTACATAACGCTTTAATGGTTACACTCAGGCTACTGTTTCCATCCCTCAGCTTCACGTCTAATCTTATACCGTCTAATGTGGTCTTATTTTGTCTGACCAGCGGTAGCTACACAGCTGTAATCCTTCCACAGTCCCACCAGTGCTCTCTGCACCTATCACTAGCTCACATATTTAGCATTTAGAGCAGGTGCTCTGCAGCACAGCATGGGAGTCCGGATACACCCAGCTTTGCCAAAACCCTTTTTCTCACACAGTGTTTTTACTCCTGCCTGTGTTTATACAACGCACTTCTTTGAGGTGAAAAAAGAAAGAGGTTTACTTTCTTTAAATGTAATCCTGCTCCTGAAAATTGTGGCTTCAAACAGTATATTCTGCAAAAATGTACCACAAATGTCAAGGAATAATCTCATGTTTAAAGGGAATCCCTGTGAGGTACATTATGCAAATAAGGCAAAATCACCTGCCTCACCTAGACTGAGTATTTTTGTTTGGTTCATTTGTTGCAGGAAAGGGATGTGATGATGGTTGAAGATGACAGAAAATTTTAACTAAAACGCCTGTCATTGAGCTTTAAAAGTTGTATCCTCCTTGAATAATTTATAGGAACAACATAACCATGATGTTATTTCATCATGTCCCCCATATGAAGATGAACTTTTTGAAATAAAGCTTTTTAATTATGTACAATTCTGGAAACAATAAGTTTATGCTTTTGTTACGCCCCAAAGACATGCACCATTTTTCCGAGTCTATTCTCATGCTCTGCCTTGGAGTGTCTAAATTTACGAACACGTTTATTTTTTTGCTATCAAAATTTCTCTGGTGTGTATCTCTGCAAAGAGGTGAAGTGATATTAGATCAAAAGATTTTGTTTGTGAAAACCAAGTACTTTTAGTTTTTGGTCCCTTTTGGATTGACAGAAAAAGATGACACCTCCCACAGCTTTGCAACAACTCTTCAACAATTTCGCAAAGAAGCCATTTTTCAACCATTTAGGAGCGAGCAAGTGAGCCACGAGATGCACCGAAGACACAAAGCCAAGATGAGCTGGAAAAAACACAGAGATCCAGCCAGCATAGGAAGGGACACAATGCTACAGTTAAACAAGTGAAAATGTGTTATTTTTTGATTGCGTAATGTTTTCCATTGGAAAAAAAAAAAAAAAAAATGACAGAGCAGGTTTCAAACAACACATTTTATCTGCCGGTCTGAGCGCACAGAAGGATACGTGTGGGAGGGTTAGGCAAGAGAATCTCTCTCTCCAGAGGGATTAGAGTAATGATAAACTCTCTACCCGCAGCTAACTCCAAACCTTTCATTACTGTCAACACACAAACACACACACACGTATGACTCTGCGAGCACATTTACGCACAAACAGGTGTAGGAGACGACAACACCGATGGACACATGCAGACATTTGGCTGGTGTACAGCGTTAAACAAACAGTGAGTGGATGCACAGTGAGACAGCTACAAAGTCAAGATATGCAGAAGCATGACTGATGAAATAAACACGCAAACACTCACAGATGTACATGTACCAGCCCCCGAAAGCTGCTTGTTTCAGCTCCTGAATATTCCACCGTGCTTAGTCAATCTGCATTCGGCAGGCCGTCAACCCCCCCCTCCCAATTCTCCACTCTTCTGGAACAAATACTAAACCGAGCCAAGGGCACCTCCAGGACTGCTTTGGCCAGCAATTTCTCCCCAATTCTTAGATCACCTCTCCAGTGGTCGCCTGTCTGACATTCACACATACATACACAGGGCTAATGACAGCCTTCCAGCCACCCAACTGTATAACTGCCCTGGGGGGACAGAAATATCTCTCCCTCCATGGCCGTCCTGTGTGGAGCGAGGGATCGGGCTCGCCTCAGAAAGCAGTAACTAAAAGAGATTTTGACCACAGGGAGTTGGGATAATGTCACTCAACGGTTTGGAAAGGTTGGCTAACTTTTTTAGGGGGGCTAACAAGAAGTTACTGCAAAACTTACAGCATATCACGAGTGGAGGGAAGTAATCGCATACTCTCATTTCAGATGGATAATTCTGAATGCAAGTTTGTATTGAGTGCCAAACGTTTTTAATTGTAAAAGCTTGTTGTCCTTCTTGTCCTCGAAGGCAACCACTGCGTCACTAAGCATGAAAGCATTTTAAAGAAGAATAATCACTGAGTATTCCCATTTCTACGCACTGTACCTTTAAAGCCATGGGGTGATGGGGGGCTAGTCTACCCTCCGTGCAAGTTCAGCTCAAACTAATGAGACTTCTTCAGCCTGAGTTACACAAATCAGTGGAGTATTTTCCACTTTACAATCCCCACTTTGTGTCACTATCCCTCTGCTGCCGCTCAGCAAGGAGACACCGTCTGAGCAGCACAAAGAGGAAATTTCATACTGTCTCTCACTAGAAAATAACCCCTCAGCTGATTTGTCTGAGTCAGACTGCAGGAGCCTCAGCTTCAGCTAAACTGTGGGGGGAATGTGTTGGCAGTGAATTTTGTTTCCATGTATTACACTGGGATCTCTTTAGGAAGGGCTCTCCTCTCCTTACAGCCAGTGAGCATAATCACAGGAGCCAAAAATCTCTTTAAATACACGCTTCATATCTCTCTGTTGTCTTCAGCAAAACAATCAGGGGAAGAGATAATTCACAACTCCTTTTTTCACACTTTTTTTCAACAACTTGACAAATAAGGAAATGAAACACCTAAAAATTCCATTTCAAGACACATTCATTACACACGTTCTTTATCACTGGTAAAACTTCATTTATTTAGCGTGCAACCATCATTTGGCACCATTGAAAAAAATACTGCCTGATTTTACTGTTGTTGATTGGCTGGTTACATCATTGTGAATATTATCATACTACGAGCAGACATAACACTGTTTCCAGGCACCGGGTTGCTAAGGAATGAACCATCTCACATCTTTACCATTTCTGCTTGTGCATGACAAGGGAAGCCAAAGGGGCAAAAGGCTAACAAAACATGGCAAAATGGTGATTTAGGTTGCCTCATAAAATTCCAACCTTAACAATCTCAAGAAAAGAAACGTCCTCAAACTTTGTAAAGCAGGTTTTGCTTATCCTCGGAGCATATTGGTGGCACAAGAGTTTGAAGAGAAAGTATGTTGGATGTCTCTTTTATACATCAACTTTGCTTGGACCTACTGTAGCGCTTCATGGAAAACTCTGTATTTGGTAGTTAAGTGCTAAAAATGATGAAGATGACAACGATGATGACGCAGCTTTCAAGCAAGAATAGGGTGACTGCAGGGGCGTAGTCACAGAGTCGCACGTAGTAAATTTTGAGAGTTTTTCGGGTCGGGTCGAGTGTTTTTTATGCGCTCTAATTCTGTAAGTCCACACAACACAAACTCAAAACCTTCAAACAAAACCCTGGACATTTGAAGGATTTTATAAACTCCCCCACACAAGGCTGGACAGCCCCCCCAAAAAAGAGGACATGTCCGGGGAAAAGAAGACATATGGTCATCCTTCTGGTTTTGACAAGTAAAGCCAATGCAGAAGGGATAAAAACTGCAATTCCTCGTTTGTCCACTTGAGGCCAGCTGCAAAAGTATCAGGGACCACATACACACCTATTCAAAAAAGGCTGTGTTTACACTTACAAGCAAACATAACTCACTTCTCAATCTACAGACGCTGTACAAAGAGTTGATTATTTATTAATCATAGATTTGAAAATATTACCTTAAATATTTTGCATTACTGGGGTGCGAGGCTGAATTAACTAACAGGCAGGAATACTGCAACTGTCCTGTAACTGTAAAGTTGCTCTATGTGCTGCATATGATATTTCTGGCTCTTTTTAGCACGGCTCCTACACTAAACTCATCTGAATGAACCTTATTGATTCCTGAAGTCAAGTTCTCATGTTGTTCTCTTGTCTCTACTTTATCAAACAGCACTTTCTGAATCTTCTCAGTCCAACTCAGTATACAGTGCAGAAGCCGCTCTCCTATGTGAATGCTTGAGTCCGCAGTGAAAGTATACTGGCTGCACCAGTGTAATAGCAGCTGTCAAGTGTAGCCCCTGCTGCGGAAACACACCATTTTCATTCCAATTCGAAACACTTACGTCTGTTGCACACACAGATAAATGCAGGAAAACAAACTCACATCCACACACATCCTCTGTCTTCACAAGGAAAAACACACTCATCGTGTTGCTGTATTATAAATGAGTCTCTTCCATCCTGTTACACTTCAGTGTCACTGCAGTCCGGGACATAATCATCACAACATACACAGGAACACCTCACCGGCAGTGTTCAAACAATCTGAGCGAGAACATGCTCCGGAGACAGACAGGATTCACGCACACACACAGACACAATTACAGGAGAGAGTCTTGCTCTGAAGCTGAAAGCAATAGCTTTGGCAATTGTGTTGTTTGCACTTGGAATGAGTTTGGTAGCCGGAGAAGGGAGAGAGAGGGTGGATGTGTGTTTGGGGGGGAAGGGATGGGGTGTTTCTGGGTGTGGCCCCAGTGTTTTAAAGGTTTTAAAGAAACTGATAGATATTGAGATACATTGAAAACAGAAAGTGAGGGAGGGGGAAGTGCTAATGATGTGATGATCAGACGGTGTAGCTGAGCATCACCTGGCATCAGGACATCAGGAGAGGAGTGTAGCCTGGGGGTGTTTGCCCCTCATCTCTATTATGCCCGTCCCTTAGGTCCACCTCTCCTAATACCGTGCAATGTAGCACTGACAGCTACCTTCAAAAGCATCAGCAGGGGTGTGCTAACCAGAAATCTCCCCACTGCTTACTGCTTTTCTGTTTTCCCAGACACAAAAAAAAATACTTTGGCAGACAGATTTAAAGATACAGCGAGCAGCAAGTTGATTACTTATGCACATACACGCACATATACATGTATGAGCAGATATGAATTGCCCTCCTCTTTCTCTCTCAGTTCTCAGTAGCCATCCCTCCTCCTGCCTTCACCCTCTGCACCCAGAGATAACAGCCTTCCCTTGGGCGGGCAGGCAGGCAGGCAGGCGGTGGCGAGGACAGCCGTGGATGTGTTCTGCCTGCTATCTAATGAGCGTCGGAATGTCACCGTGGGCCTGTCTGCAGGTCCCAGCCAGCCGAGCATCCCTACATGTGGAATCAGCACAGTCTATCAAACAGCTGGCAGATAGCTCGGCTCTCTCCTTCTCTGCCTCTTTATATCTCCTTCACTCTTTCACTATATGTGCCTCTCCCTGTCTATTTTCTGATCACAAACAAGCAAAGGCCCAGGTTTGCTTTGCTGCTACGCGTCTCTCTCTCTCGCTCTCCCTGCTTCCCCCATCGCCCAGCATCACTGACTTAACATAGACATCCCAAATGAAGAATGGAGGTGAGCTCTGCCATAAATAACATGCTCCCCGCCTTCTCCTCCCCCTCAGCCTGGGTATCTGAATGTGTAAAGAGGAGGTGAGGCAGAGAAATGACAGAGAGATGCAAAAAGCTGTAGGAGCTTCCTCATATAACTGTCTTTGTTTCTATCATTCTCTCCCTTATAACTCCTTCTCACAGTCTCCCTCCCTCCCCCTCCTTCCTACCCTCTCCTTTTTTTTTTTTTTTTTTGCTACCTTCCTGCGTGGAGCACTTCTGAGTGTTGTCTACACAGAGGACATCAAATGGCCTGCCTTCACAGAGCTGCTAGAGTCGCTGCTCAATGCAGAAGTGCTGCTGTCTCAGCGGCTGTGTGGCGAGATTAGAAGATACCAGCGAGGAGGTGGGAGGAAGAAAACTGTCGACAAATGATCGTGGCATCTCTCTGTCCCGAAACAACACTGTCACTTTGGTGCAGCATGTGATCTGTGTTCAGATGCCCCCTTGAGAAGATTTGAGTGTTTCCATCCCTTTAGTATTGTAGCTGAACTTAGAGCCTGAAAGCAATTTCCTCTATTGCTACTTTTGGCTGGATGATGGATAAATCGTACACTGACTTTGATGGCGCTGGTTACAGTCTTGTCTGGACTGAAATGGGAGCCTGACATGCCATGACAGAGACAGGACAGTGCATGTGAAAGTCAAGCCTGGCCCTGCAGCTTAGGCAGACATATTTTGCACTGTGTGATCTCTGTTAAAGGCTACATCCAATACTGGCAACATGGACACCTGTCTCACTCTTCTTCCGAATGATGCTGTGCTCTTAAAGGGGGTCCACACTATTTTAAGAAGTTGGTAAACTCTTGAGGGGGGCCCATTTGCCCTCATTATACAACTCTGAGGGTTTAATCTGATTATTCCCAGTCTCTCTATGATCCCTCTGCGTGGTCTGCCCCCCTTTCTGCTCACCCCACTCTTTCATAGGGACCCAACACTGCCTATTGTTCAAGCAGGTGGCAGTCTAAGGGGCCCCAAACTATGTCTGCAACCAGCCCTGCAAATCCACTGTATGCTGGTAATGACAACCTCTAACATAGCTGTGAATCGAATAGTAAAAAAGAGTATTATCACTAGATCTGACGTTTTACCAAAATGGTCCACAAAGGCGTCTTAGTGGAGATTATCAGTGGATTACTGCTATTCAGACATGTGTTCAAACCAATATAAGAATGAGTATTTCTCTGACTTCTGTATGTCTTTGCATCCTGATCACTTCATTTCTTTACCTCCCATATTTGAAGGGAAAACACATGACATGTTTTGTTACTGTACCTTGGAAGTGGAAAGCTCTTGACTCGCTGTGGAAGCCCTGGACCTGAGTAACTCCATCAAAGCCTTCTCCAAGTGTTAGTTCATCAAACACGCTGATTCGCAGGGCAGGGTCAACCCCAAAGCCTACAACTTATGTGCAAACACACAAAAAGGAGAATGTCATTGTTATCAGAAGGCAAGGACACCTGTGATGCTGCGATAAAGCCCTGCTGGTGTCGGTGGAAGAGATGGGAGATTACTCTGACATATGCAAACTGCTGGATTAAATAAGAGATACTATTTATTAGAGGTAGATTTGACTTAAATATATATATTTCAATGGTATGTATCTTATCATGCATGTTACATGTTGCAAGAGATTTTACAACATAGTCAGTGACAGCACTGTCTTACCTGAGGAGGAGCAAAATATGCCGAGAAGCAGAAATAGCTGTAATAATCCCATGGTGAATGTGTACAAAAATAAATTAGTCCATGTTTTATGTCCACTTCCGGGAGACAGTGTTGTTCAATCACATGCGAACGATGTTTTCACCCCCGCGCTGAAGGCTAGATTACCAATCCCATATGCGGAGCCGTCCAGGCATCATCACCACAACTTTAGAAGCCCAATGAGGCAAAAAAGGGGGCAAATCCGGATAAGGGAAGAAGAAGAAAAAGGTGTAACAATGACGGTATTAATCCGCGTAACGCAGGGTGTACTCCATCAGCACCATCCGCGGCACAGGTGGCTGAGAGAGGACGCACAAAGCGAGCTGCCTGCTGCTGCTGCTGCTGCTGCTGCTGCCCCACCAGCTGAACAGACGCTCCGACAGCAGCGGGAGAGAAAGCTGAAGGAGCAGGGAGGAGAGAGAGAGAGAGAGAGAGAGAGAGGGTGGAGGAGGAGAGGGGGGGAGAGTCTGTCGAGGAGTGAGGGAGAGAGAGATGGAAAATACAGAGGGACTGTGAAGCCCCCTTGTGGCCACAGAAGGGAAAGAGAATACGCAGTCAGCGTGTGTTAATCAGAGCCACGCCCACTACCAAGAGCAGATCATAGATAAACAAACAAACACAGTTTAATACTCATACATACACAGTTTATACAAGGATAGCTGGTATAAATCTGCTTTCAGGGCTACCCCCCATACAAGAAAGAAAGAGCAATCTCTCTTTTTAGACTAAATTTTCACAGCGCAGTCACTACAGCATCCTCTTTACTCCATGTCCTTTAGTGTAGGCGGGTTTGAATAACAGGTGTCATGGCACATCATGTGATTTTGTGATCAGTCATTCAACCCAGAAGCCTTCGACTTTTGACCAGTGCCATGACTGAAAAGATACGGAGAGCACTGCTGTTACTTGTGCAAGGGTTAGCAGAGGCATGTGAATATTGAAACTTGATCTTGGGCACTGCCATGAACCGGATGAACCGGATGGATTATTTCCTTTCTCACCTGTTTACTTCTACCTACTTGGAGGATAGTTATACCAACTTTAGTAACGACCGTACGATAGTAATACACAGCAGTCTGAGGAGCCATAAACAAGCCTCAACCAAAAAGCCATTCTATAGCCACAAATAATGCTCAGAACAGCAACATACAGGGTCCCAGCCACAGCACTAGCCACCAAACATCTTTTTAACTTTGCCTAATTTCTTTAGCAAAGAGACTAAATACAACTCACCCAGTCTCTTCCAGCAGCCGCTTGTTTGTAGCAAGACCTCAGGCCAATCCATTACGGACTGCTGCGGGGTGACACAGCTCAAGGAAGAACATTTATGATCATTTCTATGATCATTTCTTTATCATTTCCTTGAAGTAATAATCATTTTACATTGTAGTTTTCCTGCCTTAGCGTCTCGGTCTGATTGTATTTCCAAAAAGAAATTATCATAAATGTTCTTTCTTGAGCTGTGTCACCCCGCAGCAGTCCATAATGGACTGGCCTGAGGTCTCACTACAAACAAGCGGCTGCTGGAAGAGAGTAGGTAAGTTGTGTTTAGTCTCTTTGATAAATAATCAGGCAAAGTTAAAAAGATATTTGGTGGCTAGTGCTATGGCTAGGACCCTGTATGTACTGTTGATGAAGTTAGGTGCTGTTCTGAGCATTATGTGTGACTATAGAGAGGTATTTTGGTTGAGGTTTGTTTATGGCTCCTCAGACCGCTGTGTATTGCTATTGGCGGTCGATACTAAAGTTGGTATAACTAGAGAAGCAAGGGGGGGGGGGTCTAACTTAGTGTTACGGTGTGTTTGACCCTCAATTAATTGGGGTCTTATCATCCAAACAATGATCGAATAACACTTAAGAATAAATGAAAACCTTACGTTTGGTGGTAATTCCCTTCTGTGAAACATGCAGCTAATGCTTTTCGATTATGTCCGAGATGTTGCAAAGGTAATGATATTACTCATAATAACAATTCTTCTGGAGTCTGATATTTCAAGTGAAAAAGGGTTGAAATTTGACTGAGAAAGAAAAGTTGAGAAAGATTATGCAAATCATCCTACTTTGTTCGGGAACAGTTTTCTCTTCTCCTCTATCAAGCCATCTGTCGTCTTTGTCTATAAAAAAGAGTAGAATTCAGTCAAGAGGAGACCGACAAAACAGACAGAGGTACTGAGCCATGAATACAAAAAAATGCCACGTTATTAGATAAATGACTCTGTGTGTGTGTGTTGTATTCTTAAAATCTGTGAAGTCATCCAAGGGAGTTATAGTTTGTTTTTTAAGCAGGTGGTGTGAACACAAATCAAAGTGGTGGCTTGGCTGTCTGTGTGACTCAGCGTTGTCAATGGCTTTTTATAGAGCACAGATGCTTTCCGCTTTGAATTTTGGTTTAGTTCCTCTTGCATGGTCTCCATCCATGGGACCAATTAGAATGTTGAAACATAACTTATTCATCAGCAGCCATACCATGGTAATGCGTTTTTTTAAGGGGAGATGAACAGTTAAATCCTCCTTAAATCCTATTAAATTACTTACCAGACAGACATGAATTGAAGCCTTTTTATACAGTCTCATCAGAGGCGATCCCAAGTCCTAAACGACGTCCAGTAAATTTCCTGGACTTTTGGAGAAGTCTTTATTCAGCCCAATAGACTAACAAGTGAAGGCCAACAGAAAGAATTATACTGTTTAGCACCAACCCATCTGTAAAGTTTTAATAACTTCAATTTCATGTCTGGTTTTATTCATGACTCACACAAAAAAGAGTCTATGATAGTAAATCTGTTCTTTGCCACCAAGCTTGTTTATAGGTCTTAAACAAAGGCAGGCAAAGGTCCCTTATGCAGTTGCTGAGTGTCACACATCTGTTGTGTGAGGGGGTTTCCAACCTATCCATTCGTTCATTATTCATAATACTAGATTTCTTCTGGGTGCAGACACAGGAAATGTAATTACTCTGTATTACCCACAAGTTGTCATTTCCTAAAGTGCCATCAGGAAAATAAGAGTCATTAAAGTGTGTGCCCAGCCAAGAAAGAAAAGTAATAACCTCACACCATCCTGCTGTGTGATACACACAATGAATCTCTCAGGGCAAGGGCAGCAGAGGAAGTCCGGTCATTCATCTCCAGAAGATTCACATGAGTGAGGACTCTCAGGGGCTTACTGGGTGTGGGCATGACTAACATAAAGACTACCATGAAGAAAATGGGATTTAAATCAATGTGGAAATACTGTCCTTATTGTTTCCAGCAGGCTTTCCTTGGATTCATTTGCTGAATGATTCTGTGTTATATTGACATTGCCTGTCTATCATATGTAATATTCATGAGTCATATCAAATCTGCATGCTCTGGTGATTTATTACATCTGTCTGTTTAATAACACATTTCATATCCAGCCACAGCAGCCTTTGATTCAAATATGAGAGGAGATCTTGTAAGGCATCTCTTACAACAAATGCCTTCTGATAGTTCAGTGTTAAGCATGACAGATGTCACTACATATCTCCTAATTTGGATGGAGTTGCTTTTCAGGAATTTAAGCCCCAAAAAGACTCCAAGAACTGCAACAGCATTAAAGGTTTAGATGGTTGGAATGACGAAAAAATGATCAAGACAAGAAAAACATTTAAATACAAAAGTAAAGGTGGGAAAATCAAACTAAAATATGGAATGAACAAGTAAGGTTTTCTCTTTCATGCAGCTGAGAGGATAGTTTTCATTGCCTTAGTGCCATCTTGTGTGCACAGCAGAGGACTGCAGTAACAGGCTCAGAGTGTGGCAGTACTGAGAAACAACAGACTGTGTCACTCTTGGACCATCTCGGGGCTGAATACACAATTACCCAAGATAGAGGTGGCTGAATGTTACAGGGATACACCAAAGGAAAATACTCTGTACTCTTTTAAATCAATAATCTTTAAAAACAATAATCATGATAATGATCTCTCTTTTGATTTACTGATCCTGAAAAACAGGAATACCACATTTCAAATGGTACAGACCACTGAGTGACTTTTTTCTTTTGAGATTGTATTATATTCATATTAAAGGCCTTTTATGTTAAGCATCATTATTTTCAAATTACCATAAAAATAAGAACTTTTGCATCAAAATTTCTTAGCTGCCTTAGACAAATGAAAGACAATGAAGTCTTTAAATGTAATGCCAATGTGATTTAAGACTGCAAAGCAACATTTGGATTTCTTCCGTCACGTTAAAACAGCAAAGTGAAACTCATTATTTCACACAAGTCTACTTCTCTGCACAGTGTTCAGACGCAGCCAACTTTATATATCCTTTAAAGGGTAATCTGTGTACCCCAATTATACATATATTTAGAGGCACCAATAAACAGGAGTATTTTAAGAGACAATAAATGTATCAGCTATCAGTACGTACTTTGGCACCCTTGTGTGGACCCCTCCAACAGTAACACCCAGGAGAACGTGGTAAAGATCAAATAAAAGTTTACAAAAACGATGAAGTTCAATAAAAAGGAAACTAAGATTAAGAGCATAGTTCACAGTAAAGAAAGTCTACATTCAAAGATTGTATAGACGTAAAAAGACATTTAAAAAAACGTGAAGGGGAATACACTTTTTAAGTAGTACCCTGAAACATGGTCCTTTGATGAGTTTTAATGCTCCAGAGGCCATACCCTGACACTTTCTCGTTTCTCCCGACTTTGCTTCTGCACAACCCTACAGCTGTGAATGGGGAGGTTATATCATTGTTGTAAAAAAGGAAAAAGCTCAGTTCTCTGCACTCCCACTACAAGAACAAAGTGGAATTCCAAATTTCCCCTCAATGCCTCTTATGAGTGAGAAATGGCACACCTTAGAACAAATAGGAGATAAAAATTTGATTGAAAGATGCTTTACAAAGTGGACGTAGTCCTCTTTGAGCCACCATCACAAGATTGCTCAAGTTTTATAGACTGTCCATGCAGCGTTGTTGCTGCACACAGCCACTCCCTCTCCCCCTGGATCCCATTGTGAATGTGTGCAGTGAGCTGGCTCATTGGGCCCTTATGGTGAATGGCCCACAGCCATTCACTCAGCATACAGAAGCTCATTAGAACTCTATAGACACACAATTGTAAGGTTCACATTAGAAACTTCCTCCTCTGGGACACAGACACCGCACACAAAGTGCCAGTTTGCTGCTAAGCTAAGCGCATTGTCTTCCTGATTCATAGAGCCTGGCCCTCCATTCACGATATTAAGTTCGAGTGGTGGAATATCAATTGCGTGTGCAATGGGCCGGTATCTTTTTAAGAGCTTTAGTGGGGTTAAAAAAAAAGAAAAGGGATCTCAGCCTCAGTCTGCAGAGTGCTGGCTTTCAACAGGGCCATTGTGAGGACTCTGAAAGAAGGGAGCCCTGTTTTTCCCTCCATTTCCAAAAAAGAGATGGACATCAAATAAATTCACATGAACTTGCTCCAGGGTGTTTCCAAGACCTTCTGTTAAAGAATAGCCTAATTATACCTCTCTCTCCTGGAGAGCTCTATTGGAATCTGGCTAATTACGAAATGGTGAATCTTAATGATGATACGCTCTTAGCTATGCCTTTTCAAATGGGCACAAAGTCGTTCTACCTTAAATACCAGTGAACAGAGAAATATATGGTTCGTACAAGATTGTACAATCCTTTTAGGAATGTTGTTGGTTTCTAGGGACTCAAAACAACTTTTATAAATTACCCCACATTCATTCTTAGTTAGTCCCTGACAGGCTGATCCAAGTCTGAAGAAAGTTTGAATTTATACATAAACCAAAGAGTTACACTTGATAGAAAACAAATCCCAGCAACAATCAAAGTCTTACTTTAATTAAGAACAAATAGAGATAATAGCACTAAAGAGCAGTGGCCAAATGACTCTCCAACAAACAAATAATCATGGGGGACTATCACAACTGCGTGTCTTCAAGGACCATGTTAACATACTCTCGCTACACACAAAAGTATAAAGTGCACACTAACTTGCTCACACTCATCATGTGACAGAGCGCTATGCCTTCTCCACCAGTCCGAGGAATAAAACCTCAAATTTGATTACAAGCAACCTTTGGCTCCCTGGCCGTTGCACAAAAGGCTGAGCTGTCTGGGCCAATTTCCATGCTCAGCATGAGGTAACTACACGCGCAGACTGGAGCTCGCTGACACCCTCCCGCACACTCCAGCAGGCTGGATATGCCTGTTTACTGTGCCTAAACTCTATGTCCGTCACCCCTCTTGTCCAACTCTCTATTATAATGTTGAGGATCATTAGTTACAGTGTGAAAGGTTAGACAAGACACTTGTTGGACGTTTGTAGCAAACATCTCGACGTGTATCTGTTTTAAAGTGGTTGAATCTTCTGTACATAGAAAAAAATGTGAGTTAATTGCTACCTGGTCCTCAACCCTCGTGATGATAAAACGTAACCTAAGTATTGACTGAAATGCTAAGTCGTTAGCCCAAAAGTTAGCAAACTTGGGGGAAAAAAACAGAAAGGTGTGTACATTTTCTAAATAATTTAAAATGTATGATGACTAACTTCTAAGAGGTCCAAGGTCAAAATTTCCAATCTATGAGTAAAGTTATGTCATCAGCATATAAGTTGATTCAGTAAACTGGGAAGTTATACATATAAGTTTTGCAATTGTATTCAAATGTATACTGTTACCAAAAAAAAAATTGAAAAAGATTTAAAAATAAATAAATAAGAAGATATAAATTAAAAAATTAACATACAAATAATGTTGTGGAAGAACGTCAGATGGTATTATGTTAAGTTGTATTAATTCTTTAGGTTAAATTTGATCTTTTTTTAGCCAGTACAAATCCTGAAAATGTTGAGATAAAAAATGTCTAATCTAATACAAATGATTTTATGACTTTTTTAGCAAAACATTTCTGACAATAATGTTAAAGTTTAAAAACTATCTAACGATTTTTGAAAAAATACATTGGGAAATGTATTCTAAACTAAATGGAGGGAAAAGTTGTGCTACAAATGCACTGCTGAGGGGCTGGTATGAGGCACAATGGGAGGCTAGAGAAAAGAGAAAACTATTTACCGCAGCAGAAGACTGTTTGGTGCATGTTAAACTTTGGCCAGCAGTTCATTGTCTCTGGTGTCTATCATTTAATAGGCTAGTTGACATAATGAATGAGCCAGACCCACCTTCTGCCACTCCAGAAAGAACCCCAGCCTTATCTGAATTGAGAAGCACATTAGAGCCACTCAGCCAATCAGGGCGCAGCGCTGTAGCAAAGTGCAGGCCCAAAAGAGGAAGAGCAGAGATCTTTTGTTTTCCTCAGAGTTTAATGAAGTTGGCCTGGTCACTCAAGAAGGGATTAAAGGAGAATTTGGTGTCACTGAGCTGTGACTGCTGAAGAGGGCACTCAAGTGTTCGGGTCACTGTGTGAACACGATGGTCTCAGTCCAGAGCTGCACCAGGAGGAATATGGCTGGCTCACCCCCTGCTTTGCCAGGCTTCGGGAACTCAGGAAAGAGTTTTCTTATTGACAATCTGCTGCAGCCTCACACACCTCCAGCGAGTCAAGAGGAGACAACAGGTGGACACCTGAGACTAGCAATTTGTGAACGACAAAGGAAAAGCTGGGGCTCTGAACATGAAGCCTCCCAAAGCCAAGCCCACAGTCCTCAATCGGTGAAAGATTTAGGTGGACCATTTCTACCACACCCAGGTAAATAGAATTTATTTATTGTGCAAGGATGCTTTAAAAAATGACACATCTAAATTATGTTTACCAAGGTTGTGTATCAAAGTTACTCTAGGAGTTGTTGGTTTTATTTTCATGCCTCTAATAACGGTATTTTTCTTTCTGACCTGTTGTATCATAAAAAAAAGATAATATTGTTTACTCTTTCAAGTGTTTAAGAATTTCCATTTTTAGACAGGATATTTGTAAAAAAATACAATTAAAATAATTACATTCAAATATTAAATTTAAGTGACTGTGGGTATTTTTAAAGGCTTAAAATCTGCAGATTATAATTTTAATAAAGTCTGGACTAATTTGATCCAAAACACTTCCAGGCCATTGAAATTTGGGGCTTGGCTTTTACGAGATGTCTGACAAAATATTCATTCAACTGGTCTCGCTAAGAAAATCTTTAAGGCTTCCTTAACAAATTGTGAGCTTAAATTTATACAATTTCTCGCAGTAAAAACGAGGCTTTCAAGTTTTAAAATAATCTGTTGATTCATGAAAATGTAAAAACTATGGAATATTATTAGGACAAAAAAAATTACCTCAGAGAAATCTAATATGTCTTACTCATCCATTGCATCTGGTTGTGGTAAGACATTTCAAAATGCAACACATGTTTTGTAAACCAAATTCAAATAATTTCTCACCAAATGCAAGAAAATTTTGATTTTTATGTTCATAAAAGACATAATTTGTTTCCAGCAGACTAACAGTCCAGCTTTTATAAGAGAGGCCCACTTTTCCCATCAATTTTAGCTGAAACATTAAAATATTGAATCAAAATAGTTTTGACATACTTTTCGAAACTTAACTCTGTTAAACTGCACAGACAATATATTCCTGCATGACCCAGTGCACGTTTTGTGTGTTATAAAATCTCCATCACTTATGTTAAAAAATCAAACTGCACTGCACAAAGTAGAACCACACATAGACAGTGATCCAGATATAGTCCTTTGCCTAATATACCTGTCTCACCTGGTTACTACACAAACCTATTTACTGTTCCTATCTATCTGTGCAGGTATACTGAGCAGTGTTTTCCTGCGGAGCCCACAATATCTGTTGGCATGCTGCGGTGGGTCCAGCCCCCCTCCTGTCTTCTCCAGTGAGTGTTTTATGCCTCATCAGCAATGCCTCAGCTCCTCTCTAAGCATTAGCAGCAGGGTCTCTCATGCTCTCCACAGCTAATTACTGATGCAATGCCAAAGAGCTAATTCTCTGCTCAACTCTGCACAGCTCTATTCATAACCATTCACGGCTGTTTAGGATGGGGAAGAGGGGTGGGTTGCAAGGCTTTTAAGAGTCCCTGGGGCCCCCCTATTTTGTACTTGCAAATGCACACTTTTACTAGCGCAAATATGCAAAGCCAATAAACATCTTGTCTTCTGTCATATTGGGACTATGATAACCAGGTGTGGATTCCTCCTGTTTAATAAGGCCAAAGCTTCATAATTTAAAACGACTGTGAATCACAAATGCTTGAAATTAATTATTTTATTAATTGGAGTTTGAAATCAATCAGGAAACCTTTAATTGCACCTAATTATATTTATTTCCCCCTGAATTACTCTTGAAATGTTTCAATTCATGTAATTCAAAACTTAATGAAAGCCACAAGCACGTTATTGGACCCCTTGGTGTTCAAACTGAACACTAGCAGCTGTTATTCTTTGGCTTTGTCTCACAGCAATTGGAAGTTATTAGTTGCAGCAACCTGAGATGCCTGTCAAATGTTGTAGAAAGTAGCACAAATCAGAAAGCCCTCATCCCACAGGTCTCTAGAGTCCTCTTAGTGGGCTGACACTTTCCCACAGTGCCCAGCAACGCAACAATGCCAAGTCTGGCCGTGACCAATTGGCACTTTAACTCCACCATCCACACGCGACCTCACTGCAATTTTTCACTGCGGCGATGAACTCCGGTTAGCACAAAAAACTTGCCCATTTCTCCATAGAAGAGGGTTGGACCAGGAACATCCCCCAGCCATTGTATAGCTAAAGAGCTTGGTCCACCGACCCCCCTCTTTTCTCCTGTCCTTCAACTCTCATTCCTGCCCATTGGAGATTTCTTGACTAGGACATAAAGCATTCAATGAAAGTGACTTTTATAGACTTATTTGAGCTCATCTTCACATACAAACTGGCTTCATACCTGCAAGTGAAAAGATTTAGTGTTGGACCACTGAGCCATCGAGTAATGGCATTTCCATTGAACGACTCTATTGTTGGTGTCCCACAGGGCTCGATAGTTGTCCCACTAGGGTTGACACACACGATGCCCGGGAATGACCTGGTAATCAGCTATTTAAGTAAAAGCCATTGAGTCCCAATAGAGAAGTGAGAAGCATGTCCAAACCGGTTATGTGCTCCCTGGAGGTGGTCTATGTGCAGATTTGTCGTACAGATTAAAAAGGCAACATTGAATGGATTGGATAAATTGTTCCACTTGACTTTTGTTGTGCGTGCACCTGTGAGTGAAGTAGCGTGGGATTGCTCCTCACAGTTCATCAAATCCCATTTTCTCAGCTGAAGAGGCTTTCTATTCTCTTTAGTCACCCCCAGTTTGTTAAATTGGACAAATGGAAAAAAAAAAGAAATCAAAAGTAAATGACAGAGTGTATGTGACACAGACAGGCATGAGCTTTGCTCTAAAAGATAGGAAATGTGGTCCAATTGGCAAAAGGTAAATATTGCTGCACACTAGGCTGGGTGAATGTCTGAACCAGTACAGAGAGCAAGATTAACCGATCATAGAAATCACTCCCCCTTAAGATATCTTTATATCCCTGGTAGTTATTGTGCCCCCCCTTTACCTGCTTTAGTAAGGAGCAATGTTTCTGATTGTACAGCTAGCCTTGTAATGTGAATGTAGCAGTCTGAGAAAACACGTTATGATTCATATTGCTTATGTTTCAGAAGGGGCAAACATTCGAATGTGGTCTGGTGATGTGAGTCATAAATCGCGCAGAGGGATTCTGAGGAGAGCCGTGTTCTCCGAGGAACAACGAAAGGAACTGGAGAAAACTTTCCGGAGACAAAAATACATCAGCAAGACAGACCGGAACAAACTGGCAGCTGATCTCAGTCTTAAGGAATCGCAGGTAATTTGAGCATGAACGGCCAAATCTTTTACTGTCTTATCTGAACACATTGTGTGTTAATAAGGTGCATGGGTCATCTCACAGCATATAGTGGCAAACCGTTAAGCCCTTTGCCTTCATGAACAGCACAAAAAAATCCTACATAGAGACCAAGAGTGTATTCATATAATGTAGGGCTCCTAGTAGACACAAATAAATATAGAAAGCAAGACTCTTTAAGTTGACAAACCTGCTAAGATTAGGCATAAATAACGTTAACATCCTTCACCATTTTAGTCCAAAATATTTGAATACTGAAAATATAGGCTGTAAAAAACAGAGACAGTCTCTGCGATGTTAGCCGCTGATTTGCGATTAAGTACCAAAGAAGGCCAAATGTTATCAGGCACCATGTTTGGAATTCTGACATGATAATACTTTGAGGCAATTCCGAAACAGACATTGAGCAGTCATTAAAGAAAGCTTAACCTCCTGGTAAGCAGCTACATTGCACCCACCTATACTGCGATCCGGTTAAGCAAGTATACGCATAACTCACTTTTCCCCAAGTGGATGGTCCAGGAACTGCAGCTTTTTGCACATCGTCTACTGGCTGCCAAGGTTCCGGCTTGATTTGCAATAATCCAAACTAAAGATATGATACAGAAGAAGATGATAGGATTCTCATCAGTTTTATGGATCATCAATATTATCACATACTTTTCAGACAATGAAGACTTCAGTGATAACTTTGTGCCAATGATTGCTGAGAAACATTGGAGTGAATGTGGTGACTCTAGAAGACAGTCCCACAATATATGAAAATCCGTACCTGCTGTACTCCAAATTTTAGGAACAAAATAATAATAATAGTAATAATAATAATAATAAATCAATTCATTTTATTCAGTGGTTGTAGGACCAAATGTGAAACTGCCGTCTCTACATCTACCATACATCACAGGCAAGTCAAACAATGGACTATGGAAATTGAAGCAAAATTAGTCACTTTCCTTTCTCTTGTATGTTTCAGGTCAAGATCTGGTTCCAGAATCGTCGAATGAAATGGAGGAACTGTAAAGAAAAAGAGGTTCATAACACACGCTCCCCGATGGATGAGCTCATGGCTCAAGGTCTGGCTCAGGAGGAGGAAGAACCATCACAGAATCACAATGACGCAAGAACACAGAGATCACCGTCACAGAAAAGTGCCAGGGACACATGAGAGGCTGTAGTGACTGTAAATTCCAGGAATAACTTCTTTTTTAGATCCAAAAAATAAGAGAATCTGTTAACAGCAACTGTTTTGTTATGGTTGTAAGAGGTGTGGATGTAATAGGCTGTTTATGATGACTAACAATGATTTTAATGTCACAAAGCAATATAATCATTTTGCTCTATGACATACTGTATGTAACAGGGCTCGACTAATGGCTTAATGCTATAAGCACATCCCACTGGCTCAGTAAGCATTTTCTTTGAAATTACTCCTACAAGCCTTTCATGGAAAAATGTCTTTTCTTAGAAAATGATCCATTCTTAGAAAGTGATAGCAATCATTTAAAGGCACCACTGAGTCACTTCATTGAATATTAACGAGCTTTTTTCTTACATTATACCTTGGTCAGTTTTACACTATTGCTCTGATCAACACTGAAAAGCAAATTTGAGTCATGCCTCACATGATATATTTTGTAAATATTTTTTTTAAGATCTCCAATGTCTAGATCAACTGTAAATAAAGCTCTTTTTTAAAGTCCAAATTTTCATGTTCATTTTTCTTACCACAATAGTCAAAACCATTAGCCTGTTGATGAACATTTTTTTAATTAATGAGTCAGAATAAAAGCATTGTTAGAGCCTAATATGCAATAATGACTCAAAATGAAACAATGACCCAAAATGTAATAAAGCACAAAATGTAATAAAGCCGTAAATGTAATAATTAGTAAATAATGTAACAAAGTGTTGAGCCCAAAATGTAATAAGAAAATGTAACAAAACCCAAAATGTAGCAGCTGTACCGAATTGTATCTAGTTGCTACAATTTGGGCAAAAAGTTACAACGTTTTGGGATTAGCATCTAGTTAAATTATTGACCAGTTATTACAATTTCAGGTTTTATCTATTACATTTTGGGTCGTTGCTACATATCGGGCTCTAACAAGTCTGTACTCCACATAAAAAAGGAAACTGTACCAAAAATTATAGTGAGGTCAACATCATTTTATTTTTTTCACTTTTTAGGCTTAATGCTCAAAAGGAAAATGAACAATGATGCATAAAATAAACATAACACTTCACACAAAAAGCATTACAAAAGATGTCAGAACTTTATGTGCAGTAATAAGAAACTGCATTACACTGCAACCCTTACACTGTTCCCCTATCGGTGTTAACAATCCAGTCCAGGAAGGGTGGTGCACTTTAGGACACGAAGATAATTTTTGATTTTATTGGAATCTCTGTTGAGACAGTAAAGTAGGTCATGATGGTCCATGGAGTTGAGTTCACCTTGTTTATAGAAGGAAACAGTAGGAGAAGGAGCCAAGATCTCAGGAGAGACATAACCTATGGTATTACCAAGCACCCCCAATAGCTTCATCTGAGAAGGATGGAAGAAAAGGATACATACAGTTAATACATATAAAGAAAAATAATATCTCTATGTACAAAAATATATATGTATATATTTCACTGCAGCTAAAAATATCCCTGAAAGATCACAAAACATTCAATGCTCAGCAACCATAAGTGGATCCTTACCTTTTCAGCCATTTTTTCCACTCCATCCCTCAGCTCATGCACCATATCACTGATCTCCAGCACTTTATTGATGTTGTGGTGATTGAGGTCTTGATTTTTATCCAGAGACATGCTCTGAAGGAGCTGTGACAAGGGGTCAGCCCAGGCCCCCAGCAGCCTCAGGATTACTTCTGTCAGCTGATCTCTCTGCACATAAAAGAACAAATTGAATAGTTCAGTGGTGAAGTGTCTCTTAACGTCAAGCACAGTGCATGGATTTTCAACAAAAATGTACATGCTCACTCCAAGCCGTTGTGTGTTTTCCTTGTCTGCTGGTGTTAGTATGCCATGTGTGTGGCACTTCCGTTTTTCTATGATATTCTTGCTGGGAAAGAAATGTCGCCCCTGTGGAGATAAACCAAACAAATCAGGCTAAAACTCTGCTGAACGTTTTAAGACTAGAGGTGAGTGTTTGATAACTTCTATTAAATCAATGGATGCATATGTGACAAAATGAACTCACAAACTCAGACTGCAGATCACTAGAGATTCCATGCATTCTTGAAGACTGTTGTACCACCCTGTCAAAGAGGTCTTCCAAGGGAGGAGTATGACATCCAGTCTGTTCATGGTGACAGATTGGGGCACTCCCAACTCTCATGGAGAGCTCCAGGTACACCAGCATAAGAGCAGCCAACCCAACTATGGAGAAATGATCGAAAAGTTACAGAAAATACAAGCAATACAAAAACTTTGAGACCGTTTTTATTTGATGTTGTCATCTTACCTTCTTTCATGGTTCCAGTCTTGTCGGTGAGCATCTGAGGATGAGTTGTGTTCTCCTATGGCCAGAGCGGCTCTTGTAGATGCTTACTCGTGCAATGATGACGTTGCTGATTGAACAAATAGGTCTATCTAGAAAAAGGAGTATGATTTTCTCTACGTACGTCATACAGTATGCTTGGCTTGGTTAGTTACTCATCCAAGAGAGGTAAGAATCAACCAAGGGATAGGAATAAATAAACGCTGAAGAGGCAATTTGTCTATTTAAAGTAAAGAACAGAGTATTAGACAAATTAAACTTGTACTTTTTCAGTAAAAACTTTTTCCAAAAACCCTAAAATAAACCTTCTGAGGGCGTTTTAAAATCTTTACATCTGTTCGTGAAATCCAGAAATACACACAATTTTTTTTTCCAAGTCAAATGACCATCTCATGGCCACAAATATAAATACTATTGGAAAGAAGAACAATATCAGGTAGTGTAATGTATAAAAAATTGTATATGATAACCATCTGAAACTCTTTGTTTTATAACTCTTTCTACAGCTGCTCTGCATGCTGGTGAAAATGAGTCCATTTAAGTGCATTGTGGGGGACTTCTTTCTTATCAGGGCCACCAAAGGACAAAACCACAGGCCATCTACAGTTTTTAAAAGTAAGGAGTTGTTGATAACAGTTGTTTCTTTTGGTCAAAGCCACTCTCAAGGTTATGAAAAGACAAATGAAATATTCACACAAACAGATTTTTGTTAAGTCGGTGAGATTAAATTAAATGAATGTTTTTTTGTGTCATTTTTTGTTTTTTTAGCCTTTTGAGACTCACAATCGCATGGTGGATTACACAACACAGTGAAAAGTTGCTCTGCTTCTGTAACTGCGCCATCTTGTGGTATAATGAGTAAAGAGCGCACAAGATTCAGAGGTTCTATTCATGGCTCCAACACAAGTATCAATTCATTGTCTGATGAAGAACACAACTGTTGGTAAATAACAAAATGAATTTCACAGAGTATTTATTTTTCAGAACAAATACTTTGTCATCTTTTCCACACGATATACATATAAAAAGATGTCATAAATACATCACAGATCTTATAATAGAAAATATAATCTACAATCAATTTACAATTAATAATAATATGTACAGATTTGAGTGCATGCTATTCCTGTGTGCTGTCAGAAAAGAGATGAGGTTGCGGGCTCCAAATGCAACCTCATTCCTCTTCAAATATTCCTCTTACATGTTGTGGTAATGCGTGTTTGATGTTGAAACTTACATTTCAAATTTGCGTTTCAAACACAGACACAGATCTTCAGTTTGTAAACATTTAACATCTGTGGTGCTTCCACTTACGAGTAGCCACTGCAATGTTTGCATCTTTTTTGTGCCAAGGGAAGAGTTTGGTGAGAGCAAGGCTTCCATCAGGCTGCACAGAACCAGTCAGCACATAGAGCTGTGCGCGTCCGGGGCGCACGAGAATATTGGCACATCGAAGGTTGATGAGGAGCCACTGCTGGAGAAGGTGTCGTGTGTCGTAAGGCAGTAGAGGGCCCTGGCGGATAAACTCAACCCGGCCATCAACCTCAAACTCAGGCTCTCCTGTTGGTTGGCGATGGCGATGAATCTTGGCTGTTACAGCTGCAGATAAAATATTAAATTCAATTAACAAACTTGAAACTCAATCAAAGAAAAACAAAAATGGCCAAACAATGAATATAAAACAAACACAGCTTCCTAGAAGAATACTATTACTTACCAAAGTCATGGTGGCAAAAAGCATCCAGGACTGTTTTCATTGCAGGAGCCTCTTCCACAGCTGGGCAATTCTGGCATGCAGGTTTGGGCAAGTCTGTGGCAATAAGCAAACAAGGATTTAATATAACTGCAGGATCCATGCAATAAAACATAGGAATTATAATCTTGGGTAGATCAGACAGCCAAGTAAAATCAGCTTGAATACTTGATGTGTGGTAAAAACCCACCTTTGGCAAAGTGGCTGAATTTTGCATGAGGAGAAAGGCACATATCTTCCTCAGCAGGAAAGCGGTCACAATCAAGAGCCTCGGGCCAAGGGTGACCCTGACAAGCAAGAACAGGGGCACAGCTGTCTCTGACTGCCACACACAGACTCCTGCATGGCTGGATGAAACTGTAGAGAAAACGAGAGAAAAAAATGTTACACAATGACCTAGATTTTTTTTTCCAAGATTTGACAAAAGATATGCACAAAAAGAGAGTAGGAAAAGAAGAAGAAACACAAATTCTCCTTACGTGTCAAGGCAGACGGGGGCGATAAGAGAGCAGAGAAAGGCCTGGGCTTGAGGGTGGCAGCCTGTCTGCAGCAGAGGCCTCCAGTCCTCTGAACGAGGCACAACCTCTCCTTCCAAGTTGCTGTGACCCAAAAAGTTGGGCAGTCTCATTTCTGAGTATCCAACATCCCTGCAGACCTTCATCTGGTTCGGAATCGTGACGCAGCGAGTGGACTGACCCATATCAAATGCCATGTAAGGACACGCCATCGCAAGCAGAATCACAATATAGGACATAGCCATACTGAGGGGTTTGAAAAATCCAGAGTCCATGAGGTAGATAGATGAGCTTCTTGGAGATCTCTGTAGTCCTTCAACAGATCTGTAACTGCTTTGAGACTGTTGGTGCTGGCTTTATATACAGCAAGGTCAGCCAGCCCCATCAGTCTGTAAGTCTGTTATCAACTACCTATCAAAGGAGGCAGAGACGATGTGTTTGGAGACAACAGCTCTTTTTGTGATGACTGCAGACAGAGGGGAGGCAGCAAGCAGATGGAGGGGGGGTTGGGGAGGGGGGCATTCAGCCCTGCTTTCACTGAATGGAGCCCAATCACATGAGGCTGAACCGGCTCCATTCCTTTTTAAAAGGTCCAGACGTAAAAAACAAAAAAACAATATAAAAAAAGTTTAATACTTATCTTTCAAAATCAATCGTATAAAACTGGTACCATTCTGCCTGAATTGTCTGAGTGGTGCATTTGTTTTGTTTACTCAGACATTAAATCAATTTTTTGCAAAGACAAAAACAAAAACTTTTCTTCTTTGCATCTACTGATATGTAAAACATAAAGTAATGAGGCTTTTGGATCTCAGAATATTCCTGAGAAAAGAAATTTGAGGTTCTCTGCAGACAGACAGGCAGTCTCCCTCATATTGCTAGTCTCTTTCATGTGTCCCGGCTTCCTAATTGGAGGGTTTCATCTGCAGAGCCTCCGGTTCTCATTAGCAAAACATGGTCTCATCTGACCCACCTGGCTTTGATCTGCCAATAACACAAACTCAGATCAACACACAAAAAACTATAAGCCTGTCTACTCTGCTGTTTAATGCATCAACAGCAAAAGAACTTCAACACCATCCTCAGCAGTGCATAAGCAGAAAACAAAAAACCCAATACGGGTTAGAAAGAGTTGAAAGATACCTCTAGAGCTTTGCAGAAGTATCTGTATGTTTTACCTTTTCTACAAACAAGTAGATTTCTACAGAAGTAACCTGTTTTTCAAACCATAAAATTAAAATGTTATCTGTTTAATTGGCCTCGCAGTAACAAAAGAAGGTTCACAAAATGAAATCAAATGAATCACAAATTGCTAGAGCAGCATGGAGCATCTTCGGTCAAGCAGACGTATCAACACTGAGTCGTAAAACGCCAACATCCCATTCAAGACTGCAGAGATCTTGCCCTGAGATGCAGACAGAAGTGCTAATTTGTCTCGTTCTCTTGTTATCGGATCTGAGCCTCTTCAACAGTTTAACAATAGGACTACAAAACTGCATCATCGAATTTGTTTGGATGTCGTCTGTCTGCAGATTTAGATGTGTATCAGGAGCTGATGTCTGCAGGCCTTTGGAGAAATTTCCCTCATGAATCAGAGGTCCCTATCCCTGCCAGCCTTGCTATGGTCACTGTGCTTTCAGACATGCCAGAGTAGAGGCCATTCTGATTGACCTACTCCCAATTTTTGTGCCTGTGTTCAACCAGCCCTGTCTGCAAAAAGGGCCATGCTCTCACAGCCAGCTCAAGCCTTTCATCGGCCCCAGCTTAGCCAACTTTTACAGCCTGATCTGATGAGTGGAGGCTGGTTCCAGGTCGGGTAGACGAGTACAGCCTGTAAGAGGGGACTAACTGGGCAATTAAAGTCACAGACCAATTTGGGAGAACAATAAGGCTACACATTTAACAAGCTCCCCCTGCCAGGAGCCCAGCAGGAGTCTGTTGTTGGGCCTAATGGCTGCCCTGTAGACACTGTGTCTGTGTTTGTAATGTGCTGCCTGCCCCTGCCTTGGTAAATGAGAAAGTGATAGAGTACGGGCTTAGAGGCTGGGCACCTGTCTTTTAAACAACTTCAGTTGACTTTGAGAACTACAATAAATCTCTTTGAAATTAAAAAAAAAAAAAAATAGAAACCAAGTCAACAAATGTCCTCCAAGTGAGACAGTGAAGTTGCAATTAAACCTTGAACCAACAATTGAGCAAACTGTGGCAAAAGCTTGTAATACAAGTCATACTGCTTTGGGCTCCTGTGAGGAACTTTATGTTTGTGCCAATTATGGCGCCCCCATTGGACCAAGCGTTACCCTTTTAATTGTGGCTCATCTCAGTGAAACTAAGTTTAATTTAATTGACATTAATCTGGTCCTGTTCTCTTTGTGCAGTGAAATTCATCTCTCACTGCAAAATATTGTCATGTAGAAAGTGTAGAAAGGCAGTCTCTTCAGCATACCAACTCACTGAGCATTTTTTGGTCTAATAGAGGTCTAATGGTCGTCTAAATGTAGCCCGGATGAGTGGTCTAAAATCAGGCTACCACAGGTCTAAAATTGAAAGTTTTTTAAATATCTAAATTTAGACCAAGCTTAGACTAGCTGGCTAACAGAGGTCTAACTGTATATTGCTCAACCGCTATCATAATTATTTTGGTTAAGTACTTGGAGATCAGTTATGCAACTCACAGTTGCTTTTTGAAATAAATAGTAATCTAATAATGGGTTAAAGTGCAACATCTAAATTCTAAAAAAATAAAAATATACAGAATCTGGATGGTTGAAATTAGGTCTAAAAAAAAACTGGACATCTTATAGCCGTCTATTGCTCAGTAGATAACCCTTACAGCAGTTAAGAGGCATTGAAAATTACAATATAGAAGATTTTGCGAGTAGATGTCTGATTTGCTTTTGTATTTCATAAAGACAAATCACTGATTCTGTTTCATAAACTACCAAAAACTCTTCACAGGAGCTTTAAGTGCATTTCTTAAACATGACCCTTGTGTAAAAACAAGATGAAAACATTCATAAATTCTGTAAAGTTGCAACAGAACTTCTAATTTTAAGGAAATGAACCCCAAAAATACAATTTATACAGCTTATGTCTTTTTGAACAGGAGTATGAAAAAAATCAGCAGCAGAATGAATAGATTTTAGTCACACTGGCACCCATTTGTGTTTTGCCGTACTTGATGTAAAAACAAAAAAGGTATAACTTTTCAGTAAAGATTATTATGCACATTACAGCACAGTCTACACTCAGAGCAGAACAAACACCTGAGACACACATCAAAGACAGGCGTGGCAGGCTGGTTGAGTGTCTCAGCTGGCCTCCATTGCAGCAGTGAATGCAGATAAAAGCTGTCTCCTCCTTGCACATAAGAGACCCATTAAGTTGAGAGATTAAACCCCCATTTGCCTTTTTCTCTCTCTTTCTATCCCCCACAGCCTCACCCCCCCACCCCCATATCCTGCTGGGCTCCAGTAGGACTGACAGTCCCTGTGCAGACTGTCAGTAGCACTCAATCGTTACATCCAGTCTCCGACCTTGTGGGCAGACACTGCCACGCCAAGGTGAGCAGACAACTTGCCCCCTAGAAACTACAAACTTGTTGATTGACTCTCATTCTTACATTCTCAGAGATTAGATACAGTAAACTATCCTTTTGTTAAAATCAGACCAATGCAGTTACATTATTCTAGTGGCATCGTTGTGCAACCTCAGGACACAAGTGGAGTAGAGCAGCTATGATGTAGTAAGCCATGACGTCTTCTTTAGATGAGACGGCGTCATTGAAAAATCTCATGCACAGTCAAGCACATCAGCTTAATAATCACAGGACTCACAAATGATTATGCAGGGTACGTATGCATCATCTTTATTTCTATCCCTCTAGAGAAGAGCGTTTGAGTTCCACATAAACAAGAACGTTCCTTCTTCCTCCTTTTATACCTTTAAGTTAAACCCAAACAAGACAGATACAGCCCAGTTTGCAAACAATAAAAAGATACAAGTTAAGGAAATGTGTGAAGGAAAAACAACTTTGAACATGATCAAACAGCCACAGGGGCTGGAGCTGAGCAACACCAGTCATGGCTGCATTGTCCTGTTACTCTCTCCTTTGCTCCTCTGCAAAACTGCAAAAACAAAAGTAAAGACGGGCTTATCGTTGGTTAAGGAAAAACAAAAAACTGTACAAATAATAATAAACAAGAAATGTAGCTACGCCAAGGCACACTTGTCAAGATGTCAGATTTGAACAGGCCAGCCTTACCAGTGTGAATACTGACTTTAATTAAAACATGATAAATGAAGACTTCATGATGGTTGATTATTTTACTTACATCTGAGTGTCTCTGAGGGATGGAGGGGGGTCACAGCCCAGATACGCCCCGTTGATGAAACAGTACTGCAGCAGAGCCCTAAAACATGGATCCTGCAGGAAAACAGGATATCAAAAATCTGTATGACATGAAACCTAATAACATCACTTCATAGAAAACCTAACTTCAAACAGATGTTTCAATACTTACCCTTGTGAGAACGTGGGGGTTTCCAACGATTATAAGCAAGGCTTTGGGACGAGTGACGGCCACATTGAAGCGCTTGGGGTTGGCCAAAAAGCCGAGCACACTCTGCAAATCATCACTCTGCAGTGATTCATTAGAGCGCACCTATATTACAAGAAAATAACTGAAGAATTAGTTCTTGATTTTTGCCTCCATACTGTGTCATTGTGTAAAGACATTAAAACAGGTTGGTCCTCACAGGGATATTAAGGCTGCTCTGAACCTTGAACATACATCTGTATTACAATAAACATCATTAGCAAAGTGGATGATACATGTTAAATGTAAAGTTTAGGCGTGTCCCGATACAATGTTGGTATCTGATATCAGTCCAATATCAGTCAAAAACAAATCTCTGATTATATCGGCCTGCATCTAAAATCTCGGATTTTCCGATACAAGCAGTCCATTCCAGACTCCACTCCGGCACCTCTATCTAGCAGCACCCGGATCCAGCATGCAGAGCCCACATGATCACAAAAACAGTGTGCACTAAGGTACTTATAAAGTAGCAAGGAGTAGGAGTGATGTCAACTGTGTGGTCGTATTTTTTGTTAAAGTCCGAAAAAAGACATTATAGCAGAGTGCAAAACTTGTCATGCACAATATCTGATTAATATTGGTATCGGCCAATACTGAAGGCTACAATATTGGTATCGTATCGGGAGCAAAAAATCCCTTTTTTGCTTTTGTTGGGCTCAAATGAGCTTTCTTCCTCCTGAGTTTATCCTGTAAATAAAGTCAACCTAAGAGAAAACACACCACAGAATAAAAGAGTAACTGAAGACTAAGTTATTTAAGTAGAAAAGAGACCTTTCATGAGCGATGTCACATTGAAATACATCGTTGGGATGTTTTAAGTGTTTGTGTCACTTCAGGAGTTCTGAGCACTCAGCTCGACATCACATTACAGCAGACATTCCTCTTCTTGGTTGATCAAGCAAATCACGATTGCCACCAGAGGAATGATCAATTGTATCGCTAATTAAACACTAAACAGACCAACAGGGAGTTGAACAGAGGAGAGAGCTTCAAGAAGCGGTGAAAGCTGGCTGCAGCTGGTTAGTGTGCATGTTGATGATTCACATTTCATCTCATGCGTCTAAAAGAATCATCATGTATTAAGTAGCAAGAGAAAAGAAACAAAATATGTTATTATGTTAGAGCTTCATTAAAATTAGTTTGTTTTCGTTGATGGAGTCAAATGATTAATTTTACAATCTCATTATCATATTGCTGTGAGCTTTTGTGTGTTGTTGTTGTTGTTAGGGCTGCATGATTTTGGCCAAAAATAAAATCTGGGTTTTTTTTCTCTGAAAACGCCGTTTGCGATTTTGATTTTTTTTTTCAGTGACAACTTCACCAAACTTCACTTTAATAAGTTTTTCTATCATCTCTCAAAACGAAACCACTGAAAATGATGTAGTAAATATGCCACGCCAGTAAGTGGCGCTGTAATGCTGACGAGGAAATGCACAAGGGACAAGACACACACACACACACACACACACACACACGCTAAACAAGGTCAAGGGAGGACAACAATTTTCCATCTTCACGACTGTAAACGACTAGTTTAAAAAAGGGGGACAAAAATAAAGAAAAGTTTGTGATAACTTCAGAGTAACTTAATAAATGCTAACTATAAGTTGATTTACTGAAGTCACAAAGTGAAAACACCAACGTTCTCATTAGAAAGAAAGCATTTTCCCCCGTGATTTTCTCTATTTAAATCTATTTCTAGCCTACCGTAGACATGATGATGACGAGGAACTCTTGTCCCTGGAACTCCTCCACAGAGCCAACTTTGATGTCTGACAGGCCCACCCTACCCAGAAGCAGTCGGATCTTCTCACACTGCAGTTATCAAAGAACAGCATAAGATTACAATGTGAAAAATTCACTCATTAAAATTCTGCAAAACTCATAAATAAACAGTGTCGTCTTACTTGCTTCCTGTACGGAGCAATGATACCGATGTCAGATGCATTCACTGGGTTGTAGAGCTTCTTTGCCAGCTGGCAGCAATAGAGCATGACCTGAACAGCCTCCACTGGGTTAAACCACGACGGGTTGTTACCCTCTCTCATTTCTGTACCCTGGAAGCAGAGGCAAAGTCTACAAAGTTAAGATGAGAGCTAAACAGTACAATAACCTGATAAAGCAAAGCCTATTGATGTTTACAGAGTTACCTTACTGAAGCAAAGCAGTAACTTCAGTATGGATGCATATTTAGTTAATGATTGCAGGCCTCATTCATGGCAGATTAGACCTCCTTCAAAGACCACTCACCCTGACTCCATGGAAAAGAAGAGGGAAGCCTTTTTTGGGCAGGGTTTTCCACTCGCAGAGAGACTCTACAATGGTCTTTGGAGCTTTAACAATCAGCTCATCCTGGTAGAAGAGCTTCGAGGGCAGTGTTAGCAAGGCCTCGTGTGAACGGTAGTTGTAGATCAGCTTTGTCACCTATTGCAAGACAAATCAACAAACTAACAACTAACTAATATCTGTTTTGGCAAGGAAGTAAAGACAGGTAATTATATCACACACTGAATCCAGTGACATGTAGCACTGAATCTGTACAGCATGAGAAAAAGTTTAATTATCTTTAATTGTAAAAGAAATGCTTGCTCACAACTAGTTAAATGACACTGAATTTCATTTGAAGAACACTGACCAGATAAGGGTTATAACCCCTGCCAAGTCTGGAGTAGAGAGGGTTGGCCATCAGCCTCTCCAACATGGACACCCCCAGGCCGAAGGCAGTGGCCAGCTTGGACTTAATCACAGGACCCAACTGACGGGGGTCTCCAGCCAACACTATCTAAGCAGGTAATGGAGGTAAAATTCATGTCATTAATACCTAAGCAATTCAGAACAAGTTATCAACTTTCAAATTGGCCAAGTGCAACTATTTACTATTAACTTTTCTACGTATATCAGTGAGGAATCTGTAATTCTTCTGACCTGCCCATCCGTCTCTGACAGGAGACTTATGGGAATCAGAGCCTCTGGTTCTGTAGCCTGGCCTGCTTCATCCAGAAACACATGGGTGAAATGTCCTACACTGAAGAGAAACAAATGAGTTTAAGGACTCCAAAGAAGCTGTTGATAATGACTCCTACTGCAGCCTGAGCCTTACTGGAGCCCTATGCTGTGGAACATCCCGGCACTAGAGCAGGTGCTGACCACAATCCTGTGAAAAGAGGCATTGCGGATGTCTTCTCCAGCCCTTGAGTACTGTCTCAACACCATTGGGATGGCCTAAGAAAAAACAAACGCACCAATATAGCATGAGTACATTTTAGATGAAAAAACTGTGTACCATGGGTAGTGTATCTGTTACTTTACATAATTGCTGACAGCAGTTTTGTCTGTCTGGTATCAAGCCCTATAAATGAAGGATGCTGTGTCCAAATTTGCCCAGTACCTCCTCCTGCCTGCAGGATGCATTGACACGGGCCAAACTTGCAGAATGCAGGAAGCCGCTGTCATGTAGGCGGACGCAGATGAGGTCAGCGGCACTGTTGGAAGGAGTACAGACAAGTACCCGACTACTGGGCACAAAGTGGTACACCTGAGGGTGGAAATACTTCATTAAGTTACACAAGCTTTGAGTCAGAGGGGACTGAGACCAAACTGAAATATAACCAAATCCAGACAAGTTCAAGCTAATGCAGTGTCAAGTGAATCAATGAATACTCAATCAATCCTCCTGTTTTTAGACGGACTACAGGTTTGTGATTCCTCTCGATGATATGAGACATTATTTCTCAAGTAACCTTAAGTTGCTACACTGACAACTATTCAGAAGTAGAACAGCTGACCAAAGTAAGGACATATATTAGGGCTGGGATGATATGCTTTTCTCCCAATTTGATTCTTCTACGATTTTTTATGATTATGATTTAAATTGCAATTCTACGATATTGTCGGTTTTCTTGATTTTTAGTCTGCATTTTTAACACCAGTGAAACAGTTGTATGACTACTGACTATTCCAGGAACCATATTTCCCCAAAAAAGTACATATCATATGTAAGTCAGTTTTTAAGACGTATTCTTAAAACTGGAAAAAAAAAAAAAAAAAAAACGATATTAAAAAAAAACAAAAACAAAAAATCGTGATACTTCTGTGAACCCATTTTTTCTCCCAATACTAACATATATCCAGTGGTGATGGTGCACATGTACCTGTAGAATGGCCTCTATGAGGGTAATGGTCTTCCCAGTCCCTGGAGGTCCAAACAACACATATGGAGTGGGCCGACACTCTCCTGCCAGTATCCTCTTCACGGCCTCTTTCTGTGGGGGATTCAGGTCTGGGTTGAAGAATTGCCCTTTGCTGGGGATGGGTTTGGGTGACAGTCTGGTATCTAGAGAGATTAGATATTTGTTGTTATCAGACTTGACAGATATGAACCGGCAACACTTGCAGTAAAATAGAGATGTAATACCTGTACGTTTGGTCTGTGTGGCCTGTGACTTCATGCCAACTGAGAAGTTTGACACCATTCCATTTTCCATGGCTGGAGCCTGGTGGGAGGAGACAGTTACATTTAACTGAAATTAGACTAAAGATGAGAAATGTTTTGGGCTTTCTTTCACCTCACTGTTCTTGGCCAATTTGCTTTGGTCTGGCCCCTCAATCCACTCTCCTGTCACCTGAGGGGGCTTAAGAGTCACTTCAGAGGGGAAGAGAACTACACAACAATAAAGAGGTTAGTTGACCATCTTTCAATACATATGTAATCATTCTGAGAACATCTAATAAAAACATAAGTGCCTCGATCAAAAATATGGACCTTTAGTGTCTGCAATACAAAGAGACTTTGTCAACTTAACTGCATAGATGATTAAGGAAAATAATGCAAACAAGCTGTTCAGAGCCTCAGCGAACCTGCGACCGAGTAACAACTCTTCTCAAGGTCTAAACAAGACATAAGGTCTTTCAGCCACTTACTGTGAGTGGGGTGGGGGACGGATTGCTTTTAAATAAGGTGCATCACTTTACTGTTCAGAGACCACAAGATGTCCTCTCTAATCTATACTAAAGAGTCTGTTTCAGGAACATTATCCTATTAATATTACTGAATATATTTACACATTTAATTAGAAAAATGTCCTTTATTTACAAAAAGCCATCGGAGAAAGGACTTTCTGAATGTTACAGCGAGGGTCAGTTCCTCCATGTCATTAGGTTAGTGAAACACTGAGCTTGCATGATTGTAAATGAAGTCGGTTTTAAAAACAGAAAACCGTGCCAAACACACTCAGTTGGAACTTACTTTCCCCAAACTGTTTAGTCTGGTGAAGTGCGTGGTGACATCGTCTCATAGTTAATCTGTCAAAGTAAGCAGTAAGAACACTGGTTTTAGTGGCATTTACTTCTGTGCGAGACAAAACTGGAAGCATATCTTCACCTGTTTAAAGAGAACTCAACATCAAGTGGCTCGCCCAGGTAGCTGCGTTGAAATTCAGCATTCACCCTCAAACTGACACTCTCATCATCAATCTGTGAGTCAAACCGGTTCATTACATTAGCTTTGAATTCAAAGAGCATCGTGTAGATTGTGGAGATGCCTCAAATTTTCATACATCTTTGTACCTCAGTGACGTAGCTAACATACTCCATCACAACACCATCCCTCTGCGGTTTCTTCAGCGTCACTCTGTCACCTGCAAAGAAAACTCTTATCATATAGCTTTGCAGTCATTCAACAGACATAAAAAAGTCACCTTAAAGCCTCCTCACCTATAAAGAGACTGGGTCTGCCTTCAGCCAAACCTGCGACCTCCAGGTGCAGGTAAACGCCTCCTTTTCTGAGAAGTGCTCCGGTGATGGAGAATTCTTGGAGTTGCTTTTCTGCATTCAGCTCCTCCAGCCAGAGAAGGGTTGAGAAACGTGACAGCATGTTGGATGGTGACAACACCTTGACAAGGACACACAGCAGGAAAAGGAAAATTTAATAATAAAGATGATCTCTGGAGAAAGAGTCTTTTCAGGATGAACACGTCTTTTTCAAATGCTACAAGATAGAGGATTTACAGACACAATAAACGGCAACTGGAACATTTTTTGAGGCCATGTGTCTGCCCAGTTAAAGAGGGTCAGTTTATACCACACATTTCCTTGTTTATCTAATTACGAGGCACAGTGATTCAGTTCTGTGATTGGATTTTGACCCACAAAGCATTAGATAGAGTTAGACTTCATTAGCTTAAGTGCTTTAAAGCACCGTTATACAACACATTTAATGTGCGGGTGGCACTCATCCAGCTTTTACTGATGTAGTTTTATTAAGTTATACAGCTGAGCCTTTTTTGCTCACCTCTCCCAGGCAGGGCTTAATTACCAGCACATCGCTCTTCGCTTCCATGCAGTCTCTGAGAGCCTGGGGCACCTGATAGCTAGGTAGGAAGTTGGGCAACCGCCGCTTTGTGATCCTACAGGGAAAGTTACAAAAGATAAGACACATTTTTTTTTTTTGTAATAATACAATGGAAAAGGTTATAAAGGGAGTTCAGGTTAGAGTTCTGGTGCATTCATCCAACAATCTTCTTCTATCGGCAACATCTCAGAAGAACATGGGTAACCTAAACTTTGGAATAACCTGCCTCAGCACATCAGACAGGTCTCCTCTTCGCCTGTTTCTATATCCTGTCTTAAGACCCACCTTTTCTCCTTGGCGTTTAACACCCAGTAGGAGGCCGACTTCATTTATTTTACTTCATTTATTTTATTTATTGTATTTGTCTTCATTTGATTTTACTGTGTTTTACCTCATTTTATTTTTACCTTATCTACTGTGCTTCTGTTGTGTTATTTATTGTATTTTTATCTTGCTGTGCAGCACTTTAGGAAACATTGCGTTTGCTTAAGTCGTGCTATATAAATAAAATGGTTTGGATTGGATTGAACCTGTAACATCATTACTCTGTCAGAATATGAGCAAAATTTAAAGAAAGACATATCATTTCAAGCTTGGTGCCCTTCCTCAGACAAAGGAGGCAGATGGTTTAGTACCGTGGTGGGATTTTTGGAGCAGTTACAGTGATCACATGATCAGGCACTGCTGGAGCCGGGCCAGCATCACTGGGACTGTAAGGAGCTGAGGGCTGCAGCAAACTGGCCTCTTCGCTGCTCACAGTGACCTCAAGGCGCCTCCCAATGGTGAAAGAGGAGAAGTGCAGCAACAGTAGCTCAGTGCAGCTCCCAAGACTCCTGAGAAAATATTTAATGTGAAATCAGAATGACAGGCATGAAGGTTTGACAGAAAGAGTTAATTTCGCACAAAGGTGAAGGCGTTCAGTGTTTTCACCTTTTGTCTTTTGATTACTCCGTCCTCCATCTGTGTCTATTTTTCAAAAAACCCACAAGATATGTATTTGAAAATCACTTACTTAGCTTGGCAGGCAACTGTAATGGACAACCTCCCTCCTGGTGCAATATCCACTTCTTTTTTCTCTCTCCTCACTCCAGTAGATTGGATACTGTCCTTCTGCAGCTCACTCTTTTCTTTGTCTACCTCTTTTCCATCATTATGTGTTTGCTTTTCTGCAGACACTTTACAGTTTTCTTGTGAAGGCTTTTCTTGTGTGAGTGGGTTCAACTCCTTTACAGGAACTAGAGTAAACTGTTCTTTTGAGTCCCAGCCAGCAAAGTCACAGCACTTCAGCCTGTGGGTATCTGAACCTTTATTTCTGTTACAAGAGAAAGATGATATTTAAAACAGTTGACTTTATTGTGCTGCTGACAGGAAAACTAGATGATCGTTAATCTCTTAGATCTGACAGAATATGACAATTTTTTTGTCTTTGGACACTTACTGTATCCACAGAACCAATTTGGGTTCCTCCCCGATCATCACATCTCCAAACTGGCCATAGTCTGTTACTTCAAGACCACCCTTGTTTTCCAAAATGCTCCGGAGTTTGTCCTCTGAGAGAGGTGCATTAGAACAAATGGAACTGCAACAAAAAGTCCTCACATTAGAGGTAAACATCTCTCAGTTTGTTTATGTCCACTCTTTCACCTGGCAAAAATAGCAACGCTGAAAACATTTTTAAGATATGCAGAACACAGAATTTGCCGTTTTACTTTTTCAACATGCCGCAGCTGTCTCCTCAATCACTCTGTTTCATACCTCTGAAGGCAGGGTGCCATGCAAAGAGCCCTCCAACTGTAGAAGGACTGACTGCTCTCCACCATCACCAGGTTAACCAGGTGCCCCTGCAAAGGCTTGTAGTCAGCAGGCAGCAGTAGAGACTCAAGACTGAAGAAGACACTGTCATCCACTACGCCACTGTCGCCATACACACTGGTCACACACACCTGGAGATAGATGATATTCAGCAGGTGGTAAAGGAATAAAGGAATCAGTTTTATATTGTTCTAAAGACAGACATAATTTAGATTTAAGCATCAGCACTCTTTTGTGTATTTAAGTGCTCTTTTACAACATCATTCAGCCTAAACACAAGTGTTCAATAATCTTTTTACCTGGTCTAAGCGGCAATAGCGTAAAGGTGCCACAGAATGCGCTTGGGAGGTCCACTGGGTTGGATTGATGAAATATTTTGCTTGGACCCAGTCTCCTTTCATCGGCACATAACCTCACAGAACGTACAAAATGAAATAAACAGGCATAAATGGTCATGAAAGCAAACAACAGACTTGAGGAGACTATTAGATCAGTCAAAATGTTGAGTTTCAGGGGTGACTGGTCATCTTTCAACAGGGAAAGTTTATGTCAAACATCCGAAGCTCAAGAGGATTACAGTAATGTGAGCACTAGTACCTTCCCAAAGACTGTAGCATGAGAAGTGTGTAGTTTGGTTTATGTAGCCGCCATCTCCATCAAAAGACGTGATTGTACCAATGAGAGGCCGCAGCTGCATACAGTCACTTTCTAGAGAGGATTTTCCACCATCTTCCCAAGCATCTGCATTTTTCTCAACCTACAGGGCAGAGTTGAAATGGAACAATTCTCTGATTCTCTTGTAATGGCATTATTTTTCCAGTAATTAAACGGTATACTGACACATATTTCTTCCTCCAAACACAAGACACCCACCCTTAAAGCTTTCCATCCTCTTTGGACACCATCTCGCACTGCTGTACAGTTCACCAGGTCTCCTTCTTTAATCTGCACCCCACCCAACACCTCTCCACTTGTGAAGTAGACTGCATCATCGATCAGGCCATAGTCAGGGCACAGTTGGGTCACCACGCTGCCCCGCAGGTGGCGAATGTCCTCCATGCCTGACCAAATATAAACAGAACAACCAGAACAATAACTACATTGTTATGCGTGTTGAAAAGCGAGACTTGCCGGAGAGCTGCATTTACCCGCTGCGCCTACAAAAATGTCTTCTCCATCCGCCTCTTCCGTTCTCCACAACGGAGAAACCAGCTTGGATAGCATACATCGCACAGCAGACAGCATACCTGTACAATTACAGGTGAAGTATAAGCTACCAATGTTCAGGAAAACAAAACACCGAACAATTTCCAACAGACTGTCGCTTGGCTATACTAGCTAGCTGTGTAAAGCTAACTATATATGTAGTCCATTTGGAATAGCATTAAAAAAAACTAGCTACTAAAGAAAAGAGAAAAGAAATGGACCAAATACTAGTAAAGGCTAGTCGTTGGACTAAAATGGCGCCTAAAGATTGTGTGCAAAGTTGAAAATTAGTCGAGTTTTCATTGTAGGTGCCGCTAGCTGAGCTAACACCATGGCTAAATTAAGACACAGGGCGGTCGTGAAGGAAAAAGGGTAAAACAGACATTTCAAATTACCTTTCCCAACCAAAAACGGCACTGCACACCTTAAGTGTTGCTGTCGACACCTGTTTGCTTTTACTGCTTGAGTCACTGTGAAAACGAGAGCTTTGCGGGTACACGCACATGCGCGGGAATAACGTGTGGCGTGAAACCGGGTGAAACATGGCCGACGGCCATGGCGGGTGTTATGGCAAATTTAGTGACCCATCGAAGCTGTCCTCTTTTTCTTCGGGAATTTTGGCGGGAGGTTGTGTTACCTTTATCACATACCGACCCGGCCCAACTACAAAACACACAGGTTCCAGTTGTACATGTTTGTATCGTTTTCCATAAAAACGTTAAAAACACAGACAGTAGCATGTTAAATAGGATTCACATTTGAACCATTTGTTTTTCGACTGGCAAGTCCTTTCAACAGTTTGCACCACTGTGTTTTAACCTCTACTTTAACTCGACCAGAGGGGGCAGCTGTAATAAATCTATAGACTTACAGACTATAGTAGGCTATATACTGGTATATACAGTCTATGGATAAATCCCATAGGTTTAATGTCAAAATAACCATTTCATAGTATGGTTTCAACATCTTCTTTGTGTCAGATTCTGTGCTCCAAAGCAGCATGAGAGCAACATGGCATGTCTTTGTTAATGGTGGTTTATCATTACCTGATCAGTCCATAACCAGTGTAGCTAACAGTTGATTTTGGTTTATTTCACATAAAACAGAAAAAAAACATTTCTTCACATTTCTTCATGAAAATCTTCTGTTGGTTCAACAAACTATAAGATCACTACCTGAGTGAATGTAACAACTAACTTTGTTGTTACATTCAGACAGGCAGTGACCATTGTCTTTGATTTTCAAAGGTAAATTCTTAACTTTTTGTTATTTTTAATCATAATTTTAGCTCAAGTGCAGTTATTGAGTCTTAATTATTGAAACATAATAGCTGGATGGTAAACTGGGGTGAGATATACAGTATATATCACTCATAGTTGTGTACAATATACCCCTCATTAGCGATCAAAGACTTCTTCTGGAGGAAAAAAAAAGTATAACTAATTAATAAAAGGGAATTGGAATCATAGTCTTTCAACATGAAGTGCTCAGCAGCTGAAAAGTTTGAATAAAATGTAGTTTGAAACTTGCAAAGTAAAATATGCCAAATCACTGATATGGTTTTTTACAGAAGCTTTGATTAGTGAAGTAACCTGAATGGCATCTTAATTTATCTGGTTTACAATGTTTTCAGGCAAGCAATACCACATTCATATTCAGAGTTTATGAGTGATGGACACTTTTTATTATTATCATTTTATTTAATGGTTGTTGGACAAAACCTTAGTTTCACCACTAGAGGTCAGTGGTGACTCTCCTTGTACAGTTCTGAGAATTCAGAGTGCAAATGAGGCAAGGGGAGGAATCAGATCAGATACAAATCTCAGAGTCTTTGTTTCTATAACTGGACATTCTACTTACCCTGTGTAATGACAACAAAAGCTAAAACTGGTCTAAATTACACCAGCTGTTGTGAGGGGAAAATGCTTTGTCCTTGATGAACTGCTTAATGTTGACCCTGGCTTCTCTCCTGTAATGCTGTTGGGTACCCTTCATTTTTATTTTAGTTGTTTAAGTGCCCCTCTTTACCTAATAGCAATCTCTCAGTGGGATGAAAAAAAAAGAAAAGAATGGTGTTTGACTATAATAAGACTGTCCTATCATTTGATTTGAATGAAAAGACTCATAGGGCAACCTGCCTGGACATACTCTACAAATACTATAGATATAGAGCAGATGTACAGCATTAGTGGTCCTTGCTGTTTTAGTCCATGACTGGACTCCTTGAGATAAAGCCGGTAACCTAGTTGATTAAGAATGGCAAAAACCTGTTTGTTGAGGTTAATGACAACAATACATAATGCTCTTTTCCCAGAACCCCTCTCTTGTACTTGTCCTATGCTGTGAGTGAGTCAGAACATGCACACAAGCTTGTTGACAGTGGCTTTGACATTTCTCTGATTAGATCATTTAAAAATCAAGCTTTCTCTTGCTGTTTTTTAACCTAACCTCAGATTTAAACAGGAGTTTTTTCATTATTAAAGCTCAGATAAACATTGTCTTTGTTCAGATAAGAAAGAATGTGTGTTTGGTCTGAAGTCTACAGTGTAGTCACATGAAAATTTGGATTAGGTAAGCCTTAAGATTTATCTCCATTGTCTTTACATATGGGATCCAGATGCAAAGACAACATTTTATAACAGGATAAATTCAGATAAAATGTAGGAAGCAGAGGAACACTGCAATGGAAAATACAGCCAATATTTTTTGGCATCCATTATCCTTCATAATGGAACAATAAACCTAACATAAAAATGTAGGATATGAATGAAATACCTGAGTAAAAATACTTCATACTTTCCTTGATTAAGACTGAGTGGGAAAATGAATAACTTTTTGTATCATAATAACTTCAATTCCTCATGCTGCCTTTCATTTGTTATAAAAAGTCTGTCATTTTATTCTAGTAGTCTTTTACAGTATCCGTACAATGTAACAGTAGAGTGTTCACTCATGTTTTTTAATTTTGCTCCATTTTATCCACTCTCCCTCACGGTTGTGGACCCCCAGGTGCCCGTTTTTGACAGAGTTACTGTGAACCAAAGCAGTGCTGTGTATAGGTGTGTGCTACCACTATGTATTTACATATGGACTTTTACTGCTTCCACTAGGCTGTAATGCTAACTCACACACAGGAACACATACACTAATTCATGAACCAATCTTTATTTATAAAGCACCAATCACAACAAATGTTATCTTAAGGCGCTTGACAAAAAGAGCTGGTCCACACCATACTCTTTGTTATATTTACAAAGACCCAACATCAAGATGGGATAAAAAATTTCCATAGTAAGATCAGACCCACTCTGATCCCATCTTAATCCACCATGAGTGTAACACTCATGAGTGTAACACCCATGGTGGATTTAGCAAGTTACAGCAGCAAGGAAATAACTTCCTTATAAGAGTCCTGTTGGACAGTCATCTGCTGAGACTGTGTGGGATTGGAGTAGGTCTTAAGTAATAGCATACAAGTAATATGACACTAATGTGACACTGTTGCTAAATCATTAAAAAAGTACAAAGTCATGGTGACTGTAGAGCATTGTTGAAGTGCTGTTGAAAACTCAGACAATAAGAGGGCGCTAATATGATGACAGTTTGTCCACTAGAGTCTGTGATAAGTGTGTGTTTTTGTGTGTCAGTGTGTGTGTTTATGCGCTTTAACTGCATTCAGGAATGCACAGTTTCTATGTAGGTGTATGATCTTAACAGTACCACCTTTTATCCCTACCTTGCCAGCTTCCCATATGGTAGTTGAGCAAAGCCCACTTTAGTATTGATATCTGTAAGGAAGGGACCGACCTACTGCCCTCAACCAATTAAAAGAGATTTGTGCATTGTAAGAAACTTACCCTGCTCACTTGTAGTTTTCAACTGTTTCAAACCAAAGGAATACTTTAGATCAAACACTCCACAAAGTCTATTTATTCTTTAATATCCCATAGGACTTTGTGTGATAAAGAACCTTACATTGTAATTTTCTGGGTAATGGTTCCTTGTTGGTTTCATTCAGTATTGAACAGTATGCCTTAATGTCCATTCATTAATATGCATAGACGTCCAGAATACTCATCATTAATTCTTTAAATGATAATGTGTGCATATTCCAACGTACAGCCTTTTGTTTCCATAAATAGCTTTGAAACTATAACTTCTGTCATGTATTTTCATGTTGTAATGCCTTTGCAGTGTTGGAACCTCCTTCTTCAAGCCTTCTTGGATGGTGCTGGTTCAAATGGTCACACAGGTTTGTTGTGTTGTTGCAGTATTTTAATATGGTCTTCATAGAGTTTATAGGACTCCTGTTGGCCTCTTCTGTCCCTCCTCTGCATCTAAATCCAAAAAGAGTCCAAACATGAGATTTAAATGTTGTAGAGACTGATGTAATATTACCCTTCACTGCTGTCACAGTTTTGTTGACTAAACAACAGCTGTTTAGCAAAGAGGGGTCTCTGCAAAAGACAAATCACAAGGCAACAACTCAGCGCCCTGCAGGAGAAGGATGTCATTACAATGGAAATAGCCTGTCTGAATCACTACTGAATTGGGGTCAATTTTGGGCCCCCTTTGGAGAAATAAGTCATTCTTCTACCAACTCTTGGAGTTTTTTTTTTCTTTAAATAAAATAAAATAAAATAGAAAAATGTCATCCTGCTGAGATTTGACAGTTAAATACATCATATCTTGTGAATATTTTCTGGGGAAGATATGCAGGGCTGTCTCTTCAGCTGCTTGGCTCTCACTTGTAGTAATGGTCTTGCATGCTTTTTATAATCAAAAGTATGGTGGCTGAGAACTGCCACTGCTGCAAATAAAAAAGAATGCAAAAAAAAAACCATTACAGAAGTTGCCAATGCAAAAAAAAAAAAAAAAAGGAAACGGTGCAGATATAAAAAAAAAACAACATTAAAACACAATGGATGTTAACGATACAAAAAAGTGGTGATGCAAAAAAAAAAGGAAAAGGCTACTTGCTGCGAAAAAAATAAAATAAAAAAAGCCACAACGGAAGTGAGCTGCCAGGGACCAATAATGATGATGCACCGGTGTTTTATGATCTAGGCACAGAAGACGACTGTAAATAGACGAGCAAAGAAGTTAGTTATTGTTTAATTTCACTTCATAAACTTTTCAATGTGTCATTTGGTTAGGCCATGTAGGGCCTGAGTCGATATATAGTTGACCTGGAGGATGCCTGTGTAGCGTTAGCTTCAGTTCAACTTCATATCGACTCAGGCGCAACATGGCTGGACCAAATGACACATTAAAAAGCGCACACAGTGAAACCAAAGAATAACCTTTCCACTTACTTCTTCGCTCGTCTTCTCACTGTCGTCATCTGTGCCTAGATCGTAAAACACTGGTGCTTCATCATTTTTGGTCCACGGCAGCTCAGTTTTGTTGTGCCTTTTTTTTTATTTGCATCCTTTTATTTTCCTAGTAAGTCACTTTTTTTCCATCGCCACAATTTTTTTGCGCCGTTAACTTTCGTTGTGGCTTTTTTACTGCACTGTTTCTTTTTTATTTACGGCGGGCTTTGGTTTCTTTTTTTGCATCGGTAACTTCTGTTGTGGATCCTTTTTATTTTTATTTATTTATTTTTTTGCAATTTTTTATTTGCAGCAGTGGCAGTTCTCGGCCACCGTACAAAAGGAATCCATTTGAATTTCTGTCTGTTTCATTGTTGTTAAAAGAAAAAAAAAAATCCGTATTGGAGCTTTAACGTAGCCCGGTAACAATAGGTAAACATGTGGATCTGTGGGTTAGATGGGTGACAGAGGATAACAGAGTAAAGGTTGAGGGTGATAGCCTATCTCCTGTACACATTATTAGAGATTCTCAGCTGCAGTGATACTCCAGATGAGAAAAGGGGAAGAAGAAGACACAAAGAGCGAGAAGGCAGGAGGAGAAAAGACAGCAAAGTAGGAGGAGGAGGAGGAGGTCTGCGCTAACTCCGCCCCGGTCTCGGATCCTCTCACAATCCTTCTTCACAGCCTCTCACGTTGAGGATAGAGAGAGAAAGGGGAGAAACAAGAAGAAGGGCACACGAGGAAGAAGAAGAAGAAGAAGAAAAGCAAGGGGAGTAGCAAAACGACCATGGCAGTATCCGAACCTTCTCAGCTTGAGATAGTGTCCGATCCCAGCACACCTCCTCCTCCACCACCACCGTCGAGCCCTGCACCGTGGAGCATGCAGCCGCACAGTAAACAGAGTCCAGATGAATGAGGAGCTGCCTACCTGGGCCGTGGACAAAATGAGGGTCATCTTCATCCAAAACGCCGGTTTCGTCGCAGCTTTCTCGCCTTTTAGATGTGAGTCGGTGATGTTAGCAGCGTTTAGGACGACAGATAGTGTGAGTGAGCCAGTATTATTCACAGATAGATCACGCCAGGCAATGGAGGTGTGAGGAGATATACATTTATCGAGTTGCCTGATTTTTTTTCTGTTATTGGGATAAAACTTGCACGTTTATTATAGCCAATATATCATCTTTAAATCAATCAATAGTGTATTCAGCTTTTGGCTTGCAGCCTGCTGTCGAGCTCTGAATATATATTTCATTACAAAATTGGATTAGCCCATTATGTCGTTATCCAGTGATATAAGATTATGTATCAATTAATTATAGATTGGTAATGCCATTTAAGCTTTTTAGTGCTTTTTCCACAGTGGGTTTGATTATTTAGACTATGATAAAACCATGATTAGGTAGAAGTAGTAATCTCAGTTCACTGTGATCAAAGCCATTTGATCAACAAGACAATCTGGAAATGTTTGTTTCCACATGAGACAATATGATAAGCAGGCTATAGGTTATTCATTGTAATTTATTTATTTATTAATACTATTATTAGACCTATAAGTATTATATTATCGATTTCCTTAAGGTAGCTAGTTTGACGTATTTAACAGTGGGAAGGTTAATACACTTCCCCTAGTGAGATGGAAACTGCTTATTTATCGCCCCACCGGGGGGCATCGCGTCCCGGGGCCCAGAGAGGTCAAACTTCCCCGGGTAAACCTGCTGCTGGGGGAGATCTCTCCCCTCCACCTCAGGCTCCAGCTCCACCTCTACCTGCCGGCAGCTCACCTGAAGGGACCCCGGCAAGCAGCGATGGACGGAGAAACTCGGGCGTGAAGAAACACCACCATAAACATAACCTGAAACACCGCTATGAGCTGCTTGAGACCCTGGGAAGAGGCACGTATGGCAAAGTGAAGAAGGCCATCGAGAGGCACTCCGGCAGAGAGGTGAGCCCATTAAGAGACCATTGCAAAACATGCTTTGTGTAGGTTCAGACTCTCACCATGCATTTATGCTTTTGTGTTATCCTTAACACCCCAAATAATTGCTTTGTGGCTGAGTGTGTACGTCCTCCCCCCTTGGGATTTCCCCAAGTGCTCCAAAAGACCTATAGGGGACAGGCAATTGTCGCTGCACACACCTCCTCTTATGAAGGGCCTCAGGGTTGGATGTTAAAGTGCAAATCCACCTATTGACTGTATGACTTCCAGTTGAGTATCAAGGAAAACACCCAATTGTCCCTTAAAGAAACTGCAGGGATCCTGTGTTAGTTTTGCTTTTGCTTGGGTTTGCCTTGTGTTGATGTGTGTCTAACAGGTCAGTCCACTACTGTATCTATCTCTCTATCTATCTACAGACACAAACACACATGTATATATATAAACTGTCTTTGCCATCATGACCCATTCTCTGCTGTTGTGTCCCAGCTAGTCAGACGTGCCTCCAAATGTTTTCACATGTGGCAAAACTTGACCCCTGTGAGTCCACTCTGGCAGGACATGAGGATCTTTCCATGTACCAAGAATGCAAGGGAGGGATTTTGTATAGGTCAACAATGCCCCCCCCTAACGGTTTCATAGCTCCTGGCAAATGCATGCTTGATAGGGGGACCATAAACCCTCCGGTAGGGGCTTACTCTCTCTTGGCCTGTCCCACTTGGCTCCTTGTAGCCTACTCACCAGAGTGTGTTTTCCTATTTATTATCACCATGGCTTCAGCGCTAATGTGAGGTATTTTGCTTTCACTTGTGTTGTAATGTTGCACAACAGACATTGACTGCAAGGTCAGAGTATCTCATTTCGACATAGGTCACTTTGACATGCTGTTCCCCTCAAGCTGGTCTAATTTGTTGACTTCAGATTATCTATTCAATACTTTTTCAAATGAATGGCAAAACTTGATTCAAGATCTACATTTCTTTGTGATTTAGTGTGTCTAAAGCTCGACATTTGGTATATCTTACTGGTTCAGATGACTAAGATTCCCATGTCTTCGTCGAAAAAGCAAAATATAGACTGAAAATAGATTTTAGGTCAAATCTTGGTGGCCTCGTGCCTTTCATTCTCCTGTAATCTGCTGCTTTATCCTCAAAATAGCACTTCTACCTAAAATAGCATACCAGTAAATGGGACTTCCTTGCACCACTGTGTTTTATGTGGGAGTTTGTATATCTAAGGAAAGTCCTTTGAGAATCCACTCCTCTGCACACAGAGCACCAGCAGAAAGCAGCCAGAGCATGACTCCGGGCCACCTCACAGGCCACATGTGTCTGGCACTCTATCGCTAGAGTTTACATGACCTCTGACCTGAAGCCTGTCCCTTACGTCTGAATGGCCGATGCAGCAGCACCGGGAGACGGTTATGCAATCACTTAGTGTCCATGTACCATTTTTTCCTGGTTTGCTCCACAAATGAGAAGAACAGAGAGGGCTAAGTGAGGGGACAGACTGAGGAAGTTTTGTGAATGCGTGCACATGTGCGGAGTAAACTGAAGGCACTCGAGGAAGATTGATTAGATGTGGGCACATTCAGTGTATCAGCGAAAGTGGAACTGAGTGACTGCCTAGTCTAATCTGCAAAGCTATACATTGTGGCATTTGGCAGCTCAGTGGAACATTATACAGAGGGCAATAGATCACGGAGATCACAGAGGGGAAATGTGACACATGCACAGGCTTGAGTGTTTGTGGAAGATGTGTTTCATGTTTGCATACTGGTGAGAAAGATAGAGAGGGGCTGTCTTTATGTAGTCTGTGCCATCAAGATGATTAGAGTGAAAAGGTTGTGGTGACAGCAGGGCCTAAAATGGGCAGTGACACATGAAAGACCATCCACAGCAGGAAATGAGATTGGTGGGGAAGGTTAATATCCTGTGTGGGGGATCCATCTTAGACAGGGAGGGGTGGGTGTTAGGCATAGATACACACAGGGGAAGCCCACCACCTTAACAAGAGAGGGGCAGCCTTAGTTAAAGGGGTTAGGGAGTCATATTAATATGAGCTTAAAGCACCAGATTACATCATTCCCCAACAATGGATCCACTGGAGGGGTTCGTAAGAGGGGGAAAACATTGACATTCCTCTGCTGTATGTGCTGATGTTGATGAGGTATTACAATCCCTGGATGTGTTTGGAAATATAGTTCTCTGGAAAAGTGACCGTCCTCTCCCACCCACTCACTCCCCACTCTCTCTATCCTTCTCCTCTTATCTCTGAGTCAGACACACACAGTCAACAACACAAGCGACGATCATGATCTGCAGAAAAAGCCAGAGATGAGCGAGCTTGCGATGAATACTTCATCTATTTTAATGGCCTGAGAAAGCGCAGGAAGATGTCAGGCTCCAGTAGAGCGAAACATGGACTTTCACTTCAAATGGGCTATGTGACGAACAAGGCTGGTTTGATGGGGCAACCAGACAAGGCTGGGCCCCAATACCTGGCAGGGGCCGGTGTGGGCAGCAGAGCAGGGCCTGTTTACTGTGAGTGACAGTAATAGGGATCCACTTAAGGACAAGCGAAGCTGTGTCAGCCAGCCGGGCCAGCTGGCAAGTGGCTGATCTGCGGTCCTGTTTAATGATCCACATCAGGGTCAGTGCGGGGGAACATGAGGAGATACGTACAAGATACCTGACTGTTTTTCAAGCCTGATGTGGGAGAGCAAGCTGGTTAGCATACAGTGTGGATCAAGATCATAGCTATTCAAGATTGATGACTGTCTTCTAAGAAAAAAACAATTTTGGTTTGCGGGAACAGCTCCACAGAGAAAGTTTACTTGCTTTTTTGTTTGAATTTTGTAGGCTTTTTCTTGGTTTTACCAAACTAATGAATTCCTGGATTACTTCCTCCATTAAATCCAAGAACGTGACTCACATTCTGGCTCGCTGGTAAACACAGAAGTAAAAGAAAATACCTCACAGATTTTTGGGATCAGTGGTAAAATGTTAATGAATCTGATGAGGTAGAGGAAAACATCAGCGTTAAGACACAAACAACTTTTAACCAATTAAGAAGCCAGCATGTGCACCCCCTTGGACCTCATCTTGTTTATTATGGTGTCATTTCTTTCAATTCTATGTAATCAAGGCATGCGCTGGAAGGCGAACGATTCCGGTTTAGGGTTATTTTTATTGATGTACACGGTAATTAGTCTGGCACTTGCTACTGCTTGCGGTTTCTCCTGCATGGAATAAAGCTGAGCTCCTCAGAATACCACTGCTAAGCTAAGAGAGGACAAAAGTTTAAACTAACAGGATCCAGAGCGAACAGACTCTATACAGCCCTGATCAAAGCAAACCCAGGACTCGGTCCAGAATGTTTAGGCTACAATTATAGCGACATGTGCTAGTCTGTGCACTCTCCATTGGTTTATTTGGATAAGGATGCTAACCTCTCTTTTAAAGAGAACAAAGCTAGAGTTTTGAATGCATCCAGTTGCAGTGGTAGAGAGAAAAAAATGAAGTGAAGATGTGGACTCACTGCAGAGCCTCCTGTATCCGGCACGTCAGCAAGACAAGGGAACTGAATCACATCCTCCTTTTTTTTTCCTTTTTCCTCCATAAAACTCCCAGCAGGCCAGCTATTCTAAACATTGCCCATCAGGTATTCTAAATAGGCATGACCAAAATAAAAGAGCGGGTGGTGATTTAGTATCATCTCAAGACCCGCTGACAGGAAAGGAAACACGGCTGTGAAAGTTAATACCGACGTCTGATTTACGCAGAGGCACTCTGACCTCTGTGCCTCCTCAACTTCCTCAAGAAAGCATGAAAATTTAACAACTTGCTCACCTTATTTTATGAGACTTGTGGTCCTCTTTGGCTCTTAGGATGGACATTCATCATCTTGGCCCATTATACAGTTGTTCCACTGTAATATCTTGACTACTTGATAGGGGCCATTTAATCTCGATCAGGCATTCATTGAATCCAGAGGATGAACCCTGGTATCCAAAGCATTCATTGTCCTCACTGGGTGAACTGCTACATGTTGTAACAGTTTTCAAAAAATAGTGAAATTCCCACCAACTTTAGTTGAACTCTGTGCTAAACAGTAAACATACCATGCCAAAGGTTTTCATTGTTATAAAAACTTCTATAAATCCGACTTCTTTTGGTCAGAACAGCTCTCTTCTCTGGGACTCCAACAAACTCAAAACAAGCACTTCAAGCTAGCATGATTGTTGAGTTTTAGCCAGGTCGAGATGCAATGAAAACTGCATAGCATGACGTAAGATTACTGTCTGTAAAAATGGGTTCAGTACTCAGATGCGTGTCCTGTCCTGAAGTCTGACTGACACCTGGTTTGATTTCAGCGTCCTAACACACGCTTCCAATAAGATGGTAACTTGATACATACACTCAACCTGGCATTGTCCTCCACCACTGTGCAACAGTATGGCTGCAGAACCTTGTGTAGAAACAACTCCTGCATTCAAATGGATTGTTGCCTTGGAAACACCATGTTTCACCTTGTAAGCCTGACACCTGAATCCTGCTTGTTCACAAAAGTTTAGGGCTCAGATTAGACGCATGGCCAACATCTGCATCCAAAGAAACAGTTGCCATGGAAACTGTATGTGAGAATCTGCCATCAGAACATTGTCCGTAAAGTTTGGGCTTCGATCAGAGACCCAGCCTTTCCACTGACTGATGCTTGGTTGCATTTAGTTCATGTTCTGAAAGCACTCAACAGCCGCCCCCCTTAAGGCTCCATGAGTGGAATTGCATTTGTAAGAAGACACACTATACATTGCTTCATAGGCAGAGTAAATTACACAGTGTGAGACTAGGATGACACCTTATCCATGTTTGACATCAAGCTGTTATGTTGGCAAAGCATGGGGATGAGGTCAAAGTCAAACGAGGTGTTGATGAAGTAGAGTTTATTCAGTAGGCATGTATCAGAGTTGGCTCGCGTGTTTTTACGGAGCCAGACATCACATGGTGTACAGCATGTACTCTGTAAGTCATGCACATTTTAAAGTTCACCGATAAGATAATAAACGTGACATCAATATGTTGTCCTTTATTCTTAGTTTACTCTGGCTGTTTCCCTTTCCAAATTAAATGAGTCTATCTGTCTAATCAGTTTAGGCTGGAATAGAAAGTACGGTGTGTTTTAAATATCTTCACATGATGCGTCCTGGCTGTCTTTGCTTTTACTTTGAAAAGTCTATACTCCAAGCTGCTTTCAGTTAAAGTGTTGTCTCTCTCTGTTTTCTTTTTAGGTGGCTATCAAGTCCATTCGGAAGGAGAAGATCAAGGATGAGCAGGACATGGTTCACATCCGCCGCGAGATTGAGATAATGTCATCCCTCCGCCACCCACACATTATTTCAATATATGAAGGTGAGGGTCTGCCGTATGTCAGAAAATACACACACACACGCACAAAACACATCATCTACACAATACTAATACACACACATGTCGTGGCTGAGCTGCAGTATTGTCATGCTATGACATGCAGATGTCATAATAAGACCTGGACTACAGCTCTAGGATGTTATTCATCTTCCCTGCTCTGTCTGTCTGCATGGACCAGTAAAAGTCTGGATGGCTTTGACGCTGTGTGTCTGGATCCCTCTTAGAGCGTGTGTGTGTGTTCGCACGTGTGCACTGGAAGTTTGTGTGTGTAAGGGCAATGGTATTCTAAGGGATTGCCTCTTCCACATCTAAGGGGTCTCATCTCTTGTCTTCTCTGGTCTTGATCTCAGGGCCAGACATCTGCTGATGCTTAGAAACAACTGCAGCTGGGAACCAGACTGTACTTAGATATATCTGTGTGCGTGTGTCGGTATGTGTGCTTCATATATTAGCTCTTATATATTTGTGTCTATGTATAAGCATAGGCAGACCCCAGATTGACCTAAATCACCACAAAGCATGCACCCTGTCTTACCCGGCCCAGTGCAATGAAAAGAAAGGAAAAGCCTTAAACCTTCCCTGGAGCGAGGACCACATATTTCTACTCCAGGAAGAGACTCTCTAAATATCAAAGCTTTCAAGTTGAGTTTAAATGGCTTGCATATTAACCTCTTTATTTTGATATAAGCCCCCTTTGAATGACCTTAACCTCAGTGTAAGAAAACAGGTTTAAAGGTTGAACAATTCCCATTGAATTCTTTCAACATCTTGCCCTCAATTAATCATCCTTTATAATGTCGTCTGGGCCTACATGCCGGCAATTAAAGTCACAAGGCGCTGCAGTGTGAGTAGGTTTCATATGATTTGTGGCTTGTGACTATTTTTATGCCTGTGTCAACAAAGCAACAGTCCCAGTGCCCTTTTCAGTGAAGCTGCCCTGGCACAATGGCAGCTGGTTTATGTGCCACAGCCCAAACTGGCTTACCCACTGTCCTTTGTTCGGTGTCAAAGTCCCCAGGTTGTTATCAGGAATGTGTATATGAGACAAACAGCTCTATTTGTCATGGGAACGTGCCAGCAGTCAGCTGGAGGGCAGCAAAGTTTAATGGGTCTTGTGGGGGAATGATTAAAAGAACACCCAGTTTTATAAACTCCAAGTAGGCTGTGTAGTGTTCCTACATGTGCCGCTCTCCTTTATAAGCAGCCCAATTCACCAACAATCACAAGCAGACTCATTGCCCTGGCTTTTTCCCCTCAAACCCAGCGTTTACTGTTGTGGCCTGGACTCCACCCAGCCTTGCTTTAGAGATATATAGGAGGCCCCGAGATTTGTGTATCCGGCAACACCCTCTTCAACAGCCCCTGCTAACTGCTTTGTGTGAAGCAAAGCTGAACCAGATGTGTGTGTGAAGATTGATTTTTCACCACTCCCTCACATTCTGCATCCATCAGCATGCTGTGAGGGGCATTTGAAAGCAGATTTCAGTCTTCGCTCCTCAGGCATAACTAAATACCCCAGTTCCAGCTTTTTTAAAGACCCACTCCGATGAAAATCATCTTTTTCTTGTTTTTTTATGTATTCATGTGGCATTTTTATGATGCTACAGGACATATCATGAGAAAACCAAATGCTTAATTGCTTTTCTGAGTATTTCCTTATTCAAATGAAGCTGTGAATCTCTGGCAGACCCAAACGGCAGGTTAATGCTGCGTTCAAGTTACCTCGTAAGTCAGAAGTCCAGGCTGAAAATGACATCACACCAGAGTTCCCAGTGTTTCAGTTACAAAGTCGGAAAAAAGCAAAATCGGAGGCAGAAACAAGATGGCTACATCTATGAAAGTTATTTTAGTGCTTGCCTTGTCTGAATATAAGGCAAGCGCTTTTTTCTGACTTGGGGCTGTGTCCGAAATGGATCCCTAACCCTTATACAGGTGACTATATGGGGGTTAGCGCCATTTTGAGGGGTGTCCGAAACCAGAGTGATTAATTCCAGTGCTCCGTATAAGCGACTCAAAATTTCCCATAAAGCATTGCAAAATGTAGTGACCATCCAATGGTCACTCACCGATAGTGGGCATCCCGTCATGCATTGCGTCTTGCCATGTAGTGTCTGAAACCTCTGGTGATTGAGTTCACTACACAGTCAACTATATAGTGAAACCCCATATGGGGGTTAGGGGTTAGGGATTGAGTGATTCATTTCAGACACAGCCGGTAACTGAAATGCTCTGCAGTAACTGTAATGCTCTGCAGAAGAAAAGACCTTAAAAATGACACAAGTACAAACTTTTGGTAAAAACTTCATAATCACAATTTAAAGACCACCGTGAACACTTTAAGTAGAAAAAAAAAAAAAAAAGAGTGGGACTTTAAGATATCTTGATAAATCCAGTTTACGACAGAGGTGGTTAAGCTAAGCCTGACAACCTGACACAAGTGAAAGTTGGCATTTTAGGAAACTTACTTAAATGCACTTTGGTAACACTCATATCACAGTAGACATGAGTCTGCAGCCAGAAGCTGGTAAGTTCAGTCTGACTTTATGGAGCCAAGAAATCGTCTGCTGCTGGAAGTGTCATATTTACCATACAGATGTAACAAGGGTACCTATCTTCTCATCTAACTGTCAGTGAGAAAACCAGTAAGTTTATTTCCCAAAATGTTGACCTTTGCATTTATGAGAGGGAATAAAGAGATATAAAGCCAGAACAGACATAAAATCATTAATCCTGCTGGGAGCGAACGGCCAACATTTTTATTATGCTCATTATGCTGCATTCTCTGAGGGTGACATAAGCCTAGATGGTAAGTGAAACTGTGAGAGGAGCTCTTATTTTGGTAGCTCAGGTCAGTTATATAAGAGCAATTCAACCTGAAACCTGCTGAGGTAATCAACATAAAAAAAACGCTGAAATAAAAATGTGACAAATTTAATGCCTGCCTGCACTAACTGTGCACAGTACACATAAAGTGAAACTCATATTTCATTGGTGAATCATTTTTTTACTCATTCCGAAAAAGAAACCTAGCAACAACCAGTCCAACACACTCATATACTTTAAACACAGGCCTAAGAAAATAACTGCAGAAGGCATGATTTGAGAGTGCTTTTAAAGACGATAAAGCTCTATATCACTCATTGTAGTAGCATTCTGCCCCTTGTCCTTTATGCGTGCTTGTAACAGTGGTCTATCATCAGCGCAAGCAGTGGGACAATAGGTGCTAATTACTCAGATGTGAGGGCCTGACCTGTGAACAAAAGCCCCAATGAGTGACAGTGAGCCTGTAGTGGTGGCTGCCGTACCCACCGGGCTGTAACAAAACCCAGTTATGTAAGCCAGGTAATTACTTCAACGCCGGGGTCAAAGGTAAATGAGAGTGCACGCAGAGAATTGGCTCTGCAAGAAAAAACACCACTGTGAATCAGTGTGGATATCACCCCAGGTCCCCGTTCTGTCCACCAATCAGAAGGCTGAAATTCTTGTGTTTCTTCCTGAGCAGCCAGACAGACACGATCAGGGAGCATTACCATCACTCAACAACTGTGTGCTTTTGTAGGGGATTATATGTTAAAAAGGATCCTCGGAGGGGGTGATGAGGAGAGTAGAGTGTGACAAACTATGAAGGTGCTCACTCAAGGGTGTAGAAAGCAGAGGCCCTCACCCCCGGTGACCCCGCTGTGTGGGAAAATCAACCCAGAGCAACGTGGCGGAGTGTGTTGTTGTCATGTCCTCGCATTTTCTACTCTGTCTTTCTCTTCCCGCACATAACCATTTTCATTCCCTTCATGCCAGGGCGCTGGGAGGGGAACATGTTGCCAAATCAAAATTATACAGGCTACGTACAAACACTGAATGATATGTTTGGTGACTGCAGATGGTTAGCAACTTTTTTTCTACAGTCACCAGATGTGCAACAAGCCACATTTTTATCTCTTTTTTTTAAACGTTTTGTTCATCACATTTTCACATTTTTCCCATAAAAGGAAAAGTAATTCACAAATATGAAATTAGAATATTACAAGTAATTATAGAGGACGCTGTTCTGGGGGCATATTAGTGTCAAAAAGTCCTTTTTTTTGTACAACCAGGCACCACAAAGTCGAATCTTTGTCTACTTTAAATGTGGTGATCTATTTCTACTTTTTGGCAAAGGTTGTTTAGAGACATCGAAGTCCAGCTATTGAGGTTTAGGGGGTCACATTCGTATATATATGTCTTTTCAGCAATGAACAGTTTTTTTGTTAAAAAAAGGTCTTACTTTTGTCACATCTTCTTTCATTACACCAGGAAATCCCCACAGTTCCTAAAAACCAAAGTTTTACTCCTTCTGAGTATTTTATTTTATTTCATTTTTTAGCCTTTATTTAACCAGGTTAGTCCCATTAAGATTACAGATCTCTTTTACAAGGGAGACCTGGCCAAGAGGGCAGCAGCAGAGTTCCTACAACAGATAAAGTTCACAACATCTCAACATTAAAACAGTCTCACATAAAACATTCACACACAGATGAGGTAGATTGTAATGATTTCACTATAGTTTTAAATTCATTTAGTGTCACAAGAGCTTGAAGGCGAAGTTCAGACTGTAGTTTGTTCCAGGTATTAGGTGCTGAAAACCTAAAACCCTTCATGCCCAGTATGGCAGTGATGTGCATCCATGTTCTCACACAGTTATAGACATTTTAATCCAGTTGTCTCTGTAGAAAGCTTTTAGATTTGGTCAGCCAGATCAGTTTCCTATCCTTTCAGAGCAGAGACAAGTGCAGTGTTACTTACTTGCCTCCCTTAAGTATCCAGAAACACAAACACAACAGACCGTTGTGTTTCTCTTAAATCAAAATGGGGATGCTCTTGTCTGTTCTCTTTGAGTAGTTAGGAGTTGTCACTAGAGGAAATGTGCACACTGTTTCAACATTCACTATTGTACAATGTGATATTTCCTAATCATGTGTTCTTCTCTTGTTTTGCTGGATAAGAATGTCACAGCGTGTTGAGAAACATGTTGACATGGTGCGAGGTTGGAGTCGGATGTTTTGAGGGCATAGCTCTACCCTCTTTCTGTCTGCGAAGCTCACTCTTTCTCTCCTTGCTCTGGCTTTTGTCGTCTCTCTGTTTTCACTTCTCTCTCTGTGAGTCTCTGAGGAGTGGGCTTGATTGAGTTAACAGCCCCTCCCTGCGATGTTGTGAAGGAGCCAGACACATGAGGTGGGGTTTGCGGTGATGTAACCTTGGGAGAAGTGTAGAGATGTTATGTGTTTCTCTGGAATTTGGATCCCTGCCCTGAAACTAAAGAGTGTGTGCGTTTTATACATTACAGTGTCTGTTTGTGATTTCAGCTTGATAGAATGAACCTGGACGGCCGTAGCGGGAGTTGTCCTCTTATCTCGCTTGCTTGATGTATTTCCTTGAAAGTAGAAATTAATAGACTCCAACTGTTTTCTTATCATTTCTCAGTGTTTGAGAACAAGGACAAGATCGTGATTGTGATGGAGTACGCCAGCAAGGGCGAGCTGTATGACTATATCAGCGAGCGGCGGCGCCTGAGCGAGAGGGAGACGAGACACTTCTTCAGGCAGATAGTCTCTGCCGTGCACCACTGTCACAAGGTAAGTAAAAAAATAGAAAAAACACTCTTTTCATTGAGAAAAACATGCTGTTTTTCTTTCTTTCTTGGTTACCTTATTTCCCTTTTTGCCTCCTGCATGTGTATTTGTTTTTTTCCAGGCGTGCTTATTGTAACACTCACTGTCCAGCTCTTTAGTCAGCCATACAGCCGGTTAATCTACAGGCCCAACACGGTATGCTTTTCTTGGCGAGCTCGCCTAAGGGAGTCATCTGTTTCTGAGTGAAGATGGAACACAGGCCGGTTTAATTCAGGCTTACTCTCCGATTACAGAGCACCAAACAGGCTCCTGCATTAATTCTGTCCTCATCTGTTGACACACTGAAAGCTGTCCCCAGATACCCCCAAAGATTTCTCCCCTGAGATTTGGCTTAAGGCACACCCACGCCAACCTACTACTCCAAAACCTGCTCACACTCATCAAACCCCCCCCTAGGGTCTGTATGCTTGTTTGGATGGGCTCCCCTCTAGTCATACTCCCAGCTGGAGATAGATATGATGTCATAGCGCTCAGATAGGAGAGTCCCAGACACCCATGAATGATGAATCATCACCGCCAAGCACAGCCTTGCGCCGGGTGGGGTGCTGTGAGTCACTGACACAACAAGCAAGCAAGCAGCCATTTCCCCCTTGTGTCTGCCAATCAGAGCAATTTGAACAAAAGCTCTCTTCAAAATAATAGCCAATACATCCGTCTGCATACCACATGTTAATTCTGGGGTTGTTTTTTTTTTAATTCAAGCCAATGAATTGTCTTTTAATCCCAAGATGTTGTGAGAACATCATTCATACAGGCCGGTAATTACAGGCTCATGTTTATGTGACACATGCGAGTTGAATTTAAAAAGAAAATCACAGCAGATGTCAGCATAAAGACGCCAGAGGGGACAAGAGCAATTAAAGAGAAGTACACCAACAGGCTGTGCTGATTTCCCCTGAGAGCCACAGGCTCGCATTGTCAAGAGTAAATCATCTCTTACATCAGTCAACCATTTGTTATTTCTCACATGAAAAATGCAAAGAGAGATAAATTAATCATTTCTTTGTTTGTTACTGTCTTTCAGAACGGGGTGGTGCACAGGGATCTGAAACTGGAAAATGTGCTACTGGATGAAAACTGTAATATTAAGGTAAGTCTGTCTGAGGTCTGTGATGTGTGGAGGCGTATTCAGCCAGGAGAAAAGAAACAAACAAACACAAAATCATGTGAAGTCATGATTATGAAATAAATCCAAACAATGAGATTAAATGAGAAATATTGAGAAAGAGTAGAAAAAAATGACACTTTTACTCAAAATTATGAGAAAAAACATCTTGTTGTGAGATTATGGTGGTAAAATTATGGGGTTTAAAGTTATCATGATGGTAGTTTTAAAAAAAATAAGGAAATAAATTATGAAACAAAAATTCAAAATACTGAGATAAGTTACATTTTTGTGTTAAACCTCATCACAACAAACGCAAGATCATAATCATAATTATGTCGGTCTAACACATGATCATGATTTTTCTCTCATAAATTAGTTTTTTGTCCAATAATAATGAGTTTTTGTTTCAAAATTTCAACATTTTATTTTGTGATCATGACGTATTCTCTAATTCACGACTTTTTATTCCCTAATTTTGTCTAAATCTCACTTTAATGACTCACTGTCTTGACTTTGTTTGTCATTATTTTGACTGTTTATCTCATAATTCTGATTTCCCTCCTTCTTTATCTCTAATCCTACATGGATCTCATAATTATAACTTTTTTACTCAAAATAATTCCTTGTATTATAGTTTCATGACCAAAAATCTCATAATTTTAAGAGCTTTTTAATCATCGAGGCTAAGTTTTCACTTTTTTTCTGTCAGAAAGAGGTCAAAATTTAAGATCTTCATTTTAATGAGCGCTGTAATGCAAAGACTATAACACAGATCAATAAGATGAAACAATTACAAACCCAAGAGAGCACTGTTGCATCAAATCAAATCAATCAACAATCCCATGATATGTGTTAAACATCCGTGTTGTGTTGTTTTCCACAGATTGCTGATTTTGGGTTGTCTAACCTGTATCACAAGGACAAGCTGCTGCAAACCTTCTGTGGCAGCCCGCTCTACGCTTCACCAGAGATCGTCAATGGGAGACCGTACCGAGGCCCAGAGGTGAGCCCCGGTCAACCAGACAATGACAATGACTGAAAAACACAGCTGCTCTCTTGTGAACTTCATTTCCAAGACATCATTATCTTTTTATGTAATTATCTTCATCCTCATTGTGTTCTCTTGCTGTTAAATTCAGTGTGAACCACCCAGATCTCTCGCCTTGTATGGCTTTCATCATTATTATCTCACTTGTGATTATCGTACACAAAGAAGTGTTCAGGCTTTATTTCCCTTTTTTCTTTGATGAGATTACTATTAAGCAGCAGTCAAAGGGGGGTCTTTCTTTTTGCAGCTCCACAGTGGGTCAGCTCAGATACTGTCTGCACCCCCCCTCCCCATTCGACCATGTGTTGATCCTTTGAAGTGAGGAGCTGGAGAATAGTTTTTCGCTTGCTTTCTCTTCATCCTAATGGGATTGGAATGAGCTCTGAGGCCTTTAAAAAAAAAAAAAAACAACCTCATGGTCAAAGTTAAATAGTTTGGGTGAAAAGAAGAGCGAAAATGTCTCCTCAAAGCCGCTCTTCTGGCAATTCCACAGTCATTCCAATGGGCGTTGTCTCCGAAATTGCATCAGTTACATAAAACAAAGCGGCGGAGGAAGGGAAAAAAACATGCATTTTTAGATTTTCAAGTCCAACCATTCAATTTAGCTTAATTCACTATAATTTCCTCCAGAGTGCTAAAAACTACAGCAGTCAGATTGCGATCGAAATTACAGAACCTCGGTCGGGGTGAGGCCGCAAATTGCAGCAAACTCATGCAACGAAAATAGAACAAAACAATAGTGCGTGCCCTCGAAACATTCCTGATGTTAGTCAGGATCCTTAAGAGGAAGTACACTAGCCCTTTAACCGTCCAGATCTGATTTCCTCTTCCTAGACTGTCTCAAAACTTCTGCCACCACAAAAGAAAAAGTTCCTCAGGACATTGCATCTTCTTGTCACTTTAAACACACACATCACATTTCCCTTTCTGTCACTTTCATACAAACACACACACATAGAGATGCTGGATGGCGACATGTCTCCACAGAGTCCTCAGGGGCCGGGATATCTTGCCTTTGCCATCTCTGCTGGACTCATTACCCTCCTCCATTCCCACCATTTCCCACATCGCTCTGCACCTCCTCATGCCCCAGACACAAAGTCTTATGTAACCGCTTACTTAGGAAGCCACATTGCATTAGGGTTGGTGGTCAGAAAGTGCTCGCTTCTGCCTGACAGAGCAGGAAAGAGTGGAGGGAAGGGGGGAAGGAGAGGATTTATCTTTGTGGAAATAAGCCATTTCCCACAAGCAGGCTGGTATTTGTCATCGTTTCTATGAAGAAGCACCGCAGCGTACAAAGCTCTTTAACAGAGAGGCTCTCTTAAGATGCTCGTGTAAGAAGCGTATTTGTGCAAAGTTCGAATATTTTAGGGCCGTGAATCACTCATTACACACAGTTTGGATTATGTGACGTCTGGGTCAACACTGTGAGACTTATGCTGCGTTCCAGTTACCTTGGAAGTCGGAGCTGGGAATGACGTAACACCCGAGTGGACGGCGTTCCAATAAACAAGTCGGAAAACCAAGATGGACGCCTACTGTTAGCCAGTGTTAACAATTGTCAGCTGTCGTTAGCCATTGTTAGTTGCTGTTAGCGATACCAGTTGTAAACAACGCATAACACAGTATTTTACTCTTACAAACAACATAGAATCGTGTTCACAGTTAGACGTTGGGCAGTATGACATAAACCACTTATTTAATTTCACAAAAATAAAACAGAAGTGCTAATAAATAATACATTAGAGCTTTCATTCTTACTTTTTACTGCTGTTGCACGGCCATCTTGGATTATGACGTTGTCGTCAAGTTGTGGTTGGTGAGGATCGTCCGACTTTCCGAGTTGGAAATCCGACTTCAGATGAATTTCCGACTCGGAGCTCAGAAATCCCGACTTCCAAGAACAACTGGAACGCATTATTAGATTGTCATTTATGACTGTTTTGACTATATGAACGAGTTAAAAACAAGTTGTTTGTTCTCCCCAGGTGGACAGTTGGGCTCTGGGGGTGCTGCTGTATACCCTGGTCTATGGGACCATGCCATTTGATGGGGGAGACCACAAGAACCTCATTCGCCAGATTAGCAACGGCGAGTACAAGGAGCCCACTCAGTCCTCAGGTACTGCCAGAACTCCTGTTTGTATTGTATTTCTTAAAGTTTTATTACAGCCTGAAAAAAAAACACCTGACATTCATAAATCTGTGCTCTAAACTCAACTTTGCAAATCTAGTTCAGGTGGGCTGAAGTGAGGTGCACGATTGGTCATAAATTGAGGCTCTCAAACCTTGATTTTTTTTTAAATCTATGAATGCTGCAGGACTCACTTATTTAATATAAATTCCATAAATACTTAAAAGTCTGTGAAAAGTTGGTCGATAAACTTCTCCAATGGCATATGAATCAAAGTGCTCTCAGTCTATATATAAAGCAGAATCTGCTTCATCCATTACAGATGATACTCAGTGCTTCCTTGTCTGGAGAGTCATAGTTTTCATAAACCTTTTGTAACGTAGCAGCATCTTCATAACTCAAAATCAGAATATAATGTGTTCAAGAACTGAAATATAAACCTCCCGGAGGTCATTTCACTGCAGATTACAGACTGTTGTTGGTTTATTTTCTCTCAGATGCTCGTGGACTGATCCGCTGGATGCTGATGGTGAACCCTGAACGCAGAGCCACAGTGGAAGACATCGCCAACCACTGGTGGGTGAACTGGGGCTGGAAGAATAGCGTGTGCGACTGCGAGACCCAACGTGACCATGGCGGCTCGCCCATGCTGGCCCGTTTCATCGACTGGCAGAACCGCACTGAGCCACGTGGTTCTGGAGCGAAGGTTGCTGTCATGCCCCAGCTGTTGCGCCAGAGGCCCAAAAAGTCCAAGAAGGAAAATGTGGAGGCGGGACAGACCCACTGTGGAGCGGAGGACAAGCCGGGTCTGAAGAGGCCTAAAGGGATCCTGAAGACCCGGGTGACTGAAGAGCAGCAGTCCACCAGTCTAGAAGAGGGGGATTTGGGTCAGGGGGTGTTGCCTAAAAGTGCTGAAGGCGGAGAGGAAGCCTCAAGTCCAGATCGAGAGGAGGAGGAGCCAGTGGGTGGAGGCTCACCAGCTAAGATGGTGCCGACTCTACCAAAGAAGGGCATCTTGAAAAACAACCAGCAGCGGGAATCAGGGTACTACTCCTCGCCAGAGCGCAGCGAGTCCTCCGAGCTGTTAGGGGGCGCCAGTATGTCACTGCTAGCAACCTCTCCACCTAAAAGAGTGATGGGAAGAAAGGGTATCTTAAAGCGAAACGGCAAGTACTCCACCTACAGCGGGCCTCCATCAGCAGCAGCAGTGGCCGGTGCCCTTGGCGAGCCTCCTCCCTCGACCGACTCCGGTCTGTCCCGCAGTCAGAGTCGGCCGTCCAGCATCGTCGGGGAGGACAGCTCTGTCCTTTCCCTGTCGCCCAGCTCCTTGGGTGGGGCCGAATGGCACCCCTCCACCCCTCACCTCCGCCCGAACATCAGGGCCTGCGTCTCAGCGGAAAACCTGCTGCAACTCGCCAACTTCAAGGGCTTCCAGGCAGCGCCGCCGCTCCAGGGACCCAAGTTCAGCCGTGGCTCCAGAACAAAAGGCTCCCCGACGGACAATGGCAGCTTCTCCTTGCTGGGGGACCTGGAGGACATGACTCAGGTGTACCAGCAAGCCCTGGACATCAGCAGCAACCTCACCTAGCAGACAGAGGGCAAAGACAAGAGAAAGCAGAGGGGACTGAACATGACTGTTTGTGTGTGTATGTGTGTGCACAGATGTATTCAGATGGTTTTAACGACCAGTGTGTTACTGGGATTTACCTTTGGGGAGGTTGTGGTTTTCCATATGAGGCTGAAATCTTGTTGGAAGTAATACGTCTACACACACACACATGTACACACTTAGGTGCACTTCTCTGGCCAGGAGAAAGTTAGTGAGAGAGAAGGATCTGGCATGAAAAATGCCACCCAGTCTGCTTTCTTGGCCCGCCCATAGACTTTGCTGTGTTCAACATGTTTACATATTCAGCAAGAAGGCAAGTTAGAATCACAAACGCAGCGACCAGGAACTGGTTGTTTGCCACCGATATTGAGTTTAAGTTTACAAAAGCACCTTAAAACTCACACAGAGCACATGCTTTTGTGATCTTTACTTCCTTTAAAAAAGAAAAAAAAAACTGAAACAAACCAGGGTCTTGTTCCAAAAATAACTGACAGTGCTGATTATTTATTAATATTTTTGTAGCTTTTAGTTTCAAGTGCATAACTGGTGGGCGCTGGCTTGTTACTGGAAGAGTCCAAACTCTTTGTGTGGAACTGACATATATAATTATGTTACTCAGTGATCATGAGAAACATATATATACTCAGCATATATAAGCATGCCTGCGCTTGTAAAACACGCAGGTATATATACCTTCATAAAAGCATATGTCCTATATATGTGTATGATACTTGGGAATATGTAGGAAGTGCCTTTTTTGATTCATAATAACAATTATGTATGTCACTTCCTTAAAGTGGAGGGAAAAGCCAGGCCAACCTGTCACCAGTTGTGCTTATTTTGTAATGTTGTTTGTGAATGTGGAATGACCCAGGGCCTTGTGCACACAGCTTTACATGTTTCAGGGGTCAAAGGTCAATCTCAGACAGTTGAGATCAAACAGTCTCGTCTCTTTTTTCCCCCCCTCCTGGAGAATCACACACAGATATCTCCTGGAAAAAAGACCTCCTCTGTGGTCTTTGTCAGTGTTTAAGCCCAGAGCTTGGTTTGTCAGCAGTTTAGGTGGCTTGGCTGAACACAGATTCGCTGGCAGCACCCCCCCTGAGGGTCTGGAGGGACTCACCTAGTGGGACACAGTCCTGGAATGCGCCTGGCTCTCTTAACCATGTTTTCACATTTTTTTAGGCTACCTGATAAAAACAGGCCGTTTAGCGAGATAACCAGTTGTTTCTGTTTGTTGGCATTTTTTTTTTCAACCAAAGATATACAAATATTTTTTCATAGTTAACCCTTGTCCCGTCAAAAGAGCTAAGTAGGGCGCTTTGTTTTCGCCTGCTGATGACACAGCGAATTCCTCAGACAAAGGGTGGAGACGTGTTGGTGCGAGAGATCTCTATCAGCACCAGCCAGACTCAGCACAGGTGGGATCTGCGGTGCGTGCTCAGCCCTCCAGCTGTGTATACTAGTCCATTATGTCAACCAAGCACAATTAGCCAGCTATTGTTTTCATTTGACAGTAAAAGAGGGAGGGAGTGTGTAAGGATTTATAGCTAGAGGGAGACGGAAAGAGTGTAAAAAAAAGAAGTGGTGCATGAGCAGGTACTGAGGTTAGAGAGGACTTTTCTGTCACGCAGAAAAGGTCAAGGAGTTAGATTTGTTTTTTGAAGGACTTGTAATGTAGATGTAGAAAGTAAAGAAAGTGAGTAGAAAGAGTAGATGGAAGGTTAGATGTTTTTTTTTTGATACCAAAGAAGTCATGAAGCTTTTGCAAGGATGGGTCAGGGATTAACAAGAGTCAACTTTTTATTTTTTATTTAACTTAGGAACCCCCACTGGTGAATGAAATCATCCCCATACTGGCTTTACATCACGTTTGTTTATTTTTTCTCTTTGGGGTTTTTTATTTGAGATGCCAGAGGCTGTTGATACAGCTTGTCTTGAGGGTCAGTCAGTGTGTGACACGTGTGTTCTTGCGTGGCCTCAGAAAGTGCAATGCACTTTTCAACTGCAGCGAAAAACGTGGGAGAACGGTGACTGACATCATCCAGAATATCAAATGATGTGGACGGAAAACCATGCAGAAGATGACCCGGAGGAAATAGATCTCATGTTGAATGTTTTCAGTGGTTCTCTGGTGTGAAGGAAAAGGTCCTGGGTATTGGTTCAAATGAAAGACTCGCTGCCTATTATATTGCATTTAATTGCCTTTTTTTGTATTGCATTTTTATTGTCAACTGGATTTACAGTGAGAAAATTATACTATGTTAGTATTTTGTTTTATTACGCTTCTGTTTTTGATTTTCCAAAATATAAGAAACTTTATATTGCTTTATTTTATGGCAGAAGAATACTTCCTTCCTTGAAGTATAAGAAATTTCAAACAGGAAAAACTTGAAATTTGGTGTTTAAAGCCCATTCTCAACCTCTTCAACCCTAAAAAAAAATAATTGGAATAAAACAATATGCAAGAAAATGTTCTAAAAATACTGATTTTAAATCTTAAGAGAAATTAAGAAAAAAGAAAAAAAACACGGAAGGATAAAAAGAAAAGAATCTAAAACTTTTACTCTGCCAAACTGGAAATAAGTGGTGCATATCTGTTAGTTAGCAGAAAGTCTAATCATAGGAAAACTTGACTGGATATTGTTATGACAATAATAATAATAATAATAATAAATTAGTATTATTATGTTATTTAAGTATTAGTTTTTCGTAATGGCTCGTTAAGACTGTCGGCTATTGCCACAGTTTTGGTTTTCTTTTATTTTGTCTGTTGGTGATCCTGGACTGCCAAGGTGGATTACGTTGCGTGCCTTTGGTATCTTCTCTGATTTTTTTTTTTTTTATATTGAAAATTATTACCAATGTGTTTTATACTTTGTATTTATTGGTGATCAAGCCATTGAATTTTTGTCAAAAACTATACTCCCTGTTCATGCTTTGGTCTGCTCTGGACTGTGTGTTGTGTTCAGGATGAACTGCACAATAAAAATCTCATTAGTTCGCTCGAAGTAGAGTGGTATCATCTCATTGTGAAAGCAGTGGCCAAGTGTGTATTCTTAAGAGTAACAAAACGCTTAAGAGTTTCTCAAATCCTGTAAAATGTCTTAATTCATCCAGTCGGGTGTATTTCTACTCAAGACAATGCCTCTGTAGTACTGTATCAACTCAAATAAATGGATCTTGAAAGTTGCTCGTGTTTGTTTTCCTGCTGTGTGTGGTCATTTTAGTTTAGGTTGCTCCATAAGTTTGGGTCACATTGAAACATCATTAGGACACATCCTCTAAGTGGGATAAATAAATGTAAATATAATGAGTCTCACATTGCAAATATACTCTGTCCTCTTCACACAGTGGGTCAAAAGGCGAAGATTACCGTCTCTTGCACTCTGCAAGCTTCCCTTTCATGTATTTTCAGAGTTCAGGCTTCACTCCTCAGTTAAAGTTGCTTCCCATTTAAAGAGGGGAAGCTGATCTAGTGGTTGAGTTCAATAAATAAATATCCTAGATGTCAGACCAGGACAGAATCGTTATTCATTACAGTAGGGACGCCTCAGACTATTATTGGAGAAACGTCCTAATTTCTTTTCCATTTTGAGATTATGTGGCCCAAAAACCTACATGAGTGCATGAAGGAGGTTGGCAGTGGAGGTGTCCCATTTCTATCTGAACTCTGTGAGTTGGGTTGTCAAATAGGGGACAGAAAGTTGGATTCAAGATGCCACCCTAAAAGAGGCCAGGTCACTTAGACTTGGTTTGAAAGAATTCGTCAAACCACATGGCCTGCAAAGAGAGAGAGAGAGCAATCAGGCTCTCCAAAGCAGAACTTTCAATGGGGCCAGTTTGAGGCAGTGAAATTAGCCAAAGTTTCCACTCAGCCACTGCCTTGATTTGAACTTAATGGATGTTAAAGTGATACTCCACCCAAAGTCTATTTTTGAAGCATTTAAAAGTCAATCACAGAGGGCTTAAAAGGTGGCTGTAAAACTTTTACAATGATGTCCCTCACAGAAGCACCGCAGTTCTAATAACAGTGAATTCTTGTCTTTTTTTTTTCTCAATGGAAGAAAATAATTAAGACACACACTGAGTTCTTAGAACCACCCCTGCAAAATAAAACCACAGAGCTAAACTCATAACATTATACGTATACTACATTTTTTCCAATGAGTGCAAAACTTTTAAACTAGTTAGTTGTTTCAAACTGAGAGGCCGGTAAAGTACAACTGTCATGATATGTTTTGTTTATTTAGTTTTCTTCTGGTTTTATTTGAGTGTATTTTGTGTATTTTCCCTTGTGTTTCTGTTCTTTATCATTTTCTCTGTGTTTTATTCCTTATATCAGTTTTCAGTGTTTCCTGTTTTATTTTGTAGTAGTTGATTCCTTGTGTTTCTAGTCTGGTTTTACTTCCCTGGTTTTCCCTCCCTCGTTAATCACCCATGAGTTTCACCTGTGTCTCGTTTGCCTCACCTGTTGCTCGTTTCCCAGTGTGTATATAGTCCCCGTCTTCCCCCCTGTCCTGGTTGGTTCATTATATGTCGATATGTGTGTGTATGCTTGTGTCCCCAGTTCTCTCCTTGTGTTTTTTTCCCAGTGCCCTTTTGATTCTGTGGATTTTGCTTTCTATGTTTTTTTTTGTTGGATTTTGCCTTTTGGATTTTTCAGTTGGACATTTTAAAGTAAGTTTTTTGGTGCTTTAATTAATCATTTTTTTAATCTACACTTGGGTCCTTTTCCAACATATGAGATGATAGTCTAGCAGGCTGGGGGGGGGTATAGTCTCAGGTCACTTAGTGGGTATGAGCCAAACATTACATTTTGATCAGGATGAGACCAGTATATCCGATCATAGTTAGGCAACATTAAAACTATTTAAATTTCTGAGGTATATGGCTTAGACGGGCGGTGGTTTATAATGAACGCCTGCATATGTGTGTGTGTGTGGGTTCTAGTCCCATATAACCTGGTTTCACTGGTATATTGTCATTGGTAAAGATCAACGGATAAAACAAAATCCAAATACATTACAGGCAAGAGTCACTGTCTCAACAAAAAAGAGAAATGGCAAATGGAAAGAGTTGCTCTGTTATTCGGTTGAACATACAGTGAGTAGATTTTGTTTCTCTGGGACTGAAAGTTCTGGCTGGTTGGGTCCCATTTGCTGGCCCAAGTTGCCCATGACTGACAAACTTTCCCCCCTATGAGATGATGAAACCTGAAAAATGCTGGAAATAGTGCTGATGTAAAACAAATCCTCCAAAATTGTTGATACCACACCCCCAGTGAGTAGTTGTGTTTATTTGGACCCTGGCATACTTGCTGATAATTACTGAAAAAATGATAATTAGAAAACTGACGATTTAAACAAACTACAGTAGACAAGATGGAGCGAAGAACAGAGCTCGTGTCTGGCACCTCTGAGGAACAAGAGTGTCTGTTTTTAGGACTTGGAGAGTCTATTGATTGTCGAGGGAGAACATTGCTGCTGCTGCTGGGTTAATTTGATCCACATTTTTGTGAGGAGAAGGAGGAGGAGGAGGAGGTGGTTGGCTGAGGGCTTGGCAGTCTTTGGGGGATTTGGTTTTGATGAGTACGACAGCATCCTGAGCTGGTGTGGGCCAGACACAAGCTGCAGGCCTTGAAAGAGGACAACATCAAATACTTGTACAGTTTGGTGCAGAGCAGGCAACCACACATTGAAACTGTTATCCCAAGGCTGAAGTTGGCCTTTGTGAGCCATAAAAAATAGCTTTTAACTAAATCTTCTATTTGTAAATCCCTCCTACATCAATAGTCATTTTTAACACTGACAGAGAGCTACACAAAATAACATCCATCACTGTATGAAGCCGGTGTTTCCTCTTAGAAGATTTGTCGAAAAGAGCCACGTAATTATCAATGGAATGAGTGCAGGGCCTTTTATTATTTTCATAGTCCAGCTGTCAAAGTCAAAAGTAAGCAAACCCAAAGTGCAGATGTAGTACTACAAACAGAGGACGAACAACAAAGCGATTATGTAACAGTCTGACTGCTCACCAAAATTAATTTTCAGTCGCATGAAAGGGCCAAAACAGACAATCTTAACGAGACAAAAAACTCGACTTCTTTTGATATTTCAACAGCTGCATCCCCGACACAGATATGATCTGAGTTTCAAAGGAATATTTTTGTCTTCTGAACAATTTCTTGTTCGCTTTTTGACCCTTAAACAAAGTCCAGCTGCTAGACCCTCTGAATTACTCCCTTCATTACACCCCTCGCTCCATCTGCGGAAAGTAAGCCTGTTTGCCCCTGGAGGTGGGGGTTTACTGGTAGAGATGCAAACCCAACTATATATTCAAAATGCCAAACCCCTCCCAGGACACCCCATCCGGTCCTGAAGCATGACCCCTGACTCCATGCCTTGCAGATATGGAGGTCTGCATAATGTTGGGGGGATATATGCAACTTTCTTAGCGTGAGGCACAGACTCAGGAGGCCTCTGTTTTTTCGCTAGCATGGGATAAAACTCTGTCACACGCACGGGGAGATTCGGGACATGAAAGTCTGTGTAAATACACAAGCTTCAAATCCGTTTACAACTCCTCTTTTCTCTTTCAAAAATGCTTTGCATGAAAAAGTAGGAGAGTATTCTGCAAATTGAGCAGAAAGCGGTGGAAGATTTGGCGAGGTCAGCGCTGCCTTGGCACATCTTGCTGCTGTTGCAGGATGTTCCACAGTGAAGGTTTAGGGTGGCTGTTGTAAACCGAGCTGCCCGTTCATTGCAGGAAAAATAAACAGAGGACCCAGTCTGAAGAAAGTCCTGAGTACAGTGGAGCGTGTGTTCTCTGGGTTAGCTGACACATTGTTTTAGAAATAACAGCCTGAAAGGTCGCTTTCCATGCGTTCGCACACACACAAATGCAGCGTTTTGATTCGTCCTATTTCATTCTTTCTTGCTCTCACGTTTAACACTCATGAGTTCCCTTTCTCATATCCCTGCTGGACTCCTTTTCCTCTGCATCGCTGTGATAACATTGTGACTGGATATGGAATGGAATAAAACCACCCTCCTTTCCTGCTTTACTTCCACTCCTCTGTCATTCATGCTCCATCCAGCGGGCCCCCTCCGCACACCCAGCTCTCCATCCTCTCTCCTGTCCAGATGACTATTTTTAGCGGCAGCACTGCTATTCTGGAATTTGTTGCTGACTGGCTGCTGCTGGGTGTCTGGGCGGCGATCTCTTCAGGAATGTCTGGCCCACTCTCAAACCACTCCAGAGTCCCAGTGCAGGGCGGACTGCGCACAGCTCTGGTTACAACTTAAAAACCCAGTGTAGCTTTAGCTGTAGCTTCAGCTCACTCAATCCTGGGGAAAAGACTAGAGACAAGATAGAGAGCACGTCTAACCCTCAGCTGTGTTTGTGGGTGTGCGTTTGCAACTGTATAAACAATATAGTATGGGGACATGCTTTCCTTTCACGAAGGAAACCATCAAACTTTGGGGTTAATACTTTCCTCAAAACAGTTACTTCAACATTAAGTGAAATATGTTTATTCACTTACGGGTACAGCTGGATTTGAAGTAACCTGCAAACCAGATGGATTGGCTAGATTTCATGTCTCTCATCAGGCAGATCCATCTTACGAAGCTTCAGCCTGACATGCTAAGGATGATCAGATCAATCAGCGTCATTTGAGGAGAAAGAGGAAAAGTCCCCACCTGCACCGATGGTCATTAGTCATTTTGTCTTTCTGGGCCTTTCTGGGCCCCGCTCGCATAAGGGCCCTGTACAGACCTCTGGAAAGAAGTGGTAGTTTACACGCATGTTTGGTTGTAGCAAGCCTGTAAACAGTGACTGATCTGGCATGGCAGGTTAGGTTGGAAGATAAATGAAACTCATATCTGTCAATTTTAAAGCTATTTTCAGAAGTCACTTAAAGATAACGTACTCACATATACATGAAACCTTTGTAAACTTACCAAAACTTGATGGATGGACTTCATGTGTGAACACACACACACCTTCAAGTGTTACCTTGACTTTTTTACTGCTGACCCCAAATCAAGTTCCTCTTTCAAAGCCGCAGTGAGACAATGCCTGCAGAATATATTTTATTTGGGAGAGAGTGAGGGGTTAGGGATGATGGGTTTGATTTCAAGCCACCAGTGTGAACTCAGGAAAGTAACCTGCAACAGGATGAAAATAAAAGCATCCGAGGTTGAAAAAGAATAATCTTCAATATGAGAACCACTGATGTCTGCACATATTGTCATTGACATCTGTTGTCGTAGGTCTATAGGTCTCTGTTGCCTCATCCGGCACCATGTTGTAAGTATGACAGTGTAGCTTGTAATGATTGTTTGACCTTGTGAGACTTGTCTTCCTCTGCCAATCACCTTTTGCTCCGACAGAAGCTGTGAGGGATGTGTGTGAACATGGAAATCTTTGGAGGTAGAGCTTTGAAAAATGTGGAACTTTCAGGAGTGCAGGCATGTAAGAGGCTAAAAAGATTGAAAACGGCCCAAACAACACCAACTCACTTTTCTAGTTAATGTACAACATTTTGTTTGAGTGATTTCCACCCACTGAAGTGTGAAAAAATGTGAGGTTTTTGTTGTTTCATTGGGTATTTTATGTGCCTGAATATTTCTTGGCTGAAGTCTGTGCCTAGCAAATGGTCTAGGCCAAGACGCGGCCCGATGTATGAACCCTCATAAAATACAAAAATGTACAACATTAAACAAAATACAACAAGTGTGCTTTGCAGGTGCTGGGGATTAAGTTATATTTGGACTGTTTACCTCTGTTTATTTGCTAAAGTAAGCTAACTGGCTGCTAGCGTTAGCAGGATGTTATTCACTCATACAAAAATAGAGCTGAGACTCTAAATCAGAACACACAACTATAACGAAAATGAGCATTTATCCCAAAATATTGTGCTTTTCCTTTTAGGTAAGCGCTCAGATTGTTCTTAGTCATGTCATGGCTACAGTTAGAGCTCAGTTAAGTTCTCAGGAAATGAATGAAAGTCAACGCAATGCCTTGCTTACAGGTTTTTTGTGTGTTTGTGTGTATTCGTATGAGTGTGTGTGAGAGAGTTTGTGCTTGTGTGTGTGGTCCATGAAAAGAAAATAAGCAGCACTAATGGGAAGTTTTTCCTGTCTTGGATAAGGCTTTAGGGGTTTCAAAGCAAAATTGTTTGCAGTGGAAGGAATGGCGTCCAAGCCCACCTGTTGCTCATGATTGCAGAGATCCGCTTGAGCTGGGCCTTGTCGAGAGACATACTACAGTATGCCACTCAGTAACATCAATGGAGTAGGCAGGCCCGTTCATTCCTCAAGACTACCCAAGCAGAAACGATGCACTACAATGATGAGGAACGTTATAAACATGCCTGAACTACTGAGCTATGAGACAAAGCATCCGTTAGCTCCGCTCACGTTTCTTTATCTGTCATCCACACATTCAGAAATGATAGAACCATTAAGGACAATACGGCTGCCTGTCATTCACATAAGTCATTGCTCTGGAGATATTTCCCTCAAGGCCACATTCTGAGTCCAGTGGGTGTGTTTTACATACGTCTCCATTTGATTTAATGAGATAAACTCTGCCTCTCCAAATGGCAATGAGAGTTCATCCGGTGTGGGAGTGGTTTCCTCGAGGCAAAGTGATTAGGGCACGAGTAGGAGGGTGTAAAAGTAACACTATGATGCACAGCCAAGTCTTTAAACATACGTATTCATCCACTCTTCACCTCTTCAGAAGCCAAGAGGGAGAAATACCTTTATGGCAAGTGATTTTTTCATTGTAAATCACTGACCTCTGCGTCCTGCCATTCAGCGAGATACTGATAAGAACTCACATCTCAAAAACATCTTGTTCTTGTTAGCATTAGGACGGACAGAGGCGAGTATGAAAAGCGAACAGTCAGCAGTGTTAGCATGGATACAGCTAATTGGCCTTGGCTACCAATAAGGGGATGTGGGTTTAGCTCCAATATGTTGGGGCCAGGTCCGGGCCGTGGAGACTTGATGGAAGCCTGACAGACGCTGTGGCTGAGCCGTCCAGCTAACTGGCCAGTCCAGTAATTAAACAGTCCTCATGTCTCTGTATAGGAGTGAAATAGTGTGAAAGGGGCTGGGAAGCAAAGTCATTCTTGGCTCGAGCTCAGAGATGTGCGGCCTGGTTGCTCCTGGATCCCATCCATGGGCCGCAGGGTTTTAGCACCGCTGGTTTTAGCTCATCCTTCAATTTGATTTTTGTTTCGAAGGCTTTCTCTTTTACCAACCTCCCCCCTCCCCAATGTATTTCACCCTGAGCTTTAAGTAGAAATACAGCAGAAAGAGCTGAATGCATGGATGTATCCCCCAGCTGGACAACATTCCTCTGGTTTCCACTTGTGTCTGCTTCTCCCTTTTTATGGGTCAGTGTTTCGGTGATTAAAGTTTCTTTTCCCTTTTCCCCCTCCCTCTGCTTTTCCACTCTCTTTCCATTCATTGCTATTTTCCTCTCTGTCTTTTTGCCTGCTCGCTCTTCTTGTGAACTTCAATAGTGCCAAAAATTTGACCAGGGAAACTCCAGTCCAGTTTAGACCCACAGCCACTTCAACAAAACAGGAATGAAAACCTTGTTTATTTTAACCTCTAAATGAATTAAATTGATGGCTTAGTCTTAAAAGTAATAACCGTAATTACAATGTTGTCTCTTTGCATTTGTTATTCACCCTGTTGCAGCATCACTATCACGCTTTCTCACGCTCGTCCACCTTTGAACAATGTCTCTTAAGAGTGCCTTATCATCTTCGCCAACTGACTGGCCATCCTCAAACTGACATCACAGTGATTGATATGAGCGCGGGTGTGGACTCCTGCTTCCTCTTCCTCTGCTGCTCTCTATGAGTGGCTGTTTCACACGGAGGGGGGCTTGATCAGACTCAGGGGTGTGAGATGAAACCTTCGGCCATTTAAAACTGTGACAAATTTACCAAGTGATATTGTAAAAAAAAAAAAAAAAAATTGGATCATTAGCAATTTGCCTCTAACTCGTGGGTGGAGACAGCGCTGCTCTGCTTGGATTGGTTATGTAGAAAATCTCACTGTTTCTGAACCTGCCGTTTGGGTCTGTCAGAGATCCACAGCGATTTGAATGAAGCAATTTTTATATTTAGTTTTCTCATCATATGTCCTGTAGCATCAGAAAAATGCCATATAAACATATAAAAAAAGAAGAAAAACATGATTTTCATTGGAGTACATGAAGTTGGAGTAGACAAAATTAACAATAAAAATTTCAGGCTAAGGTTTAAGAATCAATTTCAGGATGAAACCGTCTGCACATCTGTCTATTTGCAAGTTGCATTGATGCAAAACGTTTCGTCATATAACAAAGGTCTCTGTTTCTTCATCTGCTATCATGTCGTAAACTGTGACTTGTGATGTCGAGTCCAGACTCGTACCACTCCAACTCAACACCACTCCTGTCCAACAGAGAAGACTTTGTGCACTCAATGTGTTTACATGTTGTGCAAAAAACTTCTCATGGGTGTAATGCTAGAAAGTCAGGTATGAAGCAAATCCTCAACAGATGAAAAAAGGATATAAAGAAGACTAAACTTTTCTATCGTACAAATGGTGAAGAGCTGTAGAAGTGACAGTGTTTTCATAATTAGATGTACATCCCGTTAGCCTTTTGCTAACATGATTTATCGAATTTTTTTAATACCTACTAGGTCAACGACAAGACGACCCTGAAAGGGGGTATGTCATTATCTAGCATAGCGGAGGCAGACATGCTTCTGTCAATAATTCAGTTTGTAGTTCGACTTAAATGCGCATGTTAACAAACTGACTGAGGGACAGGTGTGAACAAGCAATCCTGGTAAATTTGAAAGAGCTGAACTCCTGAAAATGTCAAGAAAATGTCATTTACCCAAATAAAAGAGCTTATTTTTACCTCTGTTGATCTCTGGGAAAACCACTTTACTGTAACTTTTGATGCTTTCAGAAACAAAATCGTGTTGCCAGATTTATTTCAGTCAGTCCACCGTTTAAACCTACCCATTGAGAGGTAATGTATTACATACAGCCTACATTATGATGGCAGTGAGTAAATAGACATAAATTGCACATATTTCATAAATCGACCAACAATTATGACAAGACAGTAAACAACTTTGCCCCCCTACAAAAATCTGTTCAACATGAATTCTGCAAATTTCACCTAACAGGTTTTTTTTAACGCACTTTTTTGTTATTTCGCCATATTCAGATACCTCAGGAGTCAAACCCTCCTATATCATAGCCCAGTCCGGGTGGTCCATCTACGGTTGTCTCTTTCTGTAAGGAAAAGGGGAGAAAAAACTTCCCAGGAGTCTGTGGGGTCTGACATTTGCTATCCCATTACAGCCCACCTAAGACACAGCCGGGCACATAAAACAACACGAGACACAAGGTAATGAAGTGCTAACCAGTGAGGTAATCACTCTCCGAGCGACCTTTTCCCCTTTCCCTTTTGCCCTTCCGCCCTTGGCTCTTTCTTTTCATCCCTCTATCCTCCTGTGCTTTTACAATAGTATATCACTGACGAAAGGTACAAAAGATGAAAACGTGTTTTCATCCAGACCAGGCCAAGAACGCTCGTCAAAATGGAGACGACTACGGGGAGTTTTTGTGGTTCTTGTCATGATGGAGGGATTAAAGGCCGACTCAGAGGGATGAATGAACACCTCTTCGATTGATTTACGAAAAAAAGGAGCAGTCGAGACAGATATCATCATCTATATTTCCTGCCATGAAGGTTGCTGAGGAAGTTCTTCTGGGAACATATAAAAGCCACCGCTCTGCAACTACAGGTGAGTCCATGTTTGATGCTCACTCGGGGTGACATTTGGATGGGAGTGATGTGCTTTTTTCCCCCAGGCGGAGATACAAATCTTCCTCTGGCAGCTGCGCTTTGTTGGGGTGGGGGGTTGGCTGTTGGGCTGTCTTGTCCGAACATGGTGTATAGACTGGTGAGTCGTCCCTGAAAGATTCCCTTTATGAGTGATGACGGCCATCTGGGCTATTTCCCAGTGTGTGTGTGTGTGAGCACGTGCACGGTTTTCTCTTTTTGTTTTCTCCACTCTCCTTATTTTTTTACTCTTTCTTAAATGGTGAAATGTTGAAGGATAACAAATGAAAAGATAGCGCTTTGAAAGTGGATCTGTCCCAGCAGCCTACTCCGCCTCCGCCTCCTCGGCTCTGACCCCCTCCTCCCTCTACTTGTGCAGGCTTGACGAAAGGCTATACCTCTCTCTGTCGCATGCAAGGATGGGGAGTTGGGAAAGAGGAGAGGGGTAAGATGTGATGAAGGGGGAAAAAGTGGAAAAAGCGGTCGAGAGTAAGGGTCAGGTGAGGATCAACTGGCTGATGATAAAAAGTTAAAGAAAACTGAGAGAGATAAAAACAGAGGAACTGAGTCAAAAAGAGAGAAAAGAATATTAAAGGAGGGTTTTTGGTTGCAGGCACAAGTACAATAAAAGAATACTGATATCTTAGCGGACTTAAAAGGGATGGTTATCTCTTGAAAATTGAAAACAATGCTATCACATTCACGCTTAATATTTTTCCACATGCATTTACACGACTCAGAGTTCAGATTCCAGACTTCACCATCTCAAACAAAGCGATTAGACTGTGATTAGCAAGAGCTGCCGCAACTTGTTCCTTTGACCACAAAGACATTGTCTGCCAAGACATCCAGTACCTGCCAACATCAAAGACAATAACAGACACACACACCTCCCACACATCTCCTTTAAAAACACAAATCTTTCATAAGCTAATGACATGCTATAGTGGTGAGTTATTCACCGAGCAGGGTGGGAAAGATTAGTGAACTGACAGACATTCCTTACAGCTGATGTCAACACTCTATCACAAGATATGCTCAATATGATGTTACAAACCAAAATATGAACTCCTTGGATAATGTGAGAGCTGATAGGTTTGGATGAAGGCGGCTCTCAACTGGATGACTCGGAGGTCAAAACCATAACACATGAGGTAGAAATTCCTCAGGCTTGGTCCAAAGAGAGTCCCTGAAAGGTGAGGGGTGGACCAGGAATTCTTTGTTTCCAGACTATGGAAGCCACACAGGCCAAGTGACTGGTTCACGAGCTGGCTGACCACAAGACCGCATTCTAGACATTCTACCCCCCGACAGTGACGTCCTGGTGAGTTTACAGAGGACAGATGTCCTCTTCGCAACCTGTGTGGCAAAAGATTGGAAGGGAAGAGGGGTATCAGAGACAAAACAGCGGAGCTTTGATATCATTGTTCATTCCCACTTCCAGACTTGCTGTGGTTTGAACTCTGGTGAATCACTCTGTATGAGTCCCTGTGAAGCTCGTCCATCCAAAAGCTGCAAGAAGTTTATTTAGACTTAGATGTTAGACCAGGAAAACTAACTCTGGACTCTGCAGGCCTCGCAGCCTGCAGTTTCAAGGTCAGGTCATCTGAGCCCAAACCTACATGTCAGAAAAACAAGAATCATGCAGCATGTTGTGGTATGATAGAAGTAACCAGCCATACATTTTCTTGAAGTTTTTCGGAGAATCAAAGTGAAAAAAGAGACAAAAACATGGCAGATGGAGTGTATGCTCTGGGTAACTCCTAGACAACAGAGGACTGTTTTTGTTCTTACCAGTTGTGGATGTCAGTCAAGTAAATGTACTTGAGTTATTCTTTTGCACTCAAGTTTGAGAGCCTGTCTTTGACTTGGATATT